CGAAGACTTCGCACCAGGGGTGACCTCTCTGCAGCCAAGCGAAGCTTCGCGGCATTGCAACGAAAGGTCGGTGAGGCACCTGTCCTCCGACACGTCGACCGTGACCGAGAGGTCCATGTGACGCTGTTTGCAAATGAATGGGCAGTGAGCACCACGCTCATGCAGGAGCACGATGGGCTGATCCACCCGGTCCGCTTCTGCGGCCGAGTGCTCAAGGACGCCGAGATGAACTACCACCCGGCGGAAAAGGAGGTACTGGCTTTGCTGCAGCTGTTGAAGGTGTGTTACACCCAGCTTGCAGGTCGGACCATACATGTCTACACGCGGTTTTCGACGCTCGACTGGGTCCACAAGTCGAAGACACTCTTCGGACGTGCAACACAATTTGCCGTCTTACTGTCCCCGTGGAGTCTAGTGGTGCAACGAGTCTAGGAAAAGGACTGCGCCTTCGCGCAGCTCTTGCAGTCGACGATACAAGTTTCGTTGACCTCGAAGACTCGTTGGCACCGGTGACCCCTCGAGCTAAAGGCTCGCCGAGTGTTCGGATGGATCCGCATTTGCTTTATGCACGATTGCCACGCACCTACAGTGGTTACGTACTTTCGTTTGATGATTCGGCGAAGACCGAGAAGCATGGTGGTTACGGCAGTTGCGCCTGGATATTATGGCGACTCCCTGAAGGGAGTGTAGTGATCGCTGCGAGTGCATATCTCGAGACCACGACTGTAAACCTCGCTGAGTACACCGGAATGGACAACGGGGTCTCTGCATCCCTAGAACATGGGGCCGAGGGCTTAGTCATCGTCGGGGAGGGGACTCGAGACTCGCAATCCAGCAATCCCTAGGGGTGATCGCTTGCCGTAAGGAGTCTCTGATGGCACAACTGAACAAGCACAAAGAACTGACCACGAGACTTCGGTCCGTGAAGTATCTACATGCCATCCGTGAGTTCAATGCAGCTGCAGACTCTTTGGCGAGCGAAACCTTGGAGAAGAAGGTGTCGATGGCAGTGATCAGCGAAGACCGGAAACGAGAGTTGATGAAATTGAATCGGATCCGAGAAGTGCTCTATGAACCGTCAGCCGAAGCCTCTGAAGCTTCTGGAGAGGTTGTAACGCGTCATGTGAACTCGATATGTGTGATGGATATGCGTGACAGTGACCGTAGTAAGAATTTTTTCGATTTTGTACGGGAAACGGGACATGTAGCCGCGGCAACGAGGCAACAATTCCGCGCGCGTGCGAAACATGTACGCTTTGCGATGAGACTTTGGGCGATGGGCCAGAAGAGAGAACCGGAGGAGACAAAGCTAATGACGTCGCAACGAAGAGTCTAACGAACTTCCAGGCCAACCGAGGCCTGACGCAACGGTGGTCCATGAGCCGAGTGCTGACGACATCGACCCGCTAGTTGTGCAGGAAGAATGGCGCAAGCGCATCAGCAAAGCTCAGGATGAGGAACTCCGGTGGTCGAACCTCAAGACGGTGCTAAAGAGAGAAGAAGCAAAGCTTGCCTACAAAGCTGCACGCGAAGCCTGGAAGATGGCTGACAAGTTCGTGTTAAGTAAGGATGGCTTGCTGTACTTCCTTGGTGGGAATCGTCGGTGGGGTCGCAACCGGACCGAGGAGACAACTCTACGCCTAGTGGTGCCAACAACGATGGTTCAAGAGATCCTACAGAATTGTCATGACTCGTTGGAGGGCGGCCACCAAGGTATCGTCCGAACTTACCACCGGGTCAAGGCTGACTACTATTGGATTCGCTTATTCGCCGATGTCAAGAAGCACGTACGCTCGTATCCGGATTGTAGCTCAAGCAAGAGTCGCCCGCAACTACGTGTGTACTCGCCGGGCAACATCCTGGCCGAGCGCCGGCTACAAATTGTATCGATGGATTTTGTGATACCCCTACCGAAGACTCGGCGGGGAAATACCGCACTGGGCAAGCGTCGACACTTTGGACAGTGAACTAGTGGTACGGTTAAGACTGGATTAATACACTGGCCAGCTTGACCTACTCTAGTGATCTATTTCTTGTGTGCGAGCCCTCGATCAACCGGATACTGCTTGGTCGGAGATCGTTTCTCCTCTCGATCAACCTCGATCCCGCTATAGGAAGCGGCAAGCAACTCAGGAAAGGAGGGAACACACCCGGAAAGGCAACTACAGGCCTTGGATGAGCTCCAGGCCGACCGATCGCAGCGAAGAAGGCTGAATCGGAGCGAGTACTCGAACGCAGAGCGAAGATTACCGCGCTGCTCCACAAACTATCCCCGCGTCACGCCAAGACACTCGATCTTCACCAAGTGCTGCATCTTCGGAGCCCCGAGTGAGCGGATCCAGCCCGCCGACGGGTACACAAGGTGAGAACAAGTTCAGCCGATCACGGATCGTTGGGGGACCCCCTCCGTTAGTCGGTGTCTGGGCGCTGGTGGGAAGCTTGATCACGCCTTAACCAGATTTTGGCTGATCCCGCTACACAACGTATGCCCAAGTCTTGGCACGTTCACCAAAATTGGAGAGCGCAACGGCGACTCGAAGGTTCTCAGCCGAGATGAGACCTGCGCTCATTGCCATCTCGATCTCCTGGATCCAGAAGTGAAGCTTCTCACCGTCCTTCCCTTCGAACGGAGGCACAGCTAGCCGCAAAGGCTTAGGCTGCACCCGTTTGGGCTCACTCATCTGAGCCAGCAGGTTTCCCTGCACATGAGCGATGAGCCCGCGTTCGTACTCGTCAAACGCGCTCACCCGCTCGACCTGCTCGGCTGGCGTCGCCGCCGCCAAGCTCCGGAGGGCATCACTTCCGAAGATACCCGCCATATTCCGCACTGACTCGAACTGCGAGTCAGTCTAGTGAGGAAACTCACTTCGGTCTATCGTGGCTCACGGACCTGACCGAGGATTCAGGGAGACCAATCTACCCGCGTAGGCGTAGGGTTGACTACAAGTGCTACCAAGTGTGACGGGGTCACACAGCACAAAGCACAGAGGAAGTGCGTGTGGATATTACTATCCAGGTGAACAGCAGTTCACCAGTTCCCGGCCTGAAAGGGAACGGTTTGCTACAACGTAGTAGGTTATAAGACTGACTGTTCTCTGGATTTTATCCTAAGTCCGTGGGTGAAGGCCACTGAGGTGCCATTATTCTCACATCAAATACCTGCTAAATATGGGTTTGAGCGCTGCTGATGTTGATAGCTAAAATACCTGTTATACTGAATAGCCTGCGATCTAATCAAATGCTGCTGCTATGTTGACCCATCCGGTTGCGATTAAGTCAAATTACCTATTATTTTGCATACCCTTTAATCAAGTATATATACCTGTGATAGATAGTTTATCTGCCACTCAAGCGACATCCATCGGATTTTTTTCGCTCCAACAACATGCCGACGGGATCCAGCCTTCAACGGTGACGACTTATTAGTTAGGCATTACGACGAAAGCATCTGCCACTGGCAGCTACATGATTAGCTATGGCCTGTGGCAAGAGCCATTATGTCCGGCATCATTAGTGAAGACCCAGAGGTCATGCGACTCAGGCCTCGTGCGCAGGCAGCTTCAGCACCGGAGCCGTGAGGTGATGCCGTCGAGATCGCGTTCCAGTAAGTTGATGGAGCTCGGTACCCCGTTCAACTCGACAGGAATCGTCAAGAATCGCGGCTACATCTACGTAGATGACATCGACATCGTTAAGATCGTCGGGGTCGGCTAGCTTGCTACAATCCCCAACTTCCCGTGTGTTATGTTGTAAATCAGTTTCTTCTTACTAATAGCGGTGCAATTTCTGGGCAGATGCTGCGGCTGCGAAGCAGGATCAGGAGATGCCCTTGGGTCGTACGGGTCACACTACCGAAGTATAACCAAAATGATTTTTGTACCTTCCTATTCAGTATCAAACGGTCTTAATTCGTGCATTTGATCGGTCGGCTGGAAGTACAGATTCCATCTTACTCAGTTAGCGATCTCCTTCCTGCATGATCACCATTAACGTTGCCCAGCTGATCGAATTCATGTTGAGCAGGTTGTGTATTATTATGGACGATGATATGGTGGATAATAGAATCAGTGCGTTGGTTTGAGTGATATTTTAGTTTTTTTTCGGCTACTGTCAGGTATATAGTGAGTTCCGGAAGTAGTTGAAGGAAACGAACACTTGACTGGGCAGATGGCAAGTCTGAGGAGAGTAGCCAAGTGTTTTCGTGGTTCCGTGCTGGTACTCCTACTGGGAGTCCTAGCACTGCCTACTGCGTGCCGTAATCGCAACCCAAGTGATGGTGAGCTCCAGCTTTGCCATCATCTTGAAGTGCACTGCAAATCGGCAACACGAGAGCTGGCTTGATAGCCGAGAATCCACCATATTGCCCCCGAAAGCTGGCTTCCAGCGTTGCCGCGACGCCAGTTCTCCACGCAATAGAATAATGTTGGAGATCGCATGAGCTGGCGCCACCTGCGATGAGTGCAGTGGCGACGATAACGGCCTGCGACGACCACAACGACCCCTCCAGCTACACAACACGAAACTACCGATGCATATTAGCCTAGCACAGACATCCTAGCATCATCCAACCTAACTCATTCTGCAATACACCAGGTGCGAGGCACCACTACAAGGAGCAACCCGTGCAGGATCAATGAGTGCTCCCTTCAGGTTATGAGCCCAACTGGCTCGCCTTCTGCAGCGACCAGTGAAGACTTCGAAGACTCGCGAGGCGACCACGAAGACCTTGAAGAATACTCGGAGGCACGAGGTGCTAACGAGGCTGACGAAGACCACCAAGACGGAAGGAATACTCGCCTAGGACTGCCAGACGACCTGCACTTCGACCCTTCGGACCAAGAGACAATGGAGCAGCACGACCAGCTCCAGCTCATCCTTCGACTGCAGTCCGAGCTGGCAGAACTGAAGAAGCAGCTCGCGACGCGAGCGCCCCGTTCCCCCTCCATGTCGGATACTAGCATGGAAACCGCACCTCCATCACCGAAGAAGCCTAAAATCAAGGACGTACGCTGCTCGAACTTCAAGGGAAACGAGGTTTACCCTGGGTTAGGAGCTGGCTTCGAGAATTTCATCCACGAGTTCGAGCATGCTATAAGGACGGATGAGCTCGTGAACGGATCCACCTGGACCGACAACATCAAGGCATCGGTGATTGTCAACTTCCTCGAGGGGAAAGCGTCTAGGTACTATCACAAGAAGAACTCAGAGTGGCTGCGCCGTCATAATGGTGACAGCATGCCGTACTCAGATGTGAAGCGCGCGATGCGTGCAGAGTTTGGCTGTAAACTAAGCCAACTCGAACTCAGCACGAAGATGCAGTATAACAAGCGTGAAGGCGATACGTGGCATGACTACCTGGAATACTTGAACTTCATCGAGAGCCTCGTGGAAGGTGATCAGACCAAGATGGTCATGGAGGTGTTCGGAAACAATGCATGCCCCCGAGTTAGCGCCCACGCTGTTGTCTTCAGTGCCCGACGACGCAAGCGATTACGTTGCGGAAACCGATCGCATGAAGCGACTTCTATACAAGCTGAAAGGTGACGGGCGCAGATGTGGTGCGAAGCGAGATGAACGCAAAAACCGTCATGCTGACCGCCGGAACCCGAATTCACATGGCCACCGCAGCGGAAATCGGCACAATGATGATCAGCATTGGCGTAACCAGCGAAACAACAACGACAACTCGGATCGACGTCCGCAGCAGCAAAATAACGGCCAAGCCTTTGCCGCCGCTGGTCATCGTGGTGAAATACATTGCCATGTGTGCGGGAAGCCTGGTCACAAGATTTTCACGTGTCCACTCGTGGAACAGGCAAAACAACTAGCCACCAGAGGAAGTGCGAACGTAGCCGCTGCTGATGATGACGACACATCCAGAGATTCTGATGATGAAGGCTATGTCTGGGTCGCTGCCGACGGTGCCGAGCGCGGCGCTTCTGCCACGAGAGGAAATGTTTGGACAGTGGATTCGGGAGCAACTCCCCACCTTTGCATCGACCGTGACCAACTTTTCGCGATAGAGCCAGCATTCCTGTCGGTGCGAGTGGCGAATGGAGATCTTGTCGCCGCTACTGAGAAGGGAAAGACTGTCATCACGACGATGGCAGAAGGAGTGCCTCGTACTGTCCTGCTAGAAAACGTGTACTTCGCAAAAGGTATTGACCGCAACCTGATTTCAGTGGCTCAACTCACCGCTCGAGGCTACACCTGCACCTTTGGTGAGGAGCAGTGTACAATTACGAACAAGACGGGCAAGATTGTTGCCGAAGTGGGTAATTCAGCCTCGACTGGGCTTTGGTCTGTTGGAATCGAGCAAGGCGCGGCCTCCTTCGCAGCAATGACGACCTCTACGCTTCAGTAGTGGCATGAACGCCTGGGGCACGTGAACTACCAGGATCTGGTACGCATGATTGACAAAAACCTCGTTGAAGGCATGGTTGCCTCTAATCGGAAGGTGGATTTCTGCATGAACTGCGCTGAAGCGAAACAAGCTCGACGCGCGAAGAACAAGCAGGATACTTCTACATCTGCCCCAACGGACGAACCGGGCGCTACCTTCTGCGTTGACCTGAAGACGGACATGACCCCGGATCGGCTCGGTCACAAACACATTTTGACCATTGTAGACCACGCTACGAACTACAATCGCGTCTACTTGCTCCGCAAAAAGAGCGACGCGGAAGGGCATCTGGAGGACTTTGTTAGCGAATTTGAGCGACAATACGACACCAAGGTGAAGATGATTCGCTCAGACGGTGGTGGTGAATTTGGCAGCACCAGACTCGGCCGCTTCCTCCGCAACCGGGGTATTCTCCACCAAGAAACGGAGGCGGGCATGTCATCATCAAACGGAAAAGCAGAGCGTTTTCACCGGACTGTCATGGATTCCGCCCGAGCGATGCTCTGGGCCTCGGCATTGCCACAGCGATTTTGGGGCGATGCTGTTCTGTATGCGAGCTACATTCGCAACTATCTGCCGACTCGAGCGAACGCCGACCATGCGTCTCCCATTGAGGCCCTCTCCGGAAAACGACCCAGTGTCTCGCACATCCTCAAATTCGGCTCGAAGTGTACGAGCCACATCGCTCATGCAACGAAGCGATCAGCAAAAAGCGCGATGAAAGAGGAGTTGTTATTGGCATCGACTTCAAGAAGAAAGCGTACCGTGTTCTCATCCCGCGAACCAAACGTGTTATCTCTACAACACACATCCGGAACGTTGACTGTCTGGACTCGCGAGCCATGGGGCGATACATGGACGCCATCGACGCAGACAATAGCGGCGAGGAGGAGGATGCTGGCGATCAACAGTACACAACCACCACCCCACATGACGCTAATGGTGAGGAAGCACGGGCTGGTAGCCCTGCAGAGCAGCATCAACTTACGTCGCGTGCCATCCAGCGCATCTTTGGCCTGAATCGAGGTACACGAGCACTACCACGCGATGACTTTCGGCTGCCCCAATCTATTCTCGAAGAGTTCGCCACTCCGGCATCTGTCCTGCTCACTATCGTACTCAAGGAGGGTACTGCCTTTGCGGTACTACTAGAGCGTGACGGGATCAAGGAGCCAGTAACTGTGGAGGAGGCAATGCAACTGTGGAGGAGGCAATGAACAGCCCGTATTGGCAGGAGTGGTGGCAGGCAATCGAAGAAGAGCTTCGAGCAATATCGAAGAACGCTACCTGGGAAATTGTGGACATTCCTACTGATGGAAATCTGATAAGTGCAAAACGGGTGTTCAAGCTCAAGTTTGACAACAAAGGCGAATTGGAACGGTTCAAAGCGCGGCTGGTAGCGCGCGGCTTCACTCAAAAGTTTGGCATTGACTTCGCAGAGACCTTTGCGCCCGTGCTCAAGATCGCGAGCCTGCGGTTCATTGTGGCCCTCGCATCTCAGTGGCATGCCGTCATTCGACAAGGAGATGTTCCTAACGCATACTTGCGAGCAGACCTCGATCGACCCATCTACATGCGCGCCCCTGTTGGACTCCAATTACCCAAGGGCAAATGCCTACTGCTGCGAAAGAGTCTCTACGGCCTTAAACAGAGCGGCAAGTTGTGGAACGACACTACTTACTGGAACTTGGCTTCAGGAGGAGCTAACTCGACCCGTGCTTGTATTTTCGTTGGCATGAAGGCAAGCTAACTGTACTGGGTCTCTACGTCGATGATGTGGTGGTCGTCAGCCAGCGTGAGGGCGATTCCGACTGGACGATGCAGAAGCTCGCCGACCAATTTCAGATCAAGGACATGGGTCTAGCCAAGAAGTGCTTGGGAATTAACATTGAGCAGAGCGACTGCGGCATCTACCTCCACCAGACAGCCAATATTGACGGTTTGCTGGCAAAGTGCGGCATGGAGAATAGCCGCCCCGTGACTACGCCGATGGAGTCAACTCGGGACCTGAACGGAGAGGACAGCGAGCCCTTCTACGACACTAGCATCATGCGGGAGACCATTGGGTCACTACTATGGATTAGCAACTGCACTCGACCAGACATCACGATGCCTGTGAACTTCCTGGCGCGTTTCGTCTCAACGCCTACGTCGACTCATTGGACTGCAGTCAAACGTATCCTGCGCTACTTGCGCGGCTCGCACGAGTTGAGGTTGCACTTTCCCCGGCCGCAGGCACCCCGACACACTATTGAGGCAGCCATCTTCAGCGATGCAGATTGGGCCGGGGGCAAGGACGCAAAGTCGACTTCAGGAGGACTGCTCACCATCAACGCCATGCCCATTTCGTGGTACAGCAAGAAACAATCTACGGTCGCCCTCCCTACAGCCGAGGCTGAGTACATCGCTGGGGCGACAGCAGTGCAGGACTGCTTGTGGGTGAAGCAGCTCCTGAATGAACTTGAGCTGCACGGCAAAGATGATAATATCGACTTGTACATCGACAACCAGAGCGCGATCAAGAACATGGAGAACGACGTGACGACTGCACGCATGAAGCACATCAACATAAAATTCCACTTCATACGCGACGCCATTCGCAAGAAGGAGGTCAGCGTGACCGATTGCCCTACGACTGAGATGAAGGCCGACATTTTCACGAAGCCCCTCGGCGCAACCCTACACGGGCGCAACCTGGCCATGATCAAGCTTATCAACCCGCACAACGAGAAGCTGTAGACTCGGATCATCTTGGTCGAGGAGGACTGTTGGAGATCGCAAGAGCTGGCGCCACCTGCGATGAGTGCAGTGGCGACGATAACGGCCTGCGACGACCACAACGACCCCTCCAGCTACACAACACGAAACTACCGATGCATATTAGCCTAGCACAGACATCCTAGCATCATCCAACCTAACTCATTCTGCAATACACCAGGTGCGAGGCACCACTACAAGGAGCAACCCGTGCAGGATCAACGAGTGCTCCCTTCAAATAACAGTCAAGACATTCTCACGGCGAGAACTGCTTGGTCATTACATGCTGTGGTCGGGCGTACGGCGGCGTTTACGGGAAACCGGTTGAGGCAACTCGTCCGCAGCGGGGCGGGAACGGGTCCGGCGGCTGACAGGTTCCTCCGCAGCGCGAGCCTTGGCACCGTCTCGGGGTGCGTCAAGGTGCCGCGAAGGTAACGTTTGCTCGGACGGTGGGGGCGAGCGGCTTCGGAAGTGACAGTGCGGCGTCGGCGCGGTTTGCGGCCAAGCCGACGTGCGTTTGTCGGCGGCGCAGCAGCATTTCGGCCCGACGCGGTCGTTGTCACCACGGTAGCTGGCGTAGTAGTCGCAGGAGCGGCCTGGACTTCTACTCGCTGCTGCGGGGCAGGTGCACGAGACTTCGGGCGTCGTTGAGAGCCTTTGCGTTTGCTTGGAGCAGTAGGTTTCGATGGTGCCGTAGCCGTTCCACTCGTAGATCGGAGGTTGCGCCAGTGCTTTTGTAGATCCTGGTCAGCGGCCTCCACGTATGCGGCAACCAATACCGGGACATCTTTACCAAGACTGGATAATGGCTCGTACGAATCCTCAATTAACTCTAATCCCTTCCATTGGACGATAAGTTCATAGTCAGCGATGTCCTCGTTTCAGCGGTGCTCCTTAAGTTTTTCGACTGCAAGAATGATTCCTTGAGCTGAAATATGTTCCAACAACTCCTCGGTCACGTCTGAACTGTCGTCCGCGTAGAATTTTAAACGAGACGCGTGTATATCAAGTTCGTGGTCAGTGACGAGATGCTGAATGATGAAAGAATGCGGGTCTGCGCGGATAACTCGATACGGTCCTACCCAGACGACAAGTAGCTTGTTGCCGCGCTTTTCGTCAACTCGAGAGCGGAGAACGAAGTCGCCAACGGAAAAATTGACAAGGTTATCACCGCGTTCCCGCTTCTTGTTCAGCAATCGCTGCTTCAACCGCTGATCTTCCAGCCTTGTGCATCTCGACAATGCTGCTGCGGAGCGCTGAGAGATAAATGTCTATGTCAGAATTGGGCGGAACTTGCTGGAATTCACCGTTGCTGGGCAGTAAAATTCACGAAGCGGGGTAGGACAGCTAAGACCGGTAAACAACTCAACTGGGACGCAGTTTCCAAGCGATGGAAGCGGGGTATGGTTGATACTCGACTGTACCATAGAAACCAAATACACCCAGTCTCGATGATGGATCTTGTACTCGAGATTCAGCACGCGAACGACCTGTAGAATATCCCTGTTGACACGCTCAACGGAGCCATTTATCCACGGACTGTGAACTGATGGTTTGAGCGCATCCGTCGTGACAGCTCCTGCATCACCTCGTTCTTGACGTGATCTTGATGACAATTTCGTGTGGCCAACGTTTTCTCTCGCCTCGATACAACAAGAATACAAGAATACGAGCGTCCTGAACGAGCTACACTACGTGAGGATGGTTTAATTACACCGGACGATCGAGTTGGGATCCCCACCGAAGCTGACAATCTCCTTCAACGGTTGTTTATCGTCTCTCACTGTGGATCGCAAGGCTACCGTGGATATGCAACAATGGTGGAGCAACTCAGGCGTGTTTTTGCGATCAAGAGCCTCTCCGCTCTCGCATCCCGCTTTGTACGCGGCTGTCGGTTGTGTATGCACGTGAAAGGAGGAAAGATCATCCCACGGCCATGGGGAGAAACTATCGACTGCACGACACGCATGGATTCTTGCATTTTGATTTTCTTTCGATGGGCGACAGTTTTGGTGATTCCCAGTACATTTTGGTTCTCAAGGACCACGCTACCCACTTTTGTGAGCTGGTAGTCGCTGATACTGCCGACAGCACGGTGGCTGTGGAAGCGCTATTGGCCTGGCACTCTCGGTTTGGGCTACCTCCGGCTTGGGTCAGCGATCAAGGGGGACCACCGCAGTAACTTACCACGCACATGCTTCTTGACATTCTGATCAGGGGCGAAGATGTGGATAAGGTTACGGTGGTCACAGTAAAGTCTGAAACCTTGAGGTCGAAGCAGTAGATAGTCCAGCTTGTCACAGGCTGCAGCGATCGGAAACGCCTCCTTCTCCACCACAGTCCAATTGAGCTGACTGGCAATGAAAGTACCACTCAGGCACTGAACAAGGTGGTGTTGTTGGCTGGTGATAGGGACTTTCATGTCATAATTGGCAACCTGCGTGACGATCAGCGCCCAACCATAGTCACTTGCGTCACAGAACAAACACGTTGTGGCGGAGTCATCCGGAAAATCCAGAGTTGCCGAGGAGGCGAGCATTTCTTTCACGTTCTCGAAGGCAGCGATTTCCTCCGCATTTAGTGTAATCCTGATTCCAGCAGCAGCGCACTTGGTCCGGCGAGTGTTGGTCAGCACACTGTCGAGCTTCTTCGGCAAGGGTGATATTTGCTGAGCAAAGTCAACAAGGCTTTCGGCATCCAGTTCACAGCACAAACGAACTGCTGCAGCTCCGCAGCAGTACTATTGCGCGAAGCGTGCCGATCCTGGATGGGTCGTGACGGATCCCATTGGCGTCCGGAATTTTTCCACACCACATCACCTCCTGCTGGTAAAGCTAACACATCTTAGCGCTCGGTTTTAAGCCAAAGTCATCTAGCAGCGAGAAAAATTCACGTAACTTCTCCAGGTAAGTGTCGATGTCGTCAGCAAAAAGAAGAGTGTCGTCGATCCACACGAGCAAGTGCATGTAGAGGAGCGATGCGAAACACTTCTCCATGATTTGCTGGAAGTATATCGCCGCGTCGCTACTGCCCTGCGGCACGCGTGTCGGAGTGAATATCTTCTCATCGGTCATATACGAGAGCCACTCCTGGCAGAACTCGGCGAGCGGGAGCTGCCAGAAACCCTTCAAGAAATCAAAGAATGTTGTTTGCCACGTGCATTCTCCATTACAACTGCTAAGATCGGCATCACTGCAGCCATAACTTCGGTCAATGAATTGAAGACGCGGTAGTCTGCCGTTTGCCGCAGGTCCAGAAGATCACCAGACTTTTGAACGGGTAATACAGGACTTGACCACCGACTTGTGGGGTTCTCGTAGACGAATCATTTGGTCGGTTGAGCTCCGTCCTTCAAACGCAACTTCAACGGGGGCACATTTGCGGGGGGGTCATCACGCAGCTCGAGACGCCAAACATCGTAGAGAAACACGATGGGACGAAGGTCATCCACTCTATCCACCGGAAATCCGCACTCCACCGCCTGTTCAATCAGACGCTCGACTGCGGAATGCAATTGAGCGTCGGTCGTAGGTTGGTCCGTCGCCATCGGCGGCTCGTCCGCTTCCAGCCCGAAAGGATCGCCTCCATTATCGTCAAAACCACGGTTGGCAAGTTGCTCTAGCTGCCTGTCCACGTCAATTCCGAGCTCCCCAAGCAAATCACTGCCAATAATGAACTCCTCGTCGTCCGAGTCCACAATGAGGCATGAGACGGCTTCCATTGGCTCGACAGGCCCAGCCGCAGTGTGGATCAAAACGTGTAGCATGGCCTTGGTGTCGGCAATGACAGGATGGGCACCATAAGTGAAGATCTCGATTGGCGGGTCCAGCGTCACTTTTTTCCACAGTAGAGTCGATGTCGACTAACTGGTCCTACTGCGACCGGCTCATGACTGTGTATGTAGACCCCGTGTCAGGACAGCAAGGTAATTCGAGTACACCGTTAATGGTGACCGTGCGGGACGCAGGTGGTAGCAGCTCACCAAGCCGCTTCAATCGCACTTTGCGCTTCTGCTTGTCCTCTCGAAGCTTCAAACGCAGCTCCACCTTCTCGGCTTCGGTAGCCACAGTACAATCATTCAGCCAGTGCATTGCTTGGCATTTCGGACACGGTGACCGAGCCGGCTTCTGCGCTGTCCTGTTGGACTTCTGCAGCGGCGCCTTGGTCTTCGCCGAGGGAGCCGGCGGTCCTACGAGTCGAGTGTCACTGGAGGGGCGATCGCCGATGGGTGGCGCTCAAAAACTTGATCGAGTGGACGACGATTTCGGTTTTTCGTCGCTGCGCTTCGTAGCCTCGCGTTTTAAACGCTTGTTCTGCTGGAAATGGCGCTCGTGTTCTTTTGCCTTCTCGTATACAATGTCATAGAGCTTCTTCACGTCCGTTGCCGCGCCCTTCTCTTTCCAAAAGACAAGCAGCTTCACCTCGGATTTAAGAGCGGGCGGGGCCAGAGATGCCATGATCCGCTTACATTTCTCCTTTTCTCCGTCGGGTCCAGCGAAACATCCCTCAAGGCCATTCTATTTGACGATTTCTTCTCGAAGTACGACAGGATTCGAGCGTCCACGTCGGACTCCTGCATGTTCATGCGGATCTGGCCCTTGAACAGCGCTTTAATGTCCGGGATGTCGTCGTTCTTTACATTGCCGAGAAGCTGGTTCAGTTCAATGAGCAAAATCTCATCGGTGGCATCTTCGACCTTGATGCCCAGGCGAAACGTGCTGAAAGCCTTCAGCAACTTGTCAGAGAGCGACTCCTTGACGGGTTGAGTAACGAGGTCGTAGTTTTCGCCAGAAATGCGAACACGGGCACGCATCTTGGCTTCATACTCGCGTCGCAGCCCACGCCACTTCACCAACTCTTCATGCGAGATCGACGTGATCATCGGCGGGGCCACAGGCGCGAAGATTGGAACCGAGTACTCCGACGCCTTCTCCTCCTAGTCATCTTGAGTGCGTCGGTTTGCCATGACGATCCTTCAGCGAGTCTCGTGACACGGTGTTGGTGAGAGAACCACTAAAGAATTCTTTATAGTGAGTTCCGGAAGTAGTTGAAGGAAACGAACACTTGCCTGGGTAGATGGCAAGTCTGCAGGAGAGTAGCCAAGTGTATTGCACGACCACTTCTGGGGTCGAGAGCAAAATGAAGAGTGATTCAAATGTTCTAGCTAGTTCTTCGTCGGAGTTCCGTGCTGGTACTCCTACTGGGAGTCCTAGTACTGCCTACTGCGTGCCGTAATCGCAACCCAAGTGATGGTGAGCTCCAGCTTTGCCATCATCTTGAAGTGCACTGCAAATCGGCAACATGGGAGCTGGCTTGATAGCCGAGAATCCACTACAAGGTAGTTAAATAAACGATGTATGTGCAACGGCTTTCTGAAAAACAAAATACTGTCATTTACCTATCCTAGCCTACGTGAAGCCCTAGTACCGCAGCAGTACGTCCGGTAATCAACACCTCTAGCTCTGTGAATAATTGGTCGTTTTGCTTGTGGCTAAAGGGAGAGACTATGCTGTTCCTTCGTCCTATTTTTTCAAATTGCACTTTAAAATGTCAGAACTGAAGTACTTCAAAAATGCACTACCAGCCCAAACCTCTAGTGAATTCAAGAACGGCCACTATTCGTATAAATCCGTTAATTCAACTAATAGTGGTTACCCTAAGCCAGTACCAAATCTCTACTACTTTCTGTCATTGGCACGTAGAAACAAGATGCCGCAGTACACTACCTTATATGCCCAAGAGCGACGTAAAATCCAGCGCTGTTCCGGGCAGAACACGGCCTTGTATTTTGGTAGAGGTTAACTTGGTCTTAATACAAACTACAAGTAGTAAACTATACAAAAGCCCACACAACTCAAATGGTTGGCTTGCTAGCTACTGGTACCATCGGGAGAGTGACACCCGTCACTCTTCATGTGTACACTTGATCACTTGATTGTACAGCCACGCTCGCTTGATCGCGACTTTTCGCATGGCAGCAATACGACGCTCCGTATCGTCAACCTGCCTCTGCACCTCCTCAAGAGATTACTTGTCGCTTAGCTGCTGAAGCTTCGGGATTGCCCTCGCACGCCTTGATAGTCGTAATGCTACTGCCACAGCAGTGTGGTGAAATGCCCCCGTGAAATAGCTATCCCAGCTAAGCGTTGCCCTAAGTTTAGTGGTTTGGTAAATTTGTGGGGTGATACTTTTTTACCATTTATTGTGGCTTTCATCCGTTTTGGCAAATCGGGTGGTCCAAGATCCGATATATCGGGCCCGATTTGCTGGAGGGCTCACATTTAGCAGGAAGGGTTGAGGGAAGCAAACTATATCTGACCCGATTTGCGTCTGGGGGCTGCGAGTTGCGAAGTAGGGGCCAGAAATGCCGCTTTTCGCCGGCAAAAGGGACCGCCGCGAAAACATGTCTGGGGCCCTCTCAGATCGGCGTGGCACGAAGTTGCAGCGACCGTAGATGATCACACAGGTAATTTAGCTGGCCATAGTGCTATGAAGTGGCTATATACAGTGTACTATTGTCCCCAACGTATTGCAGTTCTAATGCGTCATGAGAGGTGGGGAGGTATGGCCAACTTGAAATGCCTTCCCTCTGAGCCTTATGCTAAGGTGCCTGGCCAGTTTAGCGCAAATTTGCGAAGTGTCGCCGCAGTACAGCGATATCTCGCTGTAGACTGGGGCGATTTGAGCACGAAGACCACCTACCGAAAGCTCATTATTAGGACTATCTCGTCTATTTATACGGCTTCTAGCAGGCGATTTCAAGACGAATTAGTGGCTCGTTAGGCAGATCACATCAAAAAGACCGCCCGACCAGTTTACCGCAGCCAAACGTATAGAATTTTGTAGCGGTGCCCATCACCCTTTGCCCATTTCAGTAGTGATTTCGGAATTTCTACCAATGGTGTGGCCAATACCATCTCCACTGGATGTAATTGGACAAAAATCCCATTTCCTTTGAGAACGCATAGCAGGCTACACCAGTGGCTGCTATTAGCAGCCACTGGTTGCCTTGGGTAGCCTCAGTTTGCAGATGTCCGGAAGACGCTTAAGCTACACAGACACACAACTTAACACCGCCGTGGCCCAAGTTCTCGAGGCTGCCTCTATCTCGCAAGTGAGCAAGACGAGTGGCGTGCGCTATCGGACACTAGAAAGTTCAGTAGCCGCAGCAAAACGTGGCGAGTTCCGCGTCAGCAAACGCCGCAGCCCAACGCCTCTGCTACCAGCCGAAGCTGAGATCAATCTCTATGAGTGGGTTCTTGGCCGCCAGCAGGGCCTTCGCCCTGTGACCAGGAGCGAGATAATTCACAAGGCAAACACAATATCCAACCTACTGTTCCAGAGAGGTCTCGGTGACGGCTGGTGCACCGTTCACCCTAATTAGTCGTGTGACCTAAATAGTCGTGCACCTTTGGTAATCATTCCACCGGTTTTGAAAAATATTTTTAGTTTCACCTAAATTGAGAAAAGAGACCGGTTTCGGGTAGATATCGGCAATACGAATTGCGTGGTATATTTTGTTTTCAGTAAATACGAATTGTTTCCGAGAAAACTGAATTTCAAAACAGGGTGAGGCGCCCTTCAGGTCGTACACGGTAAATAGTCATAGCACGACTAATTAGGGTGAACGGTGTATAAGCGATTCATGCAGCGGTTCCCTCTGCTTTCGACGCGCTCAGCTCAGGCCATTTCAAAGGCACGGAACAGAGTCACGTCAGATGACGTAACGTTGTTCCACACGACTTTAGCAGACGCCTATGAGAAGTACGGATTCGAAGCGTGCCAAGTCTTCAACATGGACGAGACAAGCTTCGTGTCGAAGAAGAACACCAAGACCGTGGTTGCAGCTCGCGGGTCCCGCAACGTCTGGACCGCCGAGGTATCAACCAGCTTCCATCTTACTATCGTAGCCTGTGGTGGAGCGGATGGCACCGCAATTCCACCAGCTTTTATTCTACCAGGCCAAACTGTCAAGCTCAACGTCCTGGACTTTTGCACCGTGCCCGGAGCAGCCGTCTCGACGACAGAATCAGGCTTCATGAACGCGGAATTCTTTGCAGAGTGGCTTCGCTATTTTGAAGCAAGTGCCCCGCGCGATACGCCGCGACCTCTGCTTCTCATTATGGACGGCTGCTCAGCGCACTACTCTCTCAAGGTCTGTGACACAGCGGTCGAGCTCAAGATCCTTCTCGCTACCCTACCATCCAACGCTACCCACCTCTTCCAGCCGCTCGATGTTGCAGTCTTTGGCTCGTTCAAGCGCAAACTGCGATTGCTTCTCAATACCTTTGTTGGTGAGCAAGGCAATGACAGCATCCCAAAGAACAAGGCGTTGATGATAGCGAGTCTGGCATGGCAAGGGTGTCACTTCGATGAAAATATCCACGCGGGCTTCCGAGGGTGTGGGCTGTACCCCTGTCCATGGATAAGATGATGGTCTCCCTCGAAAACTTTCAGCGGAACGGCACGCCGGAGGAAATACAAGTGGCGGCATGTGTAACAGGATTACACGCACAAGTGGCTACAGTCACTCGTAACTCTAACAGACACGACGTCTGTTAGAGGCTCGAAAGACTTTCTCGTCCTTGGTGTAGACACACCAAAGGCTACATACATTTACGATCACCACGACGGGTGGTCCATAGAGACTTAGGATTCCTATTGGCTGCAAGCAGCATCTTTTAGCCAATGAACACATGCATAGCATTGGAATTCTGCCAACCAGCCGTTGGCAAATTCCCAGTTTAGAATATTACATTTCGAGGAAGTCAGAAACATAAAACAAAAGTAGCAGTTCTCATTTAACCCAAAAACATTATTTGGATCGTTTATTTAGATTAATATATACTCGGAGGTCCGAGTATAATTAACTCTAGTTTAAACTAAGCTACGCTTCCTCATACACGTGCGCATACGTGTGAGCCGTAGTAGTGAGCCAAGGTAGGCCCACTACACCTGGTAGCACTTTGTAGTCCGTCCAACGACCGACTACCTGAGTTCGTACGTCACCGCACGAACGCGGAGCTGAGAACCTTCCCATGGATACAGAGGTGCCCATGGAAAGCTCCACTACGCCTGCAACTCACGTTGCACTCGCTGACTGTCTCCACCTGTCGGATCCAGAGTGGGAGGCCCTCCAACGACTGTCAACAGTCATTGGTGAGTCGGCTGTAGCTACGATGCTGCGTACGCTAACGCCGACAGAGCAACACGGTGTTGCTCTGGGTTTCATCCTGAAGGAGCAACGCGATGTTGCTGCTACTACCGCGGTGCCGTCCGGGACGACACCACGCGCGCAATCGCTAAAGCTCAATGTGAGCAACTATGTCGGAAGAGAGGGTGAACCTCTCCTCCGTTGGCTTGTCGAACTCGACACTGCCATTGCGGCTCGACGTATCGTCGACCCGTTGTCGAAGGTTGCGTTCGCCATGTCATGTCTTGGCGGACGTGCAAGAAGTTGGGCGTATGAACGCCGACTCTCGGATCCTACGTGCTTTAGCACGTACGAGGGTTTCAAGGAAGAGCTCAGACAAGCGTTTGAGCCACCACAAAGCGAGTTCCGGTCGAGGGCGGAGTTCCTCGACCTGCAGCAGGGCAAGCATGATGTCCATGCTTACGCTCAGAGAGCACGGTACTTGGTCTCGAACATCGTGACCAATCCGATCGACGAGACGACCAAGGTCGTCATGTTCATGAAGGGGCTGAGAGATGGGCCTGTGAAGACCTATCTCTTCCGTGAGTACCCGAGTACTCTCGAAGCTGCAATTACTCTTGCAATGCAGGAGGAGTTTAGCCTGCGGCAGGCTAAGCTGCATGCACATGTGTCGAGGCCACAGCCACGCCCGGTAGTGAGGACAGGAGGCCCAGAACCCATGGACCTCTCAAGTGCTGCAACTGCTGGACCCCAGCAGTCGCAGGGAAACAATGTGCGATGCTACCGTTGCGGTAGAGTCGGTCACTTTGCTCGGGAGTGCACGGCCCCCGTGCACCAGCAGGGTGGCTATCGCGGCGGTGCCGGGCACCGTCGCAACCAAACAAAAAACGCTCGACTCGAGTAGGCGCGGGGCGCCCTACTGGTAATGCGGTTCCGCGTGTTGACCTTGGACACGCGACACTGAGGACTGCAGCCCCCAGTGGATTCATTCTCACTGCAAGAACCAAGATGACAAGCCTGACATTGTCATGTTGAATGTGAACTCGATGAGAGCAAGCGGCTCTCTCCGTGCTTTGGTAGATTCTGGCGTGTCGAAGAACTTTGTTCCACTGCGAAGTCTATCAAGGCTTGACTTCGAGGATTTAAAGATACCTCGAAGTATGTTGGAAGTACGACTGACAACGGGTGCCGTCGTGAAGACCGAGAAGCGCATGGTACGCGTGCGCTTCACGTATGAAGATCAAGAGTTTGTCGAGACGTTTATCGTCCTGGATCTGGACGATAAGTTTGACATTGTATTGGGCATGCCGTGGCTTGCACGGCATGATCCGGTCATCGATTGGGAGAAGCGCACTCTCGTGCGCTTCGGTCGCGACAGCGGAACAGTGAGCGATGGCCCTGTTGCCGCTACGCACGCGCCGACAGGTTCGCGCGACTCCCCACTCGAGACAGCGCCTAATGCCGCTGTCCCGGAGCGCCCTGGGCGCGCGCAAGCACGCGCGCAAGAGCAGCTAGCGTCGGCGTTGCCGCCGACAGCTAATGAAGGAAATGTGTTGACCTCGGTGGTCGACACCCGCTTTTCAGCGAATCACGAAGCGTCTCCGGCCTCAAGGGGCACGGATGACGCAGGCGGGTTACACGCCTCAGCCGTGGAGACTGACGCGAATCTGATTGGATCAGGTCTGGCCAATAATAAGAGCCAACGTGACGAAACGCCGTCGACTCCGGGAGTCGATGGCTTGGGTGAATTTGGTTCGTCGGCTCGGGGATCCGACGCACCCTCCGTAATGGAGGGCTCCGCCAATAACAGGCGTCGTGGTAAGGATGGCGTGTCGACTCCGGGAGTCGACGCTGCAAGCAGTGCGGACGGTTGCAAACGTCCCGCACTGGAAAAACTTTCATGCTGTCGTGCACCCGGGCTGCACGACGAAGCGCCGGGCGACCAAGCCGGGCTTGAAGTCGCTCGCCCGCGGGATAAACCCGCCGGCGGTACTGACGAAGAACACCCGTCCACGGCTGGGCCTGGACGAGGTCAAGAACCAAGCGGAGCCGGGCTCCGCAAAACAAGAAGACGGCGCATGCGAAGGTCGCTGCGCAAGACTCGGTCTGGGGACGAGACGCTACAAGAAATGTCTGCCAGGCAGACGGAGGCTGAGAAGCCGGACGTCGAGGCGTTGAACGTCTTGACGCGTACCTGTGCCGGGTTCTGGTACAGGGAGATGACTCTCGCTAACCCTCCGACGCAAGCGTCGGAGTTGACTTCGCTTCCAGTCATGAGCTGGAAGCGCTTCGCGCGTGGCTTGCACGATGGACGCATCGAGCAAATATGCATTCTCTCGGACGCCGAGAAAACGAAGAGCGAGAATGACGAACTGAGGCAGTTCTTCATGGAGAGCACCACTGAGAGCGAGGACACTCTCAGTGCGAAGACTAAGAAGGAGCGCTTTGAGGAGCAGAGCGGGGACTCGCTGAAGACGAGTCCCTTCTACGAGATTCTACGGGAGCACGCTGACGTGCTTCCGGAAGAGATCCCTGCGGAGCTTCCGCAGGACAAGGGCATCCAGCACGAGATTGATGTCGTGCCGGGGACAAAGTACTGTGTCACGCGGCAGTGGTCACTGCCGCGAGAGCAAGTCAAGGCGATCGACGACTTTATTGAGAGTCGTCGCAAAGCTGGACAAGTGCGGGAATCGAAATCCCCGCACAGTGCTCCGACGTTCTGTGTCAAGAAGCCACAGGGCGGTTGGCGCATCGTTCATGCATACAGCAAGCTGAACGATGCGACGATACCGGCGCAGACACCGATACCGCGAAAAGATGTCATCATCGATTCGATGGCCAGGAGCACTATCTACAGTGCTCTTGATCTGGGCGATGGGTTCTATCAGATCATCATGCGTGAGAGCGATATCCCTCTCACGGCAGTGAGCACGCCGAGCGGCATGCTCTGGGAGTGGCTAGTGATGCCGCAGGGTCTGAAGAACGCCCCTGCGACCTTCAAAAGGTGCGTGACGCACTTGTTGCGCTCGGTGCGCGACTTTGCACCGAGCTACTTCGACGATGTGTTCGTCCACAGCCGGGCTGCGGACGGGATGAGCGATGTTGAGATGCACAAGGTGCATCTCCGGAAGCTGCTTACGCTCATGCGCAAGCACAAGCTCTATGCGAACCTGAAGAAGGGTATCTTCGGGGCGAGCGAGATACCCGTGCTCGGGTGTCTCGTTGGGAAGAACGGTGTCCGCCCTGATCCTGAGAAGGTCAGAGTGATCAATGAGTGGCCGGCCGACGCCGTCGAACGTCAAGGAACTGCGGCAGTTCCTTGGCTTGGCCACGTACTTGTGCAAGTACGTGAAGGACTACGCGGGCATGATACGCCCGCTGTCACAGCTCCTGAAGAAGGACGCCGAGTGGGTTTGGGCTGCTGAGTGTCAGCAGGCCTTCGATGCAGTCAAGCGGGGCTTGACTGAGGCGCCGATCTTGGCGGTGGCCGACCAAGATCGCCCATTCCACGTTGTGTGTGACGCATCCGACTTCGCAATCGGACGTGCGTTGATGCAGCACGATCACGAGGGCCGTGATCGTGTCGTCTACTACCAATCGCGTCAGCTGAAGCCAGCTGAGCGCAAGAACCCGGTACATGACAAGGAGCTCCTTGCCATGAAGTACGCACTCGCGAAGTTCCGAGTGTATCTACTCGGAAGCAAACCGTTCGTGGTCTATACGGACCACGCGTCGCTGCGGACGGCTGTGAAGTCGCCGCACATCTCGCAACGGATGGCGAGATGGCTCTCATTCTTCGCAGAGTATAACTTCCGGGTTGAGTACAAACCCGGAAGACTCAATGTGGTGGCCGACGCGCTCTCGCGTCGACCTGACTACGCCACGACTGATGCCGACGTCAATGCCATTGACGCCATGTGATCGAGCACCCCGACGTCGTCACTGTTGGACGACGTGAAGGTCGCGTACGCGCACGACGCGGACGCGAAGCTCTTGCTGGCCTACGGCTCAGCGCCTTCTGACAAAGCTCGTCAGAAACTGCCGACCATCTTCGTGCTCGTGCACACCGTTATCGGGTGCACGACGGGTTATTACTCTACGGTGCAGTCGACGATTACGCGGACCGCGTTGTCGTGCCCAATGACCATGACCTGCGACTCAGGATCATGTATGAGTATCACGATGCACCGACTGCGGGGCATCCGGGCCGCGAGAAGACATACCTTCTTCTCACGCGAGACTTCTACTGGACCCACCAGTATAAATGGGTGCGCAAGTACGTCCATGCTTGCGAGGTTTGTCAACGGGTGAAGCCTGCGCCTTTCGCGCAGGCTCCCTTGCAGTCACTACCAACTCCACGGGAGTGTTGGCAGTCCATGTCTTTGGACTTCGTGTTCGGTCTTCCCCCGGACAGCCAGGGGGACACGGGCGTTGTGGTCTTTGTTGACCGCTTCAGCAAGATGGTACATCTTGCTGCGGTACCCGCTGAAGTGACTGCGAAGCAGACGGCGCGTCTGTTCGTTGACATGGTGTTCAAACACCATGGTATGCCGATCGACATTGTGTCGGATCGAGACCCGCGCTTCACTGCACACCTTTGGCAAGAAGTGTTTACACTTCTTGGGAGTCAACTTTCGATGTCGACTGCGGATCATCCGCAGACGGACGGGCAGACCGAGCGCGTGAACGGCGTGCTCGTAGACGTGCTTAAGAGCTACGCTCATTCGTTCCAACACTGGAGCGAGTGCCTGCCGATGGCGGAGTTTGCCATCAACAACTCGGTGCATGCCTCGACCGGGCATACACCGTTCTACGTGAATGCCATCAGACACCCACGCCTCCCGAGTCTACTCGGGATGGTGGCTCCTTCCTTAAGTGGGGGAGGATCTACGACTGCAACGCAGCAGCCGCAGAATGCCGCTGACACTTGCACAGTGTCAGCCGCGACCACGCGCAAGAAGAACAAGAAGCACGCGTCTGTGCAGGGCACAGACGCCGACAAGAGCAAGAAGAAGAAGAAGAACGGCTCTGTGCAGGGCACAGACACCGCGAAGACGAACGCAGAGGCCGGGCCTATTGCTGGAAACGAGCTGAACGAGTTCAGCTCGGACGCAATTAACTTCGTGCAGCGCAGACAAGCCGTCATTCGGTTTGTCCAAGACGCTATTGCAGCTTCTGTCGGTCAACAGAAGCTGAACGCAGACAATGTTGGTAGGGGCAACACTAATGAATTCAAGAAGGGTCCATTGGTTTTGTTAGATACTCAAAACCTACCTAAACATGCAGTTCCCGACTTCGGGGCGAGCAAGCTCGCTCCGCGCTTCATCGGACCGTTCACTGTGTTGGCACGACATGGCAACGCCTACACGCTAGACATTCCATCTAGCATGCGCCTCCATCCGACCTTTTACGTCGGGCGGCTGAAGCCATACCTGCAGCACGAGCCACCTAGCTCGGCTGGCCCGAAGCGGAAGCCCCAGCGGGAGCGAACCTCTGCTCCAGCGCGTGAACGCGCTGGACCAAGCGTGCGACGCGACCGCCCACGTCGACAGAGATGGATGCCCGACGCGGTCTGCGAACCCTGAGCGACTTGAGCCCTCAGTATCACCATCTCCTGCTTCAGAGCGGCGAACTCCCGGCTCTGATGCTGTTCCACAGCAGCGACCCGCTCCTCGAGCGTCGGGCCAAGGTCAACCACAGGTTGACCATACCCGGGGCGTGTTCCCACCACCGCCGCCTCCGATCCGCGACGCCCGCGGCTCAACACGCTGGATTGTTGAGCGTATTGTGAACCATAGTATCCCGAAAACGAACCGGCAGCCGGTTCGTTATCGTATTCGTTGGAGAGGGTTTCCGCCCCACCAAGATACATGGGAGCCGCGGGACGTCCTGCTGCAGGACGTTCCGGAAATGGTGAGGGCGTACGAAGGTCACCACGCACTGTCGACGAGAAGGTAGTGCGAGCGCTGTGGTCACCTACAGCGCCCGAATTCCCACGATCGTCGCGTTCCTCGCGTGCCAAGAACTTGGCACGGAGATATTTGAGACTTGCAGGTACACGAATCGTCGTGTACCCGTTTAGGTCGCGGTCGCTCAAGCGCGCCGCACCCGGAAGACACAACGTGCACTGTTGGCCTTCGGGCACAGCGCATGGAATACCAGCGCCCACAGAGGATTTGTGGAGCTGCTCCAGCCGCCCGCGCGTCGAGAATGTCTCGAAGCGTTCACGGGCATGCTTAACCCGCTCGCGGTAAGCAGCCGGTTTCTTGTTGAAGTTCTCAACAAAAGCGTTCCAACTTTGACAAAGTGCCTGCCACTCGGGCACTTTGCTGCGAGAAGAAGTCTTCTTGCTGGAGAAGTACCGGAGCTCGTGGAAGAGCCCCATGTAATAGTCGCGCCTTTGATTCGTTAACGGATCAAAGTGCTGCTCCTCCGCAACAGCATCGTCGTGGATAGCGCTGCATACGTACAGCGGGATTTCGTTTGGAGGCATAGTGTTGCCCACACGGTCTGCGATCTCTGACGCAGACGGCATCCACAGGTCGCGCGCTGCCTGAGCAGCGCGCGGAGAGTTTGAAGACGCCACTTCACGCGGGGAGCGTAAAGCCCCAGCAGCAGAGAGCGGAGTGTCACTCTCGCCGCGCGAACGCTTCGAGCTCGGAGCGTCCGAGTCGTCTCCTTCACGAGGGCGTCTCGACCCGGCATGCGGGTCGAGACTATCGCTGTCGATAGACTCCTTGCGCTTGCTACAAGAGGCCTCGCCCTCTTCCATCTCCACGTCGCCGTCCCCGTAGTCAACAGCGTCGTTGACTACAGATGAACCTTCGAGGACAATCTCCGGTTGAGTTGTCCCCGCCGCAGCCTTGACAGCAAGAGCGTCATGCTTTGCTTTGTGACGCTCGAGGTAGAGAGAGCCTCTATCCCGGCGGAGCTGTTCCCCTCTGCTTCAGCGGCGGTCTTCTTCTGAGGCGAGCTCATTGCGGAATGAGACGTGAAGAATTGACGAATGGTCAATTTCCTGATTGACGTGCCGTGACTCGGCGTGTCTAACCTTGAGGGGGGGATGGTGTAATAGGATTACACGCACAAGTGGCTACAGTCACTCGTAACTCTAACAGACACGACGTCTGTTAGAGGCTCGAAAGACTTTCTCGTCCTTGGTGTAGACACACCAAAGGCTACATACATTTACGATCACCACGACGGGTGGTCCATAGAGACTTAGGATTCCTATTGGCTGCAAGCAGCATCTTTTAGCCAATGAGCACATGCATAGCATTGGAATTCTGCCAACCAGCCGTTGGCAGATTCCCAGTTTAGAATATTACATTTTGAGGAAGTCAGAAACATAAAACAAAAGTAGCAGTTCTCATTTAACCCAAAAACATTATTTGGATCGTTTATTTAGATTAATATATACTCGGAGGTCCGAGTATAATTAACTCTAGTTTAAACTAAGCTACGCTTCCTCATACACGTGCGCATACGTGTAAGCCGTAGTAGTGAGCAAGGTAGGCCCACTACAGCATGGCTGCAAGTCCGGACGCAGGTACAGATGGAGATTTTGGTGCTGCCCCGCCCGCCCGTCAAAAAGAAGAAGCGTACAACAACGTCGGTGGCGGGGCGCTTGCTGACGAGAGAGCTGCTCCAGCAGAGGGATGAAGAGCTGAACGCCACGAAGAAGAAGAGCAAGGTGACGAAGAAAAAAGCGACGAAGCGCAAGACTACCAAGATCCAGAAGAAGGCGACTAACACGACAATTGAAGCGACAGGTAAGTCTGAAGAGCTAACTGTCTACAACTCCGACATTATCGAGCAGGTTGTCGTTTAAATAATGCAAAACCACTGCTCGTACAGCGTGCCGACTGTGGCCCTAAATCTTAAAATGTCGGCACTCAGTCCTCATTGTGGTGGTGACGGGTTTGAACTCTCAGTGTAAAGAGTAACTGGGCGACCTCTACTCCATTACACCAGTTTAAGCCCTATCCAAGATAATAATGTATAATGCTAGTTAAACTCAAACTTGTCATACCCTGCACAAAGCGATAGTAATTGTCATATCTACTTACTTCTTTATGGCGTCAGGCTACCAGGAATCGGCAAAGGGTGATGGGCACCGCTACAAAATTCTATATGTTTGGCTGCGGTAAACTGGTCGGGCGGCCTTTTTGATGTGCTCTGCCTAACGAGCCACCAATTCGTCTTGAAATCGCCTGCTAGAAGCCGTATAAATAGACGAGATAGTCCTAATAATGAGCTTTCGGTAGGTGGTCTTCGTGCTCAAATCGCCCCAGTCTACAGCGAGATATCGCTGTACTGCGGCGACACTTCGCAAATTTGCGCTAAACTGGCCAGGCACCTTACTAACTCAGGTCAGATATAGCTAAATTGGACCAACCGATCATGTAGGAGCTCCATTTTATATAAATCGGACTTCGAGACAACACGTCAAATCGGGCGGCAAAATTGTTGAAAACCACAATACTAAGTAGCAATTCAGCCCCCCATTTGAATTTCATATATTGTGTATTGTATTGTGAACGTTAGTGCGCCTTACGATAGGGGATCTACACTCTCCAAACGTGGTCCACACACACTACCCCTAGTAGTGGGCGGCCACTAATTGAGCTCCTACTGTCTTCACCGTCACGATCAGCATACGTCGGCACTGAATGGGGGAGCCATTCAGTGCCGACGTATCCTTCGCGGAGACGCGCTAAGCCTTGGTGACGGCGTGTCCGCTGCTTCCGTCGGTCTTGTAGTCTTGGTTCAGCTAGGTACTCGGGTCACTACTCCTTTCCCCGGTTACTGCTATCGTGGCCGACCAACCACACAGTCTCAGCCAGCACGCCCTTGTTCTTCAGTCTTGTGTTGTTCCTGCGTCTTATGCTGATCCCCTTGAGCACCTTCCCTTGACGATTGACTTCCGCAGCGTCCCCCCCTCGCGGACGCTCGCGCCTCGCCGCCGAATCAGCTTCCTGGGCGGTGCCGTAGTCACCAGCCCACGGGAAGTCGGTGGCTGAGCACTGAGCGCGCTTGGTTCGTCCGCTCCCGCCGCCCCGAGTCGTACCCGCGTCGAAATCTCAGCCCAGAGACACTTGCCTCAGTGAGACCGGGAGCCGCACTAGTTGAATTTCATAGACTTTGGGAATTAATGGCCCGCCATAAATAAACGACTCTGATTGGCCGAGATAGCAGCCGTCCAATAGAGGACCACCAAAACCGTATCCTAATAGTATTCTACCACAGTAGTGCATGCACTAATGAACGCTAGGAGTGCGGCGCTAGCGCAGCACCTCGTGCCCTCCACGTACGTCCAGCAGGGTCTTGATGCAGTTCGCTCGCGCGAGAAGTTGGTGACATCTCTGCTTGCCCAGCGTCGCCTTCCCGATGAAGGCTGGGACGACGCCAGCGTGGAGCTCCTGCTGCAGACGCTCTCGGCCATGGACAGCAACAACTTCCGCGGCAGCGCAGGCGCTGGCGAGCGCGAGGCGCGCGTTTTTTCTCCGCTAGTGGCGCGCCGCCACTTTTACTTGGCCCACGGTGTGGGCAGGTCGGGCGACGTGGCGGCGGTGCAGCCCAAAGCGGCGGGGTCGTCACTCTTGGTGCAGCTGGCCAACGCTCTGGCCAAGGACGTGCTGCGTCTCGCTGGGATGCGCGCAGTGCAGGCGGCGCTAGTGCTGCCTGTGGCCACGGGAATGTCGCTGACACTAGTGTTGCTGCAGCTCAAGGAGTCGAAGCCGCATGCGCGTTACGTCATCTGGCCACGGATCGACCAAAAGTCCTGCTTCAAGTCCATCGTGGCGGCTGGACTGACGCCGCTAGTGCTGGCGAACGTTCTGGTAGAACAGGAGGATGGAAAGCCTGGTGGGTTCCTGAAAACCGACTTGGTGGGAATGACAGCGCTGATGGACCAGTACGGGAGCGACAGCGTGTTGGCTGTGATGAGTACCACGAGTTGCTTCGCGCCACGGGCCTATGACAGCGTGGAGGAGATCGCCAAGCTGTGCGAGGAGCGTAACGTTGGTAAGAGCCTGGTCAAGCGAATGAGTTGTAGCATTGGCTCACATGAAGGGGATGACTGTGGTGTGCTGTGTGAAAGCGCACGTGATTAACAATGCGTACGGCGTACAGGCATCTAAATGTGTGCACCACGTGGAGCGAGCGATGCGCACTGGTCGAGTGGATGCTGTGGTGCAGAGTCTCGATAAGAATTTCATGGTACCTGTGGGTGGAGCGATTGTGTGTTCGGCATCTCGCGAAGTAGTCGACCGCGTGGCGAAATTTTATCCTGGACGTGCCAGCGCTACGCCGACACTGGACTTCTTCATCACCATGCTTCAGATGGTTGGTCAGTTTGACTTGTGCTTCGTAGTTGTCCTTGGTGAATAATGCTACTCAACCGTTATGTGTTGTCAGGGGAAGCATGGGTACAAACGGCTACTGGAAGAGCGCAAGCACCTCGCAGCTTACATGAACCAGCAACTTGAAACACTCGCAGCCGATGAAAGAGAACGCGTACTGCTCGTTTCGAACAACGAGGTAGCACTAGTGGACTGCTGTGTAGGCGGTTGGCAGCTCGGCGGCATTTCCATATCTAACGCTTTGCATGCGCAGATCTCCTTCGCGATGACACTGGGCACGTTTTGCTCCGATGTCACGGACCTGCAAGAGAAATCCCGACAGCTTACGTTGCTCGGCGCTATGCTGTTTTCACGTGGGGTATCCGGTGCACGGTGAGTTCAACGCTAATCCAAGTGGAGGTTTGTTAGCCGTCGCTTGACACTCGGGTGCGTGCTGCTCCAGTGTGGTGTCATGTCTAGACCGCAAAGCGATCGCAGGGTATGAGTTTAATGCCTTTGGAGCGCACCACGACGGCTTTCCAGTAGCTTACGTGACGTTTGCGTGTGCATTGGGCATGCAGCGTGGCGAGGTCGACTTGCTCGTCACGAAGCTGCGGAAAACTATCCACGAGTGGCGCACGAAGCGTGTCAAAGCAGAAATTGCTGTGTCCATGACTACATCCGAGGGCTTGGCACACGAGAACGGGAAATAGGTGGGGCATCAAGAAGAGGAACGCGTAAATTCCATTCACACGAAACACTGTCTATAAATCTGTCTGCTGGCGTGCTACCTTTCTGCTAGTGATATGTCTCCAGAGAACACACACGCTTAGTGCTTTTTGCCGCCGCTCTTGGACTTCTTGCTCTTCTTCTTGGTCGTAGGCAGCGACACGGCTTCATGCTCCGCCTCGGCCTTGAACTCGAGCTCTCCAAGGAGCTCTTTGGCGATGGCATCGGCCGCCGCCGCCGCATCCACTTCCCGACGGCCTTTAGCGCCCTCCACCGCCTTTTCCGTGAATTTGGCCATGAACTTCGCCGACTCAATCACGCGGGGGTCCTCATCGCCATAAGCTTCCTTGTAGAGCGAGTACACTTTCTTCTCGTACGCGAGCGCCTCGCGGTAGCCGCCAGCCAAGCCACATGCCAGAGCCATCTGACGCAGCGTGTTTGCCGCCTGGTTGCGGTCAAACTCACCACGGCGGAGAGACTCGCGGTGGCACATGAGCGCCAGCGTAATCTGCCCCACGTCCTGGCACATCATGCCCATCTTGAAGTAGAGCGAGCTGATCTCAGGGAAGTGGGGTCCGCAGCAGAACTCCAGCAGGTAAATGGCACGGCGAATGTGCGGCACTGCCAGTTCCGTCTGGGCGTTGGCGTGCAGGAACAACGCTAAGTTCGCGTGCGCAAAGGCCGTGTCGTGGTAGTCAGTGCCCTGTAGCTGCGTGTACAGCGCCAACGCGCGCTGCTGCTGAGCAATAGCACCAGCAACGTCGCCGGCATGGTAGAGCACTGTAGCAAGTGACGAGCTGCACAGAGCTGCATCCTCGTGGGCAGCACCACACACCTGGAAAAGCAGCGATGACGCCTCCTGGAGGAACTCGTACGAGCTCGAAAGCGCGCCTTGGCTCAAGTGCACGCGCCCACGCTCAAGGAGCTGCTTGGCCTGCGCCAACGGGTGCGCAGGGAGAGAGCTCTTGACGACGGGCACAACGCCAGTGATGTCATCCAGGGTGATCGGTGCGGCACACGACGACGAGAAGTCATAGTTACGGCTCGCCACGCGCAGACCCAGACGCTGGCACAAGCGTCGAAGGAGGACGGGTTTGTGCACGCGACCAAGAGGGGCAGAGTTTTCGCTTTGCTCCACTTCGCGGCCAGGGCCCCAAAGAGACAACTCGTAGTCAAAGCGTGCCTTGATCTCCTTATCAATGCGCGCCCGCAGTGACTTAGCGTTCAACGAGGCCGTCGTGATCGCAGTAGCATCGCTATCATTAGTCTCCTCCTTGTCCACCGTAGCAGAAATTGATCCAAGAATGCTGTTCAGGAGCTTCACGATAGCAGATCCCGGGGCGGCACGGATAGAGTCGTTTGAGCTCAAAACATCCGCCAGGATGTGCTTAGCTGCGCGCGAGATCATCTCCACTTCAAGCACCTCCAGCAAGTACTTAGAGATACCGTTAATGGCCTCCAGCTTCTTAGCAAGTGACGCCAGGCGGCCCAGGTAACGCATGTTGATACCGCACGAGTGCATCAGCTCAGTGAGCGCATAGCCATCAGCAGGGGCAATGGCACCGCGACGCACGTCCGCCACGAATGCGGGAACAACAATTCTCTGCAGGTACTCAGCGGCGTCCTTTGCGGCAGCTTCGTCAGCGTCGACCTGTGCTGCGTCGGTTGAAGCCGCGTAGTCCATGAAAACATTGGGGTTCAACTTCACCGGAGGAACCTCTTCCTCCTCTTCCTGCTCGCTCTCTTCGCTTTCCTTCTTCTCAACCGTGTCATCACTCTTCTTTTCAGCATCAGCCTCCGAAGTTACACCCTCCTTCTTGTCCTTCTCCGCTTCCGCTTCCTTAGCCTCCTTTGCTGCAAGACGAGCCTCACGCTTGGCGCGGCGGGCCTGGTTCTGCTTCCACAGCGAGTACAGCTGAACCAGTTCCGGGCGCAACAGAGCCACATAACCTTCATCGTCACGAGCAAAGCACAGACCATCGTCTTCCGGCGCAGAAGTCTTCTCCTCCGTGTTCTTCTTAGCAGCCTCACGGTTCTTGTAAAACGTCCAGTCCTTCGGTGTAATGCGGACGAGATCCAAAACATACTGGCGGCCGTCGGAACCCTGAATGCCCTTGGCCTCAACGGCACCACAGATAGTGGCCACATCGGTGCTTGCTTCGCCCCCGCTCACTGTAACACCAAGACTCTCCTGCTCCTTCTCGGCAGCCAGTTCTTCGTCGCTCTTGCCAAGTGGTATGATACTGCGCTCCGCAATGTGAAGCTTTTCACCAGCCTTCAGCATAAGCTCGTGCATGGAGCTGTTAGCAGCAATAGTCTTGCCGTGGTCCACCGATCCGTACACAAGCTTGGAGGCCGCGTCTCCCAGAAGGATGCCCGGGATCAGGCTCTGGGCAATGACACGGACACCAAGGTAATCCACAACCGTCGTAGCCAGCGTGTGCAGGCCACGCACGTCCACTTCATTGAACGCCTTCACACCCTGCAGGTCGCGGTTGGCAGCCGAGTACGCATTCTCCTCGCCGCCGTCCTCCTTGGTAGCCTTGCCATCAATGGACACCGAGAAGAAGATGTTGTTGAAGACGTACACATGCGCACTCTTGTCGTCCATGGGGTTGATAGGAGGAATGTTTCCTTCAACAATCGCCACCGCGCCTTGCGTCGCGGCCTCCACAAACTCCGTCACGATCTTGTACATGACCCGAGCGCGAACAATCTCATCCTTGAGCGAGTCAGTCGGCAAGTCACGGCAGCATTGGTACTCCTCGTTCCAGTCACGCAGCACGCCGCGCTCATCCATACCAAACGACGAACAAAGCTCGTCTTCGGCACGGTTAAGGTCGTACGCGTGTTCCTCCGATGCTGCAGCAATGGGGGTGTTCCAGGGAAGCTTACCGCCCAGGTTGGAGCCAGCGGCCACCATCCACTCGATCGAGGAAGGGCCCTCCTTAGCCAGGGACGCGGCCTTGGCGAGGAGAGCAGCGTACGACTCGCGGAACTTGGGCGACACGGTGCTGAGCACATCCAGCAGCAGGTGCGAGTGTGCCGCGGCGGTCTTGTGCGGGCGCGGGTCGAACTTGGCGGCAGTCGAGCGGTTGACGAAGAAGCCGTTGACGTGCGCCGTGATGTGGTAGCGCGTGTTGTCGCCTACGACCGACACCTCGAGGTAGAGCAGATCGCCCGCCAGTTTGCGGGGTCCCGGGGGCGGGTTGTAGCCCGAGAAGACGATGCTCTTGACGCAGGCAGGGAGCTTGGCGTCCGGCTGCTGCTCCTGCTCCTTCTGCTGGTTGGCATCGTTCTGCTGTTGCTGCTTCTGCTTCGGCTGGTTCTTCTTGCCCTTCTTGCTCTTCTTCTGGTCCTTGCCCTTGCCGGGCGTCTGCTCCGCCTGCTCCTCCGGCGCGGCGGAGGCGGCGCCCGGGAAGTTGTAGAACTCGGCCAGCTCGGGCTTCACGGGCACCTCAATGCCCTCGAGCTTGTGGTGGATCTCGCGCAGACGCTTGAGCTGCTGCTCAGAGATTTCCTTGAGCTTCTTCTCATCCAGCTCCTCGCCATCGGCCGGCTCCTCGACCTTGTTGTTGGCGTCGGCGGCAGCTTCAGGCTGCGCCTCGGGTTCCGCGGTGGCCTGGGGGATGGGCGGGTTGCTCAGCACGTCACGGAGGCGACGCACGTGCGCGCGCACCTTGCGGGCGTCGTACTTGTCCAGCACCATGCGCAGAGTGGCGCCGTCCGCCACGTCCTCGTACTCAGCGAGCTCCACGAAGTCGTTGAGCGGCTGCCAGGCGCCGTCCACAAGGCTCTTGGCCTCCAGGTGGTAGCACGTGTAGCAGGCGAGCGCCGGGAACTCGGCGATGAGCTGGCGCAGAGACACCACCGTGTCCGACGCGCTCACGCTCTCGAGACGCACGGGCTGGCCGCCCTTGGGGGCGGGGGGCGCCACCAGCACGCTGAAGGTCTGCTCCTCCGCCACCACGGCCTGCTCTTCCGGCTGCTGCTGCGCCGGCTCGACGGTGTCGCTGCTGCCCATGGGAACTCGGTCTTGCGCTGCTGGGCTCTGGTTGCGATCTGAGGTCCAAGTGCGTTGCAACGTGTGGTGCGAGCGAGGAGGTCCCGCACTGACGGACCAGCACGAAAGCGCAAATAATGCCACCTCTGGAAGTTGATTGTTAAATTTATGAAATCAATGTATTCGTCGTAATGGTCCGATAGCAAATTGGTTTGCGCGTCAAAAATGAGCTTGTCAGATGGGAAGAATGAGTTGAACAGGGTATAATTAATCCGGGTTATTGAAGTGTTAATTAGTAATGTTAATTAGTAGGGGATCCTCATATTTGGTTGAATGTAGCTAAACGTATTTCACGGGGTATGAGTTGTAATTGGAATGACGCACCGGAAAACGCCAAAAGCAGCCAAAATGGCACTGCTGAGTCAACCTGCACCTTGCTGCTTGATGCCTGTGCCCATGGGCGTAGTTGCCGTACCGTACGCTTCGAACTCCATCCGAGTTTGGAGTCCTCTGCCTGTACGTGAACTTGCGTACGGCATTCGAGGCTGGCCGGCTCTTGTAGCCATTTTGATGGATACCGTGGGTTTGGTAGTAGTGGGAATATTGGCTAGTAGTCATACTACTACTACTATCCAAATTATGGCAATAGTAGAATGTTATATCTATTAGTAGTAAGGCATAGGTGGTACTAATATGACTACTAATATGACTATTTGACCATCCCGAATTCCGACCGCAATGGTGCTCACTGGCCTCCATATGCGAAGTATGAACTACAACTGTAGGTGCGCGCTGTCCGTTGTTATCCTAAGAGAATTCCTCACAAAAGACCCGGTTTAGACGCGCTTGGCTACGAGCAGCGTTCAAGCACGAGTAAGTTTTCGCGATCCTCCGCGAAACAACAGCACACGTAAATGCTTGCTCAAAGCTGCTCAACACTCCAGACCTTTATATTGCGTCTTCTATTTCACACGATCTCCGTTATTGCACTCTACCTTGCCTGAATATTGCGGTCGGCGAATTGCTCGATCACAAGCGATAGAGTGAGGTACTTGATTTAGAGTAAAGTGATGACTTCTGAGTAACTTCGCAAATGGCTTCTGGTTTCTTTGGAAAGATGCCATGCCCAGTATGGCAACCTAGAAAAAAGAAGAGGAAGGCACAGCGCAAGTATACATGGGGAGGAGATCATCGGCATACATGTACTGACGAGAAGAGGTTAATAGGAAAGTTAAGCGTCATCAAGCCGAAGACTATACAAACACCACCCCAGACTGCTTGTAGTATGCTATTCACTTCGTTTGTGCCAGTGCAACAGCCAGCACCTTACGTTGATGTATCTAGCTTCTAGTTTATACAGCAAACTAACTTCAAAAGAAATAATGTACTCGAAAGTTGAAGCATGTTACTCTTACTCAGAAGTCAGGAGAATACTTGAGGGTAAGGACGACTCCCAGATGTACAGTTGAGTGTAGGCTCCTGGAAGTCGGTATCTCCGCATTAAAGTCCCTGGTAACACGTGTGCGGCTGCGAAATCAGTATGGTGAGCTGCTTAGTACAATTGAAGCTACAAAGGCAACCACGAACAGCAGCGTTACCTTTGAGATTACGTTAGCTTGCATTTGTCACACAGCACGTTGCTGCACAAATGATGCACCTGTCGGCCGCATACACAGCACCGAAAAGTCTCCGATATGGCACTTTGGTGGCAATCACTCTTCGCGCACTTCATGGCACGTTTGCGTGAAGTTGGAAGCCTAATGAGGGATCCTGACTGATGCGTGGCCACTCACTCGTGCGATCTGCCGTCGGTTGAGGAATGGGTACATTAGTAGCGATAATAGCACTACTATCCATGCTTCGTTTGGCTACTATATAAATAGTACTACTAATGGCAATCCCAGAGCTATAGTAGTATTAATAGTAGTAGTAGTCATAATATGCCTACTAACACTACTATTCTGGAGACTACTACCAAACCCTGGTTGACAGGCATGCTCATCGGCCGCAGCTTCCTCGTGGCGTCTAGACCCTCGCGCCGCTCGCTCGCTCCCGTCGCCCGCCGCGCCATGAGCTCCGACGAACGCGCCAAGGCCGACGCCGCAGCCGCCTCGGGCGCTGCTGCCGCCGTGGGTGAGACCATCTTCGACAAGATCATCAACAGGCAGATCCCCGCCAAGATCGCGTACGAGGACGAGCAGTGCCTGGCCTTCCACGACGTGAACCCGCAAGCGCCCGTGCACATCCTCGTCATCCCCAAGAAGCGCGACGGCCTCACGCAGCTCGCGCACGCTGAGGAGCGCCACGTAGCCGTTCTGGGCCACCTGCTCTACGCCGCCAAGCTGGTCGCCAAGCAGCAGAATCTGGACAAGGGCTTCCGCATCGTCATCAACGACGGAGAGGACGGCTGCCAGTCCGTCTTCCACCTGCACCTGCACGTTCTCGGTGGACGCAAGCTGGACTGGCCTCCCGGGTAAGAGGAACGCGTCCGTGGCCTCCTCGTGGTACTCGAATGGGAGAAGTGAGACGAGCATAGGCAAGATACTCTCGGGGCACAAGCCGCCCACAGTTGTGATTGTTTGTGGTAGAGCATGCTAAGCAGAAAGAATCTATCATTTGTTGAAATGGCTTCTTCGCACGTGTGGCGTGCCAGGCGGTCTAACCCCGGCCGCTGATCTCCTTGTGGAACTGCTCCAGGAACGTCTCCATGAACGCGTGGCGCTCGTCAGCCAGACGCTTCCCGGCGTTCGTCTTCATCATGTCACGGAGCTTCAGCAGTTTCTGTGCCAACAGAAAGGAATTAAGCGTTTGCTTGAGTCACAGAGCAACAGTACGACGTACCTCGTAGAAGTGGTTAATGGTGGTGTTGGGGCGGTTGGGATCCATGTATTGCTCCTTCGTCATGCTTTCGATTGGGGGCACGTCCGGATCGTACAGCGGGCGCAGCTTGTGCCCTCCGTAGGTGAAGCAGCGGGCAATTCCAATGGCTCCGATCGCATCCTGCACATCCACGAGCCATGTCAGCCTCATTCACGTGAGACATCGCCTCCTCAGCACATGCTCAACAAGGTACATGTAGCCTACCAGTCGATCAGCATCCTGAACGCAGCCGTACTCGACAGTGTACGATCGCTGCGGTAGCCATAACTATTGTGTTAGTCCGGACGAGTGATCATGCCAACTAGGGGCAGTAGCGTACCGCGCCAGTGCCTGCGAGCTCCTCCTTGAACCCCATGCTGTCGATGATGGACATCACGCGCTCGATCTTGTCGCTGGGCACGCTCTCCGACTGCAAGAAAGCCACCGCCCGCTTCGTGGGCTCCTCCTTGTCGCTCTGGTACTTCCAGTCGTCGATGTCATGCAGCAGCGCCGCCAGGTCCACGATCTCCAGGTTTTCCTCCGGCACTCGCTGTACTCGCACAACAAGACCAAGAGTCCATCACATCAGACAGAGAACCTGAGAGCTGCCGCCGCAGACCTCCACCCACCCACCTCCTCCTTCGCGAGCGTCCGCGCCACCGTCCAGACTCTCTCGATGTGGCGCCAGTCGTGCGACGCGTCGTTGCTCTTGAGCTGCTGCTCCACGAACGCCGCCGTGCGCTGCACCAGGCGGGATGTAGCCATGTCGCTGGCTTTCGGTGGTCCTCGGCAAATTGCACTCTGAGCGACGAGGATACAATACCGTCAAGCAGCGCCAAAACGCACAACGCCCGCGGATTGGCCGAAATGGGCGGCAGCTTCAACTTGAAACCCCTCAGTCGCCAAGAAGCGCCATGAGCACGAGCAGCTCCCGCAGCGCGAGCTCCAGCCGCAGCCCGAGCCATGCGGCGGTCGTCAAGAGCGAGAGGCCCCGCAAGATCACCGCCAAGGCGGACGAGCTGGACGCGTACATGGAGAAGCTCTACGACGACGACGTCGAGTCCAAGCTGGACGGGGCCAAGATGATCCTGCAGCTGGCCGAGTTCGCCGGGAACATCGAGGCGCTCGTGCAGAACGAGTCGCTCATGGTCCGCGCTGCTGCTTGTCGAGTCTCTTGGGGGGTGAGTGGGGTGGGTGGGGGTTCTAGGGGCTGACGCTTTGCTCTTTGCTCGTGTCTGCAGAGTCTGCTGTCGCGCGTGCTGAACGACGACTACAAGAAGAGCTACGACTTCTCGCTCACCATGATGCGCATCTTCTGGTGTTTCTCCAACTTTCTGCAGCTGCACCCGATCCTGGGCAACTACCGCATCGGCGCCATCACGCTCAAGATCGTCGAGTTCGAGCTCAAACGCCACCAGCTGCGTCTCGAAGAGGAAAGACTGCTGGAAGCGGCGGCCAACGAGGCTCCGTCGGCTGACGGCCAGTCGACGGAGGACATCCTGGCCAAGCTGGATCGCGAGAAGAAACGCAACAAGAAGCGCATGAGGAAGCAAGACCAGTTGCTGTGAGTCTTCTGGGTTGTTTACATGCGCTAGTTGTCTGCTCTTCGTTGTCGCAGCGCTCAGACCCTGATACATTCGTTTGCCTCTGTAGATACGTGTGCTTCAGCGTGCTTCTGAATTTGGCCGAGGATATTCACACCGAGCGCAAGATGGTCAAGAGGAAGATTGTGCAGTTTCTTACAAAGGTTTGTCCACTTGGCTAAGCACGAACAGTGTAGTTGATCTCATGTTGGTGTCTATTTGATCACGTATTGTGTGTGCATGCGTAGCTGCTCGATCGTGTGGCACCCGACCTGGTTATTCTAACCATCACTTTTCTCAAGAAGCTGAGCATCTTTGAGGAGAACAAGGATGCGATGGTGGAGCTAACAGTAGTGGAAAAGCTCGTACGCTACCTGAACTGCAACCACGACAAAACCATCCAGACAGCCCTCAAGCTGCTGTTTAATCTGTCCTTCGACCCAGCTCTCCGCGAAGTTCTGGTGCGCAATAGTATCATTCCAAAACTGGTGGAACTGCTCAAGAAGCCGCCCTTCCGTGCGCTATCACTGCGAATCCTCTACCATCTCAGTATCGATGACCGGTGCAAGTCGATGTTCACGTACACGGAGGCGATCCCAATCGTCATGCAGCTGGTGATCAACTTCCCCCAGAATATTGTGGCTAAAGAGCTTGCTGCTCTCGCTGTGAACCTCAGCCACAACGCGCGCAACGCTGAGCTCATGTGCCAGAATCGTGGCCTCGAGGCGCTTGCTACGCGAGTCTTCCGTACGCGTGACCCACTCCTCATGAAAGTGATTCGGAACATCTCTCTCTGGTCATACACACTTCAAGAAGATTTAGTCAGTGACAAGGCGTACAAGTATCGCGGTATGTGGGCCCCCTTCGTGGTGCCATTCATCGAGCTGTGCCTTAACACGGACAACCACGACTTCTCGATCGAAGTTTTGGCAACGCTTGCCAACATGACGCCAAGCGATTTACCTTCGAAGACATCTTGGGACAGACTGGTGACGGATCATTCGCTCATCCCTTTCCTCAACAAGCTCCTGGTCCCGGGTTTCTCTCAAGACGACATGATCCTAGAGGTCGTGCTATTCGTCAGCGCGCTCGCTTTGGAGCCAAAGTGCGCTCCTCTCCTGTCATCGTCTCGACTCGTGCGCACGTTCCACTCGCTCTTCCAGGAGAAGCAGCACGACAATGAGCTCACCCTGCAGCTGCTGTACGCGTTCTATCGCATGCTGCGCCACCCGGAGACGTTTGAAGAAATCTTGTTTGGCGTGGGTTTCGTGCCAGACTTGCTGCTGGCAGCCGACGCTCCTAACATCGAAGTTCGCCGCATGTGCGACGTCCTGATGGACTTGATTTTGGACCACGACCTCAATGATGGTGGAACTATTGGCGACTTCGGCCACCTCATTCGGCAGCGAAGGTTTGAGATTCACAACGCCGAATATCTCGAGATGATACATGCAGAAACTCAGAGCGCAGCTTATCGCAAACACCACGGGATGGACGACGACGGCGGTAAGGGAGATGATGAGGATGATGATGATGATAACTGACCGGTAACCCAACAACTAAACGAAAAGGCTGCGCAACGTTCGGGTCCATATTAAATGTTTCAATTTCTCGTACTTCTGCTCCTTCAAATGCTCATGACCCTCTACTCAACCAATCCTCTTCTTCGTCAAGAACCCGACCACGCTCTTACGATCAATACCAAAGCGAGGAAGCGCCTTCTCCGGCCAGTAGGAGTTGTGCTCGCTGTTAATTGATGCTCCCGGTGGGATCAAGTACATGTTGTACGGACACTCCGGTGAGATGGTCAGTGCGAGCGCGCGCGAGTTGTGCTTCCGCTTGTCCGAATAGCGAACTAATTGCCGTACAAACTTCCAGTGGTCGTAGGCCGACTCCAGGCAGAAAAACGCCATGGCGGATTCGTGGAGATTGCGCACCTCGGTTTCCATTCTCTCCATCCCCACCGTTCCTCGCTGCGTCACGACAATTCCTCGACCATCAGGAAATTCTGCAGGTGCCATCCCATCGCGAGTGCGGCACCAGAACGCATCCACAGGAAACTCATGAAAACTGCTAGTGTCGGACGCGTCTTGGATCCGAATCAGACATGACCAAGCAACGGTAACGGGGAGCTCACCGTCAATCTCCATCTTCTCGTCGTCGCCGTCGAGTGGTTTTGAATCAAGTCCGCAGTCGATCAAGTCCACGAAAAACTGCGCGGCTCGCCATTCAACCAGGCGCCGAGCCTCCACTTCCGTATCCCAAGTAGCTCGGCACAGCATATGTCCGTCTACGCGGATAGCGCAATGTACACCAGAGCGTGAATCTTGAGCACTTCGACCAAACGAAGGACGGGGTGGATCTTCCACAGTAGTTGTAATCTGAAGTTGAAAAGGAAAATCAGCATGCACTTGTAGTTAGTTAGACAACAGCTACAATCAACCGGCACAAAGAAAGCAACGTACACTAGCGATGCCCGATAACTTTAGCGCTTGGAAGGAATCCACATGCGAAACGTTTGCCAGAGATTTGTTGTCCAAAAAATGCAACAGCTGGGCCCAGATCGATCGGATCCTATTCAGCTTGCCTAGCATACCATCAACCGCTGCATTGCACGCATCAGGCTTTGCCGTTTTCGACGCCTTGAAGCGAATGACATCATTGACATCAACGAGAACTTCGAAGATGCCTTCGCGCAAGCGCTCCATCCTAATGTTTGCCGCGACATTAGGCACGATCCTTGTGTGCTCAGCCCCGCGATACTTCAGCGATCCTCTTAATCGATTTATACCAGCACACAATTCGTCCGTCGGGGTGAACAAGCTTCTGATCGCAGCGCGAAACTTTGCATCATCTGAAGTACCGCTTTCGGACTCTTCTGCATACCGTTTTCCCATTTCTCTGGTAAATGCCGCTTCTCGTTCCGATACAGCGGGGGGTTGAGATGCTGTTTTTACTGCTGACGGATCCCAGTCGTCGTCGTCATCAAATCCTCCATCTGAATAGTCATCATCGTCGTCATCCATTTCATCGTCACTGCACAAAATAAGGTTGCTCTTCTTTGCTTGGGTCGGTGGAGGGGGACGTGATTGCCTCGTCGTAGTAGATCCTGTTGTCCCTGCGTTACCTGTCGACCTGGTAGTGCTCGTTTTGGAGCAAGATGATGCAGGGGGTGGCTTCAGCCTGTTGAGTTCCTCCAGAATATCGCGCCATCTCTCGTTAGCGGACCGCTTGGCATCTTTCGCGTTCAGGCAAGCTGTCGAAATTGTAAGCGTATCACGGACCCAGATGAAGTACATGTACAGTGGCGGAACAAGCTTTTCAGACGCCGACACCTGTAGACCATAAGTACAAATCCCAGCGCGTCAACAATGGTCTTCTAACAGCCAGTATGTACAGGCTTACCTTGTCATGGTTTTTGGCTTGAGTTTCATTACCCGCCATCAACGTTGTCGGTGTTTGAGTAAGTCGGTCATTATAAGTAACAAGTAGCGCCATCCAAGTACCGATGATGCCATCCAGCGTATTGATCAGAACCGTAGTAGCCTTGTCCTTAGCAATCTCAATGGATGACGCTTCTCCACAGGCCTCGACAACGCTCTCAGATACAGTGAGCACGCAACTGACTACACCATTATTTCTTCTCGTTGCTGTCCGGGTTATCTAATACATGAAACACAGTAGGCATATCAGGTTATCAACGTTCAGAACCCCAATGAGACCTGCAGTTAGAGCGATTACCGAAAATGTCGACGAAAGCGGAAGCGTTTCCGACTTGACTCGCAGGTCCCACACAATTCCTTTCACAGATCTTACGACTTCCTCACGGTCACGGAAGAGAAGCTTCAGCAGCTCTTGATACATCTCCGACTTTGCCTTCGCGGTCTCATCTTCTGAACGGGGAGGGGCATCTTGTCTGGGGTCTGAGCCGCTTCGATCTTCGACAAACAGGTTCGCAGTACTCGCAGCAGACAGGGTGTTGCCTTCCCGTTCGGCATATCTTCTTTCTGATTGCGGAAGTGTTTCTGGTTCTCCGGTTGAATATGCCAGGCGAGGACGAGAAGTAGCGCGCTCATCCTCATAACTTTCATCCGTGTTTGGCGCATAGTGTCGCTTCCGCAGAATGCCCATAGACCTCAACTCTGCGTTCCTTGAATCAGCATTTCCGACGCTTCCAGTGCCAGGGCGTTCATGTGCACTCTTCATCCCACCGTGATGACCCGCTTCATTGTAGTTGTCCGCCTCGGTGTGGGGATCAGCGCGATCTTGGTGAGGCTGAACAACTTCTATCTTCGTCGGTTCAAACTCGTTCTTGATTTGTTCAACGCGATCAAGTTTCAGGCTCTCTTCGTACTGATCAATCAGCTTCATCAAGAACGACAGGAGCTCATCGACTGCTTCGCTTTTTGTACTAGGCACCGATGCACCACGCTTGCAAACGAGTGGAAACTCTTGGATGTTAGCCACTACATCATACATAATGTTGTCCGGATTGCCACCAGGCCTCTCATATAGCTGCAAAGAACAAGAAAACGTTAGAGCCGCGGAGTAACTGAGATCACTGCAGTTAGTAAAAGCACACCTACCCGCACAATCTTTTTCGTAATCAGGTAGTTGAAGGTGGCGTCCTTCACTTTCCGGGTGTCATTGGCCGGACAAAAGCCGAATTGACTTTTCAAATGCGCCAGCAAATCACCGTATAGTCTACGGTGCTCCATCACAGCTCGTGTCAGTCGCGATAGTGCACCGATAGTCGCATCTCGATCCACTGTAGCCGTGGAATCGAATGACAAATGCCCTAATCGGACGCGAGCGTTATACTGGGATGGCCCAACCATGCGCACTTCGCGCCGAAGCTAATGCAAAGCCACGGTTAGACACAGCAACGATCTCGCCATAATACAGCAAAACCCTCACCTTGAGTCCAGCTGCCACATTAAATTCCTTACTCATGGTCGACAACGATACAGATTGGACAGCAGTTGCTAATTCCTGGAGTGTTGACACGATATCGACGTTCGGCCCGATCAAAGCTAGCAGGTACGCTCGGCCTTCATCCACGCCATAGCTTCTGGGCTTGGGAGGAGCAACAGGTTCCTTCTGCTGTGCTGGTGGAGGCTGCGGGGGAGGAGGAGTTGAAGTTGGTGCCGTAGCTTTAGCAGTAGTGGTCTGCACAGGCGGTACATCCAATGCAAACGTCACTCGTTTGTTCGGCGTGGTCCTCGCCGCTCTAGACGCTGAACCATTCTGACGCAGGATCGACGGTGTGGTCGACTTTGGAGCAGGGTTGCTATTGTAGCTGTCGTTCTCGGGTTGCTCCGGGCTCATGTCGATGGCCATGTCCTCCACAGGTTGCTCCAGCTCCTTCTCACCGGCCATCACCACATCCTTATCTGCTGTGGCAACTGCCTCCACCTCGCTTTCTCTCTTAATCTTCGCATACCACTCTCGAAACTTCGCGGCAAACTGGAACTTCCTGTCCTCCATGACAGACTTTCTCGTCTCGTGGCTCATGATCTTCACGTACATGAGCAGCTTCTTGGCCGAGTGCAGACGCTGCACGGCCAGTCGATCCTGCGCGATCATCTGCTCGTAGCGTGTGGACAGCTGCAAGCGGTGGGCGTCCAGCTCGTCTAGAATGCGCAAGACGCGCCCGGGCGTGCGGCCGACTCTCGGGTCGTCCCGCACGGCCGCCCCCATGCGCACGAAGCGCAGCACGAGCGTCTTCCTGGAGCCTTTGCTCTGCTCCTGCTTGATGCTGACCTCCGCCCCCACAGCCGCCACGTCCTTCTCCACCTGCTTCAGCTTGCGCGGGCAGACGAGAAAGTCCTCGACGCCCATTCCCACCAGGTAGTCGTCCGCCTCGACGGTGCAGATGGGGTCCGTGGCCGAGGACTTGCCCGCCACTTTGTCCACGAACTCCATGGGGAAGCGCGGCGGCTCGTCCGTCCGCTTGTCCACCTGGAACACGTGCGAGTTCATGATGGCGGTCACGTGCACGCCCAAGTCCGCGAGCTTCAGCCCGTCCAAGGCCGCGCTGGGCAGCGAGTAGCGCACGTCGTAGGCGCGGCCCAGCGACAGCAGCTTCCGCGCGGCCAGAGCGACCTCCACGCGCCACAGCCGCACGGCCATGTCGAACGCCAGCGCCTTCGAGTCGGCCGACAGGTCGACGGACGGCTCCGCCAACAACGGACGCATGAGCTTTGCTGCCTTTCACTTTGGCTGCTTCGACACTGAACGAGCCGGCGACCTGCGAAACCTGTGAGATCTGATTACCGAGTATTGAAAGGTGGAGGTAGCTCGTCAAAAGGCAACTTCAAGCCCGATTCTTGTCGCCGTCTTTCGGTGGATACGCAGCATTTGATGAACCAAATTGGACGCTACTGCAGCAGCAGCAGCATCGTCCATATTATTTTTTACCGAGTGAAGGGGGAGGGTGGTGCACATTGCAACGTTTCCTTTCTCACTCGCTTTCACGCTTCGACGTACTGTAGAGCCTTACTCCATCAGGAAGATGCGGCTGGCGACGTCCGCAACAAGCCAGTCGATGCCGTCAACGAGACCGTCACCCGTGACAGCACTGCAGGAGATAATGCTCCAGTGCCGAGTAGAAAATTGAGCAGCGCGCAGTCCTAGCGCGTCCGCGATCTCTGCAGAGGAAAGAGCGCCAGCTAAGTCCTGCTTGTTAGCGAAGATGAGCAGTGTAGCACCCGCCAGTTTCTGGTAGTGTAGAACCAACCCCATGTGTTAGCAGCAGATAATCATACACACAACAGTAGCAAATGCAATACACACAGACCTCTTGCGTCAGCAGACTGGCGAGCTCCCGCTTGCAGTCCTCAAGCCGCCGTCGATCGGCGCTGTCCACCACCCATACGAGGCCATCCGTCTGCCGCACCACGCCGCGTCAGCTGCAAACTCCACACACTCCAGTACCAAGCAGTGCACTGCAGACCTGTTCAAAGTAGTTCCTCCAGTACGAGCGAATGGTCTGCTGGCCCCCGACGTCCCAGACGTTCAATTTGAAGCTGGCGGCAAGACACAGCACGACAACGGTCAGCAGTGTCCATATGCACCTGCAGTCGCAGGAAGACCTGCTCACTCCTTGTACTCGAGCGTCTGGATGTCGAAGCCCAGCGTCGGTGAGATCTCCGTGATGTCCTGGCCCATAAACTTCTTGAGGATCGTCGTTTTGCCGGCATTGTCCAGGCCTCTGTCCACACAACAACAACAACAACAACAACAACAACAGCAACAACGCGTCATCCCTCCCTGCTCCTTTGATCGCTACGGCTACCAAACGCACAGCATGAGGACGCGGATCTCCTTCTCCTTCTCCTTGACCTTCTTGAGGATACTCAGCAGCCCCATCGTCGCCACAGCAAAATAGTCGGAGGATCGCCTGTCAATCTCCTCGAAATTGCAAAAATAACCATGCGAATGCGCATGAAACGACGCGAGTTCAACCTGTTTGTGAGCGGGGCACAAGTGACGAAGCTCTGCTAGGCTTACCATGACCAAGGCCGTTCCGCCGAGACGATGGCTACTGGAGAAGCGCGACGGCAACCAGGAGGACGCGCACGCACCAGGACCCGGCGCTCGACCGTCCAAAGCCCGCTTGCCCCTGCAGCAGCAGCACTCGCCGGACTGGGACGAGGACGCGGAGCCTACAGACACTCGAGACGCACGAAGACCGACGTCGCTTGAAGAGCTGCTGGACCTCGAGCTAGATCTGGTTCTGCCCGTGACGGCAGTCTCCGCTCCAATGAGCAACCAGGCGCCTGCGTGCGCAGCGAAGGAGGACGAGACCGTCACTGACACCGTCTCGTTGGAGCTGCTGGTGAGAACGGGTCATTTGTGCATCGAACGCTCCAGAATAGCTCACGTGTGTTTGCTCCCGTGTGTTGCAACAATGTGCAGGCCATACAGAGCCCCCACGGCGAGAACCAGCAGTGGCAAAGCGAGGAGGACGAGCAAAATGCCGTTCGAAGCAGACCAGAACACTCCCCACGACACCGGGCGAAGGAGATGTCAGCTCCCAGGAAGCCCTTGCCACTGAGTCTCGTATCGCCGACAGCCTTTATTCCATCGTTTTCTCCTTCATCCCGGCAGTCCTCGGCCGACGATGACTACGGCTTGGCGTCGCCCATGGCACTACCCGACACGCCTTCTTCACAAGCTCGGTCAGGGATTGCATTGGCCTGGGATCTCGATCCACCGTCTCCAACATTGGACGATGCACATGCCAGAGCGACTCGTCTCTTTGCACAATCCAAGAGCGTCCAACGGCCAGAACGTCGAGCCTCGGCATCTGCAGTCGCAGCTAGAGCTGCCACGCCGAACCCGCGCAACCACAGGAATTACGTGCCAGATAGAGCTGCATCTCGGATAACGAGGTCCTCACTCCCTACGTTGCCAGAAGTCCGAGCCAAGGCCAGGCACGGCGGGATCTATTCGTTGCTACTGAAGAATAAATCTGCAAAGCAGGAACCAGTGCTCGTAGAAGACGCGCAGAACCCTGAAGGTACGAGCTGTACCCCGTCGCTTGAAAGGCTCGATGTCTTGATAACACCCTGCGTTCACGTTGTTGTGCACCCTTTAGTGGTGACTGCGGCGCTGTCCGTATCCAAGGTGAGTGTGCGCATGGCATACACGGTTGATAGTTTCAGGGCGGCTCTCACATCAGTACTCTCGTGTAGGTCTCCCCACCTCGCACGTCCGGCAAGGCAAAGCACGGAGGCATCTACAAAATGCTTCGAGCCAGCCACGGACCGCATTAGTCTCGTCAGCATAAGCCGCATTTGGGCACAGTTGGAGAGCATTTTGCTATACAGTAGCTTGGTTGCGCTCGATCGATCAAACTGCATTTTTGTTTGAGTTGCTTTTGAAGTGGATTTTTCGGAAGCATTGTGGATACATGTTTGATGAAATGATTGCGCCATTTCGTAATCCTCACACTCAAAGCACGCACAAGATGAACCGCATTTTCGGCAAGAAGAAGCCCGAGGCGCCGCCCGTCAACATCTCCGATGTCGGGGGCAAGGTGGACGCGCGGGTCACGGACCTGGACATGAAGGTGCGTTGTCAGACGCTGCAGCTTCTCCAGCCGTGATGGTGTCGCTGACTGGCTGCTGCTCTCGCAGATTGAGAAGCTGGACCAGGAGCTGCGCAAGTACCGAGAGCAGATGAAGAAGACGCGAGGCCCAGCCGTTAACTCCATCAAGCAGCGAGCCATGCAGACGCTCAAGCGCAAGAAAATGTTCGAGGCGCAGCGAGACAAGTTGCAGGCGCAGTCATTTAATATCGAGCAGGTGAGGGCCACGATAGCTTGAGAGTTAGGGAACGCCTGGGGTTACTCATCTGCTTGTTGGCTACTACGGGGCCCAGGCGGCGTTTGCGATCGACACATCAAGAGACACAATTACCACGGTAGCCGCCATGAAGAGCGCAGCGGTGCAGCTAAAGGCGGAGACGCAGAAGATCGACATTTCAGAGCTGGAGGTGGGTCTAGGAAAAAAGCAAACTCATCGAGGATGCTGTCTGGGTAACGGGGCATTATTGACATTTCCTATATATGCGTGGTGCAGGACGTGCAAGATGACATGGCAGACTTAATGGAGGACATGAACGAGATTCAAGAGATCATGGGCCGCTCCTACGGGTACGTACTCATAGAAATCGCAGGCATACGACGCGAATTTTGCTACAATCATAAACGTTCTAGCAGCACATCTGACCACGGTTTGTCTCCTTACAAACACCACAGTATCGGCGACGAGATCGATGAAGACGAGTTGGAGGCGGAGCTGGAGGGGCTCGAGGAGGAGTGGGCTGAGGAAGAGGCCCTCGGAGAAGAAGCAGAGCAGGCGCCATCCTACCTCGCGCCTGCTCAGCACCACGAGCTGCCCGCTGCGCCTTCAGGCTCCTTAGACTCGGGCCGGACTGCTCGCGCCACGGACGAGTTCGGGCTGCCTGTGGCATCGTACTCAACGTAGAGTTCGCGATGGCTGCACTCAAGTTGACGATCGATCCATCCGTCTGAGCAAAGATATCCAACCGAGAATATCATGCTGCGTGTTTGCTACAACCCGAGCACTTGTCAAATGGGAGAGATGGCTACACACCACGTCCGTCGCGTCGATACGAGCCGAGAGAGCCAATCATTTTCAGGAATCAAGTTGGACAGGGACATAGCAGGTTAGGCAGGACATCCAGTCTTAGAACCGTTTCTGTAAATGGTTTATCAGAGAATGTGCGACACATAAGAATCGAGTTTTACAGTGCAGCAAGGTTTTACCCTCACCGAGGTTTTATCACCTCCGTCGCCACGCATTTGGCTTGGCTCACTTTGGTATTGGTGGTTTTGGTGAACAGCTCTTCGCAGATCCCAAGCAGCAGCACAGCAGGCAGCAGCCATGGCCCGCGAGAAGAAGGAGCCGCGTGTGAAGAAGGAGCGCAAGGGCAAGAAGGAGTCCCGCAAGAAGGCCGCCGAGGAGAAGAAGGCCGCCGAGAAGGCCGAGGCGCTGGAGAACATGTCGCTCGCCGACCGTCTCGCCGAGGAGGGCATCATCGCCACCTGCTCGCACAACGTGCGCTCGGTGCACAAGAACTTCAAGGACATCAACGTGCTTAACTTCAGCATCACGTACTTCGGCAAGGTGCTCATGGAGGAGTGCGACATCTCGCTCAACTACGGCCGTCGCTACGGCCTTATCGGCCGTAACGGCTCGGGTAAGTCCACGTTCATGAACGTGCTCGGCGCGCGCGGCATCCCCATCCCGGAGAGCATCGACATCTACCACCTCAAGCACGAGATCGAGGCCAGCGACATGACGGCTCTCGAGGCCGTGCTGTCCGTCGACGAGGAGCGCAACAAGCTGCAGGCCGAGGCCGACGAGCTGTCGGAGCAGATGACCGACGAGTCTCTGAGCGAGGAGGACAGCGAGGCCATCTCGGACCGTCTCACCGACCTCTACGAGCGTCTGGATGACATGGACGCCGCCACGGCCGAGGTCCGCGCCCGTCAGATTCTCTCGGGTCTGACGTTCTCGGACGCCATGATGGACAAGAAGACCAAGGAGTTCTCTGGTGGTTGGCGTATGCGTATCGCCCTGGCCCGTGCTCTGTTCATCCAGCCCACTCTGCTGCTGCTCGATGAGCCCACCAACCACTTGGACATGGAGGCCGTCGTGTGGCTTGAGGACTACCTGTCTCGCTGGAAGAAGATCCTGCTCATGATTTCGCACTCGCAGGAGTTCATGAACGAGGTCTGCACGAACATTATCGACCTCACCAACAAGAAGCTCGAGTACTACGCCGGCAACTACGACACGTACGTGCGTACTAAGGCTGAAAAGGAGGAGAACCAAATGAAGCGTTACAACTGGGAGCAGGATCAGATCAAGCACATGAAAGAGTACATCGCCCGCTTCGGTCACGGTTCCGCTAAGCTGGCCCGCCAGGCCCAGAGTAAGGAGAAGACGCTGGCGAAGATGGTTCGCGACGGTCTGACGGAGAAGGTCGAAAAGGAAGCCACTGGTGACTTCAAGTTCCCCAACCCGGAGCCGCTGCCGCCTCCGGTGCTTATGTTCCAGAACGTTTCGTTCGGCTACCCGAACTGCCCCGTGCTGTACTCTGGCGTCGAGATGGGTCTGGATCTGGACTCGCGTGTCGCCCTTGTCGGTGCCAACGGTACGGGTAAGACGACGCTGCTGAAGCTGATTACAGGAGACTTGGTTCCGGTTGCGGGTAACGTTCGGCCACACAGCAAGCTGCGTATTGCTCGCTTCAGCCAGCACTTCGTTGATGTGCTGGACCTGGAAAAGTCGCCACTTGAGTACTTCCGCTCTCTGTTCCAGACCAAGTCCGTCGAGGAGGTCCGCAGCTACCTGGGCCGCTACGGTATTACTGGCGAGGTGCAGACACAGATTATGGGCCAGCTGTCCGACGGACAGAAGAGTCGTGTGGTGTTCGCCTACATGGCCCAGCAAAACGCGCACATGCTGCTGCTGGATGAGCCTACGAACCACTTGGACATGGAGTCTATTGACGCTCTGGCTCGCGCCATTAACAACTTCAAGGGTGGCATGCTGCTGGTTAGTCACGACATGCGATTGATCTCGCAGGTCGCCAAGGAGATTTGGCTCGTGGAGAACCAGTCCATCAAGGTGTACCAGGGCGAAATCTCGGACTTCAAGATGCGTGTGCGTAAGCAGCTCAAGCTGGCCGACAAGGAGCCTGTCGTGCCTGTCGACGAGTAGATGCTCTCGACAGGTTATCGCTCATTAGATGCTTGCTGTAGCCGAACTGCAGCGGCAAACGCCGTGGCGCACTGTTCTGTTTCATATTTGATTCCTTGCCGACCAATAACATAGATTGAGAAATCACACGTAGGCACTCTTGATGAAATGCATCTTCACCCCTTTGCATTACCTCGTTAGGCTTGTACGCGAGCTAAATAGTCCAACGTTAGTCATCGTCCGCTTGGTTGTTGTCCTCGCCACTGCTCGGGTGAAGGTCATGGGTAGCGAGTCCGTCGTGATCAAGGTTGCTTATTCTCAACGCACTGACCAGCGAACTGTTACTGCTGGATTCCTCGCCTTCGTCGTCCGTGTCTTCGCCATCGCCTACTTGACTGTCGCGCGGTCGACACTGTGCCCCCGGACTGCCAGTGAAGTTGCTAGGTGAAAGTCCACTTGATAGGCGGCTGATCCAGGACGAGCCACTGGTCCGTCTAAATTGCTGCTGTCGGTGGCTCCTTCCTGCATTTCTTGCTCGATTGAAGAAGCGCAAGTGCTGGTTGTCCACGAGGACGCAGCCACAACTCGCATCATCGCCCATACCGTGGTCCTTGGACGTCGAGAACACTGTGATCACTCGAGCCGAGTTGCTAAAGGATAAACCCTCTCGGTTGGCTTCGTGAGCTCGTACAATGCGCGAGAAGCCATACTTTCCGAGAAACGCGTCAATAACTCGAGCTCCGAAGCGCACCGCAACACCTCCGCGTGGACTTCTCCCGAATCCTCGCGAGTCCAGCCCCCAGTTGCTAACCAAGTCATTTCGGCCCAACACTCCTTCATTTCGCACAGGGTCACCCCAAACCATGTCTGCGATCATGGAGAGCTGCGGTTTGTCAGCGTAGTACGCGGTGTCCAAGGTGTCCAGTGGCGCTGCCTTGGGCAATGTGGCGATACTCTCGAGCAGGTCTTCGCTGCCTTCGATAGGACGAGGAATTCCACCGTGCACGCAGAAAACGTCGTTGTCGATGACCGCGGCAACGGGCAGGCGGTCGAATGCGTTATTTAGCTGATGCCAGACAACGCCGCCTTCACCAGCTCCGAACCGAGCCTTGCACTGCGCAAGCAAGCACCCTGAACCGTAGTGCGCCTCCAGACCATTCACAGCGCGCGTTTCGTGGTTGCCTCGCAGCAAGAAGATTTTCCCTGGGTGGAGAAGCTTGTGCGCGAAGAGGTAGGCTGTGCACTCTAAAGACGCGCTTCCGCGGTCAACATAGTCGCCGAGGAACAGAAAGCTGCCGGCGGTGAGCTCCAGCCCAAGGTGCCAAATGTGCTCCGCGAAGAACCGCAAGTCGGCCCAATTGCCATGAACGTCGCCGAAAACGTACACGGGGCTAGGCAGATCCAGGCAACGTGCTTCACGCTCCAGCACGCCACCCACTTGAGCACTCATTTCTACAAGGTCCGCTGCGAACTGAAGTGAGCGCAGATATGGCTGAGTCGTCATCATGGGATCCGCCAGCGCTGCAAGAACGCGTCGGGCAACATTAACACCTGCTGTGGCCGTCACTGGCAACGGCCGTAAGGATGTCAGCACTTGCGCCGACTTGATGCTTCCCAAGCGGTCGATTCGGCCTGTCGGTTTGACGCCCGTGTCCGTGATGGAATACACTGTGGGGACGAGAGTGTGTGCCGACGATGGAGTTGAAGTTGATGTCGACACTTGATAAGACGAGGAAGACCCATATGTGATGTCGCTCGTCGTGGGACTCGAGCGTCCCGATGATCGTGCTGAGGCAAGCTGCTGCTTAAGAAACGCGATTTCCTTGTCGGTCTCGAGCTTTAACGCGACGTACGAATCGCGAAGTTTCTGCAAGTGCCGATCAAGTTAGTCAAGGATTTTTTCTCTCCAAGTTCTTGTAGTCGAATCGATTACCTGGAGCTCTCGAGCGTTGTGCTCGTCACGCAGAAAACAGGCTTGGGTGCAGCACTTGACCGAGGCAGAACTTGACGCATTTGCAGGCGGGTTGCTCAGCAGCGAGCGCTCCTGACTGTGCTGATGAAGCTGGTCTCGTAGGCTGCAGCTCATTTCGATCGCTTCTTCTTCTAGTCGAGCCCTGGTGGCGCGGTCTTGGTGTCCACGACGTCTGACGATGCGCAATGGCGCCATGGAGCGTGCTGCATTTTTTCCGCAACACCGTCATTCATGAACCGGAAATAGAGCACATGGGACGTAACTCCACCCAAGATAAGCCTTGGAAAATCTTTGCGAAGAGTCATATTCACCGTCAATTTCGGTTGATACCGTTGCAGATGCCGAGGCCTCTCCTGCTGCTGGTGCTGTGCCTTCTTGCCGCTGCCGTCCCATGTCTTGAGTGCGGCCGAGCGAAGACGATTGACTACGAGGCTCTGGAGAAGGCGTGGGAGGCTGGCGATGCTGAAGAGGAGCTGCTATCGGAGGGCGACGAGCACTACAGACAGCTGCAGAACAAGTAAGTGAGTCACATACTCCAGCGTAAAATGAAGCGTAAAGTTCTAATTGCACAGCATTCGCACCCCCTTACCAGAAACGAGCAGGAAGCGAAGGCACTTGGGCCCCAAATGATATTCGTGACGATGAAGGACGGCACTCGAGAGCCCCTCCCGGACGTTGCATCACGATGGAAAGAGGTAGGAGGCGGTCACGATTGCACCGACACATAATATAGGTTGCTGACTCAGCGTTGCTACCAGATGCTGTGGAATGGAGGGGTCGAAGTGAGCATCTACGAAGTCGCGGACTCCAAGTTGCTCGTCGGGCTGCAGAAGGGGATTTTTGTCGAGGATGTCATGCGCTTCCTCAATGATCAGCACGACGTACGAGAGTACGAGTGGAATGGCAAAGCCTACTCAGCTGAACATAAGAATAAAAGACAAGGACATCGCAAGCGCCACAACAAGGGAACGAACAAGCGTCAGCGTAAGAAAACCGCGGAGGGGCCCGGCAAACACTCCGGCAAGCATGGGAGGCGAAAACATCCGCACCTACAAACTTACGTCACGGATACAACGAAACCCAAAGAGATGAGAACACCAAGCGATGAATTATGAGAATCCTCCCTCTGCCACTCAGATCATGCAAAACCATTTTAACGTGGGCGTTATGTTGTCTCTGGAGTCATCGCACAGCGCCATCCAAGGCACTCCGCCCTCGCCGATTCAGTTACTCGTGCGCTCACTGCGAATGGTTTCCAGCAGCGGGCCCAGCATTTTGTTCTTCTTTGCGTTTTCCACGACAGAGTTCAGTCTCGGGTGGGAGTCCGCGTCGCGCACAGCGCTGATGGCGTCGAGTGCACGCAACGCGCTGCGAATGAGATCCTTCACGCGCTCCACTTCAGGGCCAACTTGGTCCTCCTTCACCTTCTTGTTGATCGTCTTCTCCAGCGGGTCTATCAACGAATCCAACGCACCCACGATACTGCCAGGCTGAACGTAGCAAATCTTAATCAAGATCTGGTGGCTGAGCATTTGGATGTCGTCCTGGTCTCCCAAGCCTCGCTTGAGCTGGTCGAAGAACAAGGTGATGTCCAATTGCTGAGGCAGCACCTGAATCAGGGTGTCCACGCACGAGTACGCAGCCTTACGAAGAGGGAGGCCATCGTCCACCTTGTGCTTGAACGGACCTAGGTCCACCACGCGCTCCAACTTAATCTCGGTCGCTTTCAGGAGTACGGGGAAGATACGCTCACGAACATACGGCACCAAATAGTGGGCGTGGTGGTGAGCCGCCGTATTGAGGACCAGCAGGGCAGCCCGACGAACGTGCAGGTCTTCGTCTTCCAGAGCAGTCAAGAAGGGGTCGATGTGGGCGAAAATTGCGTTGACAGCTGGCTCCTGGGCCGTCGTCGTCATGGCGTACTTGAGGCTTGTGACAGCGGTCCAGCGCGACCACACGTCTACAGACCCACACAGTTCCGTCACAATGGGCATGATTTTGGCACTGTCCGTCACAGCAAGTTTTCCCATGCATTCGCCAACCATGTTGCGGACACCTTCCTCCTGGCGTGAGCTCATCTTCTGCAGAACTGGAAGCACACGGTCCACGTACATCGCAAAGCCGTGGTGGGGCTTCGCTGCGTGGTCCGAAATAACTTCGCGCAACGATGTCAGTAGAAGATAAGAGTTTTCTCCTTGCTCCAACTTTACCATGATGGTATCCAGGTACTCTTCCATGTTCCCAACGCAAATGCTGCCGAGAGAATACGCGGCAGCGGCCTTCACTTCTTCGCCCGCATTGCTAAAGCAGTTCAGAATGATTTCCTTCACGTCAGGATACCCAGCAAGCTTAATCTTGCGGCCAAACTCACCCAAACTGTAAAGCGCCAGTACCCGGTTCTTTTCGGACTCCGTTTGGGTGATATCGCCAACAAACTTCGCGAACGCAACCTTGCGATTGCCTTCGGTCGTCGCCACACACGTACCAGCGACGCACCGAGCAATGTTCATCACCGAGTGCTTCGATTCCTCAGAAGGCGTCGTCATCAGCGCCTTGAACAGGTCAGTGAAGCGACTGCCCGGAGAGTTCAGCTGCGTCAGCTGCGCGAAGAGGCCCTTCAGGGCGTCCAGCGTGGGACCCTGAAGCATGGAGCTATGGCATAATTCAAGAGTCTTCACTTGAGCGTTTTGCAGGAGGGCATCCGTCGCGGCAACATGAGGGCACACACGAAGCGAGTTCGACACCAGCGTGATGCTCATGCGGCATAGCTGAAGATCCGCGTCTACAAGAAGCAGTGAGGCTTCCAGCATCACTTCACAGTGCAGAGTCTCGGGCATGTTAGCGCCCTTGTGAACAACCAAGTCATTTAGGGTTGCCAGGGTTGCCTGCTTCAACGTGCGAGACTGCTGCCGCAGTAGCTGGGCTAGAGTCTGGGTGCACTCCACGAGAATCGGCGACATGTCCAGGTTAAGCTTCGAGCGGGCAATGACTCCGATGGCTTTAATACTCTGGACGCGAGTAATTTCGTTGTTCAGACGCTCCATGAGCAGTGGGTAAACTTCTCCCACACGAGGTCCAAGCTCGTCACCTAGTCGCAATAACAACACGTTAGCCCAACAAACAAAGTGTAGTAGTCGAGTATGGCTGTCACGCACCAAGCACAGCAGCGATTTCCCCAATGCTGCTAATAGCTGCCTCCTTGATCTCTTGATCAATATCATGAACCTTCAAACTAGGTAGCACGGCTTCGAAAAACGGCACTGCATACGGCTTGTACGTCAAGTCCCCATCGTCAGAGCGGATAATACGGACAAGAGATTCGATCAAGCCCAATGCCTTAGCAACTGTCTTGTACCAGTCTCCCTTCGCGCACTGCACGGCAACCTTCACAATTGACTCAACGTGAGGTCGAAACGGCTCCACTGTGTGTGTATCAATGAGCAATCGAAGGAACAACAGTGCGTCCAGCTTCAGGTCCGAGTGCTTGTCCTCCACAGCATTGAGAACATTCGGCATCAAACGTCCGATATAGTCCCCAAGCTTTCCATGCTCCACCATTGCGAGCTCGCTTAGCATCGCGACCACAGCACAGCGCGACGGGACTGAGACCTTCGTTCCGAACTGCTTGTTGGCCCCCACTACGATCGCGTTTAGGCGCTGCTCCAGCGGAACAATGCACCAGTTCGACGTGGGTGGATGGAAGGAACCGGTTCCGTTTGAGCTCGGAAGGGTCTTGCGGGTAGCGCGGAGAAGTTCCGCAAACACCCCAAACACGTCGATTCGAACGTTCTCTTCTCGCTCTTTAAAGCGCGAGATCAGAGGCTGGGCACAGTGAATGTAGAGCTGCTCCAAAAGCTCTGGTCTGGTGGAGATAATTGCAGTCAACACGCGCAGACTAGCGCGGCGAACCTTCCAGCTGGTGTCATCGTCATCACTGTAGTCGCCTTCGTCATCGCTGTACTCCTCCTCTTCTTCTTCCATGTCCTCATCCTCGTCGGCAGAGTCAACGTAGTTGTAGTTCGGATCGTACGAGATGAACTGCATCACCAGCTTCAGAATAGCTTCCACGTGGGGCGTGATCTCATTGTGACAGCGGATCACAAACGCTTCAAACGCCTGGAAGCAGTTGCCACGCAGCTCGTCTGAGTCTTCGTTTTGCAGTGACTCGTCCTCCGGGTCGCCACAAAACTGCACCAAGATGCGGATCACAGCGTCCAGGTGCTGTCCAAGGCGGTGGCCGGCAGTGCGCGAGAGCATGCCGATGGTCTGGATCAGCGTGCGCACATTGGCGGAGTCGGTGGATCCCTGGATGCCCTTGATCAGGTGCTCCACCAGGCGGCTCACCAGCACATCCGACGCCATGACGCCGAGCGACCCGACGCAAGCTGTGGCGCGCTTGCGCACGAGCGGCGACTCGTCCGTGAGCTGCACCATCAGCAGCTCCATGATGGTCGCGTGCTCAGTGGCGACGTCGTAACCGAAGCGACGCAGTAGGTCCGTGAGGATGTCGAGCGTCTCAGCCTTCACCGCGGCGTCCTTGTCCTTGCCCAGACCCGTCAGCAGCCGCGTGCAGACGCCAGTGGCGATGGATGAACCTGTAGGCTGTGACACGTCGGCCACGATGGTCTTGAGGCCGATCGAGTAGATGTCCCGCAGCTCCGGCTTGCCGTTGAGGATGAGGTCGCAGAGCTTAGCGCAGATGTCCGCCACCTGCGTCACCTGCACTTTGGTCACGAGAATGCCCAGGCACTTGACGGCGATAGATTGCACGTCGTTTGACTTGTCGTCCAGCTGCTTCAGCACCGCCGCGCACACTCTAGAGCCATGCAAGCAAACAAACAGAGAGAGAGAGCGAGGGCACGCAAACAGTCAGTTATCCGTTCCTTCCTCGCCTCCATCTCCCTCTCTACAGAGGACGCACTTGGGCTCGAGGTACGCGCCCAGCTCCACATCCTTGTTGAGCTCGACGCAGAGATCCGATGTAGCCATGTAGCGCTCATCCTTGTCGAAGTCCGTGGTCTGCAGCGATACAGAGAGAACAGACGTGAGCGCCGGCACACTACGCACACAGTCAGTCAGCCAGCCAGCCAGCCAGCCAGCACCTTGTCCAGCAGCTGCGCGATCTTGTCCTCGTTCGCGCGCATGGCTCTTCCTCGCTCTCGGCTTCCGCGCGCGCTCTCCAAAGTGAAAGTGAGTGACGAGAGGAAAAAGGATCTCGTCTGTGGTGTACGCCACACCAACTAGCACCCGACCGTTCCTTCAACTTCAGTCCGCAATTGGCTACATACCCGACGCCCATGAGTGCGACGCCGGACCTTGACGCTGTGGTGGATCCAGCGCGGGCGAGTACTGAACGATGCTCTGTGGCTCCGTGTGCAGGCGAAGGCGACGGCGACGGCGGCCAGGTGGCGCCTGACCGCGACCAGCTCACGTCGCTCATCTCGGACGAGGTGGAGCGCCAGCTGCGAGAGCGAGGCTCCGTGCTCGAAGCCATGAGGGAGCAGATGGCCAAGGTGCTCGCGGAGTTCGAGGAGATGGCGGCCAACGTCAGCTCCAAGCGCTCGTGGTCCAACAGCGTCGCCAAGACGAAACCCTTCGCGTCGCCCAAGTGGACGACGCCTTTCGACATCCACCCCGTTGTCACGCCCCTGGACATCGTCCCGCCGGCCGCTGCGTCGCCTCCACGCTTGCCAAAGTGAGTACGGTCATGCGTGCTTGTGCTGGTTTGTAGCTCACTTGAAGTGTTGGTTTGTTTGCTTGTTGTCGGGTGCAGGATTGGCGGTGCGCTTCTCAAAAGCATCCACCAGCTCAAGCGCACTGCTAGTGGAGGGGCGCTCCCACCAGCAGGGCCCCGTAGTCCCGACGGGAAGATCGTGATCGGTATGTATTGCTCGTGCGTCTAGTTGGCAGTATCTGCGCTGGATGCGGTTGTTGTCCTGACTGCTTCGCTGCCCGACAGACAAGATACTTCCTCGGGTTGCCAACATTGAAAAGCGCGTCGATGGCTCGCAGATGATGCTGTCACAGCAGAGAAAACAAATGTATGAGCGAGCTCTGGTGCGATATCCACAGTGTCGGAGCAATGTTTTCGCGCCCAGTGTTTTCGATTGGGAGGAAACGTCGAGCTCGGATTCGATTGCTGCGATCCAGGCACCGCGGGCGACCCTAGAGCTGGACTTTGTGTATGGATGCCGAAGTGGAGCGACGGCATCTCTTTCCAGCAGCCACCCTGCAGCTCCCACCGCTAGCACTAACAACAATGCTTTCTATTTAGCAACTGGGGAGATGTTGTGGCTCACTGCGACTTTGGTGGTTCTCTACAAGAAGGAAACCAACACGCAGAGATATTTTCGAGAGCATACGAACGAAGTTACGAGCGTGACAGTCCATCCGAATCAACGCATTGTGGCATCGGGACAAGCCGGGCGCTCTGCGTTTCTTCTTGTGTGGAATGCAAACGATGAGCCCCTAGGCAAACGATTCGCGTGCCTCAAGGGTCATCAAGTCGCGGTTCGCTCGATCAGCTTTTCTCACGATGGAAAGCTGATTGCTTCTCTCGGTGGCGACATGTACAACACGATTTGTATTCACGACTGGAAATCGCAGGAGCTACTGGTTAGCGCTCGGGGGCACACGTTTCGGGTGAACGCCATCGCATTCAATCCGTTTCAAGCATATGGTCGACCCGAAACACATCGGTCGAAGAAGCCTGGGCAGGCTCTACACGACGACGATGTTTGTTACACCCTAGTTAGCTGCGGTGTCCGGCATATTCGCTTTTGGACACTAACAAAAGCCGAGTACGTGCCTCCGCCATCGAAAGAAAATGCTGACAGTGCGTTTTCCCGCTCTACATTCGGTGGTCCTCCGAGGTTACGCCCTCCGACTCCGACCGAGAAAGTTTGGAAACTGGAGGGCAACGTCCCGTCATTTCATGGGCGTTTTGAGGTCCAAGACTTTACCAGTTTGACGTTTGTCAACGATTCCCCACCTCTCTACTTGTATGATGAGCACTCAAAAGAGTTGGTCGCGACAAATTCCACTGACCACTCGCTAGGCCGGATCGTGGCAGGAACGGCGAGAGGAGATCTGTGTTTGTTCATCCAACCGAGAGCGAGCCCCAGTGTTGACATTATTTCTGAGAAGGATCTTCACAAAGAGCCTGCAAAATGGTGGGAGATTCCTGACGAATACACGGACGCTGAGATCAACGAGCTCGTGCTGGAGAGGATCTCCTACGAACCGACTGGGAGACTTGTCGATGTTGTACCCCATGACCAAGAAACCGGGAATCGGTTCAAGCTATCCAGGCAAGTTCAAGCGGAGATGGAAGGGATCTCAAAGCGAATGGTGCTACGACCTAACTCTACAGCCTTAAATTCACGCTTGGGAGAGCTGAAATACAGTGGGCCGCTGGCCCATCAAGGTGCAGCATACCAAGTTGCGTACTGCAAAAAGCTTAACGTGCTCATGTCATGTGGGAATGATGGAAAGCTACTGCTGTGGACATGCCAAATGAGTAGGCCCATTCGAATTCCTGGAGTAAATACGCACGGGGTGTTCACACCGCTCACCGGAACGTTTGCAGAAGGCTCACACGCATTACTGCCTCATGGCGATCCTGCAAAAGTGTTCCAGTTGCCGAACGAAACTAGCGCAGCCAAGCCTACTAGTATCGTGTGGAAAGAGGATGGCAGTTCTGTGCTAGTTGCCACTAGCACTAGCTGCATATGGGAACTAAATGTTGCAACCGGAGATTGGCAATTGCTTTTCGAAGCTCGCAGTTGTGCAATTGGCGCTTGTGCCGCTCATCCCATGAAGCTGGAGGTGGCCACAGTTTCACAAGATGGATACCTTTGCTTCTGGGATCTTCAGCAGCATATGTGCACACGCCGAGTGTACCTTGGCACTTTCATCACCTCTAGTGTCAAAGCTTTTTGCATGGAGTTCCATCCTGCGGGGCACGAGCTGACAATTGGTCTTAGTTCAGGAGAACTACTGGTTGTAGACTGCGACATACTCAAGGTTTTACTACGGAAGAACATCAAGTCAACCTCTGGTAGTACTACAAACCTGCATTTAGGCCTTTTGGGCCCTGGATTTCGAGCGGTTGCCCAAGTGAAGTATTGCCCGAATGCAAAGTTCTTGGCCGTGGGTGTGAAGGATACGTTCGTGTATATCTACGATGTCGTGAATGTGTATAAGAAGCTTCATGTGTGTGAAGGCCACTCAAGTGCAGTCTTGCATTTAACGTGGAACAAGAGTGGAGACATCTTGCAAAGCAATGCCGCCGATGGCGAGATTCTTCATTGGCTCGTTTCTCCGAACAAGGGCGAAACTAAGCAAATTACTGATGCGTTCTTGGTTCGCGACGTGCAATGGGTTAGGTGGACGTGCGTGTTTGGATGGTCAACTCCCGGTATCTGGTCGGAAGAATCGCCCCACCTTGTGGATATCGCAGCAGTATCGACTACGGGACCAAAAACTATAAGCGACCCAAGTGAATCAGGAAGTACTTGGACAACTTCCAGTAGCGAAGATTTGATTGCCGTGGCATGTCGCTCTAGTGTTCACCTACTGAAGTACCCTGCCCACCGTGGGGCTCGGAGGAAGGTGTACAAGGCTCATTCATCGGCCATCGCAGCATTAGACTTCTCCTTCGATGACACCTATTTGGTTACAGTTGGTGGGGATGACGGAACGATCATGCAGTGGAAAGTTGCGTCTGGTGGGGATACTTCCATTCGTGGTCGCGCTAAGAATAACACGAAACACACACCGAGGCTGCAATTCACGGAGGACGACAGCACTGGGGAACCGTGGCCAAACTCGATCCCTGTGCCTCCTCCGCACGACGAGAAGCAGCCGTCAAGCCAGCTTTCACCTCGAAAGAATTCGCGACAGTACCGCGAACGTCAAGTTTATCAAGAAGCTGGCCTCGGCGCCGAAAGCCTGCACCAAAGCGCGGACAATGACGAGGTGTCAAACAGCACGCGCCCCGCGAGCTCTTTGGACGAGCTGAGTAGTTCCGCTGGTGCGCGAGTTGAACGTGGAGTTAGCTACCAAATTCCCGGCGACCCACTGTCTGCACCTGTCCAAGTTCGGGTAACGCACGCCTACGCAGCGGAGAACTCAGACGAGCTGAGTCTAAACCATGGAGAGATCCTGCGCGTGCTGTCCAAAGCTGGTGGCGAGTGGTGGCTGGGCGAAACTTGCGATGGTATAAAGGGCTACTTCCCTGCTAGTTACGTAGAAGATATTGATCTCGGTACCCCCACTGCCCGTGACGAGGCAACTGAGGAGCAGGCAGCAGAAGGCTAATCCTTACTAAATCAAGATACCGTTTTGTTCGTTGAAGCTGTCTGCGACGTGTGAGATGAAATGGCTACAGTTTCGGTGGTGCTAGTCTACACTTTCTGGTCCCGAACCATTCAATTGGTCATTCGTCATGGCCTCGGACACGGCGCTGGCTGCCAGCGCGACGACGTTCAGCGACCTCCCGCTGCATGGAGACGTCTCCAGGGCCCTCGGCGCCATGCGTTTCCTGCGGCCGTCGCCCATCCAGCTGCACGCGCTGCCCGTGGCTCTGTTCGGCAACGACGTCATCGGCCAGGCCAAGTCCGGCACGGGCAAGACCGCCGTCTTCGGAGTGGCGGCTATCGAGCACGCAATCCGCTTCGTAGAGCAAAGGCGGCGGGCTGACGGTGTTGACAAAGTGCCGCCCGTGGGAGACCCGTTGGTGCTGATTCTGGCGCCCACAAGAGAGATCGCGGTGCAGATCGAGACTGTGCTGCGTCAACTGGCGCAGTTCCGACCGGAAATTGTCATTCGCACATGCATCGGCGGTCTGCCCGTGGCTCAGGACCAGGTACTAAGAACGAGTAACAGACCCTGGTGTTGGTGTGGAGAGGCACTGATTGCCTTGGAGGTGCTATCTACGACAGAAACACTTGGCTGCGGGCTGCCATATCGTGGTGGGTACGCCAGGACGCGTGAAGGCGCTGATCGATCAGTGTTCACTGCCTTGCAGTGCGATTCGACTGCTCGTATTGGACGAGGTGGACAAACTTATGGCGCGAGATTTCGAAAAAGATGTACGAAGTGTCTTAGACGGCATGAAGCTGGTATTGTCTTGACTATCTGCGATGTACTCCACAGATCCAGTTTATCGCAGACGCTCTTCCTGAGAGGCGGCAGGTGATCGAGCTTCGTGCTGTAGTGAAGTGTATTTGGCAGTGTACTAACTCTCTTTACATGCTGCGTGGATCCAGACCCTTGCGTTTTCAGCTACGTTCACGCCTGACCAGTTGGTCGCAGTGGTGCAACTAACGAGAACGCCGCAGGTTTGTAGACAAATGATTCCCGGGTATTTGTGCAATACTCCATAACAGTTTCTTACCGCAACTTCGATGTGGCAGATTGTGCGTGTTCGCGGCCCTAATGATGTCACCACCGAGTTCATTTCTACTACTGAAGACCTAGAAAGCTGGAAAGAGCGCGAGCAAGCCAACGCCCCAGAGCTTTGGCTTCGCCACGTGCGCCAGTTCTACAGCGTCGTCGAGCGCTCAGCCGCAATGCAATCAGGCGATGACGTACTGAATATGAAAGCGAAAGTGGTGAGGCTGGCGGCGCTGCTGTCAGAAGTCGTGTTTGTGCAGTGCATGGTCTTCTGCAACGACAAATTCCGCGCTGAGGCGTTGGCTACTGCCCTCGCTGCACAGGGCTGGCCAGCGGCGTGCATCACTGGATCACAGACCCAAGCTACTCGCCTGGAGGTGATGGAAGGTTTTCGCGCATCTCGCTCGCGTGTGCTGGTATCGACCGACCTCACTGCACGAGGAATCGACGTCGACAAAGTGAATTTTGTGGTACGTATCGCCGCCGAGGAAGTGGATATGTCAACCTGTCTAACGCGTCGACTGTGAATTCGTAGATGAACCTGGATCTGCCACGTGACCCAGCAACGTACTTGCATCGCGTTGGCAGGACGGGTCGCTTTGGTGGTAAGGGCTTGGCAGTGACGCTGCTGTCGAGGAACGAGGTTCAAGGGGTTCAGCTACTCGCTCGAGTATTCAAGATGGAGATCAGCGAGTTACCGAGTCCCATTCCAGCAGAAATTTATGCGTACGCCACAGCAGCAGAAGAAGAAGGTAGTGGCGGTGATGAAGACCCTTCAGAGTCTGTTGGCGCAGAAGAGAAGTCGGACGAAGAGATTGAGGTCTGTGGAGAAGAAGTGGAGAACACTACAACACCCATGGGGGAAAAGGTTATTGGAAGTGAGAACCTGTCGTCAAGTGAGGTTTCAGGCCGATACCTAAGGGAAGAACGCGCGTATGAATCCTGGATAGAGTTGCTGTAGACGCATAACGGCAGTAAAGTAGCTCCACTTCCTAGCCGAATTTCTTGGCAATTCGACGCAAGGTGTTCGCCGTTCGGACCGTGACGGGGACTCCTAGCTTCTTGTCGAAGGCCACTTTGAACAGCGGAGACTCGCTCATCTTCGTGGCCGAGTATCACACGAATTCCCTGTCCAGCAGCTCGAGCTCGTCCGCGTCCGTGGACAGCGCCTCGAGGACGCCTCGTTGCTCCTGGGTGAGTCTTTCCTTCACCAGCACCACATTGACCGCCGTGGCGGACTTGACAATCCGTTGCCCCAGCTGAGCCACCTCGTCCATGGAGCGGGCCAGCACCGGAATGTGGCCGCCGAATAGGTCCTCGAGCACGGCCTCGACTCGGTGTTCGAGCGCGAGCACCGAAGCTTCGTCGGGGGCGTCGAAAATGACGTTCCCGCTGGCCACGAACGTCTCGACGTTGGCGAGCCACGCCTTGCCCAGCGCGTCTGCGATGGTCTTCATGCTGTGCACGCGACCCCCGACGTTGACGCCGCGCAGGAACGCCACGATCTTTTTGCTGCGGTTGGAGGGGTTCTTTTCCGGCGCTGGAGCTTCGGCGGCGGCTGTATGTGCAGGAGGCCGGACGTCCTCAACGACAGCAGCAGCAGCAGCAGCGGTGCTGGAGCGCGTGACTCGCTTGTTCTTGGGCTCCGGCACGGCCGGAGCCTTCCTCTTGGCCTTGGTGACCATGACGAGCTGCGGCGACTCTCCGAGTGGGACGCAGTGGCGATGCGAGTGGCTGCTTGGACCTCCTCCAAGCCATTTTCCTCTGCCAACCGCGAGCACGAGCACCCAAAGCGAATCCACGCGGGGCTAATCGCGTCCAGCGTCCACCCTCGTCCACCCTCGACCACCTCTGTAGTATCTGCAATACCTGTACTATCATATTTTATCAGATCTCACGACAACAACAGTGTCTGTATGTCCCGGCAAATGATCGCTGAATCACCCTCTGTACCATCACCCGTCCAAGCCAATATTCACCGTTGTTCCGCCCTGTAGCGGCCAACTACTAGACGCATAACCGAACGCGCCTCGAGGCCCGAAAGCTTCCTGCTTCAAGCTCTCTCTCTCTCTGCCGAGGCGTCGCCTTCGCCTTCGCGGGGCACACAGCACCAGCCCACACCCAATCTTCGCCGCTCGCTGCGACGCCATGACCACGGGCAGCACGCCGTCGGTGTCGTCGGCGGCGGCCACTGCGTCCTCCTCGGCCGACAACAACGCGGCGTCCGGCAACCCGCTGCACAAGTACATCTCGGCCAAGGAGGTGGCGCAGCACCAGGTCTTCCGCCAGCAGCACGACCTGCGGCGCTCCATCAGCTCCACGCAGTTCAGCGGCGGCCGCGAGACCGCGTCCAACCCCGCCGCGGCCGGCGCCACGGCCTCGGCCGGAGCCATGTCGGCGTCCAACAGCCCGCGCTGCTCGTCGCCCATGGCCGAGTCGCCCATGGCCGAGTCCATCCTCAAGGTCGTGCTCATCGGCGACTCGGGCGTGGGCAAGTCCAACCTCGTCATGCGCTTCACCAAGAACAAGTACATGCCGCACAGCGTGCAGACCGTGGGCTTCGAGTTCGCTACCAAAACCATCCGCGTCGGCGACCGGCGGCTCAAGGCGCAGATCTGGGACACGGCCGGCCAGGAGCGCTTCCAGTCGCTCACGGCCGCCTACTACCGCAACGCCGTGGGCGCCATGATCGTCTACGACATCACGAACCGCAGCTCGTTCGAGCACGTCACGGGCTGGCTGGCCCAGGTGCACGAGCACTCGCACGAGAGCCTCGTGCTCATACTCGTGGGCAACAAGTGCGACCTGGCCCACCTCCCAGAGAGCAGAGAGGTGTCCACACTCGAGGCGGCGAGGTTTGCGGCCAAGCACTCGATGGAGTTCCTGGAGACGTCCGCGCTGGACTCGACCAACGTCGTCGACGCCTTCAAGAAGCTGATCGTGCCGGTGGGGCGCTTGCTGTCGCCCACGGAGCCCAAGAAGATCGCGCGACTACCGACAGGATGGAGACGCGTGCTATCAAGGACCAGGCCGGGCGAGTATTCGTACGAGAACCAGTACACCAAGGAGCGGATCTCGTTCGCGCCCAAAGAACCGGCCAAGCCGTCGCAGCAGAGCTTCCGAGCGCCTGCGAACGGGTCCAAGAGCGGGTCCCCGAGCGTCGTCACGGTCACACGGGAGAGCCTGCAGAGGCAGCACCAGAAGGCATACCTCGCACAGAACCAGACCCCGCAGTGCGGAGTCTGCGCATTCAACTGCACCATAATGTAGTCATCGAGCAGACGATGGACGGCTTGCCTCTTGGTCATCGGGCCACGGGCAACCCGTTCGTTTCCCCTCCACCAAGCCCAACACAGTCAATTCCGGTCTGCGTGCTGGCCCAAGACGAGATCAACACAAGTCGACGAACTATGTGAAACAGTCGCAAGTGTGAAGATGAAGGATACAGGGTCGAATAGAAGCAGGCTCACTCGTTGGACATGCATTTTCAGTATAAGGTCGTGCTGCTGTGTGGGTAGCAGCGATCTCTTTGTCACCAAACGCGTTGGCAAACACCTTGGCGATAAATTAACTTGTTCCCTTGCGGCCGACTTGCCAGTAGCGATAATAAGCAGCATGAACATGGTTTCTTCACATTGTTTTCTCTATGTAGGTTCCATTCGTGATGGTTTCACTAACGACGCACTGCTGCTACTGCTGCACAGCATCATGACGCGCTATTTACTTGGAACGACGTGCCACCAAGAACGCGGCGGCGACGGTGGCAGCAGCAAGCGCAAACGTAGCCAGCTTGCACTCGGTGGGAGCGGATGCCCAGAGGCTGAAGCAGTTGCTGCAGGCCTTCTGGTTCTTCTTCGCGATAGTCTTGCGAATGTGCTCGGCAACGGTGGCGCTCGAGTTGTTGGCAACCGCTAGTCGGGTGGGGAGCGACTCGAGCGACTTCAGGATCGGGTGCTGCTGGATCTCAGTCTCAGCAACGCCAAGCGCCTTCGACACGACGGGCAGGAACTTGCCGTAGTGAGCAGTACCCACGACAACCACAGCCGAGTCGGGCTTATCGGCGAGCGCGTCCTGGCCGTAGTGCATGGCAGCAGCGGCGCCAATGGCGCTGTGCGGGTCGTAGAGGTAACGGTGCACCTTCTTATACTCGGCGATGGTGGAGCACACCTCGTCCTGCAGCACAGCGTACGAGGCCATCTCGTTCTGTGCCTTGGTGAGCAGCTCGCCCGAGATCGTGAGCTCGTTCGTCTGCTCGAAGCCCTGCATCCAGCCGCGCAGGACGTCGTGGTTCTCGCCGCTCAGCGCGAAGAGGTAGCGCTCAAAGTTGCTGGACACGCAGATGTCCATGGACGGCGAGATGGTGTGCTCGATGTCGCGGCGGTGGTACTTGCCCGTGGAGAAGAAGCGGTACAGGATGTCGTTCTCGTTGGTGGCCACAATGAGCTTGCCAACGGGCACACCCAGCTTCTTGGCGTAGAAGCCGGCGAGGATGTCGCCGAAGTTGCCCGTGGGCACCGAGAAGGCGACCTCGCCGGTGACGCCCTGCTCGCGGGCGCGGAAGTAGGCCCAGACGTAGTAGACGATCTGCGCCAGGATGCGCGCGAAGTTGATGGAGTTGACGGCGCCCAGGTGGTACTTGGCCTTGAACTCGGCGTTGGCGAACAGGTCCTTGACGATGGCCTGGCAGTCGTCGAACGTGCCCTTGACGGCCACGTTGTGGATGTTCTCGTCCAGCACCGTGGTCATCTGGCGCTGCTGGATGGCGCTCACGCGGCCCTCCGGGAAGAGGATGAACACCTCCACGTTCTCCTTCCCGCGCAGGCCGTAGATAGCCGAGCTGCCCGTGTCGCCCGACGTGGCGCCCACCACCGTGATCTGGTGCTTGGGGGCGCCCGCCTTGTTCTTGCGCTGCAGGAAGAACTCGAAGAGGTTGCCCAGGAACTGCAGCGCGATGTCCTTGAAGGCGAAGGTCGGGCCGTGGAACAGCTCGAGCACCAGCATCTGGTCCGTCACCTTGACCACGGGCGCCACCTCCTCGGCGCGGAACGTGCTCGAGTTGTAGCTCTTGGCCACGAGCGCGCGCAGCTGGGCGCGCGAGATCTCGCTCTCGTCGATGAACAGGCCCATGACCTCCACGGCCAGCTCCTGGTACGACAGCGACGCCCACTTGTCCAGCGCATCGGCCGGCAGCGTCGGGAACTCGCCGGCCTCGGGCACCAGCAGGCCGCGGTCGGCCGCCAGACCCGTGAGCACCGCCTGCTCGAAGCTGAGGCCGCGGACGCCGCCGCGCGTGCTACGGTAGTGCACCATCGTGTGTGTGAGAAGCAAGTAAGTAAGTGTGTGGGGGCTGTGGGGGTGAGAGCGCAAGTGGCCGCGTCAGTCCAAATCTGCGTGGCACGCGAGCCCTGGGAAACTTCTTGCAGTGTAGGCGCCTGGAATTGGCGTAACATTCGCGCGACATTCTGTACGTTGCGCAAACGGATGTTAATTAAGGTAATGTATCAGTTGTTTGCCTACAATCAGTTCCGTGCCTACGGGTTTTAGCACCTTCCTTGAGAGAGAGAGAAGGTACAAGTAGTCTATTGAACCTTAGTACTGGGAGGACAGCTTTAGCTGGCTGAACAGCCTAACGTGGTTTACTATTGTGGAAACCGATTAGATTGCCCGAGCGGATTAGCTGATAAAGCAGCGTTCATGAGAGGTTTGACTGGTACTAAATCGGGGATCCTTATGAATTCATATGGCATTGGTAAGGGTATAAATCGGTGTAAGGTTAATAAAATGGGGGTTGCCTCATTACCCGCCAGAAATACGACGAGCGACCACTTACCGCCACGAGCTGAGTGATTCGCGTACCTACTAACGAGAAATAGCATCGCGTGCATTAAATACACTTCTGTGAGCTTCGATGTGTACTGCTATCTATTTATCAAGTTCTGAAGTCATGTATTTGCGCTGTCATTTCTCGTCAGCAGTAGCGTTTGTCGGTTTTACGTTAAATCGGCCACCGAATGCCGTGTGGGTGTCGGACATTCGGGCTGATTAGCATGCAAATCAGCCGTCCCGGGCTTTGTAAGCCGTGGAAGCAGCTAAATCAGCTTGCCACATGGCGTTGTAGACACAAGTGACCGCTCTGTCAAATCAGAGTACAAATCTTAGTCTGTCGATCTAATTAGGAGGTCGGATTTAGCAAATCAGACCCGATTAAGCTTAATCATCTGCTTGCTTTGTTTGCTTCGCTGTTGCTTGCTCATATTTGCTCATAAATTGGTGCGAGGACCCTCAAAATTAAGCGTACAGACTGCTTGTATAAATGCTAGCGTTGTAGCATCGCTGCTCTAATATTGGTGTCGTCATCGACGATTTCGCATGAGGTGCTGGTGGGTCATGAATTGGTAAACCACGCTAACCAATTTTATTTCAGTGGCCGCCCCCCCAACTTTAATTGGCAAATGTCGCCTGAGTCCATAGTCCACAGATTATGGCTACCGTAACATCAAGGAGTTTGTACGTTTCGTGGCTGGTTGTTCCCATAATGTCGACCGTATCCGTACCGTAGCGTGTACCACACACTGTAGAGAGCAGTTCTTGAATTTATGAAATTTATTCGGAAAATCATAACTAGGATAGCTGCATTTTTTCGTTATAAGCTAACATTTACTCAAAATCATTGAAATAACAACTAACGGATTGCACTCTTTCCTGCGTCTGTAAATTGACTAAACCCCATGAATCCTTCTTGTGTAAATTTGTATAGCTGGAATGCATGTGTGGTGTAGTGATTTGGCGGTAAACGAGAATCGAGCTGGCGACCAAGCTTCAGTGGCGACCCGAGTCGTCGGGACATGTTCAGCAATGTTCGGCGGATGCTGATTGGCCATTCTGGACCGGTGCCGAAGACTCGTCGACACCCAAGTTCGAGATCCAGGACTTCAAGTACGATCCGAACCTACAGCGAACTTTGACCCGAGATCCGCACTTAAGACGACCGTTCGAGCCCCGGCCACTGCTCCAAGTCAGGGAACCCCTTCATCGTCCAATAGAGTCATCGAGAGGCCTCTTGGGGCGTCGAGGAGGCTCAGAAGGGTCGGTGGTTACTTAGGAAGATCCAAAACGGACGCGTTTATACTAGATATTTGTATTGAACCATAGGAAAGAGAAGATAGAACAGATAAGCCCTTTGGGCAACAATGACAGGACAGCTTTTCCTCCCAACCACTCAAGGAAGACGTCCGGGCTATCGGTGAGTTCCCGTAGCAATTGGATAAACCTGTTGGTAGGATTATGACTGTCGGTGGACGCGCCTGCTAGTATCGTAGCGTGCGTTTACCCGTGGTCAGGCCAAGAGTAGTGAAGTGTGGTGTAGGGAACATCAAGTTTTCTGTCACACTCCACGGCTGCAGTGGAGCAACGTACCAGGAGCCAAGTACTACTCGGCGGGATGCCGAGCTCAGTGGGCAAGAATGCGCTGGTGGACGACCGCTGAACTCGGCTGATGGTGTCAGAAACTCAAGGCACACCGGCCCCGACCTGGTGACACGTGGCAGGCCCAGTGATGAAGACCCAGCCGAGTTCAGGAAGGCACTGGACACGCTCAGCCGAGATCATGGGGAGTTCAAGCCGCCGAGCTCGGCTAAACGGTACCATGTACCGTCCGATACGGTAACCAGGCTCAATTGAGTCCGGGAGTCGCGCAGTCGAGTTCACGGGTCGCTCCGCCGAGTTCGCGGGTCGCTCCGCCGAGCTCACTGGGTTATCCGGCTCAGCCGAGTTCACCGGCTTATCCGGACACTTTATCCGGCTCAGCCGAGTTCGAAGAGTTATCCGGACGCCTTATCCGGACCAGCCGAGCTCAAGCGTCGCTGCGCTCAGCGAAGGGTCGGCCGAGATCCAAAACCACCCACTTGCATTTGGTATTTGTATAGGATCTTAGGAATAGTAGAGGCGCCCCTTCAGGGCGCCCGACAGAGATAACAAACAACAGAGCAGAATTTTCTAGCTCCACAACACGTGCACGCGCTTCCAGTAAGTCCCTGCACGGGCCGGATTATGTCTGCTGTCAGCACCCGAGAGGCATAGCTTGTAGGGTGTTGACTGGTAGCGCCAAGAGATTAAGGTCGGCCCGGGTTGGGCGCGTGTCTCGCCAAGCGCGAAGGAAAAGTCTCGCCACCGCTGCGAGCCGGTGTTCCCGTACATCCCGGGCACTGATTGCTGAGTCGAGAAGCCTTTGCTCTCGGCGACCCGTAAAATCCCGCGAGGGCCGTCGTCCGTCCTTTGGCGGAGGGCACGGGATTTCTAATTCCGGAGTCAGGTAACTCAGCTGGCTTCCGTGATTGACTGGCTTGGGGTACTTGGTCTCGGCGAGGACGAGACATCACTGTCCCGGAAGGGCCGAACCGCTGGGGGACATCTCAGCGCAGGCCAACAAGGGCCGACTAGCTCGGCTGTTGTTGTGTTTGTAGCTAGGGTGCCACATCTGACGATTTTGTGCGTGCTACTACACCACAACTGGTGCCGCGACCCGGGAGCAGGGTGGTTTGTTTTCGTTGGTACCAAGTCCACCAAGTTTCGAGTACTGAGCAAGATGGTCAAGGGGAGAACTTTGCCGAGCTGGGCCAGCCCAGCGACGGCTGGGGATTCGCTTCACACAAAGCCGAACTCAGCTGGCGGAAGGATCGCCGACATGACGATGGAAGCGGTCCGAACCGTTCGGTTTGGCGACGACTGCACCCAAGACCGAGGAAGAGATGGAAATATCGGAGATTATGATGAAGAATTGATGAAAGCCGAGTTGCTCAGCGGGGTAGCTGAGTTCTCGCTGCATGTTGGGCGCATGGAGAAACCTCGACGAGCCCAACAAAACCTCGCAGCCGAGCTCGGTGACGATGCGGACGACGACAGTCAAGCCGTCGCTCCAGGGGACCGTCCGCCCCTGATACAACGAGCGACGAGGGCATCCAGCGCGAAATGCCCGAGTTGGGATTCGATGCCGAACGTCTCGTGGGAAACCTTTCCACTCGACTAGGGGCAATCGAAGAAATGTGAAACCCGTCTGCAAATGGTGCAAGTTGCTGATGCGGTCTAAGGCTATTGCACCAAAGTGATGATCCGCCGACTCAGTGAAGACAGCAGGCTGGGTCGAGTCGAAGAATGATACTGCATCAACTGTATGGATTATATGAATTACATGATATCGAAATGGAGTGAGCGAAGATGGAGCTGGAAAGCAAGAAGCCCATTCGCCGGGTTCGTTGGAGTCGGCGCGAAGTCTCAGCCGAGTTGCCGAGCTGAGCGGTTAAGCCCAGCTGGTCTGACAACGACCCAGTGAAGAAGCTGAGGGAGGTGATGGTGCGTCTGCACAGATTGAGCGAGTCAGCCGTCGATGCCGAAGCTGTGTTGACTCGTCACTGGGTCCGTGAACACGCTACCCACTGGGGCACTGTGTGATATGCGGCGGTACGATCGACACCCTTGGGTACGACCGCCGGGACCTCCGACCAAGTCGATGAACGATCTTCCCGTTGTGCGCTCAAGCTGAAGTGGAGCGCAGGTGTGCTGACGCGGAGCTGTGCTGATATGGAGCCACGCTCAAGCAGGAAAGCCGAAGCGAAGTCAAGTTCGCACGATGTTCCAGTGAGGCCGTAATCACTCCGTGTTTACCGAGAGGCGGCTAGCCGAGTCGGTCGATGCGCGGCGGCGGTGAACAAACCGAAGTTGCAGCAAAGCTGGACTTGAGCAAAGCTCAGCGGAGGCACGCTGGGCAGGCGCGTCGCCGATAATGTCGACGTGCCAGCGATCTCGAACGGGAGCCGAGTTGATCCGTAGCTGAGCAGAAGCAGACACCTGCTTTGAAGATGGACTTCGACTTCACTCGATCCGACGTAGGGCTACCATCGAGTTTATCTGCGGTCAGCCTGAAGCCGAGTCGGTGAAATCGCCGAGTCACGGCGTCGCAAAGGTGTACCCAACATCCAAAGCTGGACTGAAGAGGAATGGATTCCACGCGGCCGCGGTCGTATTCACATTGAGCCAACATCAGCAGAGCTTGGTCAGGGGTCGAGCATAGCCAAGTCGAAACACCCCTTCAAAGCGCTGATACTTCTGACACGATGTGGGAAAGGATTTTTATCCGCACCCATGTCTGACCGCTGGGATGGGACGACCCTTCGCCTGACTGTGACTGGTCGCAGTGAACAGGAATCCAGTGACGTGGAGTGTGACATGTGGATAGTGGATGCGCATGGTGGATTTGGCGGGACCCGGTGCTTGCAGTAAGCATGGGCTCACAGGATCAGAGATGTGCCCACCGGATGAGCGCTCATATTCGGTGTGGAGTAACACATCCTGTCCGTCCGCCAACTTCCCTGACCGCAGGATAAGCCTAAGGCGCGCAAGTGCAGCCAGTGAACGTATCCTGGCTGCTGCCTGCATTGGCTCCGTCAAGACATCGGACCAACCCCCAAGTTCACCATGCCCACCATGCTCCCATGCGCCCAAGACCTCGCTGGACAAAGTACACTGTTTGCCGGACTGGATCGTGGTGCACCCGGTAGCGACGCACCGGATGCCAAGGTGCCGTACCGAATGAAGCCGGACCGGATGATCAATTCGGTCTGACCCCTGGTGCCCATACTGGATCGTGACCGCACCACCAACAAGTCCAGTACTTCTGTGTGTGTTGCAGCAATCCAGGACCGGATCGACCAAGAACGTCAAGCGACACAGGATGGCTCACGTGATTAGACGCAGAGGTCCAGTGCGGATTTGATGAGACGCCGTACCCACGTACCTCTGTCGCCAGATGATGAGTGTTGCCGAAGGAACGTTGACGTCGACAAGTTGCCCGATAACCAAGCCAAGTCAAGCATACCCAAGCTCAGTGCAAGAAGATCGAAGTCCCGTGCACAAGGTCGAAGCATATCCAAGACAAGTCAAGTATAGTGAAACCTTTATTAGAAGTCAGTGAAGTGAAACAGATAGCTAGCCAGACGTAAGATCAAACAGAAACCAATTTGCCGAGAACACGCGGACATCTTTCTTCGGGCTGGGAATTCCCCTTGACATTGACGTCTTCAAGAGCTTATACGTGGGATCCGCCTTCGTGCGATCTTAAAACGGAGGACGTTTCAAGGCCTCACTGGTGTTGCGAGCACTGGTGTAGTGGGGACTCAAAGGTACCAAGGCAAAGTCGGCAGGGACTGGGGTGTCGCGCCCTGGAGTGATCTGTGAGAGCTTTATTTCCAATTTGCGTGCTCTATCCGGGCATCCATTTCATATTCCATCCTGTGTGTCTTAGGCGGTAGAGGTAGTCACCCCCGAGACTGAATTGATTGACTACTGTGTGATAGGATTGACTTATATTTTGTATTGTTCCCTCACTCTGTGAGGGTGGTGCGCGTAAGTGAGTGTGCATCCAGGGTTGACCAGTGCCTTGGGTGACGGCTCGTAAGTTGAGTGGCGTATAGACCCCCCACCCAAGGGTCTTAAAGAATAAGTGGTGGCTGTATATTTTGTGACGTTTAGCTCGGCATTGTATTTCTGTGTGTTGGTTATACTGAATTGTGGATCTGACTGTGGTCCCTTCGATTCGGTCTGACTTTCTGTTCATTCGGTGTAGTTTGTTTCAGGAACACACCCAGCAGACTCGATTCTGTATTTACAACAACTCACTCGGTGAAGTCCGGTCCGCCAAAGGTAAACGATGCCTATAGGGGTTGACACAAGGACACACGCCAAGTCCAAGCGATCCTCCCGGCCCCCGGTTCACATCCTGTGCTCCGAGGACTATCGGATTGCAGCGGATATCTCTGGTACTCCGAACCGATTCGGTCCGGCATAGTGCGCTATACACCTGGACGATCAAGGCGTTCACCCGCCTCGCCTCAGCTGGTGCGCGTGCCCGGATTTGGTTGCCTAGGATTTCACCGCGAGTTGTTTGTTTGTATATTGATTTGGTCTTAAGGGGTGTTTCTACTGACTGCCTGGGCTAACAGTTTGGTTATGACTGGAAGGAAGGAAGCACGTGAAGGTGGACGCAGAGGCGGACGCGGTGAGGCGTCGCGTCAGTCGCGTCGAGGACAAGGGCTGCCGCCGGAGGAGCACAAGGCCCTGGACGACGTTGTCCGGGAGGCTCGGAAGGCTGGCGCGGAGAAGCGCAAGGCGGCCCTGGAAGAGAAGAAGAAGGCGTCGGCGGCCGATCAAGATCAAGCGGCCCCGGAGTCCTCCGTTCTGGATGCGCACCAAGCAAATCAGGATGAGGTTCCGGAGGCGGATTCGACCGGGTCTGTGCCGGCCGGCACCGAATGTGTCCCAGACCTGGTGACGGGACTGGATGAGGGTGAGTCCGCACAGAATGATGAACCCGCCCAGGCGTCTGTGGGAGGTGCCGATGAGGTTGAGCCCCCGGCTGAGGATCGAGTTTCGGACTCTCCCCAGCCGGATGATGAAGTCGAGATTCTGGACGAAGCCCCGACGATCAAGCACGAAAACCCACTGTCGACTGTCCAAGAAGACGGCGTACTGAATGACGAAGCCGAGATCCGGTCTGCGCTCGCGCAATCCAGTCCGGCCGCGACCGCCCAAGCTCCCGCGCTCAAGATTGAAGCCCAATCCAGTCCGGCGCCCTCGGATTCGCGAGGACCCGACGAGACCAAGACTCAAGTGAGCGAGGCTCAGGCGAAGGCGTACGTGGCCGAACAAGTGCGTCGCTGGGAGCAGCATCGTGAACGCGCTACCGTCCCGCTCAAGGTGGAGTACGCCTGGCCCGAGGCGGCACCCGACTTCACCGAATGGTGGACTGCCGCGCTGGCGACGTCGAAGTACCTGTCGGACCGAATGGTCATGGCGAGTCAAGACGCTGCGTGGATCGCGGAGCTTGGTCCGGTACGGCTGGAGCTGTGCCTGGCACAGGACGTCTCCGGCATCGTGATTCCGCCGAGCATCCTTTCGCCGCGCGAGTGCGTTGCGCTCATCCAGTCTCTCCTCTTCGCTGCCGGTTTCAGGTTTCACAACCTGATCCCGATGTGGTTCCAGTCGCAGTCGTCCAGAGTCGCACCGAGTCTGGTGCGCTCTGTGGTCGAGGACGTCCAGCATTTCCTCGCGTTCGAGCTGATCGAGTGGCGCGAGTTGGCATCCGGTGTGCCCTTCAAGATCGTACTGGGTGCGCCGGACGTCCAAGACCAGACCGAGTCGAACGTGGGAAACTCTGGATCGACACTGTCGCAAGCTGCGCGAGCACCGATCCTGAACTACCATGCGGAAGACAACGACGGAGATCTATTGATGTCGGATTACGAAGCTGGACTATTGGGTCGCGAGTTCGTCCTGCGCCTACGAGTGGCCGGACTCCGGAGGACACGATTCATCTCAAGCATGCGGCCTTAGGGACCCCACGCGAGGACTACCTGCGTAAGTGACGACTCCTCTCGCTCCACGCACGAATTGCAACACCAAAGCCACCGCTGAGTTTCCTAGGCTCAACAGATCCTCGATGCCAACCCCCTTGCAGATTGAGACTCGTCCGTTTTGCCCGACGAGAACCTGGTCCGAATCGCGAAGCGTTTCTTCTACTCGCCCGGCGGCTCCAAGGTGTCTGGACGATTTTCATCATGACCTATCAAGGTCGGTCCCGACTCCCTGCCGCGCCGTTTGAGGGCTCACTCCATGCCCCAAGTCGTCTGGAAGACTTTGTGTCAAGGTCGGTCAGACCCATCCAGATGATGACTTGTCACACTTCGTGACTGCTTCGCAATCCCACTGGTGATCAGCTCGCCAGCCAACTCCTTTATCGCCCGCAGCAGAACAGCCAAGCCCAAGCTCATCCAAGCCGAAGCCAGACAAACAAGAACCCAGCCATTCCGCCGCAAACTTCCGGAATCGGCCGTTGATCATCTCACGTTGTTCTCGTCGACGTCTCGAGTACACCAAGATGCTTTACGCCGCCATACGTGCGTTTTTTCGGCTGCTCACCGAATACCGTTAACCCATGGCGGAGCTCTCCCGGTGCGACGAACTGTCTTAGTTCCAGGCACAGACGTTTCCAGCCGACCACTCCCCCGGTCCGACCGTACTGCGTCAGCGACTCTGAAGCTGCAGCCACCTTTGTTGTGTGGACATCTGCCTCCCCCCGCTCACCCGGGCAGGAATCAGACTGCGCTTCGTCGTCTCATTAAATTCGCACGCCCAGGCCGAAGCCCCGACGCTGATACTCGTTTCCAAGTTCTTCGACATCATGACATCTCCAGGTTGGTATTCTGTGTCCCCCTCTCATCCCAGGGCGGAACTCAGGCCGCAACTCGAAGAATCTCTCAAGAACACAACGTCCGGACCGAAGTCAAGACTACGTTCTTCAACGACTGCTACAACACGCTGCGCCCCCCGTAAGGTTGAAGTCTACATCCAGCCCCCATCCCCCTCTCGCCGGGACAGGAATTGGAATATACTACGCAAGCTCGCAATCAAGATCAACGGATCAGTGCCCAAGACCGAAGTCCTGGACCCATCTCCACCAGGTTTCCAGCCGGGGTTTGTACCCCCAGACATCCAGAGCGCACTGGACCATGCATCGCAGGCCGGAAGCTGTTTTTTAGAGAGGAGGTCTCCTCTATATACGCTAGCCTCTTGCGGAGAATTCTCCCCGCGTTCTACATATTTGCTACTTTAGGTTTGGAATTAAGTCAATGTAATCAACATTCCCAGCACGTCTCCGATGTCGACGCTGTAGGCGCATGAAGTGGCGGCCGCCATCGAGAGCGCCCGCGCCGAGGCAGCGCGCCTGGAGCACGAGCGCGCCGCCGCCGAGTTCGCCGAACGCTGGAGACAACAGGAAGCGCAAGCCGAAGCCGAACGAACCCGATGGGTCGAAGATGTGCAACGGGGACTTAACGCTCAACTGGATTTATTCCAAGAGAAGGTCCACCAGATTGAAGCTGAGCGGGAGAGGGAGCGAGAATCTTCCCGGAACATTCAGCGGTTTCAGGCCCACCAGTTACACAACCTTCGTCCAACACGCCAGGAAAATTTAGCGGCTCAAGCAACATCGGGATCTGATTCGGTGTCGCATGTGAAGACAGAGACCGGGCGTGAGACATTGCACCCAGTATCCAGTGCGCCTATCCAGTCTGGTCAGGCGCCCATCCAGTCTGCGACGCCGCGTACCGACGAGCTTCTAGCAGCCCAACTTCAGGCGACGATCGACAGCGTTCTCAAGGCGAGAGCAGCCACGGGAGCCAAGGCGCGCGCTGGTCAAGCTGCGCCGGCGAAGGACAAGCAGGATGCCCCCGCGAAGGACGCGAAGAAGGTGCCCGTGAAGCAGGAGCCTGCCAAGGATGCGAAGGACACCAGGTCAGGACCGCGCAAGCGTTCATCCGGTGGGCGGAGTCGCGGAAGTGGCGACCCCTCCGGATCCGACTCGGACTCGAGCTCTGATGACGGCTACGACGAGGGCTACAGCTCAAGCGACTCCGACGACTCGCTCGCGAACGTGCCCACGCACTCCACGTCGGTGACGACGAAGGACGGCAAGACGGTGATGAACTTCCGGCCGTACGTGAACTCAAACTCACTCGAAGACTTCGACGACAAGGCGTCGTACCATGAGCGGACACGATGGTGGGAGCGATTCCTCACCTTGACCGTTCAGGGTGGTTGGACGGACAGCATGAAGGTGTACGAATTACGCCTGAAGCTTCCTACATCCGCTCGCCACTGGCGTGCACAATTGCCGAGGCATGTACGAGGCGACTGGACCCAGCTATCCCATGCGTTCAAGCGCAAGTACTGCCGGTCCCGGATGTCCGACTCGGAGAGGTACTACACGATCGAGCAAGGACGGACTGAATCGGCGCTTGACTTCTTCTACCGACTGAATGCGGCCGCCTGCAAGGCGAATGTGGAGTTCAAGAAGTCATCTAGGACGCGTGAGATGCACATCAAGCGTTTTATCCGGAAGCTGACCGAGTCGAAGCTTCGATCCAGTCTGAAGAGCCAGTGTCTACACAGCATCGACGACCTGGAGTTCATTCTGCGTCAATACGAAGACGATCACCAGGACAGCGGACGTGAGAACTCGGCATCCAGACCACGCGACTTCCGCGCGGGCAACGTGCATCGAGACCGCGAACGCGAGCGATTCAGACCGAAGGGTCCTGGCCGCGCATACGTCGTTCAGAGCGAGGATGAAAACCACTCGATCACCTATCCATATTAAAAATTAACACGAAGAGGATCGTCATGTGCGTTTCCAAGACGAGGTGGATGAACACCGAGTCGAGGTCACACCAAAGCACGACTCGGTCCCTCCTGCCTCGACACGACCGGTGGATCCCGACCTGGTACCGCCAGTGCTGGATGAAGGTGTACTACGTGACGCAGTGTTCAGGGTGATGACGGGCTCAGGATGGAGACCGCCGCCACCTGGCCAACAGTCAGGGGCGTCTCGATTCGGTCAGCCCTCCGCGCCGCAGTCGCCGAGAAGAAGAAATCCTGATTGGAATGAATTCTGTGAGAAGTGCGAGAGGCCTGGACACCGACAGGAGAACTGCTGGATAGACATCGTGTGTGATCGCTGTCACCGACGCGGACTCCCGATGCGCGTGTGCAAGGTCAACCCGTGCAGGATTTGTGAACGATTTCATGAAGGACCGTGTGAACTTATGAAGACCATCGAAGCACTGAAGAAGCTGGCACCAGATGGAGCACTGAAGGACATAGCGAAGAACCTACTGGATCAGCTATTAGATGACAAGGCGAATTCAGGGGGGCCGTTAAACCACTAAGCCCGCTGGGTGGGGACCCAGTACGCGCCGGGCTGAAGGCCCCTGAATTGTGTGTGTTAGCCTACGTCGGACCAGAGCTGAGGATCAGCCACCAAGATAACTAAAAATGCATGATTTCTCTGAGCAACGATGACCCGATTCAGCCTGACCAAGTTGATGATCGTTCTGGATTGAGCCGTTCCGAATTGCGAGCACCGGATGGACCGACCGAATTTCGGCTGGAACCGGGTGAGCGATATGGATGGTGAGTTGATCATGAGCCAGACAAGGATTCGCATGAGGTGGCTACGGTACATGGCGCAGTGAACGACTTCCGCTTGCAGATTTTGTTGGACACCGGAGCGTCGGTGAGTATGATCAGTTTGGATCTTGCGCGTAGACTCAAGATCAAGCTCAACCGGCATAAACAGATCAAGGTGTCCGGACTGGGTGGCAAAACCACTTACATCTCTGCTAGCACGCAAGTCAAGATCACGCTCGGATCGAGAGTGGTGTACGTCATGGACATCTGGGTTGCGAATATCGGTGAAGGTGTGGACGTGCTATTGGGTATGAACTTTATGTTCTGTGCCGGCGTTCGGTTGTGTGTACGAGAAGGACTTCTGCAGTTACCGGATGAAGAGCCTGTGCTCATGTACGGGGACAAGGTGCAACGCCGACAAGGAATGAGGTTGCCAATCCAAGCACCAGAGACCCTGTACCTTCGACACGGTGAGGAGGCTGTTGTGCGCATCTGGTTCGGCCAAGCCAACCCACAGCGAGAAGTGGTGTGGGCTGGACGTGGTGATCGCTGGGTGACCAAGATCGTGTACGGAGCGAAGTCCTGGCCCGAGGCAGTCAAGGTCGTAAACATACAATCTCTGGATCGTGGCCGGGACCACGCTGGCCTACATTGTGGAGTATGGATTCTTCCCGACCGTAGGACGGTTCGTCCGTCCAGGATCGAGGGCATACAAGGAGTGGCAGGTGATGATCTACGAGAACACCTTGTCCAAACAGGGTCAACTGAGGGAACAACGTCGGCTGCAAGCACTCTGGGATCGTGAACCGCCCGCCGTGGAGCCTGCGAAGTACTCATGGCCGACCAAGTTGATGCTACATCCACATCCGGACGGGAAGAAAGACGTGACGTGTTTCACCTCGGTGTTGCAGAATCCGGTGACCGAGTCGGACAGGATCGTGGAACTCGGTGAGGATCCGGTCGTGGAGGACCTGGTTGAGAAAGAACCGAGCTTCAAGCGCATAACACCGCTGACGAAGGAACCAGAGACTGATCCGACTGTGAAGTCTAGTGCGACTCCGGGTGGTGCTGAGGACTTCACCAGTGACACCGAATCGGATGACGAAGAGTTTTTCGAGGCTGTCGCACCGGATGAGGATGTTGCACAGGATGGAGATGACGAGGACTTCTTTGACGCGGTTACACCGGATGAAGACGAAGTGTCGGAAGACGCACCAGATGTGACCGACGAGGATGTCTCCGACTTACCATCCGGTATCCTGCCCTGCACTCCGGTGCAGAAACTCAAAGAAGAGTACGAGCGGGTCATGCGACTAAGTGTGGAGGAGTTGGACATTGAACCAGCCGTGCACATTCATGAAGGGAGCGATCTGCTCTCCCAGCTGCGAGACCAACTCGCACTCCTCCCGGAGGTGCAGGATTTAAGTCCCGAGTGCGACATTGACAAGGCTGATGTTGGCGAACCTGGCGTGAGCACGCCGGATGACGAACACCGATTACGTGGCATCCTGAGGTGGGTGCAATGAAATATGAAAATGTTATTTTATTTAATTATGATTTAAATTATAATATATTATATCAATTTAATAAAATAATATTTCAAACTCTTTTAGAAAAAATAATTTAATTAAAGGTCGTCCAAATAGTTTTACCTATTTTTCAATCTGTTCATGGTTAGATCACTCAGTTTCGGGTCTTATTTGTATAACTAAAAAGCTTTTTAAAACTTGATTTATCTACGCCTACTTTATTAAACCACCTGTGTCGGTTTAGGGTACGGTTTTTAATTAAAAAAGCTATTTCCTGAAAAATTAATAAAATTTTTGTCACTTTTTTATAAAAATTTAATTTAAAAATTATCCCATCAAAATTTGCTTTCGTCAAATCTTTCTTAGGGGCCGTTTCACTCTATGGGATGTTCCATCACCTGCCCCAGCTCGCGGAGTCGTTTGCGATCTGGATGTGGGAGACGCTAAGCCTGTCACACAGAGGGCACGCTCGGTCGCGCCACACCTTGCGATGAAGGTGTACGAGTTGCTGAAGGAGTTGTTGGAGACTGGATTGATCGAGACATCTACGTCACCCTGGGCGTCACCGATCGTGATCGTGCTGAAGAAGAACGGGGTCGACATCCGGATGTGCATTGATTACCGGATCGTGAATGGGTTCATCCAGTTGTCCAACTATCCTCTCCCGCTCATTGACGACCTGCTAATCGGGTTCGAGAGCGCGATGTGGTTTATGAGTCTGGACATGGCCAGCGGCTTCTGGGCGATCAGGATGAAGGAGCGAGCCAAGCTCATCTCGGCGTTCGTGTCGACATTCGGTCACTACCAGTGGCGACGCATGCCGTTTGGTCTGAAGAATGCTCCCCTGGTGTACCAGCAGATGCTCAACAACTGTCTGTGGGGCTTTGTTCGACTACCACCTGGTAAGGAAGCTCGGGGGATCAGGACGTACTGGATTATCTGGGTTTGAAGCCGCAAGAGGACAACGTCGCAGGGAGCGACACCGGATCGGATGACGAAATCCTGTCTGACCGACGTCTACCCGCGCTGACAGACCAGATGACTGTGTTCCAACGTAACATCCCGGCGCCGATGCAGATGGGCCCTGTCCTAGGACGGAGCTCGTACATTGACGACATCGCGCATGGGGCGCCTACGTGGGATCAACTTTGCATCGATCTGGATGCGCTACTGTTTCGGTTGCGGTATTGGAACATCTCTGTCAGTCTACAGAAGAGTGAATTCGGTAAGCGCTCGATCCCGTATCTCTCTCATGAGATCAGTGCAGAAGGACTCAGGGCGACGCCGAAGATCGCTAAGGGCGTACTGGATCAACCATTCCCGTCTATTCTGAAGGGGATCCAGTCCTTCCTCGGCAGTCTGAACTACTACCACAAGTTCATAGAGGATTTCCCGGTGGTAGCTGCAGTCCTGTACGAGCTGAGCGACGACCAAGTGCGATCCGGTAGGGACTTGTCGAGGGCGAAGGAAGCGTTCGAGATCCTGAAGCGGAAGATCGTGTCGACCCCATTGCTACGTCATCCGGACCGGACCAAGCCGTTCGTCATCATTCCTCACGCGAACCAGTGGGCAGCCTGTGCAGTCCTCGGTCAAGAGCATGACGGACTGATTCAGCCCGTCCGTTTCACGGGGCGTGTACTGAATGACTCGGAAGTCCGATATCACGTTGCGGAGAAGGAAGTCATCGCGATCATGAGAGTACTGGATGTATTCAGCACGATCCTGGAAGGATGTTCGATAATCGTGTACACCCGCTATTCGGTACTCAAGTGGGTGATTCAGTCCAAGTCGGCGGATGGACGTTGCGTACCATGGGGCGTCACTCTTTCCCAGTGGGACCTGGAAGTTCGCCGAATTCAGCGAGATGAAGACGGTCTAGCCGCTATACTCGGTGCGGGTATCATCCCCCGAGAGCACTTGGACCGGATCGCAGAGTCGCTGATTCCAGCCAAGGGCGGGTCAAGCCACCACCGGTGGTGAGCATGGAAATGTTGGTCGCTGACTTTGAGGGGATTGTGTTAAGCTTCGATGGAGCAGCCAAGACGTCGACTCGCCAAGGAAGCTGCGGATGCATCCTGTGGAGCCTGCCTGGTTGGAGCGTACTGGATGCACAAGGTTTCATCCTGAGTGATGTCACTGTGAACGATGCAGAATATCACGGCTTACTGAATGGACTGACCATGGCACTGGATCGGGGCGTTCAAGACCTGATCGTCTCGCATTGTGATACAACAAGTCCAAGGGCTGATTAACTGCAACCAACCCAACCTTCAACGACATCTGGCTCGGTGCAAAACTCTGGAAGGACGATTCAGTACGCTTCGGCTCGTTCATGTGAAACGTGAATACAATTCGGCCGCGGACTACCTGACCTCCAAGACGCTGGCGCTGGGTATCACGTGGACTGTCCAGGATGAGGAGGAACGAATCCATCTGCAGCGAGTGTCAAAGATCCACGAAAAGCTGATGAAGCCAGTGGTTGTGGCGCAGGATGTGAGTGAGGGAGTTCAGGATGCACCAGATGGATCGGCTGCTAAGAAGGTGGTGACACCGGATGTGGGGTCACCAGACGATGTCGGACAGGACCCCGGTTCTGCTCCGTTACCTCACTGTGCTCGAGTCATGGCGGTCCTGACCAGATCGAGAACACAGGAGCAGACAGAGTCGAGTGGCCCATTGGGTCCGTTGGAGTTGCAAGCCGAGAGGTGGCGCAGGATTAAGGCACACCAGGATCAGGATGAGTTCATTTCGGAAGTCAAAGCGTATCTGAGTGGCGACCTGGATCGATTCTCTCCGAGGCGGCTTCGCAAGATCGCGAAGCTCTCAGAATTGTTTGCACTGGATGCCAGAGGCATCCTGTATCGACTCGCGCGGACTACTCGAGATCGACCTCGGGACGTACAGGATGAGCCACGTCTTGTGGTGCCACAAACCCTGCACGCTGACTTGCTGCATTACGCTCACGAGGCCTTTCAAGGTGGACACCAGGAAATTACCCGCACCCACGAGCGGTTACGCTCCGAGTTCTACTGGCCCGGCATGTATGCCGACGTGGGACGTTTCGTGAAGAAGTGCGTTGACTGTGCAAGTGGAAAGGGGCGACCTCCCAACCCTGGACCGTCACCTGGTAACATCGAGCCCAGGCGCCCGTTTGAAGTTGTGTCGATGGATTTTGTGACGCACATGCCCAAGTCGGCACGAGGGAACACCTTCCTACTGCTTTTTCAGGATTCATTCTCTGGTTACGTGATGTGTAAACCCATGTCGTCTACTACGGCACAGGATGTAGCAGAGGCCTATGAAGAGCGAGTCTTCCGGAATTTCGGTGCGTCGTCGATGATCAGACACGATCAAGACCCACGTTTCATGAGTGAGGTCTTCACTCGGTTTCGGGAGCTACTCGGCAGTCGTCAGCGCGCCACGTTGGCATATCGTCCTCAAGCGAACGGCCAACAGGAACGTTCGGTGCAGACCGTCATCCGGAGCGTCCGCGCTTACATCGCTGAGTCTGACCAGTCTGACTGGGACGATCACGCTGAGCGACTGATGTTCGCCCTCAACACCTCGTTCGACGCGACCCGATTGGACACTCCATTCTATCTGGTACACGGTTGGGATGCGCAAGGCACGGTGTCGGCGATGTTAGGACCGAAACCATCCAGTGTGCCTGAACGCACTGCGTACGAGTGGCGTCGGAAATTTCAGCGCGACTACAGCTACGCAATAGCCTGTGCCGAGGACCTCCAGAGACAAGCGAAGCGAACACGATCGGAAGAACAGACACGCAAGTGGAGAGAATTGTCCGAGACACTGAAGACAGGATTTGAGAAGGGTGATTCGGTATGGCTCTACATCCCGAAAGTCCAGACCGGATTGAGCCTCAAGCTGGCTCACATGTGGCATGGGCCGTTCAGGATCGAAGAGGTATACGATGACTTCAGAGTGAAACTCAAGATGGAGGACACAGGATATCGTGTTAACCCCTGGGTACACATCAGCCGCCTCAAGCCTCGCGCTCTGTTTCCGAAGCGACCTACCGCGGAACTCGATCTGGATGATGACAACGACTTCGATGCAGCCCTGCTGCCCGAGGCCAGCTGGGAGCTGGACGAACGGAATGATGAGTACGAAGTGGAAAAGATTCTGGACCTCCGGTGGGCCAAGCGCACTCGTACTTCCAAGAGATTCCGCGAGTACCTGATCAAGTGGATACGACGATCCTGAGTGGTTACCAGTGACCAGGCTCAATTGTGGTGCGCTTCTGTATGAATTCAATCAGAGTGCCCGTGCTAAGGCCAGGTTCCAGTCTATGCAGGCTGGTGATGACCACCCCAGTGTCTAGTACCGGATTGAACACTCGATCCTGACCGCCGACGTGTGACCTGACTGAAACTGAATGTGATATTGATTGTGAACTGTCGACGCTGAATTTGTGGAGAATTCGAGTGGAGTAGTGGAAAAATGAAGATACCGACTGAATCGACCAGTGACTGCGCCCCTGAATGGAGTGAGCGACAGAATGACGAGCAGACGGAACGAATGACATAAGACTAAGACGAAGGAGTGAGGTGATGAACGTGAATGGCATGACATTGTGGAGATTAGCTTGTGGCTACACCGAGTGTGCAACTAGCTACGGTGATCAGCGCAGACCCAGTTGTTGGCACGCTCATCGGGAGACAGAAGCATTTTCCGGATGTGCGCCGGACGATCCGCGATGATCCTATCGAGGGTCCCCCCTGTCCACTGGATGTGAGCCGGTTCTTCGCGATCCAGGATTTCGAGCTGCTCGGCCATCGTGTACGGCTTCCCATCCGGTTTCTTCTCGGACTTGTCAAACAGGATCCAGGGACAGACCTTCGCAGGATACACCCAGATGCCTGGCTCGTACAGAATCGTCTTCGGGGCTCCTGCTTTCAGAAGTTCGGTGATCAACTCGGCGTATTTCTTGATGGCAGGATCATGCAGACCCTTGCGTTTCTTTTTCTCCTTCACCCCATACGACGAGTCCTCCGGATACGTCACCCAGTGTCCCGCGTACCAGATGACCAGCGCGTTGTCCTTCATGAACTTCACGATTTTGGTCAGCACGACGTGGACCTTCACTCCCAAGGCGTAACGCTTGTGGAAGAGGAGGTTGATGACACGACGCTTGTACATCCGCTCGCCCGGTCGGGTCTCCATGATCGCCCGGTACTCGTCCACATTGAAGCGATCCTTGAGTGGCCCCGTCCCGCCGTTGTGGCTCGGTGCGTAGTCAGGGAAACCTGCGGACTGGTAGACGGCGTAAGTCGTACTGGGTGCAAAAGTGGTCAGGATGCCCTTGTGGCGCCACGAAGTGATGCCTCGACCCGGTTCCTCGATCACAGTCAGCTCTTCAGGAGTAAGATCTTTCATCTCCTTGCGAGCGAGTGGAGACTTCTTGCGTTCATCACCAGGTCGAGACTTCTTGCGTTTCTTGCCAGATCCAGTGGTGGCTGAATCCGATTGAGATGACACCGAACTAACCCTGCGCTTGGGACGACGAGTCGACGGCAAAACGAGATCCGGTGCAGCGTTGGCGTCCGGTACCTCCGTGTCATCCTGCTGTGCTGCTGCCTCACGAGCTTCCATCCGGTCGATCTTGGCTTGAGCCTCCTCGCTGGGTTCCCAGTTGCCATCACGATCCTCGTTGTCAACGTCCTCTTCGTTCTCGTCCAAGAGCAGCTCACTGTCATCTTGTGTGGGGTCCATCTGGTCGGGCCACCGATCCGGTTCGAGGCCATCCTGTGCGTAGCGATCCAGTATGCTCTCCGCGCGGAGGAAGTATCGTTCTGGCACGTAGGTTGTCCAATAAGCCTTGTCCAGTTGGTTCCAGTACATCATCTGAGCCAGCATGCAGGACAGATCGTAAGGATGGAACAGGTGATGGGCCATTTCGTCACTGTTCAACAGAGTCGTGGCTTCCGAGTACGTCAATCCAGTCCGCATGGCCAGCTGAAGATCCGTCCGAAGCTTGCGCCACACAACGGGAAGCCCGGCGAGTGAAGCGCATGCAAGGTTTTCATCGACTGAATATTCTTGGTCCATGGGGCGCGCATCTTCCTCGTTGGATCCCAGGCTATGGGGCGATTCACGACCCGAGCCACCGCCTTGTGACGACGCTTGCCGCCACTGGATCGACGTTCTGACGAGGAAGTCTTACCGGGTGGAGCCTCGCCTGTGACATCCACAATAGTGACGCGCTTGCCCCGCGACCCTGTGCTGCCCTCACTCGATTCAGACCCGTCGTCGCCCTTCTCTTCCGTGTCGGTATCGCCGTCGTGTCGGAACTCGAACGGCCCGGGATCGGTGAATGCGTCATCTGCAGAGGTGACTGAGATCAGAGTCTGCCATTCGGTGGGGGGCGTGGTACCGGATCGGTGGTGCTTGAGCAATTCCTCCAGACGCTTCCAGTTGCCAGTCACCTTCGTCTGGTTCCTGTTAAGGAAGTTCATCATGCGGTCGACGTTAAAGACCTGAGACTCGAGGGACTCGACCCACGTACTGGATGTTTTGAGCTTGAACTCCAAGGCAGCAATTCGGTCTCGTAGCGCTTGTTTCTCGACCTCGTGTTCCGCCATGAGTTTATTGAAGTCCGCCCGGTACCGTGCCGCTGTTGCCTCTTTCGTCCCTTTGAGGTCATTGAAGACAGCTCTCCATTGTCCCTGCAGCCGCGTGACGTGAGCCTCGAACTGGGAGCTCTCCTTCTGGGCGGTCAACAGCTTCTCGATCGTGGACGACCCGGTCGCCTGCATCTCCCCGCGAATGGTCCGGTACCGGATCAACAAGCGGCGCATGAACGTAGTCATACTGAATGCACGCAGTGCCAGATCGTGAGGATCGTAGACCGACAAGATTGATGCCAGCTCACGACGCATGTGGACAGAGTCGAGCAGCGCCTCCAACTCGGTCGGACTGGGTGGTGGCCCGGCACGAGGTCGAAGAAAGAACTCGTTCACGTCCTCGGCCTCGCCCACCAGCTCATTCAGGTCCGCCAGGTCCGTCGCTGAGAAGCATTCCATCGTGGTGAGCACTTCGAGACCAGCGTATCCGTCACGCATGTAGCGGTCGTCTTCGAGGTGACGCATGTGAGCAGGAACCCCAACGAAACGAAACGCGCCATCCGGTGCATACCCACTCGGTGCCTCCCAGCTTGCGGTCATGCCCGGACTGGATGGTGGCGCAGGATTGCGTCACGCCGGAAGGCCGCTACCCGCAGGCATGTTGAGCGCCTCGACCACGGACAGGACTCGCTCAGGAATGCTGCGTTGCTTGGCTGCCAGACACTCTTCCATCGTGTCGCCCTCGGTCTTCAGGATGCGCCCACTGTGTTCGTCGCTGTTATTGTCAGACGCCTCCGACGGCGCCTTGCTGTGCGAGGGATCGTCCTTGCCGTCAGCGCTGGACATCTCGACGTCGCCATCAACTTGATTGACGCCGCCAGAAGACGTGCGCTCGCCGCGCGCTTCACCGGCGCCTCCGCCTGAGCCCGAGTTGGCACCCGCAGCGCCCTCTCCAGCTGGAGGGGCGTGCGGAGGTTGTGCCGGGCCCGGCAGTCCGCTGCCAGGCGTCCCCGCATTGTCGCCGACCTCTTCCATGGCGGTGATGAGTCTCGCGATCGAAAATGGATTGTGACGTGAAGCCGGCTGCTCCCGACGGTTTGATTGTGATGTGTGGAGACTTGCTACGGAGACGAGACGATGGCTAACTTGAGCTCTGGGAAAGAGCCTTTCAACGGTTATGCGATTCGGTACCCCCTTCCATCCGGAGTGGGATCCATCGTGTGTAGGTCTGTTCATGTCCTGTCACCTCGGTGGCAAGATCCTCTGTGAAAGAATATGAGCAGAGGGGCGGTTGACACGATGTGGGAAAGGATTTTTATCCGCACCCATGTCTGACCGCTGGGATGGGACGACCCTTCGCCTGACTGTGACTGGTCGCAGTGAACAGGAATCCAGTGACGTGGAGTGTGACATGTGGATAGTGGATGCGCATGGTGGATTTGGCGGGACCCGGTGCTTGCAGTAAGCATGGGCTCACAGGATCAGAGATGTGCCCACCGGATGAGCGCTCATATTCGGTGTGGAGTAACACATCCTGTCCGTCCGCCGACTTCCCTGACCGCAGGATAAGCCTAAGGCGCGCAAGTGCAGCCAGTGAACGTATCCTGGCTGCTGCCTGCATTGGCTCCGTCAAGACATCGGACCAACCCCCAAGTTCACCATGCCCACCATGCTCCCATGCGCCCAAGACCTCGCTGGACAAAGTACACTGTTTGCCGGACTGGATCGTGGTGCACCCGGTAGCGACGCACCGGATGCCAAGGTGCTGTACCGAATGAGGCCGGACCGGATGATCAATTCGGTCTGACCCCTGGTGCCCATACTGGATCGTGACCGCACCACCAACAAGTCCAGTACTGCTGTGTGTGTAGCAGCAATCCAGGACCGGATCGACCAAGAACGTCAAGCGACACAGGATGGCTCACGTGATTAGACGCAGAGGTCCAGTGCGGATTTGATGAGACGCCGTACCCACGTACCTCTGTCGCCAGATGATGAGTGTTGCCGAAGGAACGTTGACGTCGACAAGTTGCCCGATAACCAAGCCAAGTCAAGCATACCCAAGCTCAGTGCAAGAAGATCGAAGTCCCGTGCACAAGGTCGAAGCATATCCAAGACAAGTCAAGTATAGTGAAACCTTTATTAGAAGTCAGTGAAGTGAAACAGATAGCTAGCCAGACGTAAGATCAAACAGAAACCAATTTGCCGAGAACACGCGGACATCTTTCTTCGGGCTGGGAATTCCCCTTGACATTGACGTCTTCAAGAGCTTATACGTGGGATCCGCCTTCGTGCGATCTTAAAACGGAGGACGTTTCAAGGCCTCACTGGTGTTGCGAGCACTGGTGTAGTGGGGACTCAAAGGTACCAAGGCAAAGTCGGCAGGGACTGGGGTGTCGCGCCCTGGAGTGATCTGTGAGAGCTTTATTTCCAATTTGCGTGCTCTATCCGGGCATCCATTTCATATTCCATCCTGTGTGTCTTAGGCGGTAGAGGTAGTCACCCCCGAGACTGAATTGATTGACTACTGTGTGATAGGATTGACTTATATTTTGTATTGTTCCCTCACTCTGTGAGGGTGGTGCGCGTAAGTGAGTGTGCATCCAGGGTTGACCAGTGCCTTGGGTGACGGCTCGTAAGTTGAGTGGCGTATAGACCCCCCACCCAAGGGTCTTAAAGAATAAGTGGTGGCTGTATATTTTGTGACGTTTAGCTCGGCATTGTATTTCTGTGTGTTGGTTATACTGAATTGTGGATCTGACTGTGGTCCCTTCGATTCGGTCTGACTTTCTGTTCATTCGGTGTAGTTTGTTTCAGGAACACACCCAGCAGACTCGATTCTGTATTTACAACAACTCACTCGGTGAAGTCCGGTCCGCCAAAGGTAAACGATGCCTATAGGGGTTGACACAAGGACACACGCCAAGTCCAAGCGATCCTCCCGGCCCCCGGTTCACATCCTGTGCTCCGAGGACTATCGGATTGCAGCGGATATCTCTGGTACTCCGAATCGATTCGGTCCGGCATAGTGCGCTATACACCTGGACGATCAAGGCGTTCACCCGCCTCGCCTCACTTCCGCTAAGGGACTGAGCTGGTCAGGTAGCCAGCTGTGTCGTTCGCTCAGTCGAGCTTGCCTCTCACCTTGCTCAACTGGGCTAAGCTGAAGCGGAATCAATTCCAGGTAAACATGAGTCGCGCTAGACCCGGGTTGATTCGTGGCAGAGCCACAGAACATGGGGATCAAGTGGTGCCTAGGCGAATTGCAGCAGAGGTTTGTCTTGAATCCGAGCTGAATCGGGATCATGTACAAGTGCAGCCGAGGTCAGCACCACCTGAGTTGAACCACAGTCAAGCTGAAGCCGAGATGCGTTCAAGCAGAGCTGAGTTGAAGCGAGACAGTGCACTCTGTGTGGAAGTAGTTTGACACCGAGATGTCGTGAAGCCGAGTTCAACCAAGCCGGAACGGAGCCGAGTTCGAGCAACGCTTCGAAGAAGTGCTGGTCGTTGGAGTGGAGCTGATTGAAGAGCAACCTTGCTGAAGCAAAGCCACGATCAAGTTGGGCCGCTTCGCGTCCAGTTCCAGTGGGAACGCATACATCTCGGTCTTGCGCCCGGTTCTCGTCGGATTCCAACCGAGACGACGTAGGTCGAGCCGACGTTATGCGCAGCCGAGTCCGAGCAGAGCTGAGCTGAAGCGAGACCGAGATCACGCTGCGTCCGAATGAGGTCGCGTTCGCACTGGGTTGCTGCGAAGCCGAGAACATTGGAGTGCGATCAAGCTGGAATGGGATGCCGAGTTCCAGCAGTGCCGCGGGTTGGATGGCGCCAATCTGAAGTGTACTCACTTCAACGGAAGGAAATACTGGGCTGAGTTGCGGTACGCCGAGTTTCAGTGAGATCGCGTTCGGAAGTTCGCCTAGTTGAGTGCTGGTAAACGCACCATGTTCCGATTGGAGAGCGCTCATGCCGAGTTCGAGGTGTAGCCGAGCTGAGGCTGAACACGCTTCACAGCTGAACCGAAGAGACTGAATTCAAACTGAGTTTGAACGCAGCCGAGCTCGCGGCGAGCCGAGTTGGAATGGAATGTGACCGAATGAAGTGCTGCTCCAGTCGAGCTTGCCCACCACCATCCCAACCAAGCTGAGCTCAGTCGGGGTAAGCTGGTCTAACAGAGCTGGAGACATGCCGAAGTCAAGGTCCGTTGACCACTGAACCCAGCTCGGCCCGTTCAGAACAACTCGACTGGAGCATCAAACGCATCAGGATCGCCTTGTTCGGCTATAAAATGACACAGCAACGGTGAGAGCTAACTCAACGCACCAAAGTGAGTGGGGCAAACACTTACCAGGCTAGATGAGCCGATCAAGCGGAGGTTGTGTTCAAGTCCAGCCGAGTTCAAGGTCAGCGGATATCAACTAGTCGCCAGGACAGCCGGGTTCGGACAAAGCTGAGTTCAACTTGCTGCTGCACTTCTCGCCAATAAGCTCAGCTGGGGTGGATTTCGAGCTCAGCGCGGCCCGATCGGGGAAGCGTTTCTTGACCCGCCGAGTTCCTGGTGCCTTGTAGCATGCCAAGACAACTATCAGGCTCCACTCGACGCACCGAAACCAGAGGCACGTGCTTACCGGGTCAGCCGAGTCGCTGGCAGCATCCATGGCTGCTCATTTTGACGGAGACAGAGATGTTCGGCTTCGTCGGTATTGCAGCCAATCGAGCACTCCCCCGACACCTGCATCACCTACTCGCTTTGCTGCGGCAGACCCAGCATCACCGCTAGTACTCCGAGCTTCGATAGGGGCACCAGCTGACTTCGTATGGTTCAGTCCCTGCTACCGGCTGCCACGCCGAGACGACCATCCAGGTTGATTCGCTGCTGAAGTGATCCGACGACGGGGTTTGGTGCGAGCGATAGGGGCACCTACATGTGTACAGACCCATGAGGCGCGGAGTCCACGCATCAGACAAGGCCTATACCAAAGATCAAGGCTCAAGCAAGTCTCACCTTCACGGAACGAGGGCGTCGAGCTGGCGTTGCGGGTGTTTCTGGCCACTCGAATTCGGGAAATGTGAACTCAGAGTGTTTGCGACAGATCGGATTGGACAAAATCAAGCGTGCGACACATCCAGTTGGCCAGGCCACTCACCACTCCGGCTAACGTACCAGGAGCCAAGTACTACTCGGCGGGATGCCGAGCTCAGTGGGCAAGAATGCGCTGGTGGACGACCGCTGAACTCGGCTGATGGTGTCAGAAACTCAAGGCACACCGGCTTCGACCTGGTGACACGTGGCAGGCCCAGTGATGAAGACCCAGCCGAGTTCAGGAAGGCACTGGACACACTCAGCCGAGATCATGGGGAGTTCAAGCCGCCGAGCTCGGCTAAACGGTACCATATACCGTCCGATACGGTAACCAGGCTCAATTGAGTCCGGGAGTCGCGCAGTCGAGTTCATGGGTCGCTCCGCCGAGTTCGCGGGTCGCTCCGCCGAGCTCACTGGGTTATCCGGCTCAGCCGAGTTCGAAGAGATATCCGGACGCCTTATCCGGACCAGCCGAGCTCAAGCGTCGCTGCGCTCAGCGAAGGGTCGGCCGAGATCCAAAACCACCCACTTGCATTTGGTATTTGTATAGGATCTTAGGAATAGTAGAGGCGCCCCTTCAGGGCGCCCGACAGAGATAACAAACAACAGAGCAGAATTTTCTAGCTCCACAACACGTGCACGCGCTTCCAGTAAGTCCCTGCACGGGCCGGATTATGTCTGCTGTCAGCACCCGAGAGGCATAGCTTGTAGGGTGTTGACTGGTAGCGCCAAGAGATTAAGGTCGGCCCGGGTTGGGCGCGTGTCTCGCCAAGCGCGAAGGAAAAGTCTTGCCACCGCTGCGAGCCGGTGTTCCCGTACGTCCCGGGCACTGATTGCTGAGTCGAGAAGCCTTTGCTCTCGGCGACCCGTAAAAGCCCGCGAGGGCCGTCGTCCGTCCTTTGGCGGAGGTCACGGGATTTCTAATTCCGGAGTCAGGTAACTCAGCTGGCTTCCGTGATTGACTGGCTTGGGGTACTTGGTCTCGGCGAGGACGAGACATCACTGTCCCGGAAGGGCCGGACCGCTGGGGGACATCTCAGCGCAGGCCAACAAGGGCCGACTAGCTCGGCTGTTGTTGTGTTTGTAGCTAGGGTGCCACATCTGACGATTTTGTGCGTGCTACTACACCACAACCCTTGGCTTCCTCTACCTCTTCGCCTTCCTCTACCTTTTCGTCCTTGACCGCAGCCGCTTCACCTTGACGCGACCTTGACTCCTTCGCAACCATGCATTCATCATCAGAATACATGAGGTCGATCACGTCGGCGTTAATGGCGTGAACATCTTTCGCTGGAGTGGCGGCGACTTCATCCCTGGCAACTTTAAATGCACGCTGAAATTCTTCGCGGCAAATGGCCTTCGCTGCAGCGCCAAACTGTTGCGCACGGGTCTGGCCAGGGCAAGCACCAATCTCCAGTGTGTACGTACGCAGCTTGCGCTAGCGCACCTCAGTTCTTGTCAATTGGCGGCCCTCCCGTGTCTTGATCCGTCGAATCATCATCGTGAGCGGGATCTTCTCGCCCGTGTCCAAGTCGATAGGGAAGTCAGCATCGTCCGACACGCGGAGCACTTTCGCTTCTCTATGACCGCGCGGGTCGCCACTTACGAGGGCCATGGTGAAGTACTCTATCATCTCGCCAGTGTGCAGGGACTCGGGCTGCATCTCACTTGCGCTGAGGCCGACCATGACAGCACCAATGTAGATCCAAAGTGGTGCGAGCTTCCACAACAAGTGAATGGATGCCCTAGGAACGAGCATGTTGCTTATCTGTGGCTGTAATCATGTGGTGTCTATGTCTGTGCTGCCTGTCAATAAGACTCGCTGCCTGTCGTTAGCGGCTCCCCTGCTGCAGGCATTGACTACCCCTAATCCTTACAATGGATATTGTCCGATCCCAGGTTTCTGCACGCTGTGTTGAACGCGTAAAGAGGCGTAACTTAACGTTGTGTAAGGAAGCTTGAGTCAAGCCTTGACCCATTCGACAGGTGTAGACCGCCGGAACAGCTTTGACATTACCCTAGCGATCGCGTTGATACGGTAGGTGGTTGCCCCAAAAAAATCTCAGCAGCGCAGTAACTCGATACTATGTCTGCTACTAACTTACAGTAACTTACGAATACATGTGGACAAGCTGTCGGAGGCAGGCGAATATCAGCAGCACACAGCGAACGTAACAAGCGAGCAACCAGGACCAACAGGCTTCCGCTACAGCTCACTCTGCTTTGTAGCCATCAGGGTTGAGGCAGAACCCCCAGATCCACCCCCAGCCCCAGCGCCGTGGCTCAAGAAGAAGTAGTCACAGCGCTGATAAAACGACTTGGAAAATTTCAGGAGGCTATTAACTAGAGGCGAAGCTTTGGTCTGGGAGGACAGTGTAGACTTCCTTTATGTGCCTAAATTTATAAACGTGGGGTAGGCAAGAATAATGTAACATGAAAGTTGGTGGCAAGTTTTCAAACCCTGGTGTAGCGCCTTTAAAAAATCGCGAAGTTGCCGCGCAAAAGATACGAAAGAACTTAATGGCGCGCTCGGCCGGGGCTTTGGCCCCGGCCGAGCGCGTTGAGGTCATGTGTCGTGTAGGAACACGCACTAAATTATATAATAGCACACTTTCCCCACCAACAACACCCACCAAGTCCCGATGACTCAATGGGCTTGTTAGGGTTAGAACCCGAAGGCCCAGGAACTTTCCCTTGCACCGGGTTGATGTTTCCTCTGTGCACCGTGTTTCCGCTTAGTCAACTGACGGAAACCCAGCGTCCCCAGCCACGAGCAAAGGCTGGCACGCTCTCACACGCAATATAAACCTCGCAGGCCCTCAGGAAGGAAGCGTCCCAGCCAGTCACGGCTTGATACGAGGGTGCCGGAGCTATACTCCGGCGGGAAGGATAAATGGAGTGCGCTCTCGCTCCTCCACTACTCGGTGATGACTCGCCCTTCGTATACACGGCCACTTCTTCACTACTCTTGGCCTGACCACGGGTAAACGCACGCTACGATACTAGCAGGCGCGTCCACCGACAGTCATAATCCTACCAACAGGTTTATCCAATTGCTACGGGAACTCACCGATAGCCCGGACGGCTTCCTTGAGTGGTTGGGAGGAAAAGCTGTTCTGTCATTGTTGCCCAAAGGGCTTATCTGTTCTATCTTCTCTTTCCTATGGTTCAATACAAATGTCTAGTATAAACGCGTCCGTTTTGGATCTTCCCAAGTAACCACCGACCCTTCAGAGCCTCCTCGCCGCCCCAAGAGGCCTCTCGATGACTCTATTGGACGATGAAGGGGTTCCCTGACTTGGAGCAGTCGCCGGGGCTCGAACGGTCGTCTTAAGTGCGGATCTAGGGTCAAAGTTCGCTGTAGGTTCGGATCGTACTTGAAGTCCTGGATCTCGAACTTGGGTGTCGACGAGTCTTCGGCACCGGTCCAGAATGGCCAATCAGCATCCGCCGAACATTGCTGAACATGTCCCGACGACTCGGGTCGCCACTGAAGCTTGGTCGTCAGCTCGATTCTCGTTTACCGCCAAATCACTACACCACAGCTGCCCCCACCACTATGCGAACCACATGATGGCGAGCGTCGTGGTGCGTTTTGCTTCTGCTTCCTCTCGCTGTTAATGGCGTCTGGTGTTGTTTGCCCCGGTTGCGTGCTTGGTAGGTGTCTGCGTCGTCGTAATGTCCCGCCGGTGGCTCGCTGCTGTAGGCTTACCTGGTTCCATAACTCGGGTTCGCATCGAGTCGTCGGGGCCGGGTTGGCGACCGCCGCATAGTGTCTCCGACCTCGTCCGGTATAGTGCCGACATCTTGTCCGCCTTCGTCGCCGTTCGACGACCTTTGTTGAGTTGAGCAGCGGTGGTATCATCGCTTTCGTCAGACTCTGCTTCGTAGACAACGGCACGACACTCCATGACCGCTCGGCTTGATTCTGTACAACCACCCGGTTCTCGGGAACCATACGATGATCAGCATCATGATGCGTGATGACCTGGACGAGCTTGGTGAGGCCGTAGACTGCGGTAGCTCCTTGCGCATAGGCTTCAGCAAGTTCCTGCGGCCGATCCGGTCCTCAGAAAAACTTTTCAGCCACCATTTTGCCGTAGCGCGTCTGACCCAGCGTAGATCCTGCTTCAGGCGCTTCGAGTCTTCGGCAGTTGTCGGCGCACCTCCGTCCGAGCTCCAAGCACATCAAGTCTTCGCCAGCACTGCCCTTGAGTTGTCGGGGCCCGTTGTAGTTCGTTCCAATCGGATTCTCCATCCGTATCATTCGCGTTCAATCTCCATGTAGTATGCAAAGCTGCAGTAGCCATTTTCGTCTGCACTCCTGGGCTGCATTGCAGTTCACCGTGAGGTTGAGTTGTCGCGGGCGGGGGCTAGGCGTTGCGCACGACCACGACACTCTTCCAGCAAAGTCCACGTGCAGCATTGGTGCTTGTAGACCGCAGAGGTTGGTACGCAGAGACCTCGATTCCATCAGCCTCTTTGCCCCGCTCCATGTACGGCCAGATACGACTGACCCAGCCGACGCGAGATCTCGGTGTGCTGTTGGTCTGTCCGTTCTCTGGATAACCTGCACTGTTTGCACAAAACTCGCATTCACCAGTCGTCGGTAGTGGTTCCATTGTCTTGTCGGTCCGGATCGGTGGCTTCGTCTTGAGCTTGGCTTGTGACCGAGTCATCGGCGCGGCCATGGTAGGCTCAATGCTCCTTGAACTACTACTGGAAAAATCTTGGGACCGAAAAGAATCACCGGGAAGCACGTTCTGCGGGGATATCCCGTCCGGATCGGTTTTGTAGATCACAGCTTGGAGTTGGTTGAGCTCACAGAGCGCGGCCTTCCTATCGCCACTCAAAACCACCTTCGACGTCTGAGATTTCAAAGCTTCAGACGCCAGTGAGTTCGCAGCAGCGTTGTAGTCTCGTGTCACATGGAGATATTTAGCAGACTGCATCCGTGCTGCGACCCTCTCGCTACTCCGTATCGGACTCATCAACATGTCCGCACCGCATGAGCGAATCCCCAGTGATTCGCGGATCTTGAGCCTGAAGTCTCCAGCAATGATCAAATCCTCGGCGCCATGTTCCAAAGCCGCGAGCACCCCGTTTCCCAAACCCGTGCACTCTGCGGAGTCGACCGCCGTATTGATAAGGTGAGCGTTCGCGGTAATCACTATCTTCCACTCTGGTAGGCGCCACACGATCCATGAGCAACTGCTATCTCCTCCGTACTTCTCAGGGTTAACCAAAGCCGCGAAAGAGATCACGAAACCCGTATGAGTCTTCGGGAACCGTGCGTACGAGAGGTTTGTTGCCACACGAGTCGTCGGGGAACACACAATCGGTGACCACACGTGGCTGCTTGCTGCCCCATTCTTGCCCACATCCATTACGCTCATCACCGACATGGAGGTATGCTCCGACACAGCGAAGGGAGCGTGCGCATCGCAGCTAGAAACCAGATGAGTTATCGGCGCTCCGTTGGTCTGGTCACAATGTGGTTTCAAATTCGCGTCACGCTCTGTCGCTGCAGTCGGAAACCGAGTTATCGAGGGTTGATCAGGGTCAATGTCGGTCACTTGTGGATCGGCTGGCGAGTCGTCGGGAGCGACTTGAGCGCTTCTGACCAGTCCCAAGGAGCCTGGTTCCGGATCATTGCCCACTGGTAAGCCGTCAGAACCGTCACTCGTCGTCCCCGGATCCGCTGAGTCATCGGTGCCACCGTCACGTGGGGTCTTTGGGGCACGTGCACGTAATGCCTCCTTGCCGCTGTCTTCAAATGCACCCGGGCCATAGTCGGCACGTTTGGGGCTGTTCACATCATCCAGTTCGTCCGCGAGGTTGCGCGTGATGGGAGGCGCATCGTCTTCCACCTCGCTCGCAAGACTTCGCGCCAGAGAGCGCGAGCCTCCGCTGCGCACGGCGGACATCACGGCATCTTCCGGAGTCTCAGGTGTCACCACCGCTGGCGCAGGCGCCTTCTCCTCCAGGTAGTCGTCGTATTCTTCATCCATCTCTTCATCCTTGGCGTCGGATCCAGTCATCGGCTCGTCGAAGCTGACGTTGCGCTCAGCAATCGGGTCGGGCTGCGGTGTGATCAAGACCGCCGTCGAGTCGTTGCCGCGCGTTCCGCCGGACATCATCGGAGTTGCTGGTACGGCGGATTGAGTTCCTGTCGCCATCTTCTTCTTCATCAGCTTCTTCTTCTTCTTCTTCTTCTTGGTTGTTGCTCGTAAAGTCAGTTGACCTGCTGTAGCACGAGACACAGAAGGTCACACAAATCCCGGGTCGCGGCACCAGTTGTCGTGTAGGAACACGCACTAAATTATATAATAGCACACTTTCCCCACCAACAACACCCACCAAGTCCCGATGACTCAATGGGCTTGTTAGGGTTAGAACCCGAAGGCCCAGGAACTTTCCCTTGCACCGGGTTGATGTTTCCTCTGTGCACCGTGTTTCCGCTTAGTCAACTGACGGAAACCCAGCGTCCCCAGCCACGAGCAAAGGCTGGCACGCTCTCACACGCAATATAAACCTCGTAGGCCCTCAGGAAGGAAGGGTTTCAGTCATTCACGGCTTGATACGAAGGTGCCGGAGCTATACTCCGGCGGGAAGGATAAATGGAGTGCGCTCTCGCTCCTCCACTACTCGGCGATGACTCGCCCTTCGTATACACGGCCACTTCTTCTGTGGTGTAGTAGCACGCACAAAATCGTCAGATGTGGCACCCTAGCTACAAACACAACAACAGCCGAGCTAGTCGGCCCTTGTTGGCCTGCGCTGAGATGTCCCCCAGCGGTCCGGCCCTTCCGGGACAGTGATGTCTCGTCCTCGCCGAGACCAAGTACCCCAAGCCAGTCAATCACGGAAGCCAGCTGAGTTACCTGACTCCGGAATTAGAAATCCCGTGACCTCCGCCAAAGGACGGACGACGGCCCTCGCGGGCTTTTACGGGTCGCCGAGAGCAAAGGCTTCTCGACTCAGCAATCAGTGCCCGGGACGTACGGGAACACCGGCTCGCAGCGGTGGCAAGACTTTTCCTTCGCGCTTGGCGAGACACGCGCCCAACCCGGGCCGACCTTAATCTCTTGGCGCTACCAGTCAACACCCTACAAGCTATGCCTCTCGGGTGCTGACAGCAGACATAATCCGGCCCGTGCAGGGACTTACTGGAAGCGCGTGCACGTGTTGTGGAGCTAGAAAATTCTGCTCTGTTGTTTGTTATCTCTGTCGGGCGCCCTGAAGGGGCGCCTCTACTATTCCTAAGATCCTATACAAATACCAAATGCAAGTGGGTGGTTTTGGATCTCGGCCGACCCTTCGCTGAGCGCAGCGACGCTTGAGCTCGGCTGGTCCGGATAAGGCGTCCGGATATCTCTTCGAACTCGGCTGAGCCGGATAAAGTGTCCGGATAAGCCGGTGAACTCGGCTGAGCCGGATAACCCAGTGAGCTCGGCGGAGCGACCCGCGAACTCGGCGGAGCGACCCATGAACTCGACTGCGCGACTCCCGGACTCAATTGAGCCTGGTTACCGTATCGGACGGTATATGGTACCGTTTAGCCGAGCTCGGCGGCTTGAACTCCCCATGATCTCGGCTGAGTGTGTCCAGTGCCTTCCTGAACTCGGCTGGGTCTTCATCACTGGGCCTGCCACGTGTCACCAGGTCGAAGCCGGTGTGCCTTGAGTTTCTGACACCATCAGCCGAGTTCAGCGGTCGTCCACCAGCGCATTCTTGCCCACTGAGCTCGGCATCCCGCCGAGTAGTACTTGGCTCCTGGTACGTTAGCCGGAGTGGTGAGTGGCCTGGCCAACTGGATGTGTCGCACGCTTGATTTTGTCCAATCCGATCTGTCGCAAACACTCTGAGTTCACATTTCCCGAATTCGAGTGGCCAGAAACGCCCGCAATGCCAGCTCGACGCCCTCGTTCCGTGAAGGTGAGACTTGCTTGAGCCTTGATCTTTGGTATAGGCCTTGTCTGATGCGTGGACTCCGCGCCTCATGGGTCTGTACACATGTAGGTGCCCCTATCGCTCGCACCAAACCCCGTCGTCGGATCACTTCAGCAGCGAATCAACCTGGATGGTCGTCTCGGCGTGGCAGCCGGTAGCAGGGACTGAACCATACGAAGTCAGCTGGTGCCCCTATCGAAGCTCGGAGTACTAGCGGTGATGCTGGGTCTGCCGCAGCAAAGCGAGTAGGTGATGCAGGTGTCGGGGGAGTGCTCGATTGGCTGCAATACCGACGAAGCCGAACATCTCTGTCTCCGTCAAAATGAGCAGCCATGGATGCTGCCAGCGACTCGGCTGACCCGGTAAGCACGTGCCTCTGGTTTCGGTGCGTCGAGTGGAGCCTGATAGTTGTCTTGGCATGCTACAAGGCACCAGGAACTCGGCGGGTCAAGAAACGCTTCCCCGATCGGGCCGCGCTGAGCTCGAAATCCACCCCAGCTGAGCTTATTGGCGAGAAGTGCAGCAGCAAGTTGAACTCAGCTTTGTCCGAACCCGGCTGTCCTGGCGACTAGTTGATATCCGCTGACCTTGAACTCGGCTGGACTTGAACACAACCTCCGCTTGATCGGCTCAACTAGCCTGGTAAGTGTTTGCCCCACTCACTTTGGTGCGTTGAGTTAGCTCTCACCGTTGCTGTGTCATTTTATAGCCGAACAAGGCGATCCTGATGCGTTTGATGCTCCAGTCGAGTTGTTCTGAACGGGCCGAGCTGGGTTCAGTGGTCAACGGACCTTGACTTCGGCATGTCTCCAGCTCTGTTAGACCAGCTTACCCCGACTGAGCTCAGCTTGGTTGGGATGGTGGTGGGCAAGCTCGACTGGAGCAGCACTTCATTCGGTCACATTCCATTCCAACTCGGCTCGCCGCGAGCTCGGCTGCGTTCAAACTCAGTTTGAATTCAGTCTCTTCGGTTCAGCTGTGAAGCGTGTTCAGCCTCAGCTCGGCTACACCTCGAACTCGGCATGAGCGCTCTCCAATCGGAACATGGTGCGTTTACCAGCACTCAACTAGGCGAACTTCCGAACGCGATCTCACTGAAACTCGGCGTACCGCAACTCAGCCCAGTATTTCCTTCCGTTGAAGTGAGTACACTTCAGATTGGCGCCATCCAACCCGCGGCACTGCTGGAACTCGGCATCCCATTCCAGCTTGATCGCACTCCAATGTTCTCGGCTTCGCAGCAACCCAGTGCGAACGCGACCTCATTCGGACGCAGCGTGATCTCGGTCTCGCTTCAGCTCAGCTCTGCTCGGACTCGGCTGCGCATAACGTCGGCTCGACCTACGTCGTCTCGGTTGGAATCCGACGAGAACCGGGCGCAAGACCGAGATGTATGCGTTCCCACTGGAACTGGACGCGAAGCGGCCCAACTTGATCGTGGCTTTGCTTCAGCAAGGTTGCTCTTCAATCAGCTCCACTCCAACGACCAGCACTTCTTCGAAGCGTTGCTCGAACTCGGCTCCGTTCCGGCTTGGTTGAACTCGGCTTCACGACATCTCGGTGTCAAACTACTTCCACACAGAGTGCACTGTCTCGCTTCAACTCAGCTCTGCTTGAACGCATCTCGGCTTCAGCTTGACTGTGGTTCAACTCAGGTGGTGCTGACTTCGGCTGCACTTGTACCTGATCCCGATTCAGCTCGGATTCAAGACAAACCTCTGCTGCAATTCGCCTAGGCGCCACTTGATCCCCATGTTCTGTGGCTCTACCACGAATCAACCCGGGTCTAGCGCGACTCATGTTTACCTGGAATTGATTCCGCTTCAGCTTAGCCCAGTTGAGCAAGGTGAGAGGCAAGCTCAACTGAGCGAACGACACAGCTGGCTGCCTGACCAGCTCTGTCCCTTAGCGGAAGTATCAGCGCTTTGAAGGGGTGTTTCGACTTGGCTATGCTCGACCCCTGACCAAGCTCTGCTGATGTTGGCTCAATGTGAATACGACCGCGGCCGCGTGGAATCCATTCCTCTTCAGTCCAGCTTTGGATGTTGGGTACACCTTTGCGACGCCGTGACTCGGCGATTTCACCGACTCGGCTTCAGGCTGACCGCAGATAAACTCGATGGTAGCCCTACGTCGGATCGAGTGAAGTCGAAGTCCATCTTCAAAGCAGGTGTCTGCTTCTGCTCAGCTACGGATCAACTCGGCTCCCGTTCGAGATCGCTGGCACGTCGACATTCTCGGCGACGCGCCTGCCCAGCGTGCCTCCGCTGAGCTTTGCTCAAGTCCAGCTTTGCTGTAACTTCGGTTTGTTCACCGCCGCCGCGCATCGACCGACTCGGCTAGCCGCCTCTCGGTAAACACGGAGTGATTACGGCCTCACTGGAACATCGTGCGAACTTGACTTCGCTTCGGCTTTCCTGCTTGAGCGTGGCTCCATATCAGCACAGCTCCGCGTCAGCACACCTGCGCTCCACTTCAGCTTGAGCGCACAACGGGAAGATCGTTCATCGACTTGGTCGGAGGTCCCGGCGGTCGTACCCAAGGGTGTCGATCGTACCGCCGCATATCACACAGTGCCCCAGTGGGTAGCGTGTTCACGGACCCAGTGACGAGTCAACACAGCTTCGGCATCGACGGCTGACTCGCTCAATCTGTGCAGACGCACCATCACCTCCCTCAGCTTCTTCACTGGGTCGTTGTCAGACCAGCTGGGCTTAACCGCTCAGCTCGGCAACTCGGCTGAGACTTCGCGCCGACTCCAACGAACCCGGCGAATGGGCTTCTTGCTTTCCAGCTCCATCTTCGCTCACTCCATTTCGATATCATGTAATTCATATAATCCATACAGTTGACGCAGTATCATTCTTCGACTCGACCCAGCCTGCTGTCTTCACTGAGTCGGCGGATCATCACTTTGGTGCAATAGCCTTAGACCGCATCTGCAACTTGCACCATTTGCAGACGGGTTTCACATTTCTTCGATTGCCCCTAGTCGAGTGGAAAGGTTTCCCACGAGACGTTCGGCATCGAATCCCAACTCGGGCATTTCGCGCTGGATGCCCTCGTCGCTCGTTGTATCAGGGGCGGACGGTCCCCTGGAGCGACGGCTTGACTGTCGTCGTCCGCATCGTCACCGAGCTCGGCTGCGAGGTTTAGTTGGGCTCGTCGAGGTTTCTCCATGCGCCCAACATGCAGCGAGAACTCAGTTACCCCGCTGAGCAACTCGGCTTTCATCAATTCTTCATCATAATCTCCGATATTTCCATCTCTTCCTCGGTCTTGGGTGCAGTCGTCGGCAAACCGAACGGTTCGGACCGCTTCCATCGTCATGTCGGCGATCCTTCCGCCAGCTGAGTTCGGCTTTGTGTGAAGCGAATCCCCAGCCGTCGCTGGGCTGGCCCAGCTCGGCAAAGTTCTCCCCTTGACCATCTTGCTCAGTACTCGAAACTTGGTGGACTTGGTACCAACGAAAACAAACCACCCTGCTCCCGGGTCGCGGCACCAGTTGTGGTGTAGTAGCACGCACAAAATCGTCAGATGTGGCACCCTAGCTACAAACACAACAACAGCCGAGCTAGTCGGCCCTTGTTGGCCTGCGCTGAGATGTCCCCCAGCGGTCCGGCCCTTCCGGGACAGTGATGTCTCGTCCTCGCCGAGACCAAGTACCCCAAGCCAGTCAATCACGGAAGCCAGCTGAGTTACCTGACTCCGGAATTAGAAATCCCGTGACCTCCGCCAAAGGACGGACGACGGCCCTCGCGGGCTTTTACGGGTCGCCGAGAGCAAAGGCTTCTCGACTCAGCAATCAGTGCCCGGGACGTACGGGAACACCGGCTCGCAGCGGTGGCAAGACTTTTCCTTCGCGCTTGGCGAGACACGCGCCCAACCCGGGCCGACCTTAATCTCTTGGCGCTACCAGTCAACACCCTACAAGCTATGCCTCTCGGGTGCTGACAGCAGACATAATCCGGCCCGTGCAGGGACTTACTGGAAGCGCGTGCACGTGTTGTGGAGCTAGAAAATTCTGCTCTGTTGTTTGTTATCTCTGTCGGGCGCCCTGAAGGGGCGCCTCTACTATTCCTAAGATCCTATACAAATACCAAATGCAAGTGGGTGGTTTTGGATCTCGGCCGACCCTTCGCTGAGCGCAGCGACGCTTGAGCTCGGCTGGTCCGGATAAGGCGTCCGGATAACTCTTCGAACTCGGCTGAGCCGGATAAAGTGTCCGGATAAGCCGGTGAACTCGGCTGAGCGACCCGCGAACTCGGCGGAGCGACCCATGAACTCGACTGCGCGACTCCCGGACTCAATTGAGCCTGGTTGCCGTATCGGACGGTATATGGTACCGTTTTGCCGAGCTCGGCGGCTTGAACTCCCCATGATCTCGGCTGAGTGTGTCCAGTGCCTTCCTGAACTCGGCTGGGTCTTCATCACTGGGCCTGCCACGTGTCACCAGGTCGAAGCCGGTGTGCCTTGAGTTTCTGACACCATCAGCCGAGTTCAGCGGTCGTCCACCAGCGCATTCTTGCCCACTGAGCTCGGCATCCCGCCGAGTAGTATTTGGCTCCTGGTACGTTGTTCCACTGCGGCCGTGGAGTGTGACACAAAACTTGATGTTCCCTACACCACATTGTTGCTTGCCCTGGCCAGACCCGTGCGCAACAGTTTGGCGCTGCAGCGAAGGCCATTTGCCGCGAAGAATTTCAGCGTGCATTTAAAGTTGCCAGGGATGAAGTCGCCGCCACTCCAGGGAACGATGTTCACGCCATTAACGCCGACGTGATCAACCTCACGTATTCTGATGATGAATGCATGGTTGCGAAGGAGTCAAGGTCGCGTCAAGGTGAAGCGGCTGCGGTCAAGGACGAAGAGGTAGAGGAAGGCGAAGAGGTAGAGGAAGCCGCGTCGTTCTGCCGGCCGAGTCAAGATCGGCGGGCCGTTGCAATGTTTGTTGCGCCGATCTTAAGCGCAGCCGCCAGGCCCACTCTTTCGCATCAAGCCGTCCATGGCCCACCCGCTACGTCTTTCCTAAGGCCTGATGTTAATGAAGGCAAGATTTTTGCTACGGGAGACGCTGTGTGGGTTCCTAGCCGTACGTTGAATCGGATTGGCCCATGTGGGTGGAGAAGATTACGACCAACCGCAACCCAGAGAATATCGTCTTCCAGGATATGAAGCTTGGAAAGTGTCGATGCTCGTATGAATGCCTTCCTCTTCAGTGCTGGAACGCTGTAAGTGATGTGTTTTGCACGGATGAAAACTGCGGGTCCGGGGCGGACTGCGCTAATCGTGTGCGGACGAGTTCAAGAATCGAACTGATCGATACCCCGAAGGGACTTGGAGATCGTACTTCCGACTGGTTGAGCTCGTGGGAGGTAGTGGGTGAATACACAGGCGTCCTTACCACCTCTGAAGACAGCATCAGAGAAAGCCACTACGCGTTGATGATGGGTACTCCGAGTGCGGACGGGCAAATTGTATTCGTCGACGCCGCGGCTTGTGGCGGAATAATCCGTCACATGAACCATTCGTGTGTGCCGAACTGTCGGTTCCTCGAAGTCCGCAACCGTACGGAGTGCTGCGTGATTTTAGTGACGACACGGTGCATCGCTCCTGAAGAAGAACTAACTGTCAGATACACAGACGACTATCTCTGGTTTCCGTGTATGTGTGGCGAACCCGAATGCGTGCAACAGTAGTTAACGTAACAGTAGCTTTCGACTGCTAATGTTCATTTAATGCTGCTTAATAGTAATGGTGAACGGTTTGCGTGACTGACTCGAGGTTGGGTTGGATAGAGACTTCAAACGCGGAGGGAATACGCCGCGTACCGTTGACACCGCTACCACTGAGGTGTTTTCGGAGGGCGGCTCTGGCTGCGGCTCGCTGCTTTCTTCGGTCCTGGATGCACTCCGGCTCGAGTACGGGAGCAGCGGCCCGTTCTGGTGCCGACCCGCGGTGCACCAATGGCGATGAAAGTGCTCAGGCAGTAGAATAGTGATTGCGCTCAGCTGATGGGCGCAAGGCAGGCCTGTCGTTCTGCTATACACTCCGGTACATGGCTGGAGAAGTGTTTGTGCCTGCATGTACGTGCCTAAAGTCTTGAGAAGAGCGTAGCGGTGGATCTTCGTCACCACCTGTGCGAACCGCTCACCTCGAAGTCTCGTGACTACCTTGATTTCTGCGTCGGACTTGGCCACCCGATACTTGGTGATCGATTGTGTCCACCCGTGACACAGACGCTTGTGAATCGTGAGCAGGTCTGCACTGCTCGAACCGACCCACCCCTTGAGCGTGGCATGGTAGCCTTCGACGCGGGATGTAGCTACTACATCACTTTGTCGGTCCAGCAGCGCACAAGTCGATAGCGCCAGATGTCTAGCCAAACGTCGTCGACGTAAGCAGCTTCAGACGGACAGATCATGCGCATTTCCCAGCGTCTTTGAGCATACTCGAGTTCGGTGCGAGCATTCACTACTGCGAGAAATGCATCACAAAAAAGACGATGCCGGGTGGAATCCTGGTACTTCGGCGCCCGGGGTCTTGAGTTTCCGACGTCGAGAGCGGGGGGGGGGATGCATGTTTGCGCGCGTGGGTCTGTACGTCCTTAACCACATGCCAGAGGCACAGCAGCACCGGGACGTCCGGAAAGACCTGCTCTAACGCGTTGAGCAGTGCCAGGTCTCGGTCGACGAACACGACGGCAGGGGTTTCAACGCCATTCTCGCACACATCGTCCTTAGCTGCCTCAGAGCCCAGCAGTAATCGTTCTTCTTCTCGCCTCGCATGAACGCTTGAGCCACATGCAGGGTCGTGTTCATCCCGCTGATTCCCACAATATTAAGCAGCGGCATGTTGAATCGGTTCGTCCTGTAGGTACAGTCCATCAGAAGGACATCTGCGTTTTCCTTCCAAATTGCCATGACTTCCTTGTGAGCAAAGAGCAGGTGCGTCAGTCTTCTAGAGGTGTCGACCTGTTGCGCCACGTAGAAATGGCCGCGGCTCAGCAACATCAGTAGGTGCTCGACACGAATGCTACTACCGAGAGCGGCCGTTACGGCCCTGGATCGCTCGTTGTAGATGTCACGGGCGATAATAGGCGCTTCTGGAGTCTCTTGATAGATTCGCGCGAGGGTCTGAGCTGCTCGGGTGCCAGTATCACTGTCGGTAGCAATAGCCACACGCAACACCGACGTCATCGCATTGCGACGATGGACAGGATGCGACGCCGCGTGGTTGGATGGAGGGTGGTTGTGCACGAGTCGCCACTTACGCGCACCACACAGACTTTCATTTGGCAGTTGCAATTCCGCGACGCTGCATTGCGCCTGCGCACGGCGGGTGGCGGAATATAGTGCGTTCGTTTCACTCCATGACGGTCGCACCCGAACACCACACGACGGACGTCACCGTACTTATCGCGATAAGTACTAGTGGTAACTAGTCCGTAACCGTGATGTTGCGCATACTCGTTCAACGCTCGTTTAGTGGACGCCGGAGAGTCGAAGCTATGCGCGTGCAGGCAGGGCATCTCCCACCGTACTTGGCGAGCGCCGAGAGCGGTGCAACCTTCATCGCCTCGAATAGCCTGGATACAGCGAGGGTTGTCTGGGTCGTTCGGGCTGGCGTAGGCAGGGGCGATCGCAGGGGTGCAGAGGTAGGTTGGAGGCGAGGCTCTGGCGGACATCCGACAGAAGGTGGGGTGTCGGCCGACGTCCACACCATTTCGAACGGCGCGAGTTGAGATCTTATTTCGCGCAATGCCAAGCACACGGAAGGGTTCTCGTACCGAGAACTTGAACCGGGGGGCGCCTGCTGTTGCGGCGCGGGACCGCCTTCGATACGACACGATGCTTGAAAGGTGCGTAGTGCCTCTGGGATGGAGGATGCCCACGCAAGCTCGAACGCGTCCGTGGAGGGAAGCGGCGTCATGGCAGGTAGTAGGAATGGGGCGGGGGGGGGACAGCTCGGGGGGTTAACCGACGCGAAAAAGCGTGATTGAATGGCTGAGTTGTAACGGGGTTACACGCACACGTGGCTACAGTCACTTGTTACTCTAACAGATGCGATGTCTGTTAGAGGTTTGAACACTTCCTCGACCTTGGTGTAAGGTACACCAATGGCTACATACATTTACGACCACCACGACGGGTGGTCCATGCACATTTAGGATTCCTATTGGCTGAAAGCAGCATCTTTTAGCCAATGAGTGACTTGCATGTTAGCAGAATCCTGCCAACCAGCCGTTGGCAGATTCCTAGCTTAGAATATAACATTTAGAGGAAGTTAGAAACATATACAAAAATAGCAGTTCTCATATTTTACCAAAACCCGCTACTTGGAGTCTTTATCTTGTTTAAAGTATACTCGTGGATCTCGAGTATACTTAACTCAAGTAAAAGAAACCTAAGCTTCCTCATACACGTGCGCATACGTGTAAGCCGTAGTAGTGAGCCAAGGTAGGACCACTACATGAGTGCTCGGAATCCGAGTCATGTACAAGCCTATACCAAATTCAAATAGAGATTCGTGGATATTTATTGGTCATTATTGTCCAAATTAACCCGCGCGATTGGATAAAACCATACAAAGAATCGGGTGCAGGGATTCGTTAAAAATATGTAAACAAAGATTTGAGCTTGCGCGGATCGAAGTACTGCTGCTGTTGTTGTTGTTGTTGTGTTACGTCTTCGCGTCAATCTGTCTTACTGGGAGTCTAGATGTAAACTAGCTAGTGTCCGGCGTAGGGTAGTGTCCGCATACGTCAAGTCGTCCTCACAGGACATCCACGCGATGATGTCTCCCACGAGTTTCTTCCGCTCGGTTGTGTTTTATGCTTGGGTACGAAGCGTGAGAAGGTCCGTTTTGGTGCGGAGCCGGCGCCCGAAGTACTATTGTTCACGTAAAACGCTGCACATGCACAACAAATCTATCGATCCGGGGATACCAGATTGGAGATACTGACGGCAGACATTACACAAGCTGTACCGGTTGGGCCGAACCGTTCGAGGGCGACGTGATGATGGTGTTTCGTCAAGGCCGACTAGCTCTACTGTTATTGTGTTGGTATGTGACGAAGCGCCCGTGCTTTTTTGAAGGCTCAGGTTGCCAGACCGCTCGACCTTGGTCTTCGCTCAGCCGTCTCACTGATTAGCTCAGCCCCGCCGAGCGCTACAAGAGTTCCGCTCAGCTCCTCCCACTGAGCGAAAACTCCCACTCCACTTCGTTAGGCTTAGCCGCTTGAACGCTTGGCTCAACGCCGACTTGGGTCGGGCGAGGCGTGTATTCATCACTACGCCATCCCCGTGGCGGTTCTCTTGATCAGGGGGGGGGGGGGGGCAGACTCGCGTCGGCCACACCAACTGTTGTCGCGCTTCTGGGATTCCGCTTCAGGTTTACATTCAGGGAACACAGTGTGTTCCCTTCCAGAACTTCACCATGCCGTCGCAACGAAGTCGGCGTCGGACCCATAGTCCAAGCACTCATGTCCTTCACGACGTCACCGAGAACTGGAATCACCGAGTCACACCCGGGATTGGCACTCGACACCACGTGGTCTCCATATGACACACGCTACCACCGTGCAACCATACCACCACAAAGCCACTACGGGTCCATCAGGCAGGACCCACTCTTCGCAACCCACACTGGAACCAGGAAGCAACACTGGCGTCTTGAGCGACAGGTATAGACTTGACATCCGGCCGCGAACCAGTTTGGCACCGTACCGATTGTGCTCTTGAACTTCGGTTTTGGACCGGGGTGTGAAGTCACTGGCAGTCGAGGGATGGGTTGGGACACAATTGTTTGGGCAACCTTATCGCAGTCTGTACGCATCGATTTGAGCCCAACATACCCTAGGCGTTCTTGAATATACAAACGTCAGTCTTCATGCACACTCTTGCCAACCTGGGTGGCGATTGCGCGTGAGGAACGGCCTCAGTAGCGTGAGTCGGGGCGTGTGAGGAACGGCCTCAGTAGCGTGAGTCGGGGCGTGTGAGGAACGGCCTCAGTGATGCGGTCGGAACGTATGAGGAACGGCCTCAGTGACGCGGACCGTAGCGTGTGAAGAGCAGCTTCAGTGACGCAGATCTCGTCGTGTAGCGCAGTCTTCGCGATCCTTTTGACAGCGTAGCAGGATGTATCCTGGCTGGGGTAGCATTAGCCGTACGTATCATGAGGACCGCAGCTCACGTCTTGAGCGGCCCAGCTTGGCCATACACGACGTCGTCGCACGGGTGGTGTACGTGCCGCATGGAGAACGGCTCCAGAGGCAGCACGGCGAGGATCACGCGGAGCGGCCACAGTGATAGCACGGCGCTGTATGAGGAACGGCCCCAGTGACAACGAACCGCCCCTCCTGGCATCGGGCTCATCTTCGGAGGAGGCTCCAGTGGAGGCAGTTCGAACGGGAGCAAGTCCACGCTGTCGTCTCGGGTCGCGTCGAACCTTGTGTAGATCGTCGCCTTGAACGTCGCGCCCTTGCCCGTCTTGACCTTGCGCCCCACGGCTTCAACGTCGCGCCCATTATTAAAGAATTATTTATACTGTTTTCCGGAATCTTGGGCGATGAAATGAAGAACACTCAGCGGGGCAGGTGGCGAGCCTGCTGGAAGTTTTGAGCCGAGTGTATTGTTGTTGGTGCCGTACGAGGCAAGATGGAGAGTTGGTTTGTGTCCTACGAGGCAAATCGAAGACTGACTGGGATGTCTAGGCTAGGAGCTCCACGGCGGCGCTCCTTGTGCTGTGCATGGCGTAATACAACCCACGTTGAAGAAAGCTTCAAATCGAGCTGGCTTGAACCAATCACCATTTCCGACATCTTCTATCTCAACAACTACAGTGGTAACAGCAATAACTCACCCTGCAGAATTACTAGTCGTATCATCCCCAAGTTAGTTGGTAACAGCAATAACTCTCCCTGCAGAATTACTAGTCGTATCATCCCCAAGTTCGTTCTGTCCGTTGTATAAGCCAGTTTATTCAACTTCGAATTCCTACAATAATAATCTACCTGTGGGTTAGAGCAAGGTTGGACGCGTGACGCTTGACTTACGCAAGAAAGTGGGGATTGGCATGAGTAAATGTGCCAGTCCAACAACAACCAAAGGCCAAAGCAACTCTTGAAATTACAGGCGTGACCCCACCGCGAGCACTCCAGCCATAATAAGTATCGCACGCTCTAAGAGTGTGAACTGGGCTTTAGCACAACATGAACACGTTAAACTCAATTGGTGGATTGATAATATCCAAACAAAATCAAGTTAGATAAATACAAACGGAATATACTAGTTCAATTTCCTGTCATGATGCGATCAAAACGGACAGGCTCAGGTCTCTATTACCCATTGCATAATGTACTGGGACTTCATGATGCACGCATTGTGGAATATTGCGATTCTTCAACGTGATTAGTACCTACTCGAGTGTGGTGTAATTTGGGGCAGTCTTAATAGCATAAGAAATTGATACATTTATATGCGGACAACATACATCTTCCCTTAGTGTAGGTAGTATAGATGAATTGGATCGTCTGTAATGCTTTGGTTGACTTCTTCGAAAGAGAGGGCTGGGTACAGCGAATGTTACGGCAGAATCTAGGATAGTTAGAATTGTTGCTGATGTCGGAGACATCGATCAAGCAACAATACAGTTCGCGAGAATTTGACTACCATTGGGTCGGTGCTCCTATACTAATACTTAGTATACCGTGCACAACGACTCTTTCGATCACAATGGATTTTTGTTTGAGAAAGAAGGCACCAAAGCGTACGTCCTCAACTACTACACGTTAGTCTGTTCAACCGATCCCCCACGCTCATGGGTAACAGGCTGCAAAGATCATTGTTGGTGCGGGGTCCCAGTTCGCATGACAGTTTGATGCGAGTTTATGGTTTCAGGCACGTGTAGAGGTTGACTTCTTTTGCATTTCTGTCCCGTCCGTGGAGTTTTGAAGCTGCCTGGCTACTCCCCTCTTCACTTAATTTTAGTATTGCTGCTGCCTGTCAATAAGACTCGTTAGCGGCTCCCCTGCAGCAGCAACTAATTTTTTTTCTCACTCAGACACGACAAATGTTTTTTACCAATCACAAGCTGAGTGCGTTGACCACCCCATTCACTGCCCGCAGCAACATATCAAGATTTTCCGTCCCCCCTCGGCTTCAAACGCCCCCGCCTACGCGCTTGTACTCTGGGATGCTGGGAAGCGTACGCTGGAATGCCCGGAGCGCCAGCAAGAGGAAGGTGGTGTCCTCTGCCTCCTTCAGGTTGAGTGTGAGAAGGCAGCAGCGTGTTCATCCTACTGCAATCGGCGCGGTAGGTGTTGATCTTAGCATGAAACTCCAGTCGGCGTCTATCCGAGTTGTAGAGTTGCTGAGGTCGCGCGTGAGCACGAAGGAGGCCCACCTGTTGTTGATGGTCAAGGTGAGGAGACTGAGCGTGTTGAGTTTTGTTGGGGGAGGCGCTTGTTGCTCGGCCTGCAGATGCGAAAGTAGGGCTAAGTTAGCTGTAGCTAGCGGAGCGAACTGCCGTCCGCTCACTACTCTCAGCGCCTTCCAACACGCAGCGATTAGTGGATGCAGCTTTAGACACAGTCCTAGGCTGCTTGCTAAGGAAGACTCGAGCGTAGTATAGATACAGAGCTCGTGGAAGGGCTCGTGTTCTCTCCGTCCCTCGACATACATTGTGCATTATTACATGATCGCGCTGGACCAACGCTTGCTGGACACCAAGGCATCCGACTGACACAAGTAGGCTTACTAGATTGACCTTTCGAGTACTCTGCTCGCAGCGCAAGCCCCAAGCGCGGAGTCTTCTCTCGCGCGACGACCATGCTACCGTACCGTTGGTGCTCAGATCTTGGCCGCGCCAGAAAAAAAAACGAGCTGCTGCTGCGGCTCGACCGGAACGACTTTTTGTTCCGGTCGCCGATTTTTTTCCTGGCCAATCACAGCCCCGGAAAAAAAATCCGACTTGCTGCGGCGGAAAAAAGTGAGCTGTTGCTGCGGACATTGACTACCCCTATTGTTGTCGAGACGGCCGTCTCAATCACTTGTGTCGAGCATTCGTAAGACAGTTTGACGACAAATCAAATGTAGCACTTTCATTGGTTAATATTGTATTATGTAGTCTCGAGTGTTGCTGCATCTCGGCTCGTAAATTGGACTGATTTATCTGTGTGCGCATTTTGCCCCCATTACTAGAGGCAGCGCACTTGAAAAATGCCCCTTGAAATGTCCGGGCCTTTGATTCTGACGCCATGCACTAACCTCCTGCTAGAAGATTTAAATATACTTGCCAGGAATGGAATGTAAGGACATCATAGCACAGTTATCATGCGACCGTTTGTTCCCGTAGTGGAGCAATGTTTCTTCGCTTTACTGGGGTGAACGACAACAGTCGTTCACCCCACCACGCCAACTCTCCTTTCTACAGTAAAGTACTAACACTACATAGAAGATGGAGATTCGGATAGAGCGCGCATACGCAAACCAGTCTACGCTGTAGCATCGACAAAAAGCATGGCTGCAGGCAGTGGCTTAGTTGCAGGAGATACCGAGTAACTCGCCGATGCCGAAGGTCGAGCCCAGCAGCGATATGGCGCGCGCCGAGCGCCCGCGCAGCAGTGTGGAGCTCCTCCGCACCTCAGCGTCGTAGGTATAAGATCTAGGTATTATCGCCGTTGCAGAGTACGTGGTTGCATTTTGTTGCTGGACTGTAATGATTAGGTAAGAGGGGGTTGGAGGATCTCGGGAAGCCCACTGGCAACACCGTTCCCTGGCTGCCACGCCTTCACAACTACTATGATGTACGCTCAAGCATAAAATTTACTACATTAAAATGTACATGTAGTACCGTTACGAGCTATTTGTCCCTCTTAGTTTACGTCTGCCAACTTCATCGTAACTCCGTGCCCTACAACAGCTGCACCTCTGAGTGGAACAGCTCCACGGACTGCATGCACGCGTTCGTGCAGTCATTATGCCGATATTTAAGCTTGCTATGTTTTGAGAGACAATATGCAATGTAGCCACTGGTATACAAAAACCAAGATGTAGTCAAAACGCGTTGATCGGAAAACGTAAGACGCTTTGTCTTATGATAGGCGTTCTGGGGCTAAGTATCGTCTTACGAAAGAGCATGAATCAAAAGTAACCGATCGAGCATATAAAAATCGAAGTGACCGATTCTAAATTCAAAAGTAACCGATTCTAAATTTCCACCCCTCACATATCCTGAGTTGAGCCTGGGTTAATAGGAGTGGATGCCATCACTTTGCCACCCATTTCTTGTGTTGGGGCGGATGCAGCCAATGTTGTCAGCAGCGGTCGCAACGCGCGGATGCAGCCAATGCTATCAGCAGCGGTCACAGCCAGCTCGCAGCCTAGCCGTGGGTTTTGGCGTTCATTTTCCAACTTCCTCTCACGAGCACATCGTCACCTCCTCCACTTCGCCCTACACGACTTTTTCGTCCGACTATGGTCGTCCCGACGAGTATGCTCGCCGCCGCAGTTGGGAAGAGGAAACGAGGCACCGGGCCGTCTCGTAACCAGAAGCTGCAGGCGAAGCGTGTGGCCGGTCGAGAACGGAACCAGGCTGCCGCGAACGGAACCAGGCTGCCGCGAACGGAACCAGGCTGCCGCGAAGAAGCGCAAGACGTCGTCGGGGGCTGTCACCACGAAGCGCACGCCGAAGACATCACCGCGCAAGCGCAAGACACCGGTGAAGCCCAAGCCGACGTGGACGCGCACGACTGTCAAGATGAAGCTGCGGCCGTTCTGCAAGGACGAGGGTCTAGCGCTCGCTTGGGACTCGGTGCTGAGGGACATGAACAAGATGGTGGCGGAGACTTACATGCTGGCTGCCGTCCACATGGTTCGTTGCTGCGAGCAAGGTTCCGACATCCCCATCTTGGCGCGTTCCTTCTACCAGCAGTGCTTGTCGGCCGTGAGCGGGGGGAACCTGCACCATCCACTAGCGACCATGACTGAAGAGTTCCGCGACTCGGTGGCGATCTACAGCGCGTGGCGAGGCGAGAGCCCGATCCCCAACAGGGACGCCATCAATCGTGGCTGGGCACAGGTGGCGGCCAAGCGCATGGCCCATGAAACCCAGAACCATCTCCAGCTCAACTTTTACCGGCGCTTCAAACAATACATCACGCTCCGCTACGGGCTGGCTGGCCGCGATCGCTACCTTGTGCTCAAGGGCATCCTCGACCCCGAGTACGACGGAGACAACGAGATCGTGCTGGAGTACAGAGAATTGATCCCCCGCAATGATGAAGGATATCTGGATCAGCGAGCTAGCGAGCTACTCCCGCTTGTGCACATGTTCCTCACTTTCGTGGAGGACCACAACCGCGAGCACGAAGGAGAACCGGGTTTTGAGATGGCAAGGACTTACTCGCTGCTACCAACGAAACGGGGCTTCGTCTGGTCTCACTTCACCATGTCCTCTCGCGGCTTGCGGGCGATGCTGATTCGAAGTGGGTATGATGTTCCAGAAGAGGGCAGCGACTGGAACGCTGTCGCGGACAGCGCGTGGCGGCAGCTCTTCAACTGGCCGCGATCCGACCCGGACGATCGTCGGCTTTGGGGACTGGAGCTGCTCCGACTTTGGCGGCGTGATCAAGAAGTCTCCGGGCGGCCCCTCCGAGCGGTTCATGCGTGAGCTCTCGAACTGCCGGGTGGAGATGGAGTCCGAGTACCGCACCAGCAAGGTGCACCACGGCTGCAGGCAGGCGCACCCCGGCGACCTCGTGAACCAGTACCAGCGCCAAGAGTGCCGAGACGGCGTTGTTCGCAATCGCAAGATTCACAGTGTACTCCATTGTCTTCGCAACAATGGCGGATGCGGTATTACTGTGAACAGCGATTTGAACGCCTCTCGCAACATTCTACGCGCCTTCGAGCTACGTCTGAGCGGGCAGCCACGCCCGCCAGAGCTAAGTAGGAGTTCACAACAAATGTCGACCTAGTGCCGCAGTGCTAGATCGTTCACTGCAGGGTTGCGAGATGGGGGTTTTCGAATTGGGAATAAACCATTTATTCCACCCACCCACCCCAAGTCATCCGGGGTCGGTCTTTTTAGGGATATTCATAAAACCCATCCACCCATTGACTAAGCGCTATTTATTAGTTTTTATACTCAATTTAACGCCAAATGCATGTAAAAACGCTAATATTTGAGGAAAGCCGAAGGTGAAATGATGCTCTGCAATTGTTATAGGGCTCAAATCGAATGTTTAGACATTTATTTGCGTCTCTAGCCCGCTCATCACTTGCATTGGAGGCGCGGCGAACTCGAGTTTGGCTCACATCCGAATTCACTCTCCACCCCGCAAGCCGCTACCCGCCGCCCATAGCAACTACAACAGTAACTACAGCCATGCTGGCCCGATACTCGCTCCGACTACCCAAGGCTGCTGCCCGCTGCATCAGCTCGCCCACGCCCGCGCTCGTACTACAGCAGACGCCCGCCACCTCGGGCGGCTCCGCCAAGACGAGCGTGCCGCCGGTCTCCCAGGGCGAGAAGGCCTGGTGCGACATCTACGGTGTGGACTACGAGAAGTAGATCCAGGAGGCGCTGCACGAGTCCCCGGTCGCCGCGCAGGGCTCCGCCAAGCAGGTCAACTACTCCACGTCCAGCGTGAACCCCCGCAGAGCAAGGCCGATCTTAAATGTGGCACCATAACCTATTTCAACTAATATCAACTGATATTAACCTAATCCATTGCATGACTGCGGTTAAAGGGTTAGGTTGTATTTATCCAAAACCCTGACCACCCTTCCTTGCAAAAATATGGGGATTTTCACAACCCTGGTTCGCTGGAATCCTCGTACGGACGATGTCTCCCAGTATTGATTGGGACGAAGTCCCCATTATAATGACTTGGTACCGGTATACCTCTCCTTACCGTAGTGTCCGGTGACTAGTTGGATGAAATAAGTAGGTTTAGGGTTGCAATGTATAGCAGGGGCGGCGCCCTCGACCTCCCCGAATTTTACTTGGGTATAGTGTGCTTTTGGGCCCCTCGATCGAGGGGTCACCAGCCTTTTAGCAGTCTTTTAGTAACGCAATGCTTTGATGAGGGCCTTAAAGTAATGGTACATAAGTGCACGGCGCCCCTTCGTCTCGCGGTATTACGGCGGTATGTTTGCCTGCTGGCCGCTTGCTGCCCGAGCCAGATAATCCTTTTGCTTTCACTTTGGCATGGTAGCGAGCTATGCAAACAGACCCCGGTACAGCTGACCACCTCATCATGAACTAGATTGGACACGCTATGTTTTGCTGGGTTGTGAAGCCAACAACGCTGTTTCATCCGTAGGGCGAGATCTTAATCTTTATTACCCAGCCTCAAAGCCCACCGGTGGGCTTGGTCCAAATCCCACGCGTGGGCTCAAAAACAATAGTTGTAGATAATACGTTTTCGCTTTCCAAAGCAATGTAATTGATTCTAAAGAGCTCTAAATGGCACAATGAAGTACAAGTGACTTGCCACTGACCACCAGGAGCAACAACATTTATTTATCGGATCATAGTTAGTGCGGAAAGTCGATTGGTAATCTCCGTGCAGCCTATCTACCTCTAAAATGATACTTCTCTGGTCCACGATAATATGCGCGTAAGGTTTTATGTATTGAACACAACATATTTTAATTGGCTTAAAATATGAATTTCCGTCACCATCGAAAAATGGCCAAATCCTTCTGTGACACTGCTAATTTCCAGCCAACAATTCCCGAGCAATGCGCCAGGACGTGCCCGCGAGCGTTCGCGTAGGCGTCGCTCTGTTCATCGCGACCAAATTGAGAGAGGGGAGAGCACACAGGAGGGAGGCATTTAAGATGCGGCGAAGGTCTCTGAGATCTGGAGCCAGCGCACCGACCCCGCCGCGCTAGTGACTGTGCGCAAGCCGCGAGCCCCTATGACGAACAGCATACACTGCGTTGCCTAGCAGCCGCTACGGGTATACCCCGCGCAACACTGATGCCACCTGGAAGCCGGCGTGTTTGCGTAAAGCCTACCTACGCGAACACAACTTGTGTTCGCATAGAAAAAATTACACAACAAGATTCTGTATCTAATTTGTAGTATAGGAGGGTGAGACTTCAGAATGATTCACATGTATTATAGATAACTCTCTGCATAACTTTTTTCTTAAAACGCCATCTTAAACGTAGCATAAATATGAGGTGTGACCTGATTGGGCAAAAATATATTGTTGAATGCGAATCCCAGCCGTGCAAGCAGGAAAAACCTCGTTTTTATTGGAGGCTCTAGCTCTCACAAATCAACGCTGATGCCTCTAAATCGGAGATCATAAGAAAGCTTGTATCAAGCACAATCCGAGGCAATTCTTGGATCTAATATCGCTATTGTCGTTTATGTTTTACGAAAAAAAAATTATTGCATCGATAGATGAGCTCATGCAGTCGATTGTTTTACGGCCAAAGCCTCGCAGAAGCTGCTAATAAAAATATCATGTGCTTCAGCTCGATCTCAGCTTTTCGTTGCTACCTTGCTTGTTTGGCTACCAGTAGAATTGGCACAGCTATGGTAGAAAGAGTGATTCGCGCATATTATCGTGGACCAGAGAAGTAAGGTCAATGGTCCAGGCTCGACAGACACATTGAAAACTGCGCAGCAAGCTACATGAATTCACGTGATACATGCACTGTTGGGACATAACTGGTTAGCATTCAACAACCACAAGGCGTCAACTTGTTGTAGCCATGACGAAATTGTAGGGATTCCTACATTGGGAGTAAATAAGTGGTCCTGTAACGCTCTATCGCGTTGGTAGTGCTTACAATAGAGTCTACACAGTATTTAAATTGTTTATGTAGTCGGCTCTTGCTAAGTTTCACCCCCTACCACCATTAGAACGGCTAAGAAACAAAATATCGAACAGCTATAATAGAATTTTTGTTAGCTGCTGTTCCTACTACTGCAGTACTTGTTTAACGCTGTGCGGTTTGCATTCCTTCCCTTATATTGTGTGTTCTGTTCAAAATTTCCGCGGGCGGTTTGTTGAACTGCCCAAGTCAAATCTCCGGCCAATCTCCGTGGCCACTAGGATTGGTTTTAGGCACCCGTTTAAGTACGAATTGGTCTTGACTGACATGCGGGCAGTTGGACCATATGGTTTTGGCCCGGAGATTGAGCAAATGACATGAGTTTTGTATTTGGCGATTGGAGCGGGGTCTCCAAACCGCCGCGATTTGGAAAATTTGGCCGGAATTCACAATATGTGGAGGTACACCTCGGGTATACCAGCACCGGTTCTAAATACACTTAGCAAACAGTTTTGATCAGATCGCTATTTTCTCGACCATAATCTTTCTCCGGACATTTTTTTTCGTGAAGATGACTCCGTTTGAAGTCGGGCAAAAGGCGCTGAACAGACCTCTCTCTCGTTTATTTGTATGCAGAAGGTATCTCTAAATAGGCCAATCAACAATAGTGTCGGCTTTTGAAGTGAGCCCACGCGTGGGCTCAATGGGTAATAAAGGTTAATCCTTTAGTGATCAATATTATACTTGGATCTTGTATACTGAATTCCTTAGAGTACAGTGTAAAACATGCATAAATGCTTGGTTTTGCTCCGCACCCAGCAGCATAATATATCATTTTGCAGGGGTTTACCATAAAATTATTGCAATTATTGTTGTAAAACCTCGCAATATGCTTGGTTTTACGCAAGTGATACAATAGGTCAAAAGCAATAGAGGGGTGATTTGATTGGATTAAATTTGTAAAACAATGCATATTGCAAGGTTTTAAGACCACCAACCACAATAGGGTTAATAGATCTAGATATTCAAGCGGCCCGCTAGCTGAAAAACAACTTTATCGCAAGTAAGCCCTTGAACTTTATTCGTCATTGCAAATGCCAAACGGACCGGTAGTCGTATTGGAACAACTTTAACATCGCTTGTTTTCTTACTCCCGGTGTGTCCGCCATCGCGCAATAGCGCCCCTCCACATCCCCTCCTGTTAAAGATCGCCCCCACCGCGCCATGTACTACTACACCAAGGGCCCTTCCTCATCAAGATCACCCCCACCGCACACACAATTGTGGCCTCAACACCTCTATACACTACGAGCTACGCGCCAGACATCTCCGATATGTGATGCGGGAACAGCAGTAGTTTGGGAGAAGCGTGGGTACATCGTCAAAAGTACGTTACCGTAAATCACGGCGATCTGTAACGTCGTAAAAAGTTAAGTTTGGTTGTGTAAAAACTCTCGTAAAACGTTTCCCGCTGCCAACATGGGGTTATTTCCTACTGAGCGAGGGGCCATTCATTCCACCATCTCCCTGGTGACGGGGACCAGGAAGTTTAGCACAAAGAACGCCAACAAACTGCGTGCCCTAGAGCGCATCGACTCCGGTGAATCGATCGAGGCCCTACGGTGTCACACGAGTAACAATATGGCGTTGGGGGCAGCAGCTGGCGGCGCTGCAGGCCGCTAAACCGAAAGCTGTCTTTATAGGCACTAAGGTTCAGGTAGCGGCAGTCTCAGCAGAGAACGAACAACGGTACGGCTACGAAGATTGCGCAATGAGTGCTCCTAATAGGTTTCTAACGTTTGCTGCTCTTAGTTTACTCGGCTGGATTAGGCACATGCGAGGGGCTAAATACTTCTGCATCACTACAGAGTGTATCCGCTACGCTCTCGCATACTTTGACCCCCAATATGTCGAATCAAGAAGCCACGACGCGGTTAAAATGTACATATTTCGTTTCTTACGCCGCAACCGACTTACTTACCGAGGGATCACGCACCGAGGCCACGTTACACGGCCTGAAATGCAGGTAAAACATATTTTAGAGATGTTTTATTGCTGTTATACTAACTCGGTACCGTACTTAAGAGGTCGGCCCACCAGCAACTCGACCGAGCTTGTGACGGGGCACACAGCACTTCTTAACAGAGGAAGCAGGAGTATACAAACTCCAAGTGAACAGCCGTTCACGTGTCCCTGGTCTGAAGGGGACGACTTGACTTGAAAAGCGGTAGATCTAAGACTGAATGTATTTATAGGTTGGTACAGATTTGGCCTGCATACAAATCCTAAGTTCCCTATAGTTTGTGTCATACAAAATGTATCTGTTGGCTCTGAGGCCACTTGGGTCACTATCCAGGGGAGTGACCGATGTAGCCATCCCGGAATAGTGATAGGGTCACTATTCCATGTAACCCCGTTACATCCTCCCCCACTTAGATTCGATCTTATCGACCAATCAGAGTGAGGTTACGCCGGCGACTCACATTTCACTCGCACAGTCGAAATCCATCGACAACGGCGCGAGCTCTGGCGCCTCGGCTCCCGGGCCTCACAGAGCAACTGGCGCATCGCCGAGCAAGCTGCAGGGCCTACACGTCGACCGGAAGCATGCCTCCAAAGCGCAGTGCGCGCAGTGCGAAAGCACCTCCGAAACCGCGGGCCGTAGGGCCGAAGACCAGGGCGGCCAAGCCAAGGATGAGTCGTCCGCGCTGATGGAGGCCACGAAGGCGGCCGAGGAGGTGGTGCGCTCTCGTAGCAGCACGCCGGAGAGTGGCCGTCAGGGCGGGGCTCGGAGCAAGTCTCCTTACGCCGCGCAAGGCAAGGAGAAGAGTCCTCGGGGCCATAAAAGCCCGGCTCGCGACTGGGAAGCCGCCGTCTTTGAGTGCACGATGGTCCAGTACTCCGGTGAGAGTTCACCCGACGACGAGAACGTCTCGGAGGGCAGCACGCACGCTGCCGAAGGCACGGAGCTGGCGGCAGGCGACATGCCCAACGCCTCGGCCGACGCAAAGGCCTCGTCAGAGAAGGAGGCGGAGGACGCCGAGTCCGGCTCAGGCGACAGCAAGCAGTCGCACGACGAAGTCGCCATGGCCGACGCTGGGGTCGTGGCCGAGAAGTCGCCGAGCGACGCGGGCTCCAAGCCCAAGGAGGTGCTGCTGGCATCCAAGCATCTGACGCTGGCACAAGGTCGTGAGCGTGCCCAAGCGTCGAAAGCGGCTGCCGCTGCGAAGGCCGCCGAGGCCAAGGCGAAGAAGCGTTCGGCTTCCAGGTCGCCTCGCGGCTCCAGCTCCAAGCTGTTCATTGACTCGGAGTCTGAGGACGAGGAGGGTGCCGTCCACGAGCCCAAGGAGCTCTCCAACAACCTCGACGAGCAGCAGCAGCAATACCACGCTGCTAGCTCGGTGCGTATGCCAGGCAGCCGACTGCCACGACTGCCATCGAGTCTTCTTCAGGCGGGGATGCCACGTACCCGCAGGGCTACTTCCCGCCCGAGCCTGGCACTGGTGTGCCAGCGCTGTTAGAGAAGCTCTCGGCTCCTCGTGGCCTTATCGGCGGGTACACCTCGAGGGGTTCCTATGAGCGTGCTCTTGTTGAGAAAGAGCCCCTCTTTCTTGGCGACGTTGAAGTCGGCCGGTGTGTGCTACTAGCACCACACAAGCTCACACTGAAGGAGTTCACCACGCTTCGCAAGAAGCCGGAGGACAAGGGTGGACTCCATCCTGTGTGGGGTTTCCACTGGGTCAAGCCGAATGACAACATGACCTGGAGCGAGGTGGAAGACCTCTTCTGGCGCTACGTCCAGCGCAAAGGGTATTCCGACCAAGAGTTCAAAGAACTCCGTGAGGATCGCACTCTGTCCGCAATCCTGGACGTGCGCGAGCTCCGCATCGAGTTCGCTCAACTCGTGAGCAAGCGCAAGCTCCACTCGAAGATGGACGAGCTGAAGCAAGAGGCGAGAACCAAAGCTCGTGAAGAGCGTGGGCGTGGTGCGACTACGTCTGCTACCGGGTACCGGCCAAGAAGCCAAGGACTACTTACGAAGCTGCCGCTGCTTCTCGTCCCATATCGCAACAGACTTCGGGCAGTCTGCCTGGAGCTGCTCAACGGGCTCCCACGAGTTATCCGACTCAGGGTAACCCCTCCACTTCACGAGCAGCTGGCGCTTGCCATGGAGCAGCCGCTCCCGGACGACTCGTTCCACGTGGTAGTGGATCTGCCTATTACGATCAAGAAGGGCCGGCGGTGGCCTCGCACGGCCATGGCTACGAGCCTGAGGCGACGCAGCCGTATGCTGGGGCCCCGAGTCAGGTGGTGGCCCTGCAGCAAGAGGAGATTCGTCTTCTCCGGGACCGTGTGTACGTCCTCGAGATCGCGCTTGGCGTCGGCCTTGGTGGCGAGGCTGCCGCTCGTGCTGGTCAGCCTGGTGCCGTGGAGCGGCTCCGTGAGGATGTTGCCTCGCTCTATCAAGAAACTCGCAGTCTCCATGGCCGTGTGGATCGTCGAGCCGACCTGTCGTCTTACGACTCGCTGCGAAACCAGCTCGCTGGCCTTCGGGCCGAGCTTCATGGCCACGCGCCGTATCCGGAGCAGCAGCAGCCCCACTCGTATCAGGCCCAGTTTGGCCAGGGCTCGTACGGGGCCCCTGCGTATGCTGCTCCGATGTACGCCGCGCCGTCTTACGACCAGCGCGCGTATCAGGCGCCTTACCGCGACTCGACGCCGCGCTTCGAGGAGGTGCGCTCTTCTCCACCGGGCCACCCACCGCTTCCTGCGGGGCAGCCAGAGCCAGAGGGTCATGGTACCTCTTAAGACGACCCACGTAAAACGTCGGGTGAGTCGTCATCGACTTGGGCAAGTCTATGGTGTACGCCGCGCCATGCCGGCTGAGGCCCGTGAAGGGTCCAATGAAGCGGTGCTTCAGCTTGTTGCTCTCGACCGAGCTAACAGTGTTTAGCGGTAGGTTTCTAGTATCTAGGAGAACTAAATCCCCAACCTTAAACACGTTCATGTTTCCTCTTCCATTTCGGTCAGAGTACTCCTTCTGTTTATCTTGGGCTTGCGCCATGGTGTCTCGCACCCTGCTGATTATGTTCAGCCTGTCTTCAGCAAACGAGGACAGTTGCTTCCGCAAGGTGGCTGGACTCACGTCCGAGACTTGGGAGGAAAAGGTTTTCCGAGCCTCTCCCCCACTTAGGACCGAAGCCCCGGTACTGCCTCGTAATGTGAGCGGCACCTGAGGGTGGCGCAACCCGTTCAGGTAAAAGGTAAAAGGGCGTAAAGCCCGTCGATGCATGTACCGCATTGTTGAGTGCGAACTCAACCATGGGCAAGCGATCAGCCCAAGAGCGGGGCATCTCCGCGCAGATACTGCGGAGCGTGTCTTCGAGCACGCGATTGACGCGCTCCGTCTGGCCATCCGTCTGCGGGTGGTCCGCCGTCGACATCGACAGGCGTGTGCCGAGAAGGCGAAACAGCGTCTGCCAGAACGTAGCGGTGAACCGCGGGTCTCGATCAGAGACAATGGTCTCGGGCAGACCGTGGTGTCGGAAGACACAGTCCATGAACAGGCGAGCGACCTCGTCGCCAGTGACGGTGTCACGAACTGGAGCAAAGTGGACCATCTTGCTCAGACGGCACACGAAGGCAACAACACCAGTGTTGCCACGGTCATCGGCCGGAAGTCCGAAGACAAAGTCGAGACTCATCGACTTCCAGCAGTCCGCTGGACCGGCAGGCTCTGCAATGGTGCCGAGGCGTGACCGGTAGCGCTGGCACGTCTCGCACGTACGGACTTAGGTGGCGACCCACTTGTACATGTGACGCCACCAAAACATCTGCGAGACAGACGCGTACGTCTTCTCACGGCCGAGATGGCCACTGGATGGAGCGTCGTGCGCCTCCATCAGGATGTCGTACTTAAGATCCTCATCGTTGGGCACGACAATACGGGGAGGATCCTCGGGCTCGACCCTATAGTGCAGCAAACCGTCAGCCCACTCATAGCGGTGCAGCCTTGCACGTTGTCGGGGCGTGAGCCACTCGGCCTTGGCTTCCGAGCCAGCGGCCAAGAACCGCACAAAAGGTCCGAGACTGGCATCGTCTCGGTACCCCAGCCTGATGCGATCATACAGACCCGTCGTGACCCGGCTAATATGAGCAAGCTCGTAATCGGGTCGGCGCGACAGCGCGTCGGCAAGCACGTTCAACTTGCCCGGCTTGTACTCGACACGGAAGTTGTATTCCGCGAAGAACGACAGCCAACGCGCCATCCGCTGTGAGAGATGCGGCGTGTTGACGGCAGTCCGCAAGGACGCGTGGTCTGTATAAACGACAAAGGGCGTCGAGCCCAGGAGGTGCACTCGGAACTTGACAAGAGCGTACTTCATGGCAAGTAGCTTCTTGTCGTGGACTGGATAGTTCCGTTCGGCTGTCTTGAGCTGCCTGGACTGGAACGAGATGACCCGTTCGCGGCCTTCATCGTCGGCCTGCAATAGCGCACAGCCAATTGCGTAGTCAGACGCATCACAGACTACGCTGAAAGGCTTCGTCTCGTCCGACAATGCCAGGACCGACGCGCGCTGTAAGCTCGCTTTGATGTCGTTAAAAGCATCTTGATGGCGACGCTTCCAGCGCCAGTCGACATCCTTCTTCAGGAGATCCGACAAGGGCCGTGCCAGCTCGGCGTAGCCTGCACTATACTTGTGCAGGTAGTTGGCGAGGCCCAACCGCTGTCGTAGGTCCTTCTGCTACCGAGGTGGCGGCCAAGCCGCGATGGTTTTCACCTTCTCCGGGTCCGCCCGGACCCCGGCGCTGCTGACGAAGCAGCCCAGGACCTTGATCTCCTCAGCTGCGAACACATACTTGTCGATGTTGGCGTACAGCTTGTTCGCCCGCATTACTTCGAACACACGTCGAAGGTGCTGGAGATGCACCTCCATGGCCGTCTGGCCTGCCTCGGCACGGCTGTGGACGAAGATGTCGTCAAAGTACGTCTGTGTGAACGCACGCAAAGGTCGTAACAGTTGTGTGACCAAGCGATTGAACGTTGCCGGGGCGTTAGAAAGCCCCTGAGGCATGACCAGCCACTCCCAGAGCATACCGCTCGGCGTGCTCACAGCCGTGAGTGGGATGTCGCTCTCGCGCATCAGGATCTGGTAGTATCCGTCCACCAGGTCCAGCGCGCTATACAGCGTGCAGCCGGCCATGTTGTTGAGCAACACGTCCTTGCGCAAGATCGGTGTCTGTCGCGCTGTTCAGCTTGTTATAAGCATGAACCAGACGCCACTTTCCGTTCGGTTTGCGAACACAGAAGGTAGGCGTCGAGTGCGGGGACTTCGACTCCCGCACCATGCCTGCCTTCGCCTTGGCGGCAAAGAAGGCATCAATGACTTCACACTGCTCCCGGGGAAGAGGCCATTGCCTCGTGACACAGTACTTCGTGCCCGGCACGAGATCGATCTCGTGCCTGATTCCCCTGTCCGGAGGGAGATTGGACGGTGGATCCTTGGACACCACGTCCTCAAACTCCTTCACCAAGGGGTACACCGGGTCCCGGGGGTTCTTAAGAATCTCAGAGCCCATGCGCGACGCGCGCTGTCTCTGTAACTCCTCCAGGACTGCCTGGTCCATGACCGAGGACGAGTTCAACTCGGCCGACGTGGACTCCGGTCAACTCTGCGATCTCCCAGGCCTTTAGCTCGGCCAAGTAGTCCTCCATGGCGAGCTCCTCAAGGTTCAGCAACTCTGAAACCTCGGGCAGAGCTGTAAGCTCGACAGCTCCTGTCTTTGACTTGACTTGAAAGGAGTTCTATTACGGGTGGACCTCGTTTGATGCTGATTTGACTAAGTACGGAAATATGCAACTTAACGATGGGCGATCCAGAGCGGCACTCTGGGGCGTGGAGTATCCCCGCAGCGGCTCGTCGAGTCATCCTCAGGGCCGGAGACAAGGCGCTGGATGAAGGAGTACAGAGTGGCTGTGTCGACCTTGATCATGTGGCGTCGACGGTTGAGCGAGCGCAAATGGGTAATGAAGGAGGACTTGACGCCGGCAGCAATGACCTTGGGGCTAGCAGCTTCCCGACCGAAAGCGTCGTTGGTTCGGTTGATCCAGGTGGCTCGCATGAAAATGCCGCGGAGTATCAGCCACAAGCCGTATGCCAGATCGTGGTGCGCTGCCCAGCTCGAGTGAAGCAGCTCCGTGGTCCCGAGGAGAAAGCCCAACCAGGAGGGCGTGCAACGGAGTAGCAGGGACCAGATTGGACGTAGTGCAGACCACATCTGCTGAGTTGGTGAGCAGAGCCAAAAGCAGTGGGCCAGACTCTCGCGCTGGTAGCAATCTTGTCTGGGGCAGGTGGTCGGGTCGCGGCGTCCGGTTTGGAGAAAGAAACGCTTGCTGTTCACGTGCATCAGCTCATGGAGCACCCGAAACTGGATGTCGTAGGTGGTAGGCAGCATCCATCGCTTGACTAGCGCCAGTCGGTTGGAGTGACCTTTGAGCGCGCTAACTTCGCAATGAAGGCGTTTGGCTCGAGACTCCCATGCCGAGGTCGGAGGACGGAGGAGCGCGGTCCAATCTTGCTTGCGGAGATGAGGAAAGAACCGAAAGCGTGACTGTGTCGTGACGCCGAGTAGACCGGCGACTGAGTCTGGACGTTGGAGAACGACGAGTAGACCACCGGTGCTGGTTGTAATGGCGTGGATCACCACGGACAATCTCTGAAAGACTCTCATCAACAAAGCGTGGGCATCACGAAACCGGAACAGTTCATGGCGGCCGAGAAACCAGTGCATGAAGTCAGCTAGAGAGAAAGTGGCTCCAATAGGTTCCAGAAAGTCGACGAGAGACCGGTAACCGAGAAGCTCCAGTTGATCGCAGAAGGCGTGGAATGTCGGCAGTCCGTCGGATAGAGGTTCGAAATGGTCTCGTGAGCTTGATGGGATTTGCAAGCGTGGCAGGATGCTGCACCACAGCGGCGCGTGGAGAAGATGGCGTTGATGAAGGGTGTTGGGCATCGGTGGCTGTTGCATACGTGGAGCTAGTTCATGCCACTGGCGCCACGCTCATTTCCACCATGACGTGACGTAGCCAGGTTGACGACCACGGGCGGATAGGTAGAATATGTCGTCGAGACGGGTCGAGTGTGAAATCTCACCGCCGTAGGCGGCCCAAAGGGGGAGAACTGCCCAGAGCGGAATCGTAGATGTGGTCGACAATTCGACCGTCGCTGCAAACTCTTGGAATAGTCGCATCTTGTGGCGCGTGAGGAACAAGGCGAGTTCTGGGACACCGAGGCCTCCTTGCGCTGTCGGAGTCACTGCCAATTCTGCGGTGGTAAGGCGGATCCGAGCTGAGGCGGGTGGTACTTTCTTGTAAACGACGAAGTCAGTGATCATGCGCTGCCATCTGTGGATCGTGGTCGGACGGATGACGAGATGAAGGGCTTTGTACCAGAGCAAGGAGAGTACCATCGTCGTCACTATCAGTTTGCGGCCTTCGAAAGTGCGGGCGCGATACTGCCATCGTCGCAGTGCTTGGCTCAGCTTCTGGTCAAGGTCCCGCTCCGTGGCCTCGGCGTTAACATTATACCCGAAGTCGATGCCTAGGTATCGAACACGTTCATCGGCTGCGACTACCGGCAGCGGAGCCGAAGTTATCCTGGCGGAGGTGCCAGACAGCGGAAGCAGTCTTGATTTGGAGGCATTTAATTTGGCTCCGGAGCCCGCGCAATAGACTTGGACTGTCTGAAGTTGGGCGTGTACCCCCTCGATGGACGCTGCGAGGAGCAACGAGTCATCCGCGAAGAAGAGGCTTGTAGCAATGCGGCGCATAGGCAGAGGGATACCAACGCCCGGTTGACGACGAAGCATCACTCCTAGAGGGACCATTGCCAGCAGGAACAAGTACGGCGAGAGCGGATCCCCCTGCTTCATACCACGAGACGGGAATAATTTGGGTTGGCTCCAGCCGTCCAGCATGAGGGAGCAAGCTGGTTTCAAGTAAAGAATGTGGATCCACTTGAGGAAGCGGGGACCAAACCCTTGTCGTTCCATGACACGAAGCAAGTACTTCCAATCGACTCGGTCATAAGCCTTCTCGAAGTCTAGAAAAGCGGCGAACCCCGATTGACCCGTGGACTGGCAGAAGGCTTGCAGGTCCAAAAGCAACAACAGGTGGTGATGGAGCGAGCGACCGGGGATGAAACCTTGCTGGTCCTCATGGACCAACTTGTGCATCAGAGGCTTTAAGCGCTCGACGAGAACCCTGGAGAGCACTTTTACCTCCACTGGCATCAACGATATCGGTCGGTAGTTCTCCACACGCGCTCTCGACCCTTTCTTGTGCAGCAAGAAGACTTCGGAAAGGTCTGGTGGCTTAACAGAGTGCCGCGCTGGAACTGACCGTCGAATACCCGAGCCAAAACTTCCCCAAAGATGTCTGGAGCAATTTGATAGAAGCGTGCCGTTAATCCGTCGGGACCCGGTGCACCGTCGCTCCGCATCGAAATGATCGCCTCTGTAAATTCCTCTGTGGTGAACTCGCTGTCGAGGTCCAGAGCCTCGGCTGGTGCAAGCACATCTTCCACTGCATTGACGAGCTGATCCTGAGCAGACAGGTCGACAGCGACGTCTTGTGAGTCCGTGACAAATCGTTTATCGCCGAAGATACAGCCCCATTTCTGCTGGAAAGTCTCGTAGATGGTTGCCGGATCCGTGGATACGGTCCCATCCTGCGATCGAGCGGTACCCGCCGCGCAGGCTCCAGTGGACGAAAGAAGGCCGACGAGTTGGTCTCCAGCGCAGTCGCTAAATAGTCAAATCGATAGCTTCTCCTGTAGACTTCACGTTCCTCCAACATGAGTTCGACGTCCCGCTTGGCACTATACCATGCGATGGCCACCGCTGGGGAGGAGTCCACTGCTCGCAGCGATGACAGCCTTTCCAGACGGCGGACAAGGGCGTCGTGAACATGACGATTTCGCGCGCGGAGGAAACTGCATTGGCGTTGTAGTTACTTACGGACCCGGTATTTCCAGGCTGACCAGAGGACGCCTGGATTGTCAGAGCTAGGGAGGCTACGCAGCAGCTCGGCGGCCGCCGTACGAATTTCCTCTCGGATACCTTCGTTGTCAAGTAACCACCGGGGCACTCGCCATGAAGCCGGACCGCGTGGATGATGCCAACTGGTTAGCTGGAGCTGGACGCCGAGGTGATCTCCTCCTTTGTCCAGGTTCACGTACGCGGAGTCAGCGTACTGATGAGTGCAGAGGTCCTCCGAGACGGCGATGTAGTCTATCCTGTTTGCCCTTGTGGGCCCGGAGAAAACATAGTCCGCTGGATGATGGGTCCGCCAACAGTCCTCCAGTGCCAGGGCAGTCATCCAGTCCCGACATTCAGCTTGGCTCGGGTCTGACGCGGGTCGTAGCGCGTCAAGCGAGGGGTTCAGCGTCAAGTTGAAGTCGCCACACGCAATGTGGACAATATCCTCAGGGAAAGACCGAGGTAACGTTGCGAAGAAGTTATTGCGTTCCCTGCTGTCATTGGGGGCATATATGTTGTGGATATACACCACCGAAGGCCCGATCACCAGTCGTACGATTGAGTATCTGCCCTCGCGACGGTGCTGAACAAGTTCCTCCGCAGATGATAACCGGGTAAGCTGGGGTCAATGACCGTCACGATGCCACCGCTACGAGTGGTCCTTGAGCCCGTGTGATTTTCGTTCCTGTCATTGATGAAAGCTTTGCGCTTGGCCGAAGCCTCCACCACGAAACGCAACGTCGAGGCTTGAGACGCATCACGCAGCTTGGATTCCTGGATACACACAATGGCATGGCGCCGGGCGAGGTGGGCCACTTCCGTGCCAGTTGGAGATATCCCGTTCAAATTGGCGGAGAGCACGCTGAGGTTATGCCAGTCCGGCAAGACCTTAGCTGCGGTCGGGGCCCATATCCTGGTCGGCCGTCGCTGGGTTCACCTCTGACAGCGTCAGGTCCATCCAGACCGTGTCGGCGGAAGCTTGCAACCCAGAGAGCTCGAGTAGAGTGGCGAGGCCTGGCAGCCGAAGAAGGCTTTCCGTGACAACCGTGACACCGTAGCTGGAGTGGATCAGATCTCGCAGCGTGGCTTCCGCCAGAAGACGCAGCCCTTTACGCTTCAAGAAGGACGGGGAGCTGGTCGCGAAGATGGCGAGCCACGAGTCGTCTCGAAACGTGTGAGTAGCCATAAGAATCAATAGTAGCTCGAAGAGACTGAGTGGAGCCAGCCAATGCGACCTTCTTCGGATGACCCTGCCGCAGCTGTGATAGAGGCAATGAGTTGAGAGCGGGACCCAGAGTGGAACTGATCGACAGTCGCGAGCCGTGCTGTAAACGACTTGGAGCTGGCGTTTGGCAGGCGGAGCAATTGCCGGTTCAGAGCGTGTAGCGAGATGAAGTCTTCGAACTGATCGACCACCTCGGAAGCTTGGAGTGCAAGTTGCCAGGCATGAGGAGCCGCCACTATCGAATTAAGTAGACTCTCCGCGCTTTTGGCCCTGGATAACTCCAACTTGACCGCCTCGACGTGGCGTTCGGCCATCCCTATGGCGTCGGCGTCCACTGCGGCTTGAGCTGTTAGCGATGTCTCCTCGAGTTCCTGTAGAGCTTTGGTGATGGCTTCATCGGCGTCGGGGTCTTGGGAACCAGACGAGTGGTTTGGGCGCTTCGACATGAAGCGGTGGCGGACTCGGGCTTTAGTAGCTGCAGACACCATAGGCAGAATCTGATAGATGACAGCGTCCTCCTCGTTGGCTGTGGCGACTTCTAGGTTGGCATCGCCGTCGAAATCGTCAAGTACGTTAAAGCGATTTTTAACCCGCAGCGTTGGGGAGCGAGGCGGAGAATGGCTCGGCGAGTGAGCGCGCTTCCCCCCCGAGACTTGCTCCAGCATTGCCTCGTCATCGTGGACCGGCTCCACCGCACCGACCACCTCCCTGCCCAACATGGAGCGTGCGCGCGAGTCTGCCGACTGAGTCGGCACCCCACCACCCTCCTCAGGCTGGGGTGAGTGACTCGACGGTACAGCTTCCTGGGGAGCGACAGTCTGTCCTGGATCTGAAGGAGCTGGCGTGGCCGCAGCTGCGTTTCCGGTGACTGCAGCCGTGGGCCTGTCGTCACCACTTGATTCTCTCGTGCGCTGATGCACACGCAGTGCCGGGGTTTCCCCCGGTGGGTTTTGACGGCGAGGTCGGCCCCCAGACGCGTCATTCTTACCGAAGCATCGGTAGGATTTCCTCCCCACACGGACGTAGGAGCGTAGGCTCCCATCGCGGAAGGGGCTTGGTGGAGCCTCTTCCCCTGGAAGTAGAAACGCCACGTTGTAGAGCAAAGGCCTGAGACCTTATCGTAGGCAGCAGGTCGGAAGTACACAGGTTTAGCCCCACGAGAGGCCAGGGACCTGAACACGGTGAGCGCCTCCTCCGCGGTAGTGAGGCCGATCACATCAAGGAAGAAGCATTGAGCCAGAGGCGATTCTAGCCCAATCCGGAACTTCCTCCCCATGATCGATACCTCTTCGCCATTCAAAGCTTGCTGCGCTTCGCTTGTGCGAACCAGGATGCGTAAGCCGCCATCTCGGCGTTTGTCGATCGCGCCGAAAGCATGCTCACGCAGTAGACGTTTGAGAACCGAGTTCCCGTTGTCCCGAATAAGAGAGTCCATGATGCGTGGCATCGACACCCCTTGGAAGAAGTTGCCGGAGTCAAGCATCAATGGAAAGGTGGCAGTGGCAGTGGCCGTGCCAGTAGGCCGAGTCTCACACACCCGACGGAGGAAGTCCTCAAGGGGAACATCAGCCCGGTGATGGTCGAAGAGCTCTTGAAGCTGCGCAGGCGAGGGGAGTGGTTCCTGAAAGTCAGGTCGAGCACCGCCGCGCAGGCCGTGGAGGTGTTCAGCCATCGATGGCCCCACCGAGGGGATCACGGTGGCAGACATGGTTGGTCGTTGTTCGTTGGTGTCCGTTGGTTGGGCGGAAGAGCGCAAAAAACGAAGTCTCTCCTGTCTTGACCCGACGACCGGTCACGCCGTCGAAGATGTGATAACACTCTTCGGCGGCTGGAGCCTTGGCTGGAGGCTCGGAGTCGCTGGCGACTGGCGTCGTCGGCCACATGACTAGGCCCGGTTTACGACGTGACCCTCGGGTGTCTTCGTCTCGTGGCGCCGCCTTGACGGCACCACCGATCTTCTCGATCTCGTGCGGAACTACGTTACCCGCCTTGCCCTTGAACGGAACTTGGTTACCCGCCTTGTTTTTGAGCGGAACTTGGTTACCCGCCTTGCTGGGCGGAACTATGTTACCCACCTCGCCGTGTGGAACTTGGTTACCCACACCAGGAGCGCTTCCAACGACTCCCGCATCAGTTATAGTCTGAGTGACCTCGCGTGGAACTTGGTTACCCACCCCAACGCTAGCGGCGCCTTCTCCAGCAGCCCTTGCTGCCTGCGGTACTTCGTTACCCACGTGTGGACCTACGTTACCCACCTGGTAGGTGCTGTCCGGCACCTCCACTCTCAGGCCTTGTCCGGCCCGGTCGGAGTCGTCGTCAGTCTCGACGGACCCCAAGAACTCATTAGACGCTGCTGCGCCCTAGCGGCCCTCGCGGGCGCCCCAGCTGCTGCCAGAGGTGGGAACATGACTCACCAAAGCTCTGTCAGAGCGTGGGGGACGGCTGGCCCCGATGGCCTTGCCGCGCCAGTCGATCCAAGGCTCGTGTTTCTCCAGCCACGGCATGCCAAGGATCAAGTCGTACTTGTCCATGTCTAGGACCAAGAACGACTCCGTGCTGTCGAAGTCCTCGAACTTGACAGTGAGGTCCATGTGGACCCGAGGTACTTCTACCACCGTACCGTCGGCCAGTCTTACCGAGACCAGCCCGTTGCCTTTGCTGCCTCGTAGCGCATCGGCGTACTTGTCGCGATTGCGGCGACAGTCTGGCGGCGCGCAAAGTTCTTGGACGCCCCAGAGTCGATCAAGATTCTCAAGGGATGCTCGAATCCCGGTACACTCGCGCGCACCACAAGCAGCCCATCGCTGCCCTTCTCCGCTTCGAGAGTATAGAGACTCTCAGGGGCTAAGTCACCATGGCGTGCGCCACCCGCACGCCCCTCATGAACTTAGTGTTTCCCCAGTAGGGCGCCCCGCCCCTACTGTTGTCCGGCGTTCCCCTGGTTCGTGGGGCGCGGCTTCTGCCAGCGACCCTAGAGCCAAAGCGCTTCGAAGAGAACTTCTTCTTCAGTCCTCCCGCGGGACAAGCACGTTTCATGTGCCCAAGCTTGCCACAGCCGTAGCAGCGAATGTCGCTCTGCTCGGCCATGCCCAGATCCATGGGAACCGGCCCGTTGATCGCTCCATTGCCGGAGTTACCATTAGGCGCACCGCCAGAGGCAGGGTTGCTCTGCCATACCGTGGCGGGGGTACGAGCCTGCTTGTGGCTGTACTCCTCCTGGAGGGCGATTTGAATCGCCTCCTCCATAGTGTTTGTTTGCACACGGAACAGTTGCGTGCGGGCAGGACCGACACGCAGACCACGGTCACCTTGATGTGTTCAGGCAGGGGGTTCCCCACCAAAGAGGCAGTGAGCACTCGCATCTTCTGGATGTACTCATGCAGCTCGCGCCTTCCTTGTTTGCAGGCGAGGAAGCGCGAACGCTGGCGGTACTCGTAGTTCGCCGGAAGAAACGCGGCCCGCAGCTGCTCGCACAGCTGGGACCATGATGCGAAGCATCCAGGCGTCCTCGCTTCGCGCGTATACGCCCAACTCTTAGCGCGATCACTAAGGTTGGAGAGCGCAAAGGTGACACGGAGTCGCTCGTCCGAGACGAGAGCCGCGTCCATCGCGAGCTCAACCTCTCGAACCCAGAAGTGAAGGTTTTCTCCTTCCTTCCCTTCGAAGGGGTGAACCTTCAGCCGCAGGGGCTTCGGTTGCACTGGCTTCGGCGCGGTCGCCGTGGCCTGCAGCCCTTGAACGTGGGCGATGAGCCCTCGCTCGTAGGTGTCGAACGCGTTGATACGCTCAACCTGCTCAGCCGGCGTCGCCGCCGCTAAGCTACGCAGGGCATCTGTCCCAAAGATGCCTGCCATCTTACGAACGGACTCGTACTGCGAGTCGTTCAGATGGGGAAACTCCGTACGATCCATCTTGGCTCACTCGATGAGACCACAGAGGATTCAGGTAGTCCAATCTACCCGCGTAGGCGTAGGATTGACTACAAGTGCTACCAAGTGTGACGGGGCACACAGCACTTCTTAACAGAGGAAGCAGGAGTATACAAACTCCAAGTGAACAGCCGTTCACGTGTCCCTGGTCTGAAGGGGACGACTTGACTTGAAAAGCGGTAGATCTAAGACTGAATGTATTTATAGGTTGGTACAGATTTGGCCTGCATACAAATCCTAAGTTCCCTATAGTTTGTGTCATACAAAATGTATCTGTTGGCTCTGAGGCCACTTGGGTCACTATCCAGGGGAGTGACCGATGTAGCCATCCCGGAATAGTGATAGGGTCACTATTCCATGTAACCCCGTTACAGAGCTGCTCAGCTAGGAATGTATATCATTCTCACCAATCGCATAGTTTCACTTCTCTCATTGGCCAAAACCCTTTCAATACAAATCAACACGCAACAGTTCGCAATCGCCGACGTGGCAAAAGCTAGGCGCTCCAATATGGCGCGGCTCGACTTCTTCCGGTGCGTGCTCTCTCGTATTAATTAATATCACCCGAACTCAACGGCGCTGGGCTGGGGAGCTGGAGGAAGTGCGCGAAAACAAAGAAAATGTCACTCTATCGGGGTTACTGATTATATTTTTATTTTTTTATTTGACCACGTTGAAGTTAATCAGCGGCCTGCAGGGCTCGCATCCGTTCTTGCAGCGCCTTGGTCTCGAGTTGTATGCGCCGGCGCTCGGCGTTCAGCAGCTCTTCGTAGCTCGACCTTAATGAAGCGCAACAGGAGCGTGTTAGTCTACCGATAGTATCTCTAGTTCTAGGTGTCCGAGTTTCGTACGGTGAAGACTGGGCTCGAGCCGCCGGGGGTCCGAGTTTGCGATCAAGCACCGATATGCCGTTCCGAGTCTTGCCGGCTACTTGGGCTCGCGTTTCGCACGTCTTCTTCGAGGGGGAATCTTTTGCCAGGATTATCAGCCTCGGAGGCTGCTGCGGTACCGTCTTCGCAGTCGAGGAAAGCGGCTCCTCGCGACCTCTCTTGATCAATGCGCTCTTTGTTCTTTCGCGCGGCTGCCTATATATTGTCGAGATGGGAGAACTCGCGCTGTCAGTAGACCTCAACGGCAGTTCATGGTGAGAAGCGAGTAAGTACTTCAAACCTGGTTTTCGAAGAAAAGTTGGCGAGCGAAGTCTTTGGCGTCGTTGGTGGAGTTGAAATTCGGGTCTGATCCTCTTCACGATCGTGGACGGCGTCACCATTGCTTACGCAGTTGGAAGTCCGAAGTGGTGACACAGTCTCCTCGAATGGAAGGTCTCTGTTTCGTGCGGCGAACTGCTCGAGAAGCATCGGCTGGTGCGATGTAGCCACACTCACTATCTGCAGCATGTGGAGCGAAGGTTAGAATATCTTTCAAGTCTGGCCGTCTCTGCGAGGGCCACAAGCGGTTAGAACGCAACAACTTTCACTTGTACTAACTAACTAAGCACGTACGAGGGGGTCTTTCTCGAGCAAATTGGTTATCAGAGCTCGGAACGGTGGCGAATAGTGGTGAGAGACTGACGGTGGTTCGCTGTTCAGAATCTTGCCCATAGGGCCAAACCAGTGAACGGCGGAGAAAAGGTGGCGAGCTCATGGAGTACACAGCCAAGACTCCATACGTCGCTTTTGCAGCCGTATCCCCACCTTCCAGGAGTTCAGGGTCCTAGTAAAATACTTAGTAAAATGAGCAAACTAACTGCATGGGGCTTACATTCAGAACATCCTGCTCGACGGCGACGCCATCGTGAAGCTGAGCGTCTAAACTGATATTAATTAATATCAATGCTGGGAGACCTCGTCCGTACGAGGATTCCAGCGAACGATCTAGCACTGCGGCACTAGGTCGACATTTGTTGTGAACTCCTACTTAGCTCTGGCGGGCGTCGCTGCCCGCTCAGACGTAGCTCGAAGGCGCGTAGAATGTTGCGAGAGGCGTCCACATCGCGGTTCACAGTAATACCGCATCCGCCATTGTTGCGAAGACAATGGAGTACACTGTGAATCTTGCGATTGCGAACAACGCCGTCTCGGCACTCTTGGCGCTGGTACTGGTTCACGAGGTCGCCGGGGTGCGCCTGCCTGCAGCCGTGGTGCACCTTGCTGGTGCGGTACTCGGACTCCATCTCCACCCGGCAGTTCGAGAGCTCACGCATGAACCGCTCGGAGGGGCCGCCCGGAGACTTCTTGATCACGCCGCCAAAGTCGGAGCAGCTCCAGTCCCCAAAGCCGACGATCGTCCGGGTCGGATCGCGGCCAGTTGAAGAGCTGCCGCCACGCGCTGTCCGCGACAGCGTTCCAGTCGCTGCCCTCTTCTGGAACATCATACCCACTTCGAATCAGCATCGCCCGCAAGCCGCGAGAGGACATGGTGAAGTGAGACCAGACGAAGCCCCGTTTCGTTGGTAGCAGCGAGTAAGTCCTTGCCATCTCAAAACCCGGTTCTCCTTCGTGCTCGCGGTTGTGGTCCTCCACGAAAGTGAGGAACATGTGCACAAGCGGGAGTAGCTCGCTAGCTCGCTGATCCAGATATCCTTCATCATTGCGGGGGATCAATTCTCTGTACTCCAGCACGATCTCGTTGTCTCCGTCGTACTCGGGGTCGAGGATGCCCTTGAGCACAAGGTAGCGATCGCGGCCAGCCAGCCCGTAGCGGAGCGTGATGTATTGTTTGAAGCGCCGGTAAAAGTTGAGCTGGAGATGGTTCTGGGTTTCATGGGCCATGCGCTTGGCCGCCACCTGTGCCCAGCCACGATTGATGGCGTCCCTGTTGGGGATCGGGCTCTCGCCTCGCCACGCGCTGTAGATCGCCACCGAGTCGCGGAACTCTTCAGTCATGGTCGCTAGTGGATGGTGCAGGTTCCCCCCGCTCACGGCCGACAAGCACTGCTGGTAGAAGGAACGCGCCAAGATGGGGATGTCGGAACCTTGCTCGCAGCAACGAACCATGTGGACGGCAGCCAGCATGTAAGTCTCCGCCACCATCTTGTTCATGTCCCTCAGCACCGAGTCCCAAGCGAGCGCTAGACCCTCGTCCTTGCAGAACGTCCGCAGCTTCATCTTGACAGTCGTGCGCGTCCACGCCGGCTTGGGCTTCACCGGTGTCTTGCGCTTGCGCGGTGATGTCTTCGGCGTGCGCTTCGTGGTGACAGCCCCCGACGACGTCTTGCGCTTCTTCGCGGCAGCCTGGTTCCGTTCGCGGCAGCCTGGTTCCGTTCTCGACCGGCCACACGCTTCGCCTGCAGCTTCTGATTACGAGACGGCCCGGTGCCTCGTTTCCTCTTCCCAACTGCGGCGGCGAGCATACTCGTCGGGACGACCATAGTCGGACGAAAAAGTCGTGTAGGGCGAAGTGGAGGAGGTGACGATGTGCTCGTGAGAGGAAGTTGGAAAATGAACGCCAAAACCCACGACTAGGCTGCGAGCTGGCTGTGACCGCTGCTGATAGCATTGGCTGCATCCGCGCGTTGCGACCGCTGCTGACAACATTGGCTGCATCCGCCTCAACACAAGAAATGGGTGGCAAAGTGATGGCATCCACTCCTATTTTTATTAGAATTAACTCAGGATGAGTAGTCGAACGTGCTGGCTGTAGGTGATCACCGCGGGTATTACCGGACTGATCGACGTACGCTTCCCGGTCGAAACCCGCATGTACACGGCTTAGATGTCACCAAAAGAAGCAACTCCTGCTTACGTGCTTTCCTGCTGCCACTGCAAGAACGCGTCCAGATCTCCACCGCTGGCGTACTCCATGACAATTGCCAATTGCGTGTCATCTTCAACGAGCTCGACGAATTGCGCGTGATATTTATCACCTGTTACTTTAGCACTCTTCGGCTGTTGTCTCTCCAGCCCCTGTCCACCTGTCGTTAGCCCTGCTCGGCTGTCGTCTGTTAATAACCTTTGTCAAAGAATATATGAGACGACGGCAAACAAAATGATACTTATCAACCTAAGTACGAATCGCGATTTAGGCGCATAATTGGAAAGAGGGATGTCTCCTCTTTCGTTTGAGCCCCTCCCGAGCTTCTGGTATGAAGAAACGACCGAGAACGAGACCGTCAAAAAAATATATGTCCGACTTCAACCCCGAAAGGGAATTTATTTTTTTGATGAACTGGTGTAAAATTAGTCAGCGAATCCGACAATGTTGTCCGTTTTAGCTAATTCGAAGCCTAACAGTGTTAGAATCTCACTTTTGTGCCGTCACTTCAAATCACCAGGGGTATATTTTTGAATGTTTTAGAAAATTTGATATCTGGATGTAAGTAACATTTTGAATGAACTGTGGACATAAGTATCATAATGATCGACTACAACCTTGGGCTGCCTATTCTTGCTCAGCAGGCAGATCCGCAGTAGCTTTGTGCTTCTTGTTCTTTTGCGTCTTCTTTGCTGCAGTAGCCCTCTTCTTTGCTGGGTTCTTTTTCGTCGCAACAGCCTCCGTGATACCACGCTGGTCTTGGTTAGCCTTAGCCGCCACGGCCATTGCCGCGCGATGCTCACGTCGTGCTTGTTTCCGTGACTTGGCATCTTCTCCTTCCTGCTCGCTAGGCTTGGCGTAGAGGGGATCGCTCTGAAATTCAGCAGGAACGTAGGGCCTGATGTTGTGGTACATCTGCGCAATTTTCTCGGTGTTGCGGACAGGAGGGGACAGCGTCTCGATATGGTCCGTCATCATCCGCTGCACCTTCTCCTTCGTGGTGAAGATCCCGTCAATTTGACGGCTCAAACTAATCTCTACAGGTTCGCTCTCGGGGCCTTTCTTGCAGACAACGACGCCCGGCTGCGATGGACGCACCCATCGTGAAAATCTGGAACTTCTGGATGCCGTCAAGTCGTTTGTACAATTAGGTGAGAATAGGTTTGTAGAACTTGAACGCTGAGCTTCCGCGAGGCAGAAGCACCGTGATTGAGCTCTTGGACGCCGAACTAACAGCCTCTACGAGATGGTCCATCGTCCAACAATCCACTTTGGCCACGTGCTTGCGGATGTGGCCAAAACCACGGTCACAGGAGTTCTTCGTGTGTCCTTTGACAAAGAACTTGTAGTCCACGTGCTGTAGAGCTCCCATGTGTACTTGCGCCAATAGAAACTTGATCACGTAGTTGTTTTTGTTCTGCCCTGAGCAGTTGTCGGCGTACACGGTCAGCCGAGAGTCTTCCCCGCCAGTATGATCTTGGTGCTGATGAAATGAGCCACCATGGAGTTAATCTGGTTGCTCCCTTTACCGCTCGAAGTCTCGTCGTACAGATAGTTGGTTTGGATTCCTTCGTTCTCGTAAAAGATGCCGAAGCAGCTCACAGAGACCAGCGAGCAAAAGTACCACTGCGAGGGGGTGTTTGACACGCTCGGAAGTGTCAAGTTCTGGGAAAAATCCATCACGATGACAGCGTGGTTGACATCGGTAGAAGTCTTGCCCGTCTTGTACTCCCGCCTGTCAGCCATCAAACAAAATGTTACTAACATCCAGGTAAATCTGCCGAGTAAATCAAAATGTTTCTTATGTCCGTATACGAAACTTACCGCATTCGACGCGCAGATTCTGTGTGCCGCCCCAGCGCCTCCGTCTTGTCACTGGTTACGCCGCCGCGCATTCCAGCGTGGTAAATGGAGCAGACGTCGCACACGTTACTACGTGGCGACCGAATTCGGATGGTTGGACAGTGAAGCGTCAAAAGCTTCCTCATTGTCGACCGAGCGGGTTCACGGACGCGCAAGCCCGCCTCAACAAACTTGTGCATTTCGTCGTAGATGGTATCCCAGGTGAAGTGCGCTGGTAGTAACGTGTACATCTCGCTGCTGTAGTATTTCTGCGTAGTTCCGTCTTTCTTCTTCTGCATCCGCACTCGAACCGGCACAACCTCGCCGACCTCCTCGGCAAACGACTGGAACCATTTCACCAGCCAAACAACGTTCACTTGAGCTGCATGCGTGTTGAGCCGGTTACCATGCGCCTTGATCGACATGTTACCGTCTCGGATGCGCATCTTGTAGCGCTGCAAGGTAATGGGGACTACTCCATAGCAGAGCGCGAAAGTGGGTTGGCACACATGACCTACGTAGGGGAGGATGTACGGAAACTTCTCACGGACACCCCGTCCTCTATTACGCTCAACCGTGGGGGTCTGCATCAACACAGCCAGGAGCGTGTACAAGCTCATGGTGCGCTCTTGCTTCGTCATCTGGTCTAGCGAGCACAGCAAGAACTCCAACTCACGAGCCTTGCCTTGACGCACTCGTTCTCACACGCGTCCGCATGAATCACCTCAGTCACACGGGCTCGAGGACTCGCGTCATTAAAAAAGATACTAATATCCTCTTCATCTTCGGCTTCACTGCTCGCGCTCTCTGCTGTGAGCGGTTCCTCGTCGTCGCTGGGCGACGCCTCCGAATCAGGCGTAAAGTCGTCGTCGCTGCTGTCCTCGTTCACCTCACTCTCACTGGTAGCAGTGGGATCGACACCACAGACAGAATCGTCGGCAGAATCAGGCTCTTCGTCTGCTTCGCGACGCCGAGCAGCAAGGGGTGCCGTGGCCGACAGAGTCAGCGCCGTGGAGGGGACGTTGTGGCCGGCGGAGTCAGCGCCTGGGAGGGCGATGTCGTGGCTGGCGGACTCGGAGCCGTGGCTGGCGGGCTTGGCGCCGAGGTGGCCGGTGGCGAGGCTGAGAGAGGCAGCGCTGGAGGTTGCGCAGGCTGCGCAGTTGGCGCTGCAGCGCGCGAGGTCGGTGCTGTCGGCGTCGTGGGTGGTGTCTGCATGGCTGTAGGTAGTGGTCCGAGTGGCTTTTCGAAATGGTATCCGTGCCGATACACCCCCTTCAAATTTTTGAAAATCAAAAACCTCGTTTTCTCACGACTTCGTTTAGTTACGATTTTGAACCTGGCCTCTTTTAAGGCGATTATCTCGATAACTCTAAATGGTGGATAAGTAACATTTTTGTTGCCGTTGTCTCATATTATGATATTGCGAGGGGTACATCGGGTTCCATTTATGCACATTATGTAACGTGATGTGACGTACATACGAACGCCAACTTCAACGAGTTGCAGTGTTACATGTTGAAGTGCAGCTTGTTAATTTAATATATACACTAATACAACTATTCCCATAACTAAAATAATTTTCCTGTACTAGCATTGATATGTGCTACATGTCTTAATCTTATCAAGTAAAAGTATACCTATCTCAAACTTGTGTGAGCTACGACCCTGTTTGCCTGATGCAGCGCCTTTGACGCAACTCTGTGGTTAATAACTACTCACACGAGCACAATATATCTAGTTATCTTGAGAGTGAACAGCAAATATATATGTTAGGTTATTTGGATAGCAGGTCCCTAGTTCGCAACACCCGAAGCGCTTGCTACGTCTAGCCTCTAATCAGTTAACCTGTTGAGCAAAATGCAAACTGTACACCAGGAATATGTACGCAGATGGGAGCCCTCTAGCTCGTGACGCTGATTTGAAGACTGTGGGCGCGGTTCACCGCTCGCGCAAGTTGCTCAGCTTCGTAGTCTAGAAGGCGTCCATCCCCGAATCTCACTGACCACTTGTACACACCGTCAGAGAGCCGAAGGGCTACTACTTCTCCGATGAATGTGCTGATCTCCTCCGAGTTCTCGTTCAATGCAAGCTCATCCATGACACGCCACTGCAGGGGCTGGCCAGTCTGTCGAAGGAAGAGCCGGATTAGCCGGTCTACATCATAGAAACCGTCTTGATCTGTTTCGCGGGCCAGAGCGGGACGACGAGTTCGAGGGCGCCCAGGAGTTCTCCTTACTGGCACACTTGCCATAGCGGCCTGCACATTCAGTAGGCCCAGGATCGACAAAGTAGCTAGGACATGAGACCATCCTGAACGCACGAACGCTTCACACGTGCAGTGTAGAAGTCCCCGTACGCTTTGGATGCGTTCAGTCGACCAAATCGGCACTAGTTCAAAGGCCTCAGGGAGTGTTTGTGACTTCACCAACACTTTGTGCAAAGACAGCAGTTCGGCTTCCACTTCGTTGGCCTTGATGCCGCGGGGCAATCTCCCGTTTAGAGAGTGTAGGAATTTCTCTGCGCGTTCGTCGTCAACTTCAGCTCCCAGCAGTCCACGACCCCCCACAATGCACTTCGACGTGTTAAACACAATCGTTACCAAGCGGCGACTGCGGCCTCGGCCTTTGAAGACTTGCTTGTAGTTGCTCTCTGTCGCCACTAGTCGCATAGCCTTTGCAATCATCTCAGGGGGAACCGGGCCTTCGCAAAAGTGGGCGGCACTATCAGGACAAAGCGATTCCCCGTCGGACCTCAGAATGCGTGGGAGAATTCCCTGCAAAACACTGCTTGTAGATGCCCTTGAGCTAGGTACACACGTTTTCTTTATCACACTATGATAGGACTCGATGCCCTGCTGGCTCGGTGCGATCCCACCAACACCGGCACCGTTGATGTGCCAACGGTTCCATCTCTCAGTCAAATACACGTCCTTGGACCACTCTGCGTACGTGCGTTCACCGCGAGCGATCCAGTTTTCCGTGATGACAGTAGCCATCTTAACAAACTGCCGGTGCGTTCGAGCCGACCGCAGCAGGTCAACACCAGGCCGAATGATCTCGTCATAGGTCGCCTCGTTGACCAAGAGCGATCGTTTCTTGCGTACCTGCCGGATCATGTGCGGCCAACACGTTGTGAGGGTCACGTCAGGCCAAACTTGCTGAAACGCAGATGCAATAGCTTCCGAATGGTCGAGACTGTCAAAGGCAGGTCTCACTACCACACCCAGGAACGTCTGAGCCCGTTCTGAAATCACCTGAAACATGCGTTCGTACGAAGCAATAGACTCGCTTCTGACGAACATGTACGCCCAGGGAATGAAGCGGTGAACACTCTTCCCGCGCGCCCAAGTCACAGCTGTAGAGCCACAGTCCACAACAGTCCACCCGCCAAAATGGAGTTTATACGTGCCGTCAGTTGCACACACGAGCTCTTCACCTTGGTCTCTCATAGCCTTCGTCACGTTTAAAAACACGCGCCTGGAAGTGACGATCACACCGAATGATATCCCCTCCCCTTCGACTTGACCCTCAAAAGTGAAGGTACCAAGCACCAGCATGTCATCCATCCGTCTGTCGGCCACGTCCGTCACAGATTCGAACTGCGCTCGAGTCGAGCAGACTCGAGTACTAGCCCAAGCAGTGAAGGAAGCATGGTTCGTCACATCCCACCCGTCCGGGGATTGTCGAACGAGGAAAGCTTTGCGGTTCTCTAGTTGTATTCTTGTAGGCACGATGTCCATCATCCGAGGTTGATCGCGAAAACGGTGATTTAACATGGATCGCAGGTGCATTGCGCCCCAACCCATATTGAGAAGGAGAAAATTTAATTCCTGTTGTTCTACCACTACTAGGCTGTCGCTAGCTCACAGCCCCTACTTACCTGTTGGCGACCCTGTTCGACTGTTAGTTTTCAACAGGTTTTCAAGTTTGAGAACCTGTTGATCTGAAAACCTGTTGCGAGTGCTCTTTACTGCAAGGCAAGCACTTAGCAGTCATCAGGTTAGTGGCGAGTGCAAATACGCAATCGGCAGGGCAAACATCTCGTACTAACGCTTGAGGGTCTTCAATCTGGTGCAATCGAACAACATGCCGATAGCTGGGACTGAGAGCGTTCAAGATACACCAACTTAAGTCAGCTACAAGCATCAGGAAGTCATTTAGAGAGCTGCATCCCAAGAATACAGCGCCGCCACGATACTGTAATCTCTGGACTAACCCACTGTCCTTGCGCATCCGAACGAACCACGATCAGGCTCTCGGCTATTAGTAGAGTACCTCACGGAGGTAAACTTCGAGTCGCGCACGAACGAACCACGATCAGGTTCTTGTTCAACGCTCTCGGCTATTAGTAGAGTACCTGGCGGAGCGAAACCTCGAGTCGCGCATTCATTCCAGACCGTTGTATCTAAGATTATCTCCAAGGTTGGAAGTGAGAGCACATATCTGTGAGCAAGCATTCAAACTCCTGTTGCTATCTGTAGGCACTTCTTACACTCTTATCGTGGGTAAGGCTCGACGATGGTGCGCCGTTGAAGGATTTGACTATTTGCAGCTCATCGCTCCTAAAACGTGCTGAGAGTCGCATTGGGCCTTAGTACCTTGTCGGGCACGACATCGCACACTTCAGGCTACCCAGTTTCCTCATTTTTCTTTTCTCCTTCAATCGGTTGGGATGGTTACGACACATCTAGACCACGAGATGGTCGACGACAGCGGTGGTTCCGCGGACAGCGACGCCCTCATCGGGAGCCCGACGCTGCGGCGAGGCTTGGATGTCCAAGACGGGCTCGCATGGGCTGGATCCAGTGGATCAGACAACAGTGACTCTGACTCAGAATCTTCCTTTGATTTCGACGACCAAGAGGAGGTTCTGATGGAAGGAGCAGACGTTGCCACGCGCCGAGTGTTCACCGTCGTTGGCGTATTTGACTCCTTCACAGACGCAAGAGTAACTATGGTGGACGAGGACGACAATGTTCACGCGTACGAAACTCGCTACCGGACAGACCGACTTCTTGCGCATGTGTACCTGTGCCAGTCCCATGACGGATGTACACATCGGTTCCGAATCAAATCGACCCTCGGTGACACGGTGCCAGCCACCTTTCATCTTGAGCAGTCTGGCGAGCATGGGCAGATCGCAACTGGGGCCCGCCGTCGTGGTATCCACCCCACGATACGGGAAGAAGTGGACGCTCTTCTCAATATGGGTTGGGGCGCGATGCACCTGCGATCCATGTTAAATCACCGTTTTCGCGATCAACCTCGGATGATGCACATCGTGTCTACAAGAATACAACTAGAGAACCGCAAAGCTTTCCTCGTTCGACAATCCCCGGACGGGTGGGATGTGACGAACCATGCTTCCTTCACTGCTTGGGCTAGTACTCGAGTCTGCTCGACTCGAGCGCAGTTCGAATCTGTGACGGACGTGGCCGACAGACGGATGGATGACATGCTGGTGCTTGGTACCTTCACTTTTGAGGGTCAAGTCGAAGGGGAGGGGATATCATTCGGTGTGATCGTCACTTCCAGGCGCGTGTTTTTAAACGTGACGAAGGCTATGAGAGACCAAGGTGAAGAGCTCGTGTGTGCAACTGACGGCACGTATAAACTCCATTTTGGCGGGTGGACTGTTGTGGACTGTGGCTCTACAGCTGTGACTTGGGCGCGCGGGAAGAGTGTTCACCGCTTCATTCCCTGGGCGTACATGTTCGTCAGAAGCGAGTCTATTGCTTCGTACGAACGCATGTTTCAGGTGATTTCAGAACGGGCTCAGACGTTCCTGGGTGTGGTAGTGAGACCTGCCTTTGACAGTCTCGACCATTCGGAAGCTATTGCATCTGCGTTTCAGCAAGTTTGGCCTGACGTGACCCTCACAACGTGTTGGCCGCACATGATCCGGCAGGTACGCAAGAAACGATCGCTCTTGGTCAACGAGGCGACCTATGACGAGATCATTCGGCCTGGTGTTGACCTGCTGCGGTCGGCTCGAACGCACCGGCAGTTTGTTAAGATGGCTACTGTCATCACGGAAAACTGGATCGCTCGCGGTGAACGCACGTACGCAGAGTGGTCCAAGGACGTGTATTTGACTGAGAGATGGAACCGTTGGCACATCAACGGTGCCGGTGTTGGTGGGATCGCACCGAGCCAGCAGGGCATCGAGTCCTATCATAGTGTGATAAAGAAAACGTGTGTACCTAGCTCAAGGGCATCTACAAGCAGTGTTTTGCAGGGAATTCTCCCACGCATTCTGAGGTCCGACGGGGAATCGCTTTGTCCTGATAGTGCCGCCCACTTTTGCGATGGCCCGGTTCCCCCTGAGATGATTGCAAAGGCTATGCGACTAGTGGCGACAGAGAGCAACTACAAGCAAGTCTTCAAAGGCCGAGGCCGCAGTCGCCGCTTGGTAACGATTGTGTTTAACACGTCGAAGTGCATTGTGGGGGGTCGTGGACTGCTGGGAGCTGAAGTTGACGACGAACGCGCAGAGAAATTCCTACACTCTCTAAACGGGAGATTGCCCCGCGGCATCAAGGCCAACGAAGTGGAAGCCGAACTGCTGTCTTTGCACAAAGTGTTGGTGAAGTCACAAACACTCCCTGAGGCCTTTGAACTAGTGCCGATTTGGTCGACTGAACGCATCCAAAGCGTACGGGGACTTCTACACTGCACGTGTGAAGCGTTCGTGCGTTCAGGATGGTCTCATGTCCTAGCTACTTTGTCGATCCTGGGCCTACTGAATGTGCAGGCCGCTATGGCAAGTGTGCCAGTAAGGAGAACTCCTGGGCGCCCTCGAACTCGTCGTCCCGCTCTGGCCCGCGAAACAGATCAAGACGGTTTCTATGATGTAGACCGGCTAATCCGGCTCTTCCTTCGACAGACTGGCCAGCCCCTGCAGTGGCGTGTCATGGATGAGCTTGCATTGAACGAGAACTCGGAGGAGATCAGCACATTCATCGGAGAAGTAGTAGCCCTTCGGCTCTCTGACGGTGTGTACAAGTGGTCAGTGAGATTCGGGGATGGACGCCTTCTAGACTACGAAGCTGAGCAACTTGCGCGAGCGGTGAACCGCGCCCACAGTCTTCAAATCAGCGTCACGAGCTAGAGGGCTCCCATCTGCGTACATATTCCTGGTGTACAGTTTGCATTTTGCTCAACAGGTTAACTGATTAGAGGCTAGACGTAGCAAGCGCTTCGGGTGTTGCGAACTAGGGACCTGCTATCCAAATAACCTAACATATATATTTGCTGTTCACTCTCAAGATAACTAGATATATTGTGCTCGTGTGAGTAGTTATTAACCACAGAGTTGCGTCAAAGGCGCTGCATCAGGCAAACAGGGTCGTAGCTCACACAAGTTTGAGATAGGTATACTTTTACTTGATAAGATTAAGACATGTAGCACATATCAATGCTAGTACAGGAAAATTATTTTAGTTATGGGAATAGTTGTATTAGCGTATATATTAAATTAACAAGCTGCACTTCAACATGTAACACTGCAACTCGTTGAAGTTGGCGTTCGTATGTACGTCACATCACGTTACATAATGTGCATAAATGGAACCCGATGTACCCCTCGCAATATCATGATATATTCTTTGACAAAGGTTATTAACAGACGACAGCCGAGCAGGGCTAACGACAGGTGGACAGGGGCTGGAGACACAACAGCCGAAGAGTGCTAAAGTAACAGGTGATAAATATCACCCTATTGAGAAGAGCGTCCACTTCTTCCCGTATCGTGGGGTGGATACCACGACGGCGGGCCCCAGTTGCGATCTGCCCATGCTCGCCGGGCTGCTCGAGATGAAAGGTGGCTGGCACCGTGTCACCGAGGGTCGATTTGATTCGGAACCGATGTGTACATCCGTCATGGGACTGGCACAGGTACACATGCGCAAGAAGTCGGTCTGTCCGGTAGCGAGTTTCGTACGCGTGAACATTGTCGTCCTCGTCCACCATAGTTACTCTTGCGTCTGTGAAGGAGTCAAATACGCCAACGACGGTGAACACTCGGCGCGTGGCAACGTCTGCTCCTTCCATCAGAACCTCCTCTTGGTCGTCGAAATCAAAGGAAGATTCTGAGTCAGAGTCACTGTTGTCTGATCCACTGGATCCAGCCCATGCGAGCCCGTCTTGGACATCCAAGCCTCGCCGCAGCGTCGGGCTCCCGATGAGGGCGTCGCTGTCCGCGGAACCACCGCTGTCGTCGACCATCTCGTGGTCTAGATGTGTCGTAACCATCCCAACCGATTGAAGGAGAAAAGAAAAATGAGGAAACTGGGTAGCCTGAAGTGTGCGATGTCGTGCCCGACAAGGTACTAAGGCCCAATGCGACTCTCAGCACGTTTTAGGAGCGATGAGCTGCAAATAGTCAAATCCTTCAACGGCGCACCATCGTCGAGCCTTACCCACGATAAGAGTGTAAGAAGTGCCTACAGATAGCAACAGGAGTTTGAATGCTTGCTCACAGATATGTGCTCTCACTTCCAACCTTGGAGATAATCTTAGATACAACGGTCTGGAATGAATGCGCGACTCGAGGTTTCGCTCCGCCAGGTACTCTACTAATAGCCGAGAGCGTTGAACAAGAACCTGATCGTGGTTCGTTCGTGCGCGACTCGAAGTTTACCTCCGTGAGGTACTCTACTAATAGCCGAGAGCCTGATCGTGGTTCGTTCGGATGCGCAAGGACAGTGGGTTAGTCCAGAGATTACAGTATCGTGGCGGCGCTGTATTCTTGGGATGCAGCTCTCTAAATGACTTCCTGATGCTTGTAGCTGACTTAAGTTGGTGTATCTTGAACGCTCTCAGTCCCAGCTATCGGCATGTTGTTCGATTGCACCAGATTGAAGACCCTCAAGCGTTAGTACGAGATGTTTGCCCTGCCGATTGCGTATTTGCACTCGCCACTAACCTGATGACTGCTAAGTGCTTGCCTTGCAGTAAAGAGCACTCGCAACAGGTTTTCAGATCAACAGGTTCTCAAACTTGAAAACCTGTTGAAAACTAACAGTCGAACAGGGTCGCCAACAGGTAAGTAGGGGCTGTGAGCTAGCGACAGCCTAGTAGTGGTAGAACAACAGGAAATAATTATTTTCCACGAATTGCACGATATTCACGTGACGTAGCTGCATGAGCAGTTGCGCCTCCTGTCGGCTTGCCTGCTTGGTTGCGGCCTCCTCGCCGTGGGGGACTTTAGCTGCGAAAAGCTTTCGATCCGAGCTCCGCCGAACTAGCGCCACAGTGCCGAATTGGCCGCTACCAAGCACCGTCAGTGTTTCGTACCCGGGGATGTCGGGCATTCTCCTGCGGCGTCTTCACTTGAAAGGTGCCGTTCCTGGTGCTGGTGAAGCCGTTACAGCTTGAAATTCATCACCACCAAGTCTGGAAATTGATCGGACAGCGTGCCTGCCGTGTTTGCTTCATTGGACTGTTTTTAGTGTACATGCATGGATCGTTGCTCTATTAGCTTGACGTTACTGTAAACCAATGCCTTCGGCCATGAGACCATGAGACCTTGCAATGCTGTGTTGCAAAGGTGACGGCAAAGCGAGGGCACCCGTCACCTGACCGCTTACTTACTCCCATTCGATGGTGGCAGGCGGCTTGGACGAGATGTCGTACACGACGCGGTTCACGCCGCGCACCTCGTTGATGATGCGGTTGGACATACGGCCCAGCACCTCGTACGGCATGTGGTACCAGTCGGCCGTCATGTAGTCCGACGTGCTGACGGAACGGATGGCGATGACCTTCTCGTACGTGCGGCCGTCGCCCATGACACCAACAGACTTGACCGGCAGCAAGACGCAGAAGGCCTGGCCCGTGGTCTTGTAGTGGCCGCTGTTGCGGAGCTCCTCAATGAAGATCGAGTCGGCGTGACGCAGAGTCTCCAGAGCCTCGGGCGTGATCTCGCCGAGGACACGGATGGCAAGGCCCGGACCGGGGAACGGGTGGCGCCACACGCTGGGCTCGTCAATGCCCAGGGCCATTCCGAGCTCGCGGACCTCGTCCTTGAACAGCTCACGCAGAGGCTCAATGAGCTTCAGGTGCATCTTCTCCGGGAGGCCACCGACGTTGTGGTGGGTCTTGATCGTGGCTGAGGGGCCCTTGTACGAGATGCTCTCGATCACGTCCGGGTACAGCGTGCCCTGCAACAGGTAGTCCACGGGGTGGCCGATGCGCTCAGCCTCCTCCTGGAACAGCTCAATAAAAAGGTTGCCGATCGTCCTGCGCTTGGTCTCCGGCTCGGTGACGCCCTTGAGCGCGGCCAGGAAGCGGTCCGAGGCGTTGATGCACTTGAGGTTGATGCCCAGCTTTGTCTGCAGGCGGTCGACGACCTCAGTGGCCTCATCCTTACGCAGCAGTCCGTTGTCGATGAGCACAGCGTGGAAGCGGTCGCCCAGAGCGCGCTGCAGCAGCACAGCGGCCACAGAAGAGTCGACGCCGCCGCTGACAGCGCCAATAACGTGGCCCTCGGGGCCAACGGTCTCGCGCACCTCCTCGATGAAGGCGTCGGCGATGCTGCGCATGTCCCAGTCCGTGGGGGAGTTACAGATGTTGACCACGAAGTTGCGCAGGATGTCCTTGCCGCGCGGGCTGTGGGTCACCTCCGGGTGGAACTGGATGCCGTAGAACTTGCGCTCGACGTTGACGATGGCGGCGTGCTCCGAGTTCTCGGTCGTGGCGATGTCCACGAAGCCGTCCGGGTTGGTGTGCAGCTTGTCGCCGTGGCTCATCCACATCTGGAACTCGTCGGGCAGGCCCTCGAACAGGCCGCCGCAGTCGACGCCGCTCTTGCGCGTCACGATGGCCTTGCCGTACTCGCGGTGCTGCGACGGAGCCACCTTGCCGTTGTTGGTGAAGGCCAGCTCCTGCAGGCCGTAGCAGATGCCGAGCACCGGCAGCTTCTGCTCCTCGATGAGCTTCCACACCTCCGGGTGCACGTGGGGCGCGCCCTCATCGAAGACGGACTGCGGGCCGCCCGACAGGATGATGCCCGTGAGCTGGTGCTGGCGCAGCTCCTCGGCGCTTACCAGGCACGAGTAGAGCTCGCAGAACACGTGCAGCTCGCGCACGCGGCGCGCGATCAGGTGGCTATACTGCGAGCCGAAGTCCAGGATGGCCACCTGCTTGCGGTTGGTCACGGGGGAAGCGTCAGCCATGGTGGAGGACGGGCGGGGTCGGAGGAAAGCTCGGCTCGGCGTGTTCAATTCTGTACGAGCCCTGCTCGCAGCCAAGCGTCAAGCGGGTCAGCTGACGTACCGAGGGTGCTCCACCACCAGCCAGCCAAGTCTGACCAATCAGCGCGCGCACACGCCTCAGATGGCTACATGTAGCCATCCAATCAACCAATCACATGCGCTCAGTCCGAAAGGACGCGCAGCCCTAATTGATCCTGATGATCCTGCGGCCCGGAGGACGACGCCGCACTCGCCGTCGCCACCTTTGCCGCTTGGCGCAGCGCCGCGATGCCCAGTGCCGTCACGCGCGGGTTCTGCAGCAGCACGAGCGTCTCCAGCTGCGACGATCTCAGCGCCGGAGCCACGTAGCCCAGCACGCCGCGGTCCGACAGAGAGTTGCGGCTCAGGGCCAACACGCGCAACGTACCACCCGCCAGCAGCGCGTGCGCCAGAGCCGGGCAGGCGGCGTCCCCGATGTGGTTCCCGCTGAGGTCGAGCTTCCAGAGCGCGCGGTTGTGCGCCAGTGCCTCGAAGAGAGCGGCGGCGCCGGCGCTGCCCACTGCGCAGCGCTCCAGCACCAGTTGCTGCAGACAGCTCGGACTCTGAGCCAGCGCGCAGGCGATGGCCACGACGGACGCTGGAGCCAGCGGTATGTTGGCGAGCACCACGGACACGAGCGCGAGGCTTGCGCTGCGACGACTGCGCTGCAAGATTGTAGCGAGGAGAGACGCGGACGCAAGGCGGAGAGGCGCGTTGCACAGAATGAGCGACTGCACAGGACACGAGCTCGTGGCTGAGCTCGAGCAGATATTGAGGGTCTCTACAACCTGCTCGTTGAGGTTGAGAGGGGAGGAGCTCGATTCAAGACTGGTACTCGTGAGCCCTCCACCGCCGTCGACAATTACGCTCGTGGCAAGTGAAATTAATTGGCGGAGCTGCGGGCCCTTGAAGACCGTGCCACCACTAGACAAAACAAACGTGGCAACGTGAGTGGCCAAGCTTTTAACTGGAGGGTGCAACAACAGCTTCCGCCTACCTGTAAGAGAGCTGGCAGATCCCAGTCTGGCGTACACGGTTTAGCATCGTGTAGAAATGCATCGAGGGTATCTGGGCGCACTGAGTTCAGGACATTCCTGCGTTAGTATGTCCTGCTACGCACCGGAGAGTTCAAGCTTACCTCCTCAAGCGTCAATGGTTTGGCGAACTTGCTCCCCGATGCAGTACCAAGCGTGCGCTGGCCACTGACAGGTGTGGTCTCCCGGGACCCGATCAACGATGAACTGCGCACATGTAGCACACTCTTTTCGAGCAGGGCTGCTGCCTCCCACTGACGGAAGCAGCGTTCCAATGGTTTTTGGGACGCTGCGGCCAGGATTCTTGCCTGTGCGGCCTTTTTGGCCATGATGCCGCGTGCTAGGCGCTGCGCCCGGTGACGTCGGAAGGTGCGCTGCACCAAACTAGCTGCCTCGTGTTGCTTCTGCCGTGTTTGTATGGCCATGTCTCGCCAGCCGCGAAACAAGCGACGCACTCGCTGGAGGGCTATCTTCCTCGCTACCCTTTCATCGCGTTGAGCTGCAACCGAGTACCGCTCACGAGTGCTCAGATATCTACGACGCATCAACCAGCAGCGCAGACGGCGCTGGATTTTGGTTGCTGCGGCATGCTGTCGAGCTTTTGTGGCGTTGCATGCAGCACGAAGCTCTCGGAAGAAACTCCTGGCAAGTGTGTGAAAACTCTGCTGCAATCTGCCGAAAAGTCGACGCTGGGCTGCTCGTTTACCAAGCACGCGAAGCATTCGAGAACGCTTTCGCCGATGTCTCCACCACTGTTGCAATTGAGCAGCTGCGGCGTCACGCTGATGAATATACCGTAAAAGCGCTAATAGGCACGACCACAACACGATGTCTGGAGACTGGCCTTTCAGTCCACTGCCAAATGTTACATTCCCATCAACCAGCAACTCTGCCGTTCGTCGCCGACTCAGCCTTTGGCGGCAGCGAAAGCCCCTGAAAAGCCCCTGTATCAGTATCACAGCGTCACTTCTTCTCCGATGATAGTCCTGCACATGCTGGCGGAGCAGATCGAATCCTGTTTGTAAGAGCTGAGCTTCGCGTGACCGAGTCACTTTTCCGAGAGCGTTGATAGCTCGCCGACGACGTGCACGGAGTCGTTTGGCTTGTCGACGGGAAAGTGCTCCACGCACGTACTTTTGAATGGTTGTAGCTGCACCGCGTTTGCGTAGACGACGAACCAGCGCGTGGTTCGCAAGCGCCCGCCAAGCGCTTAACAGTATTTGCTGCCTGCGATCCAAGAGTAAACGATTCATGGTGGCAGTTGCAGCGCGGTGGCTCCGCAGCTCCGCATGATATTGGCGTACTGCTAACCTTGAACGGTATCTTCGTTGAATACGTCGTGAGGCCCAGTCACGTTCGCTGCGAGTTTCAATGAGGTCGGTATACCACGCTTGAAACACGCGTGAGATCAGGGACATCGAGCGTCGTGCCAGGCATTGTTGCAGAATGCTATTCCGCTGCTGACTCAGCAGCAGCAGTTGAAAGCAGATTTTGCGGCTTCGCCAGGCTCGAACCTGGCGCTGAATTCGCACCGCAGCCTCGAGACGCTCTTGCTTTTGGTTGAAGACAAAGCTCCGCCATCTACGGAAGACTCCAAGTTGGCCAAGTTCAGTGCGACGGCCAGCAAACTTCGCCAAAAGAGCCTCACGCTCAACTTTCCGAGCTCGAAGTGCGCGCAGTGTGCGTTTAGCTCGCGCGATGTGAAGTAGTGATTGGATCTTTCTCGCAGCAGCGTCCAGCCGCAGCTGGATAAGTCGATCATCCTGTTTGCCCATGTCCACGTTTGATTGAGTTTCTCGCTCACGCTGCTTGTCGCGCAAAACCTCAAGCTCAGCTCGCGCTCTAAACCCTCGCCACGCGCATTGAATTCGAACCGCCATAGCATGCCGGCGCTGTTCCAGAACATACGCGACACCAACGCGCCACTGCTGCAGTCGTCTGCATCGCCGCTGGAACGCTTGTAAGCGTGCAGCACTCTTTTGCTCAGAGGAAAACTGTGCACGCCACGCAGGACTGCACATTTTCAGCAAAAATCGCTCGTGACGGGCACTATAGTACTTGTCGCGAGACAAGTTCAAAAGTGCCTCGGTGAACACCCTCTCGGCAGCTAGGTTGTCCCCGGTTCGCATTAGACTGACACCTTCCAGGAGCAGTTTTGATTCCGGGATTCCACCTGTTGCTGCTTTCATTCTGCGGCGAGCTTCACGAAGTACCAGAAGTACAAGGTGGGGTGCGTTGGCTGGCCCTGCAAGTCGCTGGGCTAGATCCAACCATGTCTGCAAGTCACGGCACCACAACAAGGTGCGCTGCTCCTCATTCTTGCGCGATGTCGTGTACAGAGTGTGCGCAGCCTTCTCGGATGGTAATACTGGTGGAAGAGCAACCAACGCTTTGTAGGCTTGGGTGTACGTTTCGCGCTCCAGCGCACGCATGCCTGGCACATGTGCGAGCTCGAGCGCTGTTAGGAGACCGAACTGATAGGCAGCGAGGCGATACGGGAACGACGATGACGGCCCCTGCCCTTCAGCCAAAATTTGAAAGTACTGGGCACTTTCGCGATGCCGCCCTAGCGCTGAAGCTGTAAGCGCCGACAAGAAGATTGCTTCGTTTAGACGCGGGGATGTCGGATACCCTTCCACTAACAGCGTGCAAACGGCTAGCGCTCCCCGATACGACCCGAACTCAATGTAAAGCTTTACCAGCGGAAGCAGCAATTCAGGACTCGACTTGCTGTTTGGATATTCCATAGCAATAAGGAAAGTGCTATAGGCTTCTTGGAGGAGCTGCGTATGAGCTGGCATGGCATCTCCCTTGGTGCCTCGAGGCCGCTTCAACTCTTGTGCTGACGAAACCTCAAGGATCGACGGCATGTGTAGTGCCCTCACATGGGCTTCCCACAGCTGAAATTGAGTGAGCGCTAGCTCAGCCCAAAGTTTTTCGGAGTCGCCTTCTCGCTGCCAACGATGAATCAGTACTGAATGCTATTGGAGGTGCGCTTGAAGGGATCACTGTACCTTACCTCGATAATACGCTCCAGCGCGTCTACTGCATCCTGATACAGGCCATCGTGTCGAAGCTGTAGTGCTTGAGCGTACTCAGTCCTTGATTCTTCGCTCGAGAAGGATACGTGAACTTCATCCTGTGGGGCTGCTGTCGCTGCACGATTCATCAGTCAGTGTTGCCTTTCTAAATCATCGATTAAATGAGCTGTGTGTGGTATGGTTCACTATTCTTATGACGGCAAAGATAGACCTATCAGTAAGAGCAGCTTGAGTTGCTGCTGCCCGGCCATGGGAGGCACAAGTTGTCGATCTCACACACAACGCGAATGCTTTTGCTGCACACTTCCAGCAACTCAGGCCCGCGGACGTGCGCTCTAACTAGTGTAGCCATCTCCAGAAACGGAGGAATACCCTCGGCGCGGCGAGCAGATGTACCTCTCGGCAATTTGCGGCTTTGATCATCGAACTCCAGTTGCTGTTCCGTCTTGTTGGCTTCACGCTCCAGTGAACAGAAAATACTGCGACAGGGTCGATCTTTTGTGTGCTCAGTATGCACGGGCTGCATGAACTCCTCTAGGCGCTCTATCCACGACGTCACGAAAAGCGGGTCACACACCTGGGGGATATGCTCGAAGTACTTCTGCGCGAATTCTGCAAACTTGGAAAACTGAAGCTCGAGACTGAAGTCCTTTGTACTCCTGGTGAAAAGTAGCAGCTTCTTCCAGTTCGCATCTGCCCAGCGCAGTGAGCTTAGTAGTACGCTCAAAGGCTTTACGCATGGCTCACTTAGCGTTGACGTTATAGAAATGGAGCCTTTCACTATATCACCGAGTGAACCTGCCAGAAAAAAGCAATGTCAGTATCTATTTTCCTCCTAGGACCTGCAACATTGGTTACCTACCAATTCCAAGTTGACGCATCATTTCGAGAAGTTTTGCGGCTGAACAACTTGCGTAAGTCTCAAGAAACTGGTCGAAGGATATTGTCGGCGCACCGCCAAATAACTCGGCTACTGTAACTTCTAGCATAGCTTCCTTCCCCAGTCCTTGCTGAAACGCATTAAACTCTTGCAAGCTCCACACACCGCTGTGATCTGCATCAAATGCATCAAAAATCATCTTCATCGCGCGTTCTCGGTTGTGTCTTTTTCCAAGGTTGTGAAGAAGCACCCCCGTATCCTTTGAAGCTTTTATGATATCCGCCAGCGATAGATCGAGTTCACCTAGTACGAAGAAACTACGAATCCCTGCTGCAAAAGAGGTGCCCGTGCATTCCTGCACAACGGAAAGGTATCAGTCGGTAAGCTTTGAAACAGTTAAATGGTGCAGGTTGACCTACCTCCACATTTGAAATAAAATCTTCGCGAAAGTATATGCAGACACGAAGATACTTGCCGAGAACTGGTTGGAGGCCTCCATCACTTCGAACTGCAGAATGCATGGTAACTGTAACAAAGAGATTTAACTACACATGGTTCGCCAAAGTATTGACTACCATGGAGTATTCTCACCCGAACATTTAGTCCAGAGCGACGCGAATGAGGGCCACACGTGATCCTGCTGAAGTGCCTTTTCCATTGATGATGCCAGGTCGATTCCATCTTCATCTGCAAAACTCGTTAGAAATAACATTAAATATCATTAGGCTGCCGTTGATTTACCTGTAATATCCGGGTTCAACAAGAAATTGACGACCAGGCGCATAGTTTCTTCGTCGGCATCCCCCGGCTCGCTATTGTCACTGTCATAATCAAGTTGCCCTTCCGTCTTGCGCTTGCCTTTGCCGGTTTTCGCTTTCGCGTCGCCATCAGAGCTACCCGGTGGATGGATTCCAATTCGAAACCGGATGTTGTTACTGGGAGGGGTTCCAGCACGCTTTGACGCTGGAGAACTCACTGAAGCTTCCCCCGACGCATCAGACACGCCAAACCGGAAGGTAAAACTCCACTGAAGTTCGCCATCGTCACTATCTGGAGTTTGCACCATGTTTTGCAAACTTTCAACCAAATGATCTTTAGCTACGGTCGTTCGCCGACGAGCTCCAGGCCCTAGAGTCTTTGTGGTTCGTTTAACAAACGTTGCAAGGACAGCATTCATCTTCTTCTCAGCATTCTTGACTGCCTCCACGATGTGATCGCCCACAATTTCCCATAGCGCTTCAGGCTTTTCTCGTCGTCGATTTTGTATCCATGATTTCAAGACGCGCAGGATATCTCCACACCGGGCAAATCCAAATTGATCCACCGCCATATCTCCCACAAGCGTTGTGGCCTAAGCGCAATTAATAAACCAAAAACTGGCATTAATACCTTATCGAGCCGCAGACTCAATTTCATGCCGGAAGCAAACCTCGTTTAGTGAAAGTGACAGTCCACCGTCCGATACAACACGGACCAACCGCTGGAGGGTGCGTGCATCTACGAACTTTTTGACCTCAACGGCTGATAGCACTCGCATCGACTGTCCTGATTCTTTTGGAGGAGGTGGGCACACGATGCTCTGGAGTCTACGAGCAAAGCTTTCCGCTGTGGGGACCGACGTGGCTGTCAACGTTCGCTGGCTGTCAGCAACTTTGCTAGGCCCAAAACCGGCAGGGAGTACGGCTGTCGCCCTTGCTTTCTCCTCTGTGGACAATGCACGGGTATTGAGCATCGCAAGACTCAGCCAAGCTATGCGTTGCGCAGACCATGGCATGATGCATCAGTACCTGCCGTTTTCACGCGCTCAGCCTGATAATCCAGGTATGCCATTTGCCTCATAAGTTTCCCCTGCTGAATCAACAGCTCGTCGGAAGATGTCGCCACTCCCTACAAACATGGAAAATGGAGGGAGGCAACGTGAACTTGAGCATGCACTATGGATCAGCAACTACAGACAAATGGCTTGCACCGCCTCGAGGTCGCTCATGAAGAAGAGAATCTCAGGATCGGCGAGGGCTTTGTTGACAACATTCTGCCGTAAGACCTCGCTGTTGTCACCAAATAAGCCTACATCACAGCGCACAGCAAACAAGAAAGAGTACAATGAACCCCAAACACTATAACTATACTATAGCGATCTTCGTACGCCGAATCAGAGGTCTCATTGTGGACTCCTGCAAGACGTCAGCCCCAGGAGCGAACATCTTCAGCCCCCTAGACGCTGCCGACACCACCATCGTCAGCTCACACTTGTTGAGGGTCTTGAGCCCCCCATTGTCCAGCAGCGACAACACGACTACAGCCACGCCAGAGCAGACAACACAACACAACCTTAAGTAACGTCAGCTTCCTCTCCCCTACTGCTGGGTACCCTCACACTCGAGTTTCTGGGGCTTCTTGGCGTCCACCAGCAGCGCCAGGCCGCTGAAGAAATCCATGACTGCCAGCCTCCGCGTGCTTTTGACGTCCAGCGCCTCGAACATGGCCAGCAGCTGCAGCTTGTCCTTGTCCGGGCAAAGCGGCCCCACGATGGCCTGGAAGACCGGGAACGGCAGGAAGTACTGGAACGACGGGTCGGCCCGGCGGCGGTGCGCCTCCTGCTGGAAGCGCAGGTGCAGCTGCTCCAGCTCCGCCCACGAACGCGGCACCAGCGGCTGCAGCTTCCAGCGCACGCCGCCGCCGCCGCCGCCCCCTCCCTTCGACTGGCTCACGCCCATTGCGCACTCACTTCAACATGGCTTCGTCGTTTTCATTGGACGCAATCGATGGATATTTTCGACCAATGATGATCCGTATTATGTTTCAGTGGATTTCCTTCAGAGTCACCCACCGTCTTGGAGCTCACCACAGTTCAAGCGGAAGCTGGCGGCCGCGATGGAGAACAAGTTCATCCCGCAGGCGATCGAGATCGTGACGCAGGCCATCAATGAGGACAACAGCAAGAACTACCAGGAGGCCTTCCGCCTGTACAAGAAGGCGCTCGAGCACTTCATGGTCGGCGTCAAGTGTACGTTGTGAGGTTGGGTCTGGCGGCTGGGAGGCGAGAGCTGACCTGGCAGGTGTCTTTCTGTGGCCCCTCTGCAGACGAGAAGAACCCGACGTCCAAGGAGATCATCATGAAGCGCGTGGAGGGCTACATGACGCGCGCGGAGCAGCTGCGCGGGATGCTGGAAAAGGAGAACGCGCCCAAGCCCGTGGCCGCTGCTGTGGACATGGACAAGTGAGCTCGGCAGCAACGGAGTGAGTTTGTTTGTAGCACGCACTGATGCCGAGTGTTTGCAGAGGTGAAAAAGAGGACGACGACGAAACGGACGCGGAGACGGCCAAATTGCGCGGATCCCTGGCCTGTAGGTTGTATATTGCGGAGGGATTGTGTTGTTACTGCAGCTGACGCGTGTGAAATTGGATTGGTGTTGGGGGTGTTTTGCAGCGGCGGTCGTCTCAGAAAAGCCTAATGTCAAGTGGGACGACGTCGCTGGGCTGGATGCCGCAAAGGAAGCGCTGAAAGAGGCGGTGATCTTGCCTGCAAGGTTTCCGCAGCTCTTCACGGGGAAGCGACGTCCCTGGAAGGGCATTCTGCTCTACGGGGTATGTGTTGTATTTGCTACTATTCTCGCTATGCCGCATTTTGCTGATATCATGTCAATTCGAACAGCCTCCGGGTACGGGTAAGTCCTATCTGGCACAAGCGGTTGCAACAGAAGCGGACGCAACCTTCTTCGCCGTGTCATCCTCCAGCTTGGTTTCCAAGTGGCAGGGCGAGAGTGAAAAGTACGGCATGTCTCGAAATGAAATACTTGCTAAAACTAAGTAGTGGGCTGACCCAAGCTTTCTGCGCCAGGCTGGTGAAGAACCTGTTCGAGATGGCACGCGAAAAGAAGCCCGCGATCATTTTCATAGACGAAATCGACTCGCTCTGCTCAAGTCGATCTGAGGGAGAGAGTGACTCTACACGCCGCATCAAGAATGAATTCCTCGTGCAAATGCAAGGCATTGGCAACAACCACGACGGCGTCCTGGTGCTTGGAGCTACCAATGTACCCTGGGAGCTTGATCCCGCTATGCGACGTCGGTAAGTGCCGTACTTAAATTAAGCATGGCGTGGGGGGACTATTGCTGATAGTAACATTGAATTCTGCGTACAGATTCGAAAAGCGCATTTACATCCCTCTCCCTGATATTGACGCACGGAAGGTGATGCTGGGAATCCACTTGGGCGATACACCGAACGAGCTGAGTGATGCAAACTTTACAGCGATCGCCGAGAAAACGGAGGGGTACGTTTGCTTGCTTCAGCGGACCGGGCGGATGCTGGAACTGACCGTGATATTGCTGTCCACTAGCTCTTCTGGCTCAGATATTTCGGTGCTTGTGCGAGACGCTCTTATGGAACCTCTTCGAAAGTGTCAACAAGCTCAGTTCTTTACTCCGGTATGACTAGGTGCCTCAACACGGGGTGCATAGTTGTTTCTGATGCTGACATTATATGTATGCACAGTGCGATGATAAGGCGCACCCCGTTCGGAATGGTCCATTCTTGACACCCTGTGAAGACGACCCCCCGTGCGCTTACTGCCACATGAAGCTTTCAGCATGCCGACCCAAGTGCCCCGATTGCAAGGCCCCATGCCGGCGATGCGGGGCGTTGCGCATGCGTCTGTATGATTTACCAGAGCGTGGCTACTCTGACGAGAAGCTCCGGCCACCGATGATCTCAATGGTAAGATCTTTTGTTGTCTGTTTGCACGCTGCTTGCTGCGCAGAACGCACGACTAACGTGCATTTTACTACAGAGCGACTTCCTACACGTGCTGGAGCATTCGAGTGCGACGGTCGCTCCTGATGAGCTGAACCGCTTTGTAAAGTGGACCCAAGAGTTTGGACAAGAAGGCTAGACGTACGGGTAGACAGATGCTTCCGTCATATTCATCTTTCTAAACCGTGTCGATATACTATTCCGTTGCCTACATGCAAGCAAATTATGCCTTTGACAGTGATTCGATCAGGCCGTCTAACTCGTCAGGAGAGAAATGGTGGGCATCGTTGCAAAAATGGCAGGTGAGGTCCACACCTGCGTTGCCGACGTCTGCTGCAATCTGCTTCAGATCGGTCGCGCCCATATCCTTGAGACGTTGTGCGTAGTTGTCCTTCGAGCAGCGGCAGTAGTAATCCAGCGGCACTCGCTTGCAGTTCTTATCCGTGATGTCAGCACCAGGAATCAATTCGTTCAGGTACTCAAGCAGGTCCGCGTTCTTCTTCAACTCCGTCGCGAAGAACGGAAGTTTGTCGAACGCCAGCTCATCAAGTTCGTATTGGCGTTCGTGAGCCTCCGTTGGTGGCATTTTCTGGACAATAAGTCCACAGCTGCGCGTGTGGTCCTCGCCCGCCGCGCTATCGATACGCACGATAGTTGGAACCTGCTCCGACACGTCAAAAAATCTCTGCCAGTCCAGCTCAGGAACCCCAGACGCCTCGATGGATGTATTGTACGGCTTGGCCGCGCCGTATAAAATCTTGGAAATGTGCATGTGGCCTCCACGTTCCGGTGCTCCAGCAAGAGACTCGTCCACGTATACGGCTTTGCCTCGGACCTGTACGACAAAACAGCACCACAGCTGAGACCACTGGCTTCAAGTCGGGGCCAGTACCACCAACCAACGATTGAGCTCGCACCTCTCCGACGGCCATAGCCTCCACGTAGAGCTCCTGGATGTTGGGCGTCTTGACCATCATCTTGACACGCTCCTCGCCCTTGAAAAAGGAGCTGAGCATGGCCGTGCCGGCCATGTATTCGCCCCAGAGCTTCGTCCCTTCGGAAGCGAGCGGAAGCTCCCAGCGCTGCGCCACCTCCTCCACCGCGTTGCGCGCCATGACGCCGGACACGCGCAGGTTGCCCACGTGGCAGCGCACCACGACGTCGCGCAGCGGACGCTTCCACATCTTCTTCACCTTGCTGGGCAAGTTGTCAACTGCCAGCCTCCAATTAGGTGTACCATATGTATGGTACACGGTATCAGGAAGTTGCCTTTTTGCGCTGCAGTACGAGCTGCCGTGCCATGTCCTGGCAGCGAACCCGATCCTTCTCCTGCAGCTGCAGCACCTTGCACTGCTTCCGATAGCCCAACGAATTGCCCTCGCCGGCTGTGCTCAGTCTCCTGGACGAAGACTCGCGCTCAACCGCCGGCCCGCCACTTTTCCTCGGCTGGGGCGGAGGAAACAGTGAAGCCACGTCCACCCGCCCGCCGCCACCAGCATCGGCACTCGACGGAGGTCCCTGAGCTCTCGCTATCTTCTCGCACACCTGGATCTGCTCCCACATGTTGGGAACTCCTACCACATTGCTGAAGCTGTTCACCTCTGCGTTGTTGTCTCCCTGAAGCGGCACGTGGACGGTGGTTCTGCACCCGCGCATAGAGATCTCGTCGGCGCTGAATATTCTCGCGCTACAACAGGAATACTTGGCGGCAGGTCCGTGGTCCACGATCGTGCCTGGGTGGTAGGCACAGTCACGCAGCTCGAGCAAGCTGCACTTCTGCTTGCACACGCTGCAGCGGAAGTGCTTGGTGGACCCCCAGATGTACCAGTACGCTGCACCCCAGGAAATGCTCTTGTCGCCACTCAGCTCTCGCAAGAACACCTCGATCTGCCACCCGGCCTTGGCTTGGTGCCATCCGACCAGCTCTCCATGCACGCCGATCTGTCGCTTCCCCTTCTGGCAACCCAAACTCTCTCTGTCGCCCTTGATGAACAGCAGTTCGCAGTTCGCGCACAACTCAAGGCGGCGACCGCCTTCCTGCAGTATCTTCACCAGCGCCTCCACCTTTTTCCGCCGGAGCTTGGACAGAATCTTATCTTTTGGGTCGTGCAGCGTCTGCAGCTGCTCGGGCGTGCAGTTGCCGGCGATCTTGGCAATGGTGGCGTCCGACAGGCAGCCAAAGTCCACGCGCAGCAGCATGAAGTCCTGCACGCGCGTCGAGATGAAGGCCACGCACTCCTCCACGAGCTCCTCCATCTGCAGGAACTCGGAGGACACGAGGATAGACGCGATGTTCTCGAGCGAGATGCGCGGCCGCCACTCGTGCTCGGGCCGCTGGTGCATGTACTCCATGAGCAGCTCGAAGATCTCGACGTCGCAGTGCACCGAGATGTCGATCTCGTCGTGCTCGTTGGTTTCGTTCAGGTACGCCTGGAAGTACTTCATCTTGGCCAGCAGCAGGTCGCGCTGGCACATGAACTCCTTGCTGCTCTTGCGGTACTCGTCGAACACGTGGATCACCACGCTGCGCGACGGCGACGAAGACGACGATGGTGGTGCAGACACCGCACCGCCGCTGGTGGTGCTGAGCTTGCCGCTGGGCTTCATGATCGCTGGCCACGCACGCACTTGCACCGACTATGGTCCGCCCCGCGCTGCTTGGCGCGACTTCAAGCAGACACGTGCCGAAATGACAGCATCAAGCTGTATTTGCGCTAATGTGTTTGTTTGCAGCAGTCATTTCGGGTCAATAGAAAGTGGGTCGAGGTTTTTCTCCGCGGGTCGTAAAACCTCTTCATGAATGTATGGGTCCGTTTTCTTTGCGGGGTGTGGTCCACACCCAGCTTTTTTATTGGCGGCGGCGCCGTTCGAGAAGGGGAAACAAGGAAAGAAGCCGCATCCAGCCCCGATCCCGGCCGCCGCAGCAGCCTCTAGACCAGACCAGCAGCATGTCGTTCCCCGCAGGCAAGGCGCCGGAGCGCAAGAACTTCTTCAAGAAGGGCATCGACGCCGATGAGTCGCGCCGCAGCCGCATGGAGACCACCGTGCAGATCCGCAAGACCATCAAGGAGGACCGCATGAACCAGCGTCGCCGCATGGTACGGCCAATGCCCATGCAATTAGGAGTGTAGATGCAGCGGGAACGGGAGGGAACTTGTATGCGTCCAGTCCAGCTTTGTAGCGGTCGCTAGAGGCTCCTTTGCTGGCTGGAGACGCCTGGTATCTTAGGCGATGGCTCACTTTTTATTTTTGCGTGCTGGGTGTAGACGCCGGGCGACAACGGAGCTGCGGCCACGCCCGCCATGGGTGATGCGGCCGGGGAGATGACGCTGCTGCAGCGGGTGGGTAGCAGTAGATACAGGTTTTGCACGTGTGTGGGAGGTCGCAGACTGACTGTTGGTGCATTCGCCACTATTGCTATTGCAGCTGTCGGAGCTTCCTCAGATGGTGACGGGTGTCCAGTCGAGCGACGCGGCCGTGCAGCTCGAGGCCGTGACCAAGTTCCGCAAGCTGCTGTCTATTGGTGAGCAATAGATACCGCAATCTGAGGTATTTGGAGATTTACACACTAACGTATCTTATTGTTTTCGCCGCGTCTTGCAGAGCGCAACCCGCCTATCAAGGAGGTGATTGACACGGGTGTTGTCCCCATTTTCGTACAGTTCCTTCAGCGCGAGGACTTCCCCACGCTCCAGTTTGAAGCCGCCTGGGCTCTGACGAACATTGCTTCGGGTACCTCTGCGGATACCGAGGTGGTGATCAACCACGGCGCCGTGCCTATTTTCTGCCAGCTGCTGCTGTCCACCAACGACGATGTGCGCGAGCAGGCCGTGTGGGCTCTCGGTAACATTGCCGGTGACTCGATCGAGTGCCGTGACATGGTTCTGCGCTGCGGTGCCCTGCGTCCGCTCATGCAGCAGCTGACGGAGAACTCGAAGCCGACGATGCTCCGCAATGCTACGTGGACGCTGTCCAACTTCTGCCGTGGCAAGCCGCAGCCGCTGTTCGAGCTGGTGGCGCCCGCTCTGCCGACTCTGGGCCAGCTCATCTACACTCACGATGAGGAGGTGCTGACGGACGCTTGCTGGGCTTTGTCGTACCTGTCCGATGGATCGAACGAGAAGATCCAGGCCGTGATTGAGGCTGGTGTCTGCCGACGAATTGTGGAGCTGCTGATGCACCACTCTCCTTCTGTGCAGACGCCTGCCCTGCGTACGGTCGGAAACATTGTGACGGGCGACGATCTGCAGACGCAGGTCATTATCAACCTGAACGCGCTGCCGTGCCTGCGTGCGCTCCTGGAGAGCCCGAAGAAGGGCATCCGAAAGGAGGCCTGCTGGACGCTCTCCAACATTACGGCTGGCAACCAAGAGCAGATCCAGTTTATCATTGAGGCTGACATTTTCCCGTCCCTGATCAACTTCCTGTCGACGGCCGAGTTCGACATCCGCAAGGAAGCTGCCTGGGCTGTGTCGAACGCTACGTCTGGCGGTTCGGCCGAGCAGATCATGCACCTTGTCAGCCTTGGTACGTGCAGGGGTTACTGCGGTTGGCTCGTGTTAACCAGGTTTTTGCTAACGAAGACTGTTGCTGTTTACAGGCTGCATTAAGCCGTTGTGCGACTTGCTGGAGGTTAAGGACGCGAAGGTGGTGATCGTGGCTCTGGAGGGTCTCGAGAACATTCTCCGTGTGGGCGAGCAGCAGAAGACTAACGACATCAACGACGTCGCGACGATGATTGATGAGGCGGACGGTGTGAACAAGATCCAAGCGCTGCAGTACCACGCCAACGAAGGTACGCAGAGCTGCCCGACAGCATATGCATCTATTGCTTTGGTGTGTACTGACAATTGCTGTGGCGATGGATGACAGACATTTACATGAAGTCCATGAAGATCGTGGAAGCATACTTCAATGGCGAGGAGGATGCGGAGGATAGCCTAGCCCCCGACACGGACGCCAACGCGCAGCAGTTCCAGTTCGGCACATCCTCGGACCAGCCCACCATGTTCCAGTTTGGCCAGAACTGATTTGATCAGGAAACGATGAGCTAGACAGTAACGGAGACGGGTTCGATTGAACCAATGGACAGTTGCAGGAGAAGTCTATGGAACGCCCCGGGGAGATAGTACTCGTGCGAAATGTATTTCCCTGTTTGCTTTTTTATTATCTGCTCGTGTAAGCTGCGGCGGCGCTGCTCTCGTCTGTCACGAATCGTATCTTGCTCACGTTGAAGATGTGCCGTGCCGTCAAAGCGCAGTGGATGACATCCACATCCACTGGATGTACAGGCAGCAGGGATTGAAAAAAAAATTGTAATTGAAAAAGTGCAACAATTGTGCTCTTACAATATTGACTGCTGGCTGTCGGACAATCTCCACTACATATTGATCAATATTGTCCAGGGAGAATTGAAGATCCTGCCTGTCATCTTGTCGTTTACGCTTAGCTATCACCTTCTCCTTCCTCTACTTCGTCGTTTTCGAGGGCTGTCTGCACTGCTTAGACGTGATCTCGTTCGAAACGAGATTTCAGTCCACCCATTAGAAAATAATCGACCTCAGTGTTTCTGCACTCATCCGCAGAAACGCAGTTCTTCTCCATGGACCGCATCGACCACAAGCGCGTCCTGTTCTGCTTACTGCTGCCGATGTCATCGGCTAGACCAACAAGTTTGAGTTCATGACGGCCTACAAAGAGTACTGATGCGGGTGTTGTGCACGACTAAACAGTGTACACAACCGAGTTTCCTTCCTGCTGCACGTGTGCTCGACGTACATCCGCTCAAACGGCTCGATCCGGCGACGATGACTTCTACCTGCTGCACGTGGCCACCTGCAGCGTGGTGATAGTGGGTGGCGCTTCTGTTTGCCGAGTTAATGGCCGTAATGAGCGCAGGTTGTGAGCAGGTCCTGACGCTGTTGTTGACGTACGTGGGCTGTGGCGTAGCGATCAGGAGGGCCTTGGGGATGCCTGACCTCCGCGTGCAACTTGAGCGACCAAAACCTTGGTTGAGGAGCACGATGGGGTTAGTTGGTGTTGTTAGTGGGAGAGTAAAGTTGATGGCGGTGTTATCGAAGAGTGGTGCAGTGGCGGCGCTGGCAGGGGGTCTAATCGAAAGTGAATACCGAAGGGGCTTCGCGGCCTACCGTGCTCTCCCGCCTCGTGCAGTCTACCCGAAATGTCCTGAGCCAGTAGCTACTTGTGCCTCTGCCAAGACTGTGAGGATGACTTCAACATGAAGATACAATTAGATCTGCATATTGCAATGTATTGAACAGGATATTGATATTGTTGCAATATTGATTCATGCTCTTTCGTAAGACGATACTTAGCCCCAGAACGCCTATCATAAGACAAAGCGTCTTACGTTTTCCGATCAACGCGTTTTGACTACATCTTGGTTTTTGTAAACCAGTGGCTACATTGCATATTGTCTGTCAAAACATAAGACAGTTTGTCGGACACTAGTTTGCGCTATACAATTGGCCAAAAGTGTTCAGGTCACAGCGGCATCGTTGCCGCGGACGCGGTGGCAACGTTGAGCGCCGAAATGATGCAGTTGCATGGTGCGGTAGGGTAAGTAGCCTCTTGTTCACACACGAAGCGATGTGTCTGTAGTTGGCCGCTGGCAGCAAGCTTAAATATCGGCATAATGACTGCACGAACGCGTGCATGCAGTCCGTGGAGCTGTTCCACTCAGAGGTGCAGCCGTTGTAGGGCACGGAGTTACGATGAAGTTGGCAGACGTAAACTAAGAGGGACAAATAGCTCGTAACGGTACTACATGTACATTTTAATGTAGTAAATTTTATGCTTGAGCGTACATCATAGTAGTTGTGAAGGCGTGGCAGCCAGGGAACGGTGTTGCCAGTGGGCTTCCCGAGATCCTCCAACCCCCTCTTACCTAATCATTACAGTCCAGCAACAAAATGCAACCACGTACTCTGCAACGGCGATAATACCTAGATCTTATACCTACGACGCTGAGGTGCGGAGGAGCTCCACACTGCTGCGCGGGCGCTCGGCGCGCGCCATATCGCTGCTGGGCTCGACCTTCGGCATCGGCGAGTTACTCGGTATCTCCTGCAACTAAGCCACTGCCTGCAGCCATGCTTTTTGTCGATGCTACAGTGTAGACTGGTTTGCGTATGCGCGCTCTATCCGAATCTCCATCTTCTATGTAGTGTTAGTACTTTACTGTAGAAAGGAGAGTTGGCGTGGTGGGGTGAACGACAACAGTCGTTCACCCCAGTAAAGCGAAGAAACATTGCTCCACTACGGGAACAAACGGTCGCATGATAACTGTGCTATGATGTCCTTACATTCCATTCCTGGCAAGTATATTTAAATCTTCTAGCAGGAGGTTATCAGAATCAAAGGCCCGGACATTTCAAGGGGCATTTTTCAAGTGCGCTGCCTCTAGTAATGGGGGCAAAATGCGCACACAGATAAATCAGTCCAATTTACGAGCCGAGATGCAGCAACACTCGAGACTACATAATACAATATTAACCAATGAAATTGCTACATTTGATTTGTCGTCAAACTGTCTTACGAATGCTCGACACAAGTGAATGATGGCATTGTTAAATCGGACTCCGGGTCCCGTCTACGCGCCCTTCGCTGCGCTACGGGGCTTCAACGGGAACCAACTCAGGTCGACCGCGGAACGCACGACTAGTGTTGGCGCTTGCAATTTCACAGTTAATATCCGTGAAATTTAAATCAGGGTTATTAACTGTTAATAACCGTGCTCTTCCGATTTTCACATTTATCTACGTCATGGACCAATTCCCGAGTCTTTTCGCCTTACAGACTAATTTCACCGTCTAGCGCACCGGGGGGGGGTTTCGAGCGGCCGCGGCCCACTGCTCGGCCTCTCAGCTCTATCGTCCAGAAGAAGGCACCCAGACAGCATATGCAGGAGGAGATTAACTGCCCGGTGATATCCATCGCGTCGAACGCCAAGCAGGTAGCGTTGCTCAAGTACGCCGGGCCAAGCAACTGGCAGCAGCGGCCGCAGAAGGCGAACAAGTAGCAGCGACAGTAGGGCGGCGGGAGTGCCAAGGAATTCAAGTTCACCATGAACAGCTCGTGGGTCTTCACGCACGCCCACCCAGTCCAAGATCGAGGGATACAGCAAGAAGAAGGAGGCTGACCAAGAAGGAGAATGGGTGAATTCAAGACCCCATATGCAGAAATGGACGCGATGAAGGTGCAATGTACTGTCCGCATTTTAACATTATATAATTAGGTACTGAGTATGTGACTTCGTGTCCTCTAGATGACGCTAATGTAGCGCTAGCCTCCACCTTGAGTTTGTGGCGATCTTAGAGGAAGACGCCGCCGCCCCTTTCGAGCACGCCGACGATGATGAACACGATGAGGCCCGGCAGGAACGTCTTGGGGAGCGTGAGAGCGCTCGTGAACGTGTCCGGCGCAACTGAGCTTGGCCTCGACCGCCTCCGGCACCCAGTAGGTCGGCAGCACCACATCCGTTGGCAGTGGCGGCCGCATGAGATCGCTCATGGAGGCGTAGTTCGCAGTGGTTGAGGCGGACAGCGCGTACGAGATCTGCAACCGCTTGCGCGCGCTCATGGTCCGGCCCGTGCCCGACGCGAGGTCCACGAACATATCGTACGCGTTGAAGTAGCTAAAGACCAGGTTGCCGTCCGAGTCGTATATGGTGTGGGCCGTGCCGTCGCTTTTGGCCATCTTCACGTCCTCCAGCAACGACGAGTCTCTATAGACGAGGAACGGGCCGGACATATACGACAGGAAGCCGGAGACGAAGCTCGGCTGGAGCAGGCCGTTCACGAGGATGACCAAGCCGATCGTGGCGTGCTCGTCCGAGTACGCGTAGACGTCGATCGCGGTGCCGAACCGGTGCAGCAACTCATCGTCGATGTCCGCTTCCGTGCTCAAGCTTGCGATGGAGGTGGAGATCTCGACCGAGCCCAAGTACTAGGCGAAGCCGGCGATGGTGGTGTGCTTGGCCACGCCGTTGATGGTCACACCGAGGGCTTGATGCCGGCTCTCGTTTGCGAAGAGGACGAAGGATAGCATGAACAACAATAGTATAAAATCTGTTATTAAAGAGCAATATCGAACATATATTATCTTGTTTCCCGCTTCCTTTTCTTCGCACTCAGAGGTAATAGCAGTTACCGCCGCCCGGTGGTGGTTGCTAGCGACATTTTCATCTTCTTCGTCTTCACTCTCATCGCTGATGTCGCTGTCGTCGTATGCATCTGGATAGAGCTGGTATAGGATATGGTTCACTTCGGATTTTCGCGCAATATTCGTATAAACGAACACAAGCTGGTTCACACACTCAGGCGTGAGGCGATTTCGCAGCTTCGTGTGGATAAATCCGTGGATACTCCAACTACGCTCGCTGGACGCCGACGACGTTGGGATATACAACAGCAACTTTGCGAACTCCTGCACCAACGCGTAGGTGTTCGAGGTTTCTAGCGACCACCATGCGATCGGGCTGTAGGCGTTGTTATCTTCACGCGATTTACCTGTCCACGCAGACTTCATGAGGACAAAGTCTTGCAGCTGCTTGTGAAATTTCTCCGCCAACTCTGTCGGTACCAATTGCAAGTCCTGGGCAAGTTGCGCGGCATCGTTAATCAGTGCCTTGACCTCCAGATCGTTCGGATCGTACATGGTCTTGGTCTGGTCAAGCAGGTATGCAATTTTCACCGTCGGCGTGCATATTTTTCCTCGTCGGGCATTTATCAGCCCGAGCACCTCCGCTTGTAGCAACACGCTACAATCATCAAGGGGCTCGGTGTAGACTGGATGTTTGCATAGCCAACTAAACTGGTGATACACCAACGACAAGCTGCAGGCGTCGCGCTCAAACGCAGCGAGGCACTTGTTGACTTGCTGGATGAGCTTCAACACAACGGCAGTTTTTGCCAGAAATCGTCATCGCGAAAAATAACGAGTGCCTCGTCTAGTGATGCTCCCTTGTAGTTCTTAAGCAGCGCCGTGTCCGAGAAAATAGCTGCAATGATGTCTTTGTTGTGAAAGACGTTCGCGACGCATTTTTCATGTGTATACCACTGCGTTGGCACTGGTAGCGAGAGGCGCCGCCGTTTTTCCCCTTTCTTTCGAAGCGTTTTTTGCAGATCGCGAAATCTTGACCACAAGCCCCGATGATCCTTGAAAAACCGAACCAGTTGTTTTGCACGGTCAAGCACATCCTTGAAAAAATCCAGATTGAAAATATCTTTCATCAGAAGATTCATGCCGTGCGCAATACAGCCCGTACATACAAGTCCGACGCGCTGTTTTCTTACGAGTCGCCACGCCTTCTTCATGTTGGCAGCGTTGTCCGTACCGAAGTGACTTTGCCTGAACCAATTACAGACTCGAACTCCAAAATGGTTGACCAAATTGTACCAGCGATATACTCTGCCGTATAAGCTTCAGCTTTTGAGTTGATCGACTTCCAAAATAAAGGTGGGGTCCGAGGGTTCCCAAAAACAAAGTTGATAATGCTATCCCCATTTGTGTTGGACCACCCATCCGTAATGAGGGCCAAGTTCGTCACGCCACTCTCCGTTATTCTCAAAATCAACTGAGTCTTCTCGCGGTCGTAAAGGACGTCCAGCAAACGCCCCGAAATTTGACGTCGAGAAGGCAATTCATAGTCAAACATAGCTTGGAAAAGAGGCTCCTCCACAACACGAAAAGGGATCCCAGTCGAAATAAGCCCAATTGCAACCCGCAAATAATTCTCTTCTTTGATTTCTTGGGCCGACTTCTTTGGTGTGGGTTGTGACGATGGTGATGGCCGCGGGGTCTTGCGCGGGCGAGATGAGCCGCTACTCCGTGGTGAATTCGTACCAAAAAGTCGCTTCGTCAATGTTGGCGTTCTTAGGTCCCGAGGCTTCGAAGGGGTTGTCAGCTCCGCCGCTTGCTTGTGTCGGAGGTCCGCTTCGTGGCGCCGCCACCGTTCCTTCGTCTCCTCGCCGATCTTGTCGCACTTGATCGTATGCTGCAGCAGGTTTCGCGACGGCTGGGCGTTCGGCAGCACCATTTCGCAAGCGAAGCACATGGCATCAGGATGGGGTTTTACACCCTTAATTCTGGGTGCGTGCTCACGAAACAAAGCCCAAATTTTGTGTTTCGGCGGAGCCATTGCGCCCTCCTTGCTGATGTTCACAGGTGTTTGCGGGACACACCACGGCTTTGGAGCAGTACGCACGAGGGTCTACGGTAACGGAGTCTGGAGGTTGGACACGTCAGAGTCGAGGACAGACGGTCAGTCGTTCAGGCGCCGAGAAGGTCGCGCCTTGCACACCAGCAGCAGCAAGTTCACAAGGTAGTTGCAGTCGTTGAGGGGCACTGCCAGTTGCGTCGAGGAGCTCGCTGCCAACGACGAGTGCAGGTCGCGCGTCGTAGGTCCTACGCACGTCGGCAAAGGCACCAGTTCGGCCCAGCAAGGGCCGGAGCAGGCTCTGGGGGGGATCTAAGTGTGAAGCCTCTAGATTCCGAAGGGGGAGCGGGGAAGACCGCCAAACTTCAATACCTCCCCTCTGTATTGCGCAACTTCGATATTCACAGTGACCATCAGCTGTGAATTACGTGTGAACATTCTTTTTAACTGAATGTATCCGTTAATAACTGGTAATTAAACGTGAATTGCCAACCCTACGCACGACCTCCGCTACGCTCCGGTGTGCATCCTGGTCGCATCTAAAGACAGAACCTACTTCGCAGTGCAACTCCTCCGGCCTACGCGCCGTCCCCTGACAGACCTCCGCTTCGCTCCGGTTGTCAAGGAGCCTCTCTAAGGCCTCACCAGACATCGATTAAAGTAACCGATCGAGCATTCAAAATTTGAAGTGACCAATTCTAAATTCAAAAGTAACCGACTCAAAATCAAGTCTCATATGAGTGTTGACTCTTTAATGTTGTGGCGATCCGCGACGGGAATTTTGACGATAGATACGCTTCGTGGATGGTAGGCTCTGGCGATTGACATGACCGCACGCGACCTGCAGCTGCGGGGCTGCCGTGGACGCACGCCAAGGGCCTCGACACCTTCACGCCCATCAGCGACTTCATCCCCAAGTCGGCCGTGCCCTCGCCTCACGACTTGAACCTCTGGCTGAAGGTGGACGATGAGCTGCGTCAGACCAGCTCCACATGCTGCAGATAGTGAGTGTGGCTACATCGCACCAGCCGATGCTTCTCGAGCAGTTCGCCGCACGAAACAGAGACCTTCCATTCGAGGAGACTGTGTCACCACTTCGGACTTCCAACTGCGTAAGCAATGGTGACGCCGTCCACGATCGTGAAGAGGATCAGACCCGAATTTCAACTCCACCAACGACGCCAAAGACTTCGCTCGCCAACTTTTCTTCGAAAACCAGGTTTGAAGTACTTACTCGCTTCTCACGATGAACTGCCGTTGAGGTCTACTGACAGCGCGAGTTCTCCCATCTCGACAATATATAGGCAGCCGCGCGAAAGAACAAAGAGCGCATTGATCAAGAGAGGTCGCGAGGAGCCGCTTTCCTCGACTGCGAAGACGGTACCGCAGCAGCCTCCGAGGCTGATAATCCTGGCAAAAGATTCCCCCTCGAAGAAGACGTGCGAAACGCGAGCCCAAGTAGCCGGCAAGACTCGGAACGGCATATCGGTGCTTGATCGCAAACTCGGACCCCCGGCGGCTCGAGCCCAGTCTTCACCGTACGAAACTCGGACACCTAGAACTAGAGATACTATCGGTAGACTAACACGCTCCTGTTGCGCTTCATTAAGGTCGAGCTACGAAGAGCTGCTGAACGCCGAGCGCCGGCGCATACAACTCGAGACCAAGGCGCTGCAAGAACGATGCGAGTCCTGCAGGCCGCTGATTAACTTCAACGTGGTCAAATAAAAAAGGACAGCCTACGCGCCCAGGTTTCCCAGGTTAGAAAAATACTCAGATTTCTGATTCTGCAGGTATTGTCCAGGTGATGCCCCAGGTTATATCCAGGTATATGAATTATGAGCGTTATCAGATGAAAGTAATTTAAACAAGGATGGTTAAATTACCAGAACAGTTAATGTCCAGGTTAAAAACCTGGAAAACTCATGTGCGTAGTACTTGAGGAAAAGTGAAAATGACGGCCTACAGGCTGTGTCGGATGCATTCTAGCCATTCATTTCTTGTTTCAGTGTCCAGGTAGTTTGCAGGTATGAAAACCTGGAAAACTCATGTGTGCACTACTCGGCAAAAAGTCGAAGTGGCGTCGATTGGTATCGATCGGAACCACACGACATGATAATGGCTTCAAAACAATCATTGTGTACCCATCTACTCGTACAGGTTTCTTACAGGTTGCAAACAAAACTTGTCCATGTATTATCCATAAGATGCACTTCTCGCTGCTGCTCACTGTCTAGCTACGCTTCATCGTGGTGATCTTGTGCAGCATTGCCCAACGCAGCTTGGTGACGCCACTGGGAGACACATCACTTGGCACTTCGCTGTCAACGCACGTCCACAATAGACGGCACGCAAACACCCCACAGCTATCGCTATCTGTCTGCTTCGGCTCCGTCACTTCGATGTCGCTGTAAGCTTCATCCTCAAGGGGGTCTGCAAGGAGCTCGCTTGCCATCTTCTTAAGCCGTTTCTTGTTTCTCTTCCCACCCATGCTGTCATACGTCTTCACTAGCCGCGCTTCACGGTCCACTACGATGCATCCCCAATGAACTCCACCAAAATTGACCGGCATAAATACAAAAGCATGCGCCTCAATACCACTAGCAACCTCGTCCAGCGACGTTGGTGCGAGTATGTGCTTCCCCATCTTACCCTTCTTAAGAGGAGGAACCATCACCGTCATGTTGTTCTTGTAAGTAGACAGAAACACGGTAAACGCCCGCAAGGCGTTGTCGTTCAGCCAAGCGGAGTCTCTGAAGCAGAAAAGGTCTGCGTAGGTCACGTCGAAGCCAAAGCCATGTAGCAGTGTGTATGGCCAGCACTCGAGTACTTTGCCAAGTAACAGCCCAGGGGGGGCGGAGTCCGCTACGATACCTTTCACGTCTTGGCATAGCCATGTGCAACACAGTACCGCATTCCGGCATGTAGTCTGCCAATTCCACAGCGACTGCATCGCTTCTAAATGCACCCGGGTAAATCTGCCAACTTTCTCAATGGCGGCCACGTAACCTTCCGTTTCGCGTGTCACCCCTCCATCACTGTCCAGCTCAATCTCCTCCCCTTTTGCCAAACCACCTCTCAGTTTAGCTAGAGCGTCTTCAACGACGGACTCCGGTAGTCGGAAGCGCACAACCTCGCAAATATATTCCGTGTCCGACATCCACTGGATTGATTTTCCGTCACCTTTCTTCTTTGTTTCATGCGTAGTCAAAAACGAGCTGAGCTCGCGGACACCTGGCTTAACCCTTCTAGCCCCAGCCCTTATTCTGTATCCTACATAATAAGCATTAGACTTGATTAAAGTATACTTCAAAACCTGTCAAAGATTTGGTGTTGGAAGCCCTTTCGCATCTTGCGGTCAAGCGCTGGGTACATTGTGCACAGAACAGCTACGAAAGTGAACAAAACATGCTCAATGTATCCACCATATGCCGAAATGGCGAGCTTCTATTGGTCGTGGCGAGCGTAGAGCACGCTCAAAACCTGCTACATGGTAATACCTTGCAAGGCTGCTAAGGCAGCATACTTCGGCTCCAGCCGCCCATCTTCGGCACGTCGCGATAAACGCGGAGGAAGAAATCGCCCAGTTCCTAACTGACGTAGTGAGGAGGAACTGGGCGAATTCTTCCTTGTGCTTGACATTAGCGCATCATTAGATTTCTTTAGCCCACCTAACAAGCTTGTTACGATTGTCTCTCTAACAACACCAGGGAGCTTGCATGCTCACTAGCCCGTAATGACACGCACTACACACGGTTCCTCTTGTACGAAACAGGACAATATATGATATTCATGCCAACGTCTACTTCTTCCTTTACATGCGCACGCTCTTCAATGTTCGCGCCAGCCGTGGGTCATCTTCGCCATTTTGGCAGCCTCCGCTTTGCTCTGTAGCCTCCGGCACTGCCGCTCCATTCCTGCCGCTTTCATCGGTAGCCTCCGTCGTAGCCTCTGTCCCTTCTTCTGTAATCTCCGGTGTAACCTCATCACGCGATGAGCTTCTTCTGTAGCATCCGTCGTAGCATCTACCGCTTCTTCTGAAGTCTCCGGTGTAGCCACACCATGAGGAGCGCTTCTTCTGTAGCCCCTTGAGTAGCCACTGCATCAGCTACAATATAGCGGTAGACCCGGCTGTAGCCGGCTTCGTAGGAACCGATGAAGTTGTGCGCTGACTCCGCAATCGATCTGCCAATCGGGCCACACGCGAGAGCTCATAGCGTCGTCTGGGTCGGATCACCAGGTCTGGTAATCAACATCGCAACGTAGAATCAATATACCACTAGTACAATGTTACAGAGCAAAGTACACGCTCTCGCTTACCTTTAGATCACAATGGCGCTCATCATGATCGTCTTCGGCCATGGTCCTTGGCCACTTGGGCGCGCTCGACGGGCCCCAACAAAGCTTGCATTGCGACGTCTTGAACAGCGCAGTTTCGGAATGAAGGAAAGTACGAGTGGCTGACACGCGGCGGTTTTAGGCTTCCACCCGAATTTTCAAACCTGTTGGTGGTTTATACTCGTCCGTCTATTACCGCGGAATAAACCCCGTCTATCTTCCCATCGCTAATCTAACAGGAAGATGTGCACAATACCGGCTATACAAACATCCATATGCGAAGTTCGAAAGAGAGGACAAGTTTGCTGGATATTATGTCCTGTGACAATGCTTATTCTGTAGGATACAGAATACGGGGTTAGAGGGGTTAATCAATTCCAGCGTTGCTGCCACTTCCGTCACGTCCTTATCTCGTAGTAGAGCTCTGAGTTTCATTCCATTGTTGTATTCTTTCAGCGCCAATGCTGCCTTCTCTCTCATCTGAGCACGATTCAACCGTGGTCGACCGACACGCCTCTTGTTTGTCAGTCGAACCTTTGAGCCTTTGCCTGGCTGCACCGATTCCTGGGCGGAGGCTGTCACTTGTGTCGGGGGTTCGGCTTCGTCATCATCTGGTCCTTTTTCGTGAGCTGCATCCTCTCCACCAGAAGCACTAGGACGATCATTCGTACCCCCCGTTCCTGGGCTACCTCCACCGCCTCCGTGGCTATCACTGCTAATACTGTTGGCCCCGCCACCACTAGCGCCAACCCGATCGGGGCCCGAATCGTCGACGAAGTCTGCATCAGCTTGCACCAGCGGAAACTTCCCTTGACGTAAGTCGTACCACCACTTATCAATCTGCTTCATCGCAGACTCGAACACAGTGTCATCGCATCGGACAAGCTCGCTGCTGATTCGACCAAACGCCTGCTGCGAACGCCGACACTTCTCGGCTTCACTCAAACTGCCAGCGCTCGCAGCTGGATGCCCTTTGTAGAGCTTAGCAACGAACGGATTTTCCACCTCCATCAAGTCCTGTTGCGAGATGCGATTCTGTCCAAACCACCTATTCATGCACATCAATAACAAAACATGGTAAAAACTTGGTCAATACATGGGTAAAACGAGATACCTGGATAACACCTGGTCAATACTCATAGAAAAACTGGACATACCTGGACGAAATGGAAGAGAATGGGATAATGAAGGGGCTTCCACACACTTTTCTGTAGACCATTGCATGTCTGCACGGAAGCTTCATAGTCTGGGAAAACTCGCAGTCGCACACCCAGCCTTCCTTCTCGAGGAGATACTCGTTCTCCTCGCTTTGTATGGTGATCATAGCGCCATTGTCCTTGAAAGCGTAGGTATCGACAACCCCGGGGTTCGTAGCAATGTCAAATTGTGTCTTCAGAGCAGCTGCTACCTCATGCCCAGAGCGACGTTCAACTCCTCAGGGTACGAGGCGTCTCTCAGGGTACCCGGCATCCCGACCTTGAACCGATAGGCTTCTTCTTTGCGGCGCTGATATTCCAGAAGCACCTCCAGACTAGCGCGCATAGTTAGATGGCCTTTCAGCTTTCGCTTCAGCTTACCGAATAGGCTCTCGACACGATTATTCGTGTGATTGCCGAAGTGTGGCAAATCGACACGGTAAGCCATCTCCCACATCTCTCGGCACGCATTCCAGTTCTTGTCGAAATACTCCCATAGCTCCACACGACCATTCCGCGAGGCCAGACTCTTGAACTCATCCCGATGCCGCACATAGTCTTCCTCAGTTCTGGAGTATGTCATGTTCGTGATGGTGTGCTTCATCTGCGTCAAAACTTCTGCTTCGTAGGCTCCATAGGTCTGCGATTTCTTGATGGTTTCATGAAGCCACTTGATGACATGAAAGTGGCAGATAAGAAGGAAGTGCTGGCTTGGGTGTCGACCAGGAGCTCGATTCCGGGCATGAGCGGAGACTCGGCAGGAACCTGGCGAATACCTGGGTAAGACCTGTAGATGTCGTCGGAAATGGGGTGGTTGTGGCTGTAGACTTCTCGCTTCATGACGATGCCCAACTTTCCATCTCGGCGAAGGACGACTTGTTCAAGCATCTGGAACGGACACTCAGTGCGGCGGAGCTTGTGCGACGTCCTCTTCCCCGTCGATCTCTCACGCTCCTTCCAGCCGTGTGTGCAGATGTACTTCCGCTGATAGGGCTCCCACTCGTCGGGCACGAGAGGAATTTCTGTGTCAGGAAGCCCTCGGAAGCGGACCTGCTTACGCAAGTCTGCGTTGCGGCGAGCCACGTTGATGACCTCCGCGATGACGATCTTCTGTCGCGTCGCATCCACGTACTCCTGTAGGCTGACATCAAGCAGGGGCCACGAGTCATGCTGGGCCTTGAACGCTAGAACGTGCACCAGGTCCTCGTCTTCAACGTCGGAAACGGTGCGCTTCTTCCCTTGGCGCTGCCCGCCCTTGGTAGCTCCTTTCTTCTTTTTCTTCTTCTGCGCGTCCTCTTCATCATCTTCTTCTTCCTCTTCTTATGCTGGGGTCTCCAGGGCCGAGCAGCCGCCGCACGTCGAATGCCACGTGGCTGGAGCTGGCCCCCTCGAATTGGTGGCTGTGAGGCAAAAGCTGAAATGACGGTAATAAAAAACGGGATAAATTATCCCTGGACAATACCTGTCGCCAGACCTGAATAATACCTGTTTTGCAAAACCTGGGCTAGTAGCTTGCCGAATAAAAAAATAAAAAATAATCAGTAACCCCGATAGAGTGACATTTTCTTTGTTTTCGCGCACTTCCTCCAGCTCCCCCAGCTCAGCATGAAGGCCAAGTTCGTGAAGTTCGGGTGCGTCTTCGCCGCCGACAGCAGAGAGCAATAAAATACCCCCCCCCTCACCCTATAAACCTTTCCCCCCGGTCGAATAGCAAGAAGATCGTGGCCATCGGCAAGAATTACGAGGCCCACGCGCGCGAAATGGGCGCGGCCTCAGCTCCGAAAGACCCCGTCCTCTTCCTGAAGCCCACCACCAGGTTAGCATTGAGTACTACTTTGACTGGATATCATCTTGAAAGTACTAGCAACAGTTCCTAATCTTCTTGACGCCGACGATCGCCAGCTACGTGCGCAACGGCGGCAGCGTCCTGCTGCCCCCTGGGATCGGCGAGGTGCACCACGAAGTCGAGCTCGGCGTACGTTGCAGCATGCCATCTGCTAGTTCTGAAGGCTAACGTGATTTTTTGGCAGGTGGTGATTGGCAAGGGAGGCACGGATATCGCCGAGAGTGACAGCATGAGCCACGTCGCAGGATATGTATGTGAGTGTTGACTCTTTAATGTTGTGGCGATCCGCGACGGGAATTTTGACGATAGATACGCTTCGTGGATGGTAGGCTCTGGCGATTGACATGACCGCACGCGACCTGCAGGCCAAGGCCAAGAAGGCGGGGCTGCCGTGGACGCACGCCAAGGGCCTCGACACCTTCACGCCCATCAGCGACTTCATCCCCAAGTCGGCCGTGCCCTCGCCTCACGACTTGAACCTCTGGCTGAAGGTGGACGATGAGCTGCGTCAGAACGGCAACACCGGCGACATGGTCCACAAAATCCCGTTTCTGATCTCCTACGTGAGCCGCATCATGACGCTGGAGGAAGGCGATTTGCTTATCACCGGCACGCCGGAAGGAGTGGGGCCTGTCCCGACGAACAGCGTACGTGTGTGTCTGCGTGGCTGCGCATGATGAGTTTGTGACTCATGCGCATCCATCGAATGTGCTGGCTGTAGGTGATCACCGCGGGTATTACCGGACTGATCGACGTGCGCTTCCCGGTCGAAACCCGCGTGTACAAGGCGTAGCAAAAGAAGCAACTTCTGCTAAATAACTGCGTCTAGCAATGCTCCAATCGACAATTGGCAGCCACTTCGAACTGTGTGTGTTCAATGCTCGGCTGTTTCTAACGTTGTTTGGTTGCTGTTGCCGCATCGACCAGCATGGAGATTTTGCGGAAGTTATGTCTACGTTTTGAACCAGCAAACGTCGAGCGAACATGCCAGCCTCGGTAGATTGCTTGAATGCGCAACGCTGCGGCGTCATGGCGCAGGTTGCGAACCGCAGACTGGGCGTAGGAGCGCACTTCATGTCGATTCGATGGCACCAGTCGCATTAGTGAGCCCAGGATGCCGCTTTCGACCAGTCTTGACCGAGCCACGTGAAGTTCCGATACAGCAGCCAATGCGCGTGTAGCCTCAAGGAGTAGCGCTTCGCTCAGGCCCTTGTCGCTGCCGTGCCCAACAGCACGACCTCGATCCCGTACGGGACTTACGTATCGTACAAGTACAGGCAGGAGCCCAGCATCCATCAGCTTCAGTACATTTTCAGGACGCTCGGCGAAGTTGGCGATGATCTGGGCTACATGAAGGCGCGTGGAGGCAAGTGGGTGAAAGGCGAACTGCCCAAGTGCCGACAACAGTGCAGGCTTGCATAGCGTTAACCGGGAGGGCGCATCGAAGGAGAGCTGCGCAAGTGCATCCAGCGCATCGACTTTCATGCCGAAATCATCGCCAGCCAAGATTCCAAACAAACACTTGACAACACCGCGAGCAAGAAGCTCGATGTAGTGCTGGTAGTCGCGCTCTGAAGCTTGGTGTGATCCACGAGGAGAATCCTGTGCACTTGGAGGCGCGGTTCCTGCTAGTTGCTTGGGCTCTTTGCGTCGCTTTCGCTCTGTGCAGATTAACAGCGTAAGCAGAGTGATAACTGCACGGCGAACCCGCTTATCAGGTGAAGCGTATAGCTCGCACGCCGCGATGTGATCGAGCACCTTCGATCGGATCACCTGCTCTCGATTGGCGGTGTTCCGAGCCATGGCACAAAAGATTCCAAGCGTTGCACGGGTAATTGTAGTAGCCTCATAAGCTGGCCAAAAGGAAACTGAGCGCGAGCGAGGACGAGATGACGAAGCTGATCCTGGCCGCGAAGTGGATGCCTTGGTCTGGACAGGTACTGTCACGGCTGTGTGTGGGCGCTTACTATCATGGTCCGATGTTGGCAGTCCGCTGTTGGAAGAGAAGCATAGCTGGACAAGCCGTGGCATCGCTTCAGCTTGCACAAGAGCTGCATGATTGACTTCATCCTTCGCGACATCATCAAGAATCGCTACCACCAACAGACTCACTTGAAGCGATGGTCTCGTGGCACACGAGGACCCGCGGCCAAGGACGCTGAGAACGCAGGGCAACAGCCCAAGTGATGCGAATCGACGAGCATTCTCCGCCTCAGAAAGCAGCAAATGTATGAAGCTCAGCAACTCGCGACGGAAGATTGCATCTTTGTCGAGGAACGGATCTCGCAGCAGCCCAGAGAGTGTGGTGAAGTGCCCCGAGTAATAAAACAGCACTCTGTTGTCGCGAGTTGCTGCAAGCTGATGAATCACCGAGGCGGCCAGCGTTCGTGTGCGTGTATCACCAGCCACACCACCCCTTGTGCCTTGTGGGGCATCGCTACCAGAGCAGCAGTTCAACATGAAGGCAAAACCTTCGCGTTTGGCCACCACCTCACGCCACTCGTCGGTTGTTACTAGTCGTGCGACGACTTCGAAGCCGGCAAGACGCAGCTTGTGGTCTGTAGTAGTATGAAGCAAGGAGAAAACGCAGTCGATGCCTCCTGGTGCTTGGAGAAGCTTGGTCTTGACAGAGGAGAGACGGACAAGCGCGGCGAGCGCCTGTGCGCAGTCATTAGAGATCCCCGAGTCCTCGCGATCCACGGGTGAGCTCATCATGGTCAGAATTGCACCGAGCGTGCCGACTTCGTCGAGAAGCTCTAGATTTGCGGCTGCGGTGCAAGCAACGGAGTGAACGAAGGTGAGACGATTGAGCCAATCCGGCGAGGCGACAAGAACAAAACGTACTGTTGCGGCTCAGAGAGGCGATTGCAGCGGCCGCGTCGCGCCGGACTTCCACGAACGGCGACCAGTAGATGATCTCGATCAGTGGACTGACGTCGTCGGCCTCAACGTCTTGCCGCCGCAGACTTTTGAGGACTTGGGCGCTGTGAAGCGAGTCCCGACGTCGCTCGGTGTGCATGGCGTTCAGCTCCGCTTCGCGAGCCAAGAGCTGCTGCCTCTTTCGGAGTGAGACCGCAGCGGTGGGCGGGGCCCCTCCCACCTTTTCGGCTGCTTCAACGGCATCGGCTTTAGCGGCATGCTGCGGTCCATCACTGGCGCGACGAAGCCGCGCTGGCTGCGAGAGCCTGCGGCCTGTTGGAGGTCTGGCCATGACGTTCTGCTGCTCCTTCGTTGCTGCCTTGGCTCTATCAGGGCTCGGACTCTCGTCGGGCTTCTTGCTGTTTGTGCTTGCCGCACTGGCGAGGGCGGCTGATGCTGACGCTGACGCTGAGGCGGATGCTGTGGCGATGGCGGCTCGGAACTGCTCTCGAGGATCCTGCCGAGCTGTTAACACACCCGGCAGATGCCTGTCAGCGGCTGTGGCTGGCCGCTCCGTCCTCTTCGACGCTGTGCGCGGCGTCGCTGCGGCTGGGAAGAGGTCCGGCGGCGGCGCATTCCATCGCCGCTTGGCGACTGCGCTCCCGGGACGAGAAGAGGGCGCTGCCCGCGGCTTGGAGGTCAGAGCGGGTGGTGGCTTGAGGCTGGTGGCCAGCGGCATCGCGCAATGGCGCGGCAGCGGCTGCAATCGACTATACTTAGCCACCATAGTTGGTTGAAGGTTTCGGTGGTCGTAACTTTGATTTGGTTCCAAATATTTTATGTCTGATTCATACCTTCTAGATTTAGAACCGTTCTGATTTTCGCAAAGCTCGACAAGAGGAAGGAGCCCCAGGACCAAAGTCGCCGCCGCCGTCGCCATGAAGAAGAAAGTGCGTGGGCTCGCGGCTGCCGCTCCCTCGCTGGGTCCTCTCGGCGTCGTCGACTAACCGCTGAGTCATGTACTGCGTGGCCGTGCAGGTTCTGCTGATGGGCAAGTCCGGCTCGGGCAAGACGTCCATGCGCTCCATCATCTTCGCCAACTACCTGGGTATTATGACTGCTCCTTCTCAGTGGGTGGCAAGTAGAGCAGTCTATTGATGCTGCTTTTGTATGGATTAAATTGACCAGCACGCGACACGATGCGACTGGGACCCACGCGTACGTGAACTTGGTTGGGGGGCCGGGAGAGGAGTGTACAATGACTTGTTAACAGACTTGTGGCGACTGCTGTTGGTTGTTGCGGGGCTGCAGTGGACGTGGAGCACTCGCACGTGCGTTTCCTGGGCAACTTGGTGTTGAATCTGTGGGATTGCGGCGGGTACGACGACTATAGGAGTCGCTACAGCTGAAGGAAATCTTGTAGCTGAGTCTGATGCGTCTCTGTTGTGGCATTCGGCGTTGCAGTCAGGACGCCTTCTACGAGAACTACTTCGAGAGCCAGCGTGATCACATTTTCCGCAGTGTGGAGCTACTGATCTACGTGTTTGACATCGAGAGCCGCGAGATCGACGTACGGGTGCGCCGGGGAGTGCTGTAGTGGCTTGTGCTGATCTATGGCGTCGTTCGCTCCAAATGCTATCGTTTTTTTCTTCTTACAGAAAGACATGGCCCACTTCGACGGCTGCCTGGAGGCCATCGACCAGAACTCGAGCAATGCAAAGGTGTTCGTGCTGATTCACAAGATGGATCTTGTCCCCGAGGACCAGCGTGAGCGCGTACGTTGCGATTGCAAACTAGGAGTTTGAAGTGAATTGTGGGCTTGGGCGCTAAACTTGGGTTGCTTGTGGTGCTTCAGGTGTTCAACCAAAAGAAGGAGATGATTTTGGCGCGCACGGGCCAGCTCCCTACGGTGTGCTTTGGCACGTCCATCTGGGACGAAACGCTGTACCGCGCGTGGTCCTCCATCGTGTACTCGCTGATCCCGAACATGCAGGACCTGGAGAAGCACCTGAACAGCTTTTGCTCCATCTGCAGCGCTGACGAAGTGGTGCTGTTTGAGCGCGCGACGTTCCTCGTGATCTCGCACGCTACGCACACGAACCACCGAGACATTCACCGCTTTGAAAAAATTAGCAACATTATCAAGCAGTTCAAGCTGAGCTGCAGCAAGACCCAGGCGCAGTTCCAGGGCATGGAGGTGCGCAATTCCAACTTCACGGCTTTCATCGACTTCTTCACCGCGAACACGTACATCATGGTCATCATGTCTGACGACTCAATCCGTAAGTACCTGCATAACGCCGGTTTATGGCTGAAGGGCTTCGCTGTTGCTAACAATCGCCACCTATTTCGTGTTATCCGCTGGAGTAGAACCGGCGACGATTCACCTGAACATCAAGGCGGCTCGCCCCGTGTTTGAGGAGCACGTGCAGCAGACGAGCTAAGTGACAGCCGCAGGCAACATTGGCGTGTTATTAGCAGTGACGCAGCAGAGGTTGCAGTACCCGCAACTCAGAGAGTTAGAAGTCTCGCAAGACGGCAAGAGCACAAAGTAACGCGTGTGATTGATGCTAAATCTAACGGATGAACAGCTTCTAGTCGATTCAGAGCATCTTTATTTCATATAAGCTACTGGGGAGGAGGTGGCGGTGGACTGGAAGACGCGTTGGTTGAAGCCAGCATGTATCCTCTGCGACGCAGCGCCCGCAGCACCACCGGCGTGACAGCAAACGTCAGCGGCCACCGGACAGGGGCCAGCACCTTGTACAGCGTGTAGGCGATGAGAAAGGACCCGGCCGAGTTGGTCGTCGAGTCACTCACCGACGAGGACAAGCCCACCGAGTCCAGAATGGCCGTCACGTCCACCCCACTCGAGACGCCCACGTAGATGACGGAGAACGACAGCAGCGAGAGCACAATGTGCGTGCAGATGCCCACGCGGCCGTACTCGATGGCGAAAGTCTTGGCTCGCTGGCGCCACGACTGCGGCTGCGGCTCCTCTCCAGGCTGCTCCAGCTCCTTCTCCGCCTCACTCGCGCCCTGCGTTAACGCATAAACATCGTCATTGTATGTAGGACTGCGCAGACAGACAGTCAACAAGGCCGCACCTTGACAGGCGTCGAAGCGGAGGAAGACGAAGACGCCGTGTCCCCGCCCGTGAGTGGGGACGTCTCCAGCGAGTCCTTGGACGCTCTGCCACTGGACCAGAGGCGCACCACGCCACAGTCAGAGCCGCACGCAACAGCAAACGACGACGGGAAGCCAGGCAGGCGGCGCGACGCAGCGGCGGCAGCTCCAGCAGGTCGCGGGGCTTTGTGAGGCCAGGACGGGGACGAACAGGAGGTCGAGGACGAGACGACGCTGGAGCACAGCAACCGCACGCCCAGAGCGCGCGCGCGTCTGCCGGAGTCGACGCCGCACTGCGCCGCGCCTCGAAACACGCACAAGTACCTCACTCCACCGCGCAGCATCATGGAGAGAGAGAGAGACGAGGCTACGCAGCTACTGCACTTCCTGGCGATGCGGAAAAATGATCCAGGTGTAAATGTGTAACGTACACCAAACACGACGAATGATGTCGGACGCAGTGTGTGTCCCATATTGAAGAGAGGAGGCGGACGATGGCTTCGATGCGCGGCCTCTGGGCGGCGCGAGGCGCGCTGCGTCGCCATGTGAACCGATCTCTGGCAGCCGAGGCGTCCCCCCGACTGGCGCTGCAAGGCCAGCGTCAGTGTCAGCGCGCGCTGTGCTCCACCAGCAGCGCCGACGGCGGAGACGCCAAGACGGACTCGGCCCACCAGCGCCAGCAGTCCTCCTTCCTGCGCAGCATCGACCTGAGCAGACCCGCGGCGCAGCGGAAGCTGTCCAAGCTGATCCAGGAGGTGGTCAAGACCAAGGCCAACACTGGCGGTGCGTCCACAGTCTAAGAGAGTCAAGCGAGAGGCTGGGCGGAAGCATCTAATTGTGCGGCTATGTGGGGGCAGACTTCGTGCCGCAGGTGGTGATCCAGAGTCTCTGCACGACGTACAGGGGCATGAACATCGACGAGAAGAAGCAGTTCCTGCTCATCCTGGCGCAGGACCTGCACATCGACCCGGCTGTGGTGAGCTCGGAGCAGCCACTTTAGTCTGCGTGCTGTGGTCTGGCGTGGCTCACTATTGAATGTTTTTGATGGCAAATAGGCCCTGCAGAGTGCCGCTCAATTCGACCAGAACCTGACCAATGTGAAGGACGCCCGTAGCGGGGCGGTTAATTGGGAGCACGAGAACGTCGAGAGGTATCTGCGCACCTTCCGCAATCTGCGGAATGCGCTATCGCCGCTATATGAGGTAAGAGGTGAATGCAAGAGCCAGGGAGTGCTGTTTTTTGTCAGAAAAGCTTACTGAGTGTCTGCGGTGGCAATTGCAATGCTGGTAGACCTTCTTCCAGCAAATCTTGTCGCAACGAGAAAATGGAATGCTGTTCTTGGTGCAGTTACGAGCGGACCTGCTTCAATTGTTGCGCAAGAATGCGAACCATGCCGAGATCCCTGCGCTTCGCTCTCTTGATGCGAGCTTGAAAGTGAGTTAATTCACCTGCACTTGGAGATCGATGTCTTACTTTACCTACTGACGGCGTTTATTGAGTAGCAATTTCTGGCATCGTGGTTTAGTGTTGGCTTCCTGAAGCTGGAGCGTGTGACGTACGAGCACTCTCCTGGCCAGCTACTGGAGAAAATAATTCGCTATGAAGCTGTCCATCCAGTTGGCACAATCGCTGAGCTAAAACGACGCCTAGGTACACTGCACATTCCTTAGCTTCCGCAGCAGTCGCCACCTCAACTAAATATTTCTATTCTGCCAGGCAATGGACGGCGGTGCTTTGCATTTTTCCATCCGAGGTAAGAAGCTTGCAGTCACTGGTAGTCATATTTACAAAACTAATAAGTCGGCGTTTCTGGGTGAAGTATTCCAGATGAGCCCTTAGTGTTTGTGCATATAGCACTGATGCAAGAGATCGCCTCCAGTATGCAGTCCATTCGCGATGAGACGGAGCAATTGGCAGAAGCATCTCAGGCGAAAGCTGCAATCTTTTACTCCATCTCGTCAACGCAGAAGGGGCTCTCGGTAGGCTCTACTGCCTTTGAAGGCAACGTATAGTATATAGCAGGGTACTAACTAACTTGCGCCTGGACTGTAAGGGTGTGGATCTAGGCAACTTTCTCATCAAAGAGGTTGCCAAAGCGCTGAAGACGGAGTACCCGCACCTGAAGACATTTGCGACTCTGAGCCCTCTGCCTCAATTTATGCCGTGGCTCGAAACCCAGCGGTACAAAACTGACGAGTCGTTGGTATCTCCTCTCGAGCTGGATGTCCTGACCGATGTTTTGGAAGAGCGTGGCATCGCTTCTCAACCAGATTCGACCGCCGTGGGGGTTGTTTTGGACGCTCTCAACATTGACGACTGGAGTGAAGATCCAAGTCTGGTGGCAGCGTTAAAGCCCATAGTGCTGAGGCTTGGTGCGCGCTACATTTACCACGAAAAGAAGCGCGGAAAGGCGTTGGACCCGGTCACGAACTTCCACGTTCGGAATGGCGCCATATTCGAGCGGATCAACTGGCTGGCCGATCTGTCCAAGAAGGTGGGTCGCCAACTGATGCGTCATTATATCCCCATACTGATCTGCCCATAATCTTACTTCCGTGCCTTGTCGATATCAGGGTCTCGCTCAAAGCGCTGGCATGATGATCAACTACAAGTACGATCTGTCGCACGTCGAGGCCAACAATGAAAACTATTTGTTGCACAACATCATTCCCATCGGGCTTCAGCCGCAGCAAGTGCTCGGAGCCCGCACCATTTAGTCATGGCGCCCAGATCGATGTCCTCCCACTATTGGAGGCGAAGCTGATGAATATTTGAATGGAAGTTTGGCTTTGAACAACAACTTATCAGCTCCGAACCGAAGGACGATTCATTTTTAGTTTTTCGCTTTGTGAAGAGTCGTACACGAGCACCTTCTCGTCTTCCACAGCGAAGCAACGATGGTGCTAGCCCAAGACGAGATCGACGCTTGTCGCGAAGCGTTCCTAGCGTTCGACAAGGACCGGTGGGTGCATTTTACAAGTGGGCAGACTACAATTGATCTCTAATCCATGAGAATTCGGTGCAGGAGTGGCACAATCGATGTGTGGGAGTTGCGCCAAGTGCTGGAAGGTAGAAAATTATCGCCCGTGTCTTGGTTCCCCTCTTCTCATTTCCTGAACTCCCTGTTCATTGTAGCAATGGGACAACAGCCAACTGAGGAAGAATTGTTCCAGATGATCAGCGAGGTGGACGAGGATATGAGCGGCGCTATCGGTCAGTGACCCCCGAACTCTAGTTTGCTTTGAGTTGGGTCTGTCTAATAGTACATTTGCTGTGGCTGCGCTAGACTTCGCTGAGTTCTTACAGGTGATTGACAACCAAAAAGATCGAGCCGCCATGTTCGAAGACGACAGCGATATGAGTGTGTATAATTTGTTTGCTACTTAAGTATTGCACATATACCACTCGCACTCACACTTTTATTCTCGCAGTCGACGCGTTTGTTGCTTGCGGTGGCAAGCCCGACAAGAGTGGATTTGTGCGCAAAGAGACACTAGTGAAAATCATCAAGGGCGACTTCGGACTGACTATCAACATCGAGGAGATGATCAACAAACTGGACGTGGATGGTAGCGGCGAGATCGAATTCGATGAGTTCAAAGCGATCCTGACATAACCGAGAAACGAAAAGATTGCACGAGGAACAGCATCCCATATAACTACCTGAAAACCTAACATGCACTGATTGACACTCGGCACGCTTTTGTAGAGAAAGAAACATCGCTGGCTCCCTCTTCCTTGACTTAGTGGTGAACAAAGTGCTGCTGCTGGTGGTGGTGGGGGGTTAGCCAGAAAAAAATACTCGCTTCAGTTAAGAAACTCTGTCCACGACCGCGCGCAGCAAGGTTCCAGATCTTCGAACTTATCATGACAGCGCGGTTGCTCCTTACTTTGCAATCGTATCAAAAGCTACAGCACCTTGATGGGAGTGGCGCCTGATATTTCGGTGCTCGTGTTTTTTTACGACTACCGAGAACGAATCGACGATGCATGTACAGTACACGAGTACAAATTAATACATATGTACATACAAAGGCCGTGCTCTGCCCGGAACAGCTCTGGATTTTACGGCGCTCTTACATGTAGGAATATAAGTTAGTGTACCGCGGCATTTTGTTTCTACGTGTCAATGACAGAAAGAAGTAAATACATCGTATTGGTTGAGGGTAACCACTTTTAGTTGTATTAACGGATTTTTACGAATAGTGGCCGGTCTTGAAATTACTAGCGGCTTGGCATTTTTAACTACTTCACTTCTTATTATTTTAAAGTACAGTTTAGGAAAACTGGAGGAAGGAACAACCCCGTCTTCTCCCTTGGGTGCGGTTTTCAACTATCTACTTCATAATTTTGAAATAGCCACATGTGGCTATTCTCGACCCAAAAAATATCTAGTTCGAAATTCAAATGACAACCCCCAAACAAGTTTTGGACTAGTTACTTTTCAGTTTGCCAGGGTTTACGACCGCGCGCTACGCACACGAATCATAGCGTTCACGCGAGACATACCTGGGCTTAACCGCTCGGTAGTCGGCAGGACCCGCCTGCGGCGGGAGTTGACGACACCAAGGTGCTAGCTGGTACGCGAAAAGTGGCTATTTGGTTCATCAATTCCAGACAAAAAGTAGCTACTTCAAAATAAATACCCTTCTCCCTTTAGCCACAAGCGAAACGAGCACGTATTCGCAGAGGTAGAGGTGTTCATTACCGGACTTACCGCCGCGGCACTAGGGCTTCGCGAAGGCTAGGAAATGTAAATAACAGCATTTTGTTTTTCAGAAAGCCTAGCAGACAGTAGCAGAAAAAAAAACGAAAATATCCCTCAAGCCAACGCTTACTGATTCTCTTGTCCACCATTTCATCGTCCATTATCAAACACAACCTGCTCAACATGAATTCAATCAACTGAGCAACGCGCATTAAGGGTGATCATGCGGTAAAGAGATCACTAACTGAATGAGATGGAATCTGTACTTTCAGCCGACCGATCTTAAAAGACCGTTTGATACTGAATAGGAGGGTACAAAAATCATTTTCGGTAGTGTGAAGCATACCACCCAAGGGCATCTCCTGTGCTTGCTTTACAGCCGCAGCATCTGCCCGGCAATGGTGCACTGCTATTAGTAAGGGGCATCGGCGTGCTCATCGGCGTGGTGCGAGGCATCAATCATCACCGTTGAACACTTCAAGGCGGGATTTCGTCGGCATGTTGTTCGAGCGAAAAAAATCCGATGGATGTCGCTTGAGTGGTAGATAAACTATCTATCACAGGTATATATACTTGATTAAAGGGTATGCAAAATAATAGGTAATTTGACTTAATCTCAACCGGATGGGTCAACATAGCAGCATAATTTGATTAGATCACGGGATATCCAGTATAACAGGTATTTTAGCTATAAACACCTGGAGTGCTCATAACCATATTTAGCAGGTATGTGATGTGAGAATAATGGCACCTCTGTGGCCTTCACCCATGGACTCTGGATAAAATCCCGAGAACAACTAGTAGTGGAGTATCTCAGTCGCGTTGCTCCGTTTAGTTTGCTTAGGGGGCCGACGCCCTCTTGATGAAGCTGTTGATTAATTAGGTCTAAGTCATCACGTGCAGATCAGTGCAGCTTCCGATCCGACATCACATCTTCGATTAGGAACACTATTATCATATAACTGCACGAAGAACTCATCATTGCATGTAAGAAGTGCATTGCGAGCTTTACATGCTGGGGGTTGCACCCCCAGACCCCCGCAATAAAAAACGAACTCCGAGTTGGGGCAACGGGTCCGTTCGCCGGAATGCACGGCGCTGGGCCCGCCTCGCAACCGCTCACTACCGCTTCTAGTGGCGACTGCACTCGAGCAGGTCAATGATGTCCTGGTTGGTAGGCACGAACTCGAAGAGAGAGTCTGTCCAATCTTATTTTCTTAAATAAACTGTAGGAGACTGACTCTGACGCGCCCGTATATGAGCTTGCTGACCGTGTTCCCTCCGCTCTAAATCAGGGTACGAACGTATGCGACGAGGCATTTAGTCACATCATCACAGCCGATAAACTGTAGCATTTTAGCTAAAGCTGCACCTGTCGTCCTGTTGCTGAGCCAGATTAGCATTTCTCTGTTTGGAAAGTTCCCTCTAAATCGTGTACCTCCGATGTAATGACATATGGTCACTAAATTCCACATCTTTAAGCAGTGAAATCTCAAATCCTATCCGTGTCACAATTCAACAAATGTCAGTAAACACAGGAGTTTTTGGTCAAAAATGGCCCTGGGCGACTGAATCAGAATGTCAGCCCTAACCCGTTTCTCTAAACTGATATCAGGTAAGTAAATGCGGGTATGGACCCTTGAAAAAGCTAAGTAAAAGTGAGTGCATCAATGTAAGGGGGGACTTCGTCCGCAACAAAGTGCAAGCAGCTACGATGCTATACTTGTACTTGCTGTATCACCACCACGCATTGAATACCTCACTCTGTAGCCAAGATAGTAACTAGCGAAGACTTCGAAGAACCAATTTGTTGTTGATATACTTGTTGTGATATTTCCCTCGATACACTTCCGCAATACTCGAACACTTCCAATGACAAATATCGTGTTTGTGGTTGGATTCATTCGAGATCGCGCTTCAGCAGCTTCCCCACTCAATGTCTGGTGCTGTGTTCTCTTACCGCTGGAGATTCCCATGATTTTTTTTTTCGCGACACCGTATCCGAAGCACTTACGAAGCATATACGAAGAGGCTGTTGCGGATGGAGACGGCCACCTCGTTCAGTGACGGGTGCCAGCTGGTCTGCAAGATCTTCTTCGAGAAATCCAACGCGTCTGGGTCGCCGGGAGCGGGCATTGCGGCGATCTGATGCGCGAGGCCTCGCTGCGGCATTGAGTGGCGACGACTCACACGCGCGGTGCGCGGGGTGATCGAAATGTCGGCGCGCCCATAGCGGTCATAAATATGGAACTCGCTGTTGTACGAGCCCGTGATGAAGTTGTTGCCGTCCCCGCCAACCGCGCACTCGAACTTGTCGAAGATACAGTCGCTCTCGTACAGATCTCCCAACCGTGGACGAAGGTGTTCGTGAATCTAACCACAAAAGATAATACGTGACTCACTCAAGAAAACGCAAAATGCAAATACCCCGACAACTTACGTTGATTGTTTGGACAGGACGCGAGTTCATGTTAATGTCCCAGACTTTCAATGTTAGGAAGTCGCGCGCAATAATGTAGCGACCGTCCGGAGAAAACTTGATGTCCGAGATGGAGGCAATGATTTCAGAGAAGAAGCTTCGTGCCTCGGGGTCCTCCTGCTCTTCAAACACTGCTTTCCATCGAGTTAGTGCGAACTGAGCAAGGCCACAGCAATACACAAAACGTGCTCTGGGCGATGCGTACCTTGGGAGTACGAGTCGCACAGCGCTGCCTGGCGCATGTCCCCAAGCTTGATGGACCCGCGACTTGTGCTGTACATCATCGTGTTGCAGTGTGTTGGGTGGAAGTCCGCAGCCGTGATAACCTCCGTGAGCTCCTCCATGTTCGCTGGCTTGATGTCCACAATGTCTATCCACATTTGTACAGTATGGAAATGATTGGGTTAGCTTGCATCTTGCACATTCGGTAGGAAACAGCCTCAACAACGTACTGAAGCTTTGGTCCGAGTTTCCTAAACTCCAGAGGTTCACGCGCAGGTCGTCCGCCGACATGAATGTCTCTCCGTCGCTGTTGATCGCGATCGAGTTGATGTGGTACGTGTGCGCGTTCGCGTAGACGCGCTTTGCGGTGGATGTTGTCACGTGGCCGCGGACATGCGTTTGCGGCAGACGAATGAGTGCCGGCGTAATATTCGCCCGCGGGACGTGGGCGAGGCCTTGCTCGTTGAACGTCGTGACCTCACGCACACTGCGCTCGTGGATCTTCCACAGTTTGATGGTCTTATCATTCGTAGACAGTAAGCACTGGGACCCGTTGGACGGTCGGCACCACTTGATCTGGTTGATTTTCTCCTCGATCTCGAGGCTCTTGAGGTAGTCGAACTCGGCGTTGTGGCTCTGGAACTCGGTGTAGAGCTGGTACTGCGGGTCATTGGAGCCGCTGCTAAACATGCTCTGGTTCTAATTTACGAGAAGACGGTTAGAAGACAGTCTGCGATCCAATACATCAACCAACAGCCGCGACTGACCGATGCTGGATTCCCGTGGCGGCAGTAGATGGAGACGCGGCCGCCTTTGTTGCCTGTGGCGAGGAAGTCTCCCGAGCGGTCGTACTCGATGGCGGAGATCACCTCGGCTGCATCAACCACCACCATCAAGATGTGCACTCAATAACCCGTTTGTTTGACTCCTGCAATGCGGCGGTCTAGATCCCTTACCTTCCACGAAGCTGCGGGCGCTCTCCCCGGCCGAGAAGACCTGCCCCCACTCGGCGTCGGCCTCGTTGGTCGAGGGTTCGGCCATGTTGACCTCGAGCCCAGCGGTCGTGTTGTGCTTGAGCCTGGTGAGCGCTCCCACGCGGGTCTCTTCTCCTGCTGCTGCGACGTCCATAGCTTGCGTCATACAGAAACGCGGGGGTGCCCTGCTGGCCTGGAAACAAGATCTCTCGCTGGAGGTGGCGGCGCTGCTGTCGACGACGACTCGTCCGGGGATCGGGCGCTGCTCTCTCTCCTTCTCCCGCTCTCTCGGAGGATCTCGGTCTCCGTCGGTGGTTTCGCGCAGAGGCGGAGGGGGGGGTTTCGTTTCTCGGGTGTCTGCAGACGGGCAGAGGCGCGACCACTTAGGAATGGGCGGCAAGCGGGGGATTGAGGCGACGGCGTTTCAAGGCGCGCAAATCCACGCGGCACAGGCTGAAGCACGCGCGGGCTCTACGGCGGCAGTGCAGTGCGGTGGCCGACGGGCAGGCAGCGAGGCGAGTGCGCGGCCTGCAAGATGATCGCAATGACTCGGCCGGACCAGACGATCGCGATCTTCAATCGCATTTTTGTTCGCTTGGCCAATCGCGGCGAGTGAAGCCACTGCGATTTCCGCCAATCAGCAAGCGATCACGCAAAAATCGAAGCAGCGCCAACAGCCATAGCCGTGCGCGCGGTCACACAGACTGAGTGCAAAAAGTGCAAAAACAACTAAAAACTTGAGGATTTTTGTACCTCACGACCTCAGAGTTAGCGAGGCCATTGTACGGATAATGTTTAGATTGCCCAAGGTGCCGGTACAGTGTAGTTGGTACTGAAGGAGGAAACCATTGTCTGGGAGCTCTCGTCGGGGTCTCCATCGGGGTGGAACGGGAGCGGTGGGTTAGGAAGTACGCTGTCGCTCAAATGAAAAGGGATCTACACAATCTTGTCAAGCGAACATCTCTGCACGTAATAGGTCTTGCACTTACAGGAGCGCGGCGAATCTGATGCATGCGATAGTGAACACGGCTTATGGTACGCGTAGGCATAGCGCTCGATAATGTGTACCCGACTGCGACAGGCTTATAGTAGCAACTTCGCTTTATGTTGGAGAAAAAATCAACAAAACACGGAATACTAGACGCTAATTTTTTATATTGACGTATACCCTACTACCACACCCGTCAACATCATCGCAAGTACTGCTGGTGCAGCAAGTGGCCACGTAATCTTGTGCAGAGCACAGGATTGCGTGGCTCTGCATGAATTTCTTGTTCGAAATGAGGCGCGGTCGGCAGCTTAAAGTAGGTATTCCGTCCCTTCTATGTAAACCCACCTCAATGCAATGAATCGAGGTCTAAGACCAGACAGCGTTCCACGCTATCAAAATCCAAAAACTTCACGCTCACGTCCACAGGGACCTTAGGCACCGTGACACGAGGGCCCGTCGCGAGACGAACAGTGACGATGTCACTCCCGCGCGCTACCAGCGCCTCAGCATAAAACTGACTTCTGTCCATCGTAGAACGCCGGGCGTTGTTACCCGACGCTCCCGAATCGATCAAAATCGTCCATGGCTTGGTGAAGCCCTTCACCCAAGCTTGGACAACTAGCAAGCCCGGCTTGCATACACTTTCCGTGTTAGAGAGTACGGCTCTCTTCGGGGCTAAGTCCTGTCGACCTCCACCTCGCCGAGGCTCAATAGAACTTAGTTCTTCCCCAGTAGGCCGCCCCGCGCCTACTGGGACTTCTCGTTTCCCCGAGACAAACCAGAGCCCTGGCTCGAACTCGAAGAGCGGATTGGCGAAGCCTGGCGCTGATGGCGCAGCGGACACCCAGCACGAAGGTGACGGGTATCACCACAGATGAAACATCTGCGGATACCGCGACGCTGCTCAGCAGCACGAAGCTCGGCTTCTTCGTCTTCAGCATAGCTGAGGTCCATGGGTTCCGGACCACTCGACGCGCTAGCGTAAGACGCACTCCACCCAAGTCTCGATGACTTAAAGTTGTGTTCCTCATTCAATGCGACGCTCACAGCCTCTTCAAAAGAGCTCGGGTGGGTTCGGAACACCTCCGTCCTGGCAACGCCAGTGCGAAGGCCTTCCATTAACACCGTAACGGTGACTACTTCCGGCAGTGGGTCCGCAGACATGCCAGCAATGAGAGTTCTCAACTCTTGGACATAGTCCACCAACTCCTTCTTGCTCTGCCGAGTAGCCAGGAAACGTGAGCGCACGCGATACGCCTCGTTAGGCGGAGCGAACACCCGGGACAATTGCTGTTTCAGCTGGTCCCACGTCGGGAAGGCCACCTCGACCGACGTCCCGGACGTTAGTGCCCACTCTCTCGCTCGCCCACCGAGCTTCGAGATAGCTAGTGCCACGCGCTGCGACTCCATCCGGAGTAGAGCTGAGCTCATAGCCATCTCAACCTCACGGGTCCAAAGCATCAAGCTTTCACCCTCCTTGCCTTGGAAGGTCTTCACGCTCAACATGAGCGGCTTGGGTCTTGTTCCCGCGTCGGATGACGAAGCGGGCGCTTGGGGCGCCGCGGCCGTTGCCATCCTCTGCTGGAGGTGCTCTAGCAGAGCATTCTCGTAGCTTGAAAACGCCTCGAGACGCGCATTCACCGCGTCGGGGCCTTGCTGCGCAAGTTGCGTCACGCCCTCCGGGCCCAGCAAGGACATAAGCTTTTTAAGCGCATCCTGCTGGTTCGGGGGCAAGTGAGCGAACTGCTCCATTCTCCACAGTGGGTCAGTCTATACAGACACATGTGTCGGATTGACTACTAGTGCTACCAAGTGCAGCGGGGCTGCCGTAGCTTTAGCGTCAGAGGAAGACGTAACAGACTCGCAGAGTCTCAGCTTAAGATAGCCCGTTCTAATACCAGAACGTACGAGTCGATACACCTTACGGACTCTAAGAGTCAACCCTTAACTCTTAACTGTGTGAATCTCAAAGTGAATGTATTTCCCTTTATCGCGGCCAAGCCGCCTACGGTGTAAATGTATCCGGTTCACTATCTAGCATAGTGAACCCTAGTCATATGCATAATCAGTGGCTCTGAAGCCGTGTACTGATTCTCCTACTGATTTAGGTTAGACAGTGTGTACCCACTTCATAACCCTTCGGGTAACTCTCGTGTAACCCTGTTACAAGTACCACGCATCTGAGCAATGGCTTGCGAGGTAGACTTGTTTAGCGACGGCCAGCCATGAGAGTTAGCAGCGCCAGCTACCTCAGGAGGATTGTTTAGCACACGACGTGCAAAGCCACTGTTGGATCGGGTTGGCTCAGTATTGGAAATACTGTTTAGAACGAGCGAGCTGTTTCCACTAAGGCATGTATTCGAGTATCCGTCTCCTGAAATACTACTGGCAGCAGAATGCTTGATAGATTCCCAGTCATCAGCACCATGTTTTTCTACCTCAGCAGTTGTTAGTTCAGCCATGGCTCGGAAGTTGGACCACTCCTGCTTGTATTCCAAAGGGGGTTAATCGACTTACCATTGAGGTAAACCTTGACCTCATCAACAACGTTAGCTACATTGCATTTAAGACCTAGAGCATAGCGAGTAGGAAAATCACCAGCGGACAGCGCGCTTGCTCTTCATCGATACGACATATGGGAGCACTACATAGGCATCCTTGAGAGACGCATAGCCGTGCGAACCGTTAAGAGCCGATTCGCAATCGAAGGAGACAATACCAGACGCATACGATCCCGTTTGGCCATCGTTTACGATCGCTACGCTCTTGCCGCGCGAGACCCTGACAGAAACGTCAGGCTTCAGAGACGATTGTAGGAGATACTGATCCGCGAGTTGTGTACTATCGGTCATGATTAGAATATATCTGATGCCATATAGTATCTACAAAAAAATAAATATTATGGTTCAGTACATCAAGCCAATAACATCTGATCACGATCTCATCGCATTAGCAAAACATCTAAATGTACATATCGATCAGATTCTGACTCTGCCAGAAATTAAATCTCGACTACCGGATCAAGGAACATATATATTTCTTCCCCGAAGCGACGGTGGCGTAGGGCATTGGGTCTGTCAGCATAATGGCAAATACTTTGAGCCAATGGGAGTTGGTCCCCCAAGAATACTAGGAGATCTAAAATACAACGAAAAGAAGTTCCAATCGACATACTCGGAATTCTGCGGGCCGTGGTGTATGCTTTGGCTATATACTCAGCAGCACAGTGAGCCGGAATTATTGAGAACCTTTAATAATTTAGACACAGATGCAATTTAATTTCAGAAAATTATCATATCTACTGATATATATCACCATGTACAAGGATATTGAAGTATCGAACGATATCCCAGTAGCTAAGCTACGACGCGCGGTCAAGCCAGGAGTTCTCAACCTAACCAAGGATCAGCTAAATGGTTCTGGCGCAACGCTATGCGTTCATCCCGAAACGGAAATGAAGATCAAGAAGGCTAAGAGCGCCGGTCGAGGAGTTTGCATCATGATTACCCCCCCCCCATGAGGTTGAGCACCCGACGACTGTACTCAACGGAGGAGGTTTGCACGGATCGTCAGTTTGGTCCAAGATTTGGAATACAGCCAAATCTGCTTTCAAATATCCTAAAGATACTGGTATTCTCAGCAAACTCGCTGATGCTGCTGTAGCTCCTGCCTCCGCATACACGGGAAACCCTGGAGCTGTTATAGCTGCTCGCCAGGGACTACGCTCACTCACGGGAATTGGAATCACGCTCGACGAGCCGGAAGGCGGACGTCTCACCCTCGCTGATGTTAAGTCAGCTGGCACGAAGGCTCTGTCATATGCTAAACGCAAGGGTATTCTCACTGATGCCGTTGATCTAGTGGAGAAGAAGCTCATCGAAAAGGCTGAGCGCCCTGAGCACGTAGAGGTGATCAAGACTGTACGCCGCGGCGTCAAGAACCGCTTCGGAGTTGGCATCCAAAAAAGAAGCTATTCAAGGGCTCGGCTGAAGCTAAGGCTCATACGGCTGCTCTGCGCGCCAAAAGAAACATGAAAGCTGGATCCTTTCGCTTATCGTAGACGAGAAGCCTTCTAAACCTATTTTTTTACTTCTGTGCTTCGCGAAAGATAAGACTAATCAAGAGATTGGGATCGCGAAACTTGATGAATCTCTCCAGCTGATCAACGATGGTAATGGTAATAGTACTGTAAGAGCCATCATTAACTCGCGTCCAACTGCACTCATTTGGCTGATAAGCGATTAGTTGACCAGCAGACGTCCCTTGGCTGTTGAATACGGTTAGAATATCAGGTGGAGAGGTGAATGTATTATTAACGAGCGAGCAGCGCACTACGTCAGCTGAAACGGGATTTACCTCAGGTGCTAGATCACTAAGGAATGATGCAGCGACTGTAGACGAAGCAGAAGGGTATTGACCAACACTAAAGCCGATCGGCTTGCCGAAAGCAGCGTTGTCAACGATCAACCGAGGAACGCGTCCAGTAGTCGGTAGACCTGTTCCAGTAGCACTATACAAGCCAGTAGCTGGTCGAGTATAGGTTCCAAGAGCTGTAGGAACGGAACTGACATCGAGCTGAGCGGCGTAATAAGTTGAGTTCTCGACAAGCTGAATCCAAAATACATTATCGCCATTGAGATCAACTAGACATGCTCCTACATTAACCAAAGCAGTCTGAATCATACGATTGATATCAGTATAGCTATAGATACCATCCTTGAGAGTAATACTGATCGTAGAGACAGTAGCCGCGGTAGGCATTTCAATCTTGAAAATGTTATTGGAATAAGCAACGCTATCTACGTTGAACTGGCTGTTGTACATCGAGATCGATTGAATAGCAACCTCAACATTCTTGAAATTAGCAGAAGCTGGAAAGCTATGTCTGTGTTGATTATTGAATGAAGTTGAAACTAAGTTATTGGAGCTGATTGCTACTAACGAACTCATAACTGATCGTCTTCAGTTGTATATTCGTATCTCGATTGTTTGATCACTTTATCAAATTTAAATCTCATCTCACCCTTGACTGAATCCACGAATAAACACTGGCCCTTTTTGGCTGTTGCTTGCTCATAGGCTCTGATGAGCCCATCCTCGCTCGTACCAGGGATATTGAAATCCTTGAAGACCATCTTCAAATCGCGCTTCGAATTGGCTTTTGGGATCCCACATATTCTGAATTCAGTCTGATCATCTTAGGGCATGCAAAGTAGCTGTGCATGAGGCAGATGGTACTGAGCTTTAAGTGACGTCCTCTAGTAAAATAGTGGCTAAACGGCCTCTCCATTAGGATACGATCATGACTATAGTCATCGATGATCACGAGCTCTACGCCTCCCTCCTTGGTTGTACGGATCGTATCAACACTAGGGGGATTCTCTGAATCATGAACCGTTATAAAGCCGCTTAGTTCATCCTGGAGATATCGATACAGTTCTTGATCAGGGTTGCGAGCAATGATATGGAGATGGGAGAAGCACTTGGGACTATGCTTGAGGATGTACATGCAAAGATTGTTCTTACCACTGAAGGAAGGTCCCAGTACGACCATGCGAAACAGTTTCTTGATGCCAAGCTGTTTGATATCGCCTGCCGAGGGAGTTCAATACTGCTTAGGAAGAGCAGCGACATAATCTGGAATAGAACTCATATTGCATAATATCTCACGTATATATACAATCTGATAGAAAAATCATGGGATTCACATATCCACCAGTAATTCATGATTCTCAGCTCTACAATCCACTATTCTACGCCTCGTTAGGTTCAGATGGCTTGCTTATCTTTGACTACGCTCAGACCCTCTATCTAGGTAAGAATGACTATCGACTGAGCTACATCTCTGGAATCGTACCAGGAACAGCATATAGCGGCATTGCCTTGGTTCTAAATGCTTCGAACAATATCAGCGGTCTCGGAGCAATCAGTTGTGCTAGCTTGACTGTTAATGGATCTTCCGTTTCAGGCGCTCCATCATATGTAGTTGGTATAACCCCTGGTCAAGCTGCGATTAACAAAGCTCTGGTGCTTGGTGCATCAGGTGAAATTGCTACTATTAGTAGTTTGACGGCTACATCGATTTCAGGAACGCTTCAAACAGCTGCTCAGCCAAACATTACTAGCTTAGGCACGCTCTTGTCGCTCACCGTGAGTGGAAACATATCTGGCACGCTAGCAACAGCTGCTCAGCCCAACATAACTAGTGTAGGCACACTCTCGTCGCTCACCGTGAGTAGAAACATATCTGGGACGCTAGCGACGGCTGTACAGGGGAATATTACAAGCCTAGGTACGCTTAGCAATCTAACCATTAGCGCTGGTGGAACCGGTTTATTCATTCCGAATCTGAAATGTTGGGATGGAGTCAGTTCTTGGATAATTTTCAATCATGCTTACTTTCTCAATATTATCGAAGGTAGCGCTTCAGCCAGTAGCGTTGTGGTTCTCAATAGTACGAAATATTACTCAGGCATTCGCGATCTAACCATATCACGAAACTTTATAGCTTCAACTTCAATATCATCACCAACGCTGACATGTGATACGATTAGTAAGTCAGGTACTCAAACTATGAATGCAACGACTCTGAATATCAATCCTACTACGCTTCAGATTAAGGGTACTACGATCAACGCTACTGGCGCGGAGCTGAACAAACTATCACGATTAACAGCAACTACGGCTGAGTTGAACTACCTGGATCTTACAACAGGTTCCGGAACGGGGGAAGCGTCGAAAGCTCTTGTACTAGACTCTAATAGCACCATTTCATCAGGTATCTCATCTTTAACGTCGACCAATCTGATATCGACTTCTGCTACTCAATATCAGATTGCTGCTGGTACTTCTTTACATCGACGAGGGCAAGCGATTTCAACCTCATTATTAGAAACCAAACAAACACGGTAGGCGCTCAGGCTGGCATTAGCTTTACTGTCGAAGGCACTGCCGATTTATGTACTTTCACGCCTTCTGTGAATTTATATTGCACAAGGACGGCTAATTCAACGACGCAGTACATCATGGCTGATTTCGCTATCTCTACACGATCAGGAGCTAAGGCTTTGTCCCCAATGACAGAACGAATGCGTATCACTCAGGCCGGCTACATCCGATTTGGATCATCTACTAGTACAGCGAAGTTAGATATTACATCGACAGCGAATTTACTAAGCGGGTCGTGGCACCCAATACGCAACGTGCGTTGCGTATAGCAAATGATCAATCGACCCCTATCGAATCCGAGGTGCAAATCTACAATGATGTTTCTGGAGGCAGCTCAGGAGTAGCTCTAGGCACTAGTACGAGCGACCCCCTTCGGTTTATGGTTGGAAACACGACTAAGGCGTATCTTAATAACTCGGGGCGCTCAGGGGTCGATCTAGGCCCTAGTTGGTCGCCTGAAGCAACTATCCATTCTGGGGGCGAGGTTTGGGCTATTAATTTCTATCACTGCAAGGGAAACGGAGATGGATTCGCTAGGTATCGTTTCAATTGGTCGCAAACTGACTATCCAGCGATCGGGACTGACTCTACGGTAGGAGCTATCAGGTTGGGAAAATGCGATGCTACTTACGCGTGGACAGCCTATGTCCCGGTTCGTGGCGGCTCGTATACAAACGCTTCGGACGTGAGACTGAAAGCGGACATTGTAGACTGTCCCTATGGTTTGTATACAGTTATGAGGATGAGGCCTAGACGATTTAGGATGGTTCAAGAGCAAACTACACACGTTGGGTACGTCGCGCAGGAGATATCGGAGCAAACGATGAGCTTAATCCGGATGGGTTTCCAGTGAATCCATGGGGAATCGATCTAGCTAGTTTAACCTCAGTACTGTGTCGCCGAATACAGAAGCTCAAGGCTGAACTCGATGAACTAAAACCAATAGTTGCTACTCTACAGTGAGAACGTTCTCGGCTTACGAGAACGCAGCTCGTTTGCCCACACGGTTCCGCCTGGCTTAGGAGCCTCGTGAATCCACTCAGGAGATGGATGCTGCTTTGGAGTAGCAACGACCGGATCCTTGACAGAAAGATCTGCTAGATTTTTTTTGAGTTCCCTGACATTCGCATTTGCCTGGTGTGTATAGTTGTGCCCAGGCATGAGCAGTTTCGGATTGATGGCAATCATCTTTATAATAGAGCAGACATAATATTCTTAAACTCAGAACTAGTAATCATCTTTTGCTCAAACATATCCGTTGCTAGTCTGCAGAGCTCTCTCAGCATGTCTGGGTTGTCATTACCTAGTTGAATCTCGCCGCGTAGCTTATCAAACTCAGCCTTCAGAGTCAGTCTGGGATCCTCAATCGGGGTTTGCAGCGTGTGCTGGACGTGAGTCTTCTTAACAATTTCGTAAAATACTCTCTGGTCTTCGATCGACAGCGCACGATATGCTTGCTGACTGATGTTATCGTTGTACAACAGGTCCTCGACCATCTCTGTCAATTCATTGCTCATCGCACGAATCGGACCGACACTTGTACGATTGGGAAAGACTAGTTTGAGGCGATTGTTGTTCAGATCAGCCTTGCGAATGAACTTCGTTCCGATTCGCGTGTACTTGAGATCAGATGCTTTGCCTGATCCTTCGATATCAGCAAGATTGTACGATCGATTTTTCTTCACAGCAACTCCGGCGCCGCGTTGGCCGCGTCCAGTGAGCCCCTTACCGGCAGGCGGTTCATAAACGAAATCCTTCTCCTTCTCTTTCTGAACAGTGATGCTGTTCGTTGACTTCTTCGTAGCGCGAACCGGCGTCTCGAACGAACTGGGAGGGAATTTGCTCAGATCCTCCTGCTCTTGTCCCTGTTGAGCATCTACCGTCTTCAGAACTTCGAGAATGTGTTTGATCTCCTTGTATGTGTTTGATTGTCTCTGAGCGTCCTTGTCCTCGCCAGCTGCTAGGTTCAGCGCACGAACCCCCATACCAATCTCATCGATCACCAGGGTTAGCGTCGCTTCCCAGTTAATCCTCTTGTAGATTTTAGTCATATCTTTTGCGCCATAAGGCTTATCAGTCTTTAGGCTATACAACGCAGCGTCAGGGCCAAAATATACTTGACCAGATTGCTTAACATTACCAAGACTAGCTTTAGCATTGCTGTATGGCTTGATCATAAGCGAGTCGAGCCCATTTATTTTTTTGTAGAGATATTCAACACTTCCCTTCTTTTGCATCTGAGTGTGATCAGATGTCTTCTTATGAGCTCTCGTGTCAAGCGAAACGGCTGAGTCTTCTAACGTGCGTTTGTTTCGCTGGCTAACCCAATCCATGAACTCAGTCTTTTCCTCCTCAGTTATGCCTCCCATCTGATAGTCGAGTAGTGCTCGTTGCTGGTCATCATCCATCCCACTAAACTATTTGGCAACAGCTATCGAGCTGTGATCGCTGAAATTAGTATTAGCCTTCCACTCATCGAATAGTGCCTTGAGCGGATGCTTACTAGCAGCTTCACTACGCATAGAAGCAACCCTTTTGTATCCCTTGGCAAGCGCTGGTAGCTTGTCTTTGATTGCAGTGTATGTAAGTTCCCAATCGACCTGTTTGAGTACGCGCGAATCTGATTTCATATGCGTTCCGTTGAGCATGACTCTTCCATCTCCGTGATTGATGCGATAGCGTTCATCCTTAACCGGCTGGCCATCGCGAATGATAACTGGCATGAACTCGCGGCTGCTCAGCTCTGGGAGGCTTTTGAAGATATCTACAATTTTCTTACGATACATTTCAGAATCGTCCGCCGGCTTTTTCTCCTCTAGTACAGCTTCTTGCATCGGAACATCAAAGTCTTCGCTCCCCATCGCTTGATTGGATGCAGTTTCGGTTGGATCACTTATCGCCTGATAAATATCACTTACGTTTGTAAAAAGGCCAGCAGGGGGCTTGCTGCGACTATCGTCATAATCTGTTGTCTTCGTTGATGCCTTGCTACCCATCGCGGTCATGATTCGCTTGATTAGATCAGCATTTTCCGTTGCATCCCTCTGCTTAGTGTCCTCGCTGTCAGTCGCCCATAGAGCGTTTGGATATGCTTCACGCTTCATCTCCTCCAGACGCTGATCGCGCGCGATTTGTGCTAACAGAGCACTGTGCTTTGACGCACGATCTTGTTTGTTTTCGAAGTTGGGATACATCTCTACTTGTTTTATATCGATTAAAAATAATATTTTTTAGATATTGTGGATTCCGCCCAAATTTGCCAAATCGGGTCAGTTTGGCGGGAGCGAAGAAACCGCCAGCAAACCGCCAGAGAAATATCATTGGTCAAAACCAGCTCATTAATTCATTTTTTATCCTATCATCGAGGAGCGAACTCGCGGCAACTTCACAGAGTGCGCATTCATCGGTTTTCTGTTAGAGTCGGCGCTGTGGGTCGCGCAGGCTATCTGGACGCGTAGCTGCGGTAAGGTGCAGTACTAATCATCTCGTGCTGGTGTCAAGCAGGTACTGATATGGCTTGAGTTGGTGTAGACAGCTCTCTGGTACTGGATTACGCAGCGGGGTTCGATTTCTTACTGGAGTCGGCGATCTTGCTCTCTTTGTTGTTTGCGTCTCGCTGGATCTATCGGGAGTCGTCTCACGGCTGTTGGATTCTTAGTGGAGCGAAGTTTTCTGCTGATCTCACTTGCTGTTGGGATCTTCGCTTTGGTGCTATTGCTGCAGTTCTCGGAGGGAGTATTTTCGCTTCTGTGTGCTCTCGCCGCTGTTGGAATCACATCGCGCTGTTGTTGGAGCTCTCGCCGCCGCTGTTGGATCCCCTCGCGCTGTTATTGGAGCTCTCGCCGGTGTATTGCTGGAAGACTTCGTAGTGCGCATTTGTAACTGCTGTTGAAGATTTAGCTGCGGCTGAAGCACTTGCAGCATCTCGTGGGTGCTTTTGGAGCTTGGTGTCAGTTTTCGCGCTGCGGACGGTGCTCTCGCTGCTGGCGGTGCTTTTGCTGCTGACGGGAATCTCGCTGTTGACGGTGCTCTTGCCGCTGACTACGGGACTGTCGTTGCTGGTGACGGTGCTCTCGCTATTGACGGGATTCTCGTTGCCGACAAGACCTTCGGTGCTGAGGAGACTCTCGTTGCTGACAGGACCCTTGCTGTTGACGCTGCTCTCGCAGCAGTTGTGGCTCATCTCCACGTAGTTTGGAGCTTGCCATTGTTGGTGCTTTCGCTGAAGTAATTGCTCTTGCTGGTGGTGGAACTGGTGATCTCGCTTGTGGTACTCTACTGTCTTGGGCTTCTCGCCGGTGTTGAACTTGGTGCAGAAGTTGCTTGACCTGCTCTAGTCTGTGGTCTGGCAGGATCATCTGCCCTCGCAGCGCGATGGAAGCGGCTGTGACGAAGCAACATGCACACCCAAATACCGTATTCCATTGCTTATACGGATACTACAACCTTGGCTTCAGCAAGCAAGAACTAGCCGAGGTGTACAACAAGACCGATAAAACTATTGGCAACTGGATCAAAGTATACGAGAGGACAGGGACATTCGAGCGAGCCAGGACCAAATCGGACAAGAAATTCGACGCCAGTCACCGCCAATGGCTAATTGACTTCTATCAAGCCCGACCGCTTGCATACATCGATGAAGCTCAATCCGCCTTCAAGCGTGCGCACCATATGGACATCTCGAAGACCAGTGTTTGGAGAATTATTCACGACGGAGGCTTGACGTGGAAGGTGCTGGAACGGAGAGCAATGCACACCAAGGAACTTGACATTCTTCGGTTTATGCAGGAGCTAAGTACAATGGATTGGAGTCACCAGAATCTTGTTTTCTTGGACGAAGTCTCCTTTGATAATAGAGGAATGATTCGGAAGCGCGGTTATTCGCTGAAGGGAAAGACTGAGGCTGTTCGCGGTGACTTCCAGAGAAAACCCAGAGTCTCAGTGCTTGCGTTCATTGGGGTGCATGGGATCATTGACTACTACGACACGGAGGGGACGTTTGACAGGGTAAAGTTCTTGGAATCTTGCCGTTTGTTCGCATACTCGAAGAGAGGGAACGTTCGGCAATATCCTGGGTCAAACTCAGTTTGGATTCTAGATGGAGCAGCTATTCACAGGGATCCTGAGATTGTTCACTTCTTGCGAAGCATCGGAGTCGTGCCAATTTTCCTGCCAGCTTACTGCCCATTCTTCAATCCTATTGAGTACCTGTTTGGCTACGTAAAAAAGGCTTTTCAACGCCATTATGAGGCGGCTTCGGGGCGCGACTTAACGCTGTTCATAGCTCAGACGTTTACGCTATTTGAGGGCTATGAGATGGCAAACGTGTTCGAGCATTGCGGATGGTCCGTACAAGGCTACTTCAACCCTGTCGACAAACTCGCAAAAGAGATCAATACTTCTCTGGCCCACTTAAGAAACAACATTCGGCATTACACCTCAATTTGATGTGGACCACATGTCACATATGATTGGGTATAATCAACTGTTTCATCTTGCTATTGGCCAAAATAAATGGGTCTTCGCATGTCGAGATAATCGCGTAGAAAAACCTCAAACCTGTAGCCTTTCTAACTCGTCTCCAACAGGCGCTACAACATCGACAACAGAACATAAGGGTAAAGCAGTCACTCGCGATTACGGTGATATTTTATTTTCTAATATCGCTAATTTTTGACGGCACCTCGCTAAAAAACTAATGTTGCCTAAAACGGACTTTAGATAAAAGGCTGTTTCTCTTTTCTTTCTGCTGCTAGATTTTTTAAAATCATATCGTGAAACGGAGCATATGCATAGCTTTCGGTTGAGGTATTGCGAGTCACCAAACGATTTTTTGTAAAAAGTTATGTCCAGAAAACCTAAGTGTTGTTTCTTATGTGGGCCAGAGAAGTACTGCTCCTGATGCACGCGAAGGCTTTGAACAAAGGCAAGATGAATTGGAGTTTTCGATTAGGCAGAATGAATTGCAGTCGAAGGCTAGACTAGGCTGGGCTTGGCTAGGTTACACTGCACTTACGCGTGGTCAATATCATTGATGTTCTCGATCAGAAGCATTGGATCGACTACTTCAGGCGGCGGAAGCATGTCGTTAATAAACGCTTCAATGATTGCCTTGCGAGTTGCGAGAAATTGTGCCTGAGCTTCGATGCGATTTCCCAGAGCCCCAACATCTCTGCGTAGCTGCTCATTGTCCGCCATGGCCGCATTCACGCAATCCAGTGCGAGCTGGGCAGAGTGCGATATGTTGTTGATGTGCTACTCGAGCTGCGTGTCGGCAGGTCGTAGCAGCGGCGCGATGGTCGCCGGTGGTGGCTGGGCAATTGCCGCATTCCACGTGGATCGATCCAGGTTTCGGGTCAGATGATTCGCCCACATTCTCCAGACCACTACCGCAGCCTGGAACGTAGGCTCCCACCGTTCCTGTAGCCTTCCCACGACCTCTCGAAGCGAACTCTCAGTAGTGGCTCCAGTCCGATCCGTTTCCGATGGCAGAATGCAAGCTGCCTTGAATGCATCAAAATCGCGGACCTTGGTAATAGCAACACCATACTCGTATACAAGTAGGGTCACCGTTTCTCCTCTCACCGCCGCAAGCCATGCGTTCCATTGGGGCTCCGACTTTGTGTTATCGATCGAACTTCGTTCTAATAGGAAGTTTTGGACTATATACATATAGATTATCAAATAGTTTTGGGGCATGAGCGATGTTGAATATATCGATTCGGATCCTCTAGATGCTGTGGGGGTATAAGACACTACCCATATCGAAGAGGATGCAGAGATTGAATCACAAAAAAATGCTGAGCTTACGAGAAGAGTCCAGCTTGCTAGAGAGGAACTCAAGCGATTGTTGACAACCGAGTTCGTGGAACCGGTCCAGAAGAGCAAATGGATGAATCTATCAAGCCTCAACTTGTAGCTTCGCGCCAGTACTTCTTCTCGAGGGTGCTCATTTGGTTCTTGTTGATCAAGCGTAGATTATCCTGAGACTCCCACGACGGGTCGTCGTATCCCTTCCATTTGATGAAGTATTTGTATTTGCCGTTGCGCATTTTTTTATGATTCAATATCGCCTCTGCTTCGAATATTTGCCCATTAGCAACGTCTGTATCCGTCATGGCAAGCTTGACACGTTTGAGTTCATTAGCTGGTTTGTAGAGGGTATGACCATTCTTAGATCGGATCTGAACCTTCTAGCCATCGATTCCTACAACCTCATACACAAGTGTACCCCACTTGGCTGACTCCTTATCGAATTGTTTGGCCTTTAGTCGATATACAACCGTCTCGCCAACGCTGAATTCATGATCGATTTCCCGCAGAAGCTTTTGATTGTGATCTAGCTCACCTTGCATAACAGTTCCTCTGGCTTCGTTTGGGGTCATGCCGATTGCGCTATGAATCGTTGAGTTATAGTTGCTAACGAGATCTGCTACAAGCCGCTTTGTGAGCGTTAGCCCAGAGCGCAGCAAACGTTGCTCAAAGGGCAAATATTGATTTCCAACACTCTCGCGTTTGGGGCAAATGCTTCACTGTCATTGTGCCATCCATGAGGGTGTGGCGTGGCGGCTGCCCCACAATATAAATGGCGCCTCGGTGCGCCCTGGGCCGGCGCTAGCACATCTGTCGAGACAAGCCAGAGGTGCCCTTTGCTGATAGAACATGATAGTCCTCGAAGGCATTTGATAGCCATCGACCCATGAGCTTGATCACGAGGCGATCAGCACCAGTATTGAGCAGCGCTGTTGCGCCTCCGATACAAACTAAATGTGTCGAGTATCGCCCAGGCTCGAGCCCACTTGCTGCTGCTGCCTTCTTGATGATCTTCGAAATGTCCTCCGACGTGACACCCCCTCGATCCATTGATAAAGCTGGTGCATTGGGGCCTGTGCCGAACACGGCCGCAGCTTTGTGTACCCACCGAGCAGCTCGTACTGGGTAAATGAGCTTGTCCCCAGACTTGCGATGGTACCGCACCTCTTCTCGTCCGAATTGATTATTTTTCGCACCGTGTAGAGTTATGCCAACGACTTGCGCTCTCTTCGGGGATACGACGTGATCACCTTGATCAAAGAACTGGATAGCTAGCTGACAGGCGTAATACGTGGTTGTGGACCTTTCGACCGATAAAGAGGTACTCCGAGCGCCTTAACAGAAAGAAGTACCCCAAAAGCAGACCACCCCACACTAGTTGATCACGTGGGTGCGAGAGGTCGAAATACTGGAAGATCGTCCGAAGCAACCGCGGGGTCAGGGGCTGCTGTTTAATAACTGGGTTCGTAAAGCGGCGAATGCCGCGGAGCAGGATAAAGCCCCTGCTCGCAGTAGCGCGCCCAGAGACGCGAGAGATCGCGCAAGTCTGGTGGGATCCGCACCTGTGTCCAACCAGACGCTAAGTTAGAAAATTCTGCTGCTAGTTCTGGCGCCTGCCACACCCTGCTTCCTGCGTCCGCCATTTGATTATCCACATCGGCAACGTGAGAGGACGTGATATAGAAACCGTGCTTCACTTCACAGACCCCCAAGATCCGCAGAAGCATTTGAGCAAAAGTGTTGCGGCTGGTCTTTTTGTTGCTCCAAGCGACCGCTGCCATGTTGTCAATCCAACAGCGGACGTGTGTTTCCTGCACCCCGGTGGCGTCTTTCCATGCAGACCCCACACCAAAGCTGCGAATACTGCGCTCATGAGCTCACGCACGTTGATACAAAATCTGTTGTCGCCGTCCTCGTTGCACTGACGTATTAAGGCGATCTCTGAGTCGTCAAATTGGACTTGTATGTACTGCTTGTAGGGCGGGAACAGCGCGCACAGGCCATGGTCGCTGGCATCCATTTGGATATGGAAGTCGGGCTCTTGGCGACGCGTGAATATGGAAAGTGGGATCGCGTTTAATCTCCCGATGCTAATGATCATCTCAAACCACCGTAAGTCCTCCTTAGCCTCGTCGGGTACCTCCACATACCCAAACCGAGGGGCGACTCCGGCTAGAGCTGCAACCCGCTGAAAGAATGGAGTAGCTTGTCGGACGCACGTGACTACATGGCGAAGACTCCCCAAAAGCTTAAGCAGTGTGGTTCGTGTTGTTTTGGTACGACCGGCGACGTCTCGCAGGCGGCTGAGCGCTTTTGCTACCTTGTCGGGAGGTATAGACACCGTTTTAGAGATCAGGTTCCAATCCAAACTGAGGGCGCGACCTTCTTTAAACCAGCCAGTGAACTTCTTCTCGTTATCGGCGTCTGGACCCAGCACAATAATCATTGCCGATCGCAGGGCGAGCTCCGCTTCCGCTAGTCGCGACCCAATGTCGGGCTCGATTGCCGTGTGGTCGTCACACCACGTTTTGGCATCAAAATTCTGCTGTCCTGTTGTGGGCTGTAGAGGCCATTGGGGGGGGGGGGGGGGGGGCAGAACACGAGTAGAGATGTGTGATAGCGGCGCCGGCAACCCAATATGATACTGGTGAGTTTGACCAGCCGAATGGGCAGCAGAGATCTATGACCAAGACCCCGAGCTCCGGTATTGTGCCCGCAAACCGCCCAACGTGCTCTGCTGCCACTGGAATATTCCTAAAGGCTCCATTCACATCGCCAGTCATCATTTGCTGTAGTTTTGAAAAAAAAGCGTGTCCACATCCAAAATGCGATTGGCCAACGCGTCTGGGCCATCGTACTGCACATCAACCCCATGCTCAGGCACGGTAATGTCGTTGACTGAGTCGCCCGGAGGAAACGACATATCGTGAATGATACGAGCGTCAAGTGTGATATCAACATCACCCTTTTGCACGGCACCAAAGGGACTGCAGGTAATCCCAACTAGCGCCGGTAGCAGCTCCAAGTCCAGAATCAGATACCGATTCTCGTCTTGCCCTTTTCGAAGATGCTTTACGATGACATTTAGAGCGCGAACAGCCGAACCATGATTTGCTGGTGGCGCGGCTTGCACTGGAAATTCAGACTTCCATTGAGGACGTACACCATGCTGGACGATACTGTACCGCTGAGATTTGTAGCGATAACTATGCCACGAAGGTACGGCCGTAGGTTCGTCCAGCGCTTTATTAGGACGAGTGTCCCGCTCCGTTTCGCCGCGCAATAGCCGTACAAATTCGGGTAGCTGGATGCCAGATCGCTCGGATATTCGCTGTACACTGCTTGTTTGTTTCGATCAAGTAGATACGACACGCGCCCTTGGTGAGAAGTTTGTGATGGCATTGGCTTTGGGGGAGATAAACCACGCTGCCGCAAGGCGAGATTGAACGTAGCCCGAGCCTCTTCGTCGTATAAGGCTAGCAGTCTCCGACGAATCATGCTGGTTGTATCAAACTGAAGTTGGCGCTGTCGAACAAACTCGGCTGCCGAGGGTGCTGTGGCTGATATCTCACCATCATGAAGCTGTAGTACAGTCTTGGCTAATACTTTGGTTCCGACCGGCGACTTAGCAGAGGCCGAGCTCATCGACATGACTTGGCTGAGCGGCGAGGGGTTGGACGGGCTCGTCGACTTGAGTCGACCGAGTGGCCCGACGGTGGACGAGCTTGGCGACATGAGTCGACCGAGCGGCCCGATGGTGGACGAGCTTGGCGACAAAGATCGATCGAGCGGTCCGGTGGTTTTTAGACACGGAAGCATGGACCTTGCTGGTAGTGTGGTAACGTGGGCGCGTATATACTTATCTCGATTCATTAATCCCAGGGCACTTGGGGTGCGAGTAGGTCCTACATTCCGTACCCGACACCGTCACTGCATATCTGCAGAAAGGCCTCCATAATTCTGAGTAAGGAAGTCGCGCACAATTTCGGGCAAACTGGCAGGCTTGAAGTGGCAAAGATGTTTGATAACACAGCTACCGTTCTTCCCCCGGCAGCCTTGAGCAGACAGAAACCTCAGGCAAATCTGCTGGTTGCCTTGTTTTGGCAGAGCCTGCCGGACCTCCAACGGAATGGGAACCCGCTTGTCAGAGCCGTTGGCTCGTCCGCCCCGCGAATGATTACCGGAACCGCCGCGAGTCGACTTTACGGCGGCGATAACATCCTGGCGCAGAATCATTTGATGAACCCTGATAAAGGAGTCATGCGATGCACGGAAATGGACGCCTACCAGATATACATTAACGGGCTGTCATACCTGCAGCTGATATGCCGCGTCATATACGCGCATAGATCTCGCGGGACGCAGATATCGTCTTGATAAACTTCCCTACCCCCTAGATATATGCCGTGTAGCCATCATAAAGTTTTGTCTTGTTGTTAGTATACTTTATGCTGACCATCATTCTAGCATATGCATCCTTCACTCTACGGGCATATCAATGATCATATACAGTCAAACCTGTTTATATGATCCTCTCTATTTGAGCCATGCCGTTTATTTGATGCAGGCTTTGTCGCTACCAAATATTTCACTTAGTTTTTGTATGATCTCTGTTTATATGCATACAAGGTATATGAGTCACATTTTTGGGGGCCAAATTAGGTCTCACCTGTTTATTTGATTCACACTGCTCACGGCCACACACTCTTCAAAGCACCACTGCTCAACACTCAACGCCTACCGCAAGCCTTCTTCGCTCGCCATGTCTCCTCGCACCTGTCTGACGCTAGAACAAAAGCTCCAAGTGCACCTAAAGCTCAAGCAGAATCCTGGCATGAACAACCCCATGCTCGCCGAGTGGATCTACGCAACTTTCAAGGCCCGGGTCAGCCGTGCCACACTCGCCCGACTGCGCAACCTGCCTTCTTCCTACTTCAGCCACGTCGACCTGAGTGCGACCAAGCGGCGCCGAGTGAAATTCCCTCAGTTCGAGCGGGAACTGAGGGAATTTTTCTTTCAGAACGAAGCTAAAACGGCGATGGCGGACGACGTGCTCCTGCTGAAGGCGCATGAGCTGGCGGAGCGCTTAGGAGGAAGAGGAGGAACAGGAACCCGCAGTTCAACCTGCCATTGCTCTGAGACACTGCATGGAGCTGGCTGCATTTCTGCTGCAATGCGGAGAGCAGACTGACAGAGAACGAAGAGCTTTACAGACCGTGACCGCTTTGGTTCGAGAGACTACGGTGAAGGCAAAGCGGCAGCGAACTATGCACGATTTCTTTACGTGCACCACATAATTTTTTTTAACTGAGTCCATTTTATATGAGTCATTGTAGTAGATGGTCACCAACAGGGCCTCATATAAACAGGTTTGACTGTATCTTCCGCCAAATCGAAAAGACGCTCAGTTGCGAATTTGCCGCCGGCGGCGCGAAGTCGACAGCAGCCAACACTTCGAAAGGTGAGCGTGGTTGATGGCTTTGTATGCACTTCTCTATGAGAGGACTCACCTCGTGTTTGATTGCAGGGACAATGGTGCGCTTAACCCACTCCGCCGTTCACTGGCGGCGTCGGTGCATTAATGACACGTCCAGCGAGGACGAAGAGAACACGCCGCCGAACATCCAGCCCAGCCACCAGTACGACCGCGACAGCAAGCGCCGCATCGAAGACGCCAGCGAGTCCGCCAGCGCTACAGGCACAGCAACGCCTCCGTGGCTGTCGCCAGAGAGAAGCCGCCCAAGTCCAAGTTGGCAACGAACCCGCCGCCAAGCCAGGAGTCGATGTCTGCACCCGTGTCGCCGACGGTGTCCAGCCGCCCGTACGCCAGCCCCACGACGCCGTCGCCGGTGCTCCTGGAGACGCCGCCGAGATCCCCAGCGGCGCTTCAGCCTCGCCACGAGGGCCGTCGTGCGCGTCGTGAAGCTGCCGCGCCTTACGCTCGTCGGCAGTCGGCGCCTCAGCGCGATGCCCGCGATGCGAGTCACTGCGGACTGATCGCCTCGGACGCAACTACGGGGGCCGCGGTCACGTTATCGGTTCATTCCAGCGCAGTGGCCGCACCGCGTGATTCAGCTTCGCGAGCAGTTCAACCCGCTCGCGACGGTATTTCCGTCGGTGCCTCGCTTTGGGTGGTGCGACTGCCCATCGCCGTGCCGTGTGGACTCCTGCCGCAATTCGCTAATGCATCTCAACTGCAATATCAACTGCTGCCCGTACGGGGGGCTCTGTGGCAACGCGCTGGCCGAGTCGAGCAAGGTGTATCTAAGGAGGAACGTGCGCACGAGGTCGTTGGGCGTGGTCGCTGGCGAGGACATCGAAGCGGGCGAAGTGCTGGGGCAATACCTCGGCGAGATGGAGCACTTGAGTGTTTTGCGCACGACCCGACCGCGCAATAGCGGCTACCGCTTGGTGATGAGGCAGCGGGCAGAGCGACCGACGTTCCCAGTCTGCGTGACGATCAACGCCGAGAACATGGGAGGGCTGATGCGCTTCGTAAACCACTCGTGCCAACCGGTGGCGAAGTTCGTGGAAGTGGCCAACGGCCGCCGTACCACCGTGGTCGTGGCGTCGACGCAAGACATCCACCGCGGCGACGAGGTGACAGTCGACTATAGCGACGACTTGTGGTTTGTTTGCCGCTGTGGGCTGGATGGCTGTCGCCACCGCAACATTCAAGACGCCCAAGACCCGTGAGAGGGCCAAAGAGTGAGCAGGACGAGAGAGCAAGCATGGTGAAGAGAGAGACCAGCGAGAAGGGGGAGGGAGTGAAGTGAAGGAGGTGTAGTTGTGTAGGTAAGCGTGTTGTGAACAAATGAATTGCATTGAGATAACCTATTGCTGTGCGGTTGTTGATGGTGGTTGCCGTGAGTGGAAAGTAGCTGCAGGCTAGCAACAAGCAGGGAAGCATGAAAAACTGGCGCCAAGGTTCGCGCCAAACGACGGGTTGATGGGCTCATCTTCGTTCGAAGTTTTCACGTACACTGACTTGCTATTTGCGCGCGCAGATTTCGCGCGCGCAGCGTTGAAGTTGTGAGCTACTAGCATCCTTTCAAGATCGATGCGAACTGGTGGCGGCGAAGGCATCGCCCTGGCAAGCTGCCGCCGCGGCGAAGCTGTCGTCGTCTCTCACTTCTGGTTTTACCACGTTCCAAGCAGTTCCCCCCCCAAGCGCGTCTCCGCCGCCTCGCCTCCGCCCACCACTCCCGGTACGCCGCGCCAACACGGTCCAACATGCAATGAGCAGCGTGGCTGACTTTTTATGGATTTGTCTGTGTGTGTAGATGCCCAAGCACTCTGGAACCACCAACTACTCGACGGCCGATGTCGACCGCCTCCTCACGCTCGTCGAGAAGATGCTGCCGCTCGGCAGGGACGAGTGGGAACGGCTCGCTATGACGTACAACGCCAACAGGCCTCGAGGCTCGCCCGAGCGAGACTTCGAGAGCTTACGGCGTAAGTTCAAGGTGCTTCACAGCACCCGGAAGCCGACCGGCGTGCAGGAGATTCCCCCGCTTATCAAGAACGCCAAGGAGGTCAAGAGTGCCATCGACGACAAGGCCAACGTCGTGGAGATGGACGACGAGGCCGACAACGACCAGCCCGACTTCTGCTTTGAAGTCGACCCGGACGACAGCTTCTACGAGGGCGGCGACGGCGAGGGCGAAGGTTTGGGAGTGCCCACTGCCGCCACTGTGGGCAGGTCCGACTGCGGCGAGTCGCCGGGCTCCGACGAGTCGGCCGAGGACGAGTCGACGGCTTGCAGCCGCTCATCGAGCCGAGGCGCGTTCCAAGACTTGCTCTCGTCGCCGCTGACCACCGATGATCTGGACGAGCTTGCACGCACGCCGCGTCCTGCTCCTGTCCGAGCAGCGCCAAGTACACGTCGTGCTGGCTCGGGAGGGCTGCCGCCACCACGTAAGACGGCTGTTACTGCCCCAGTAGTGATGCTTCACAGCAGCCATCGACTCAAGGTGCCGCCGCTGCCACCAATCACGATGCCGCCGATGTGGCCAAGTACCCCAAGCTCAACAAGACGTCGAACCGTCACGGAGGCGTGGACTTGGCCGGCTTTCGCGACACGGTGGGCGCCAAGCGCGCTCATGAAGAAGACAAAGACACGGCGGAAGCTAGCTACGCCAAAGCTAAGCGCATCCGTGCCATGAAGGCAACAACAGCTCTCAAGACAAAGCTGGATGGCCTTGAAAACAACGCCAGCAACAGCGAGGAGGCATCCTCGAGACGCTTCTGCTGCTCCGCGAAGAGAGCGAGCGGAAGGCTGACGCCCGTCGCGCTGAGGAAGATCAGCGCCGCCGCGACGAAAAGGCGGCCAACGAGGCCCGCCTTCTGGAAGCCAAGGCTGAAGCTGAGGCGCGCCGCCGTGAGGAGAAGCTGGAGAGAGAGGACCGTGCGCGCCGTGAGCGCGAAGATGCGCGCGCCCGCACTCAAGAGCTGCTCATATTGATCGGCGCACTGACTAAGAAGGCGTGAGCGGAAGGCGCGCATGCTCTTCGAAGTGAGGCTATCATTCACTATATACTTGTCACTTACCACTAAGCCTCAAATCAAACATGTTGTTCATGATCCGCTAGCGTGTCCGTCATGGGTTACGTGATCTTCTAGCGTCTTCATCATCACATGTACTTCTCGTGCTGCGTACACATCTCTGTGAAGTCAAGTGCAAGACGCACAAGCATCGAGTTCGGCTCTCCGTCGCAAAACGTTTGCAGCACGCTGCTGCCAGCAACATCGAGATAATGAAGCAGCTCAATTCAACGGCAAAGAAAAATGTATTGTTGCATGCAGTACAAACACGGCCAGTTCGACACCCTACTCACTGGATAGCTCCATCTCGCCTGAAAACGTCGTGCGTATCTGCGAGATGCCGACCGTGCGGACGCGATAGTTAGCCATTCTGAAGATGTTGTTGATTCGGTGCCCACGAAGCTCGGGGTCGTACGGCAGTGGGAGGTTCAGGCGGCTGTACACCTTTTGCATGCTCCCCATGCCTCACTCCGCCGCCTGCCTCACGGACGTGATGGCGTTTTGAAGCGTCCGCGCGGAGCTTCTCAGCGACGGGAAAATCCCCTCGATATCGCCATCTTTGAGAGGAGTCAGGATGCGACCGACCATGCTGGTCGAACACGGGAAGGCCGAGTCCGACACCACGTTCATACGTGTGTCCGGGCAGAGGGTAGGGTCGAGCAACTTGGAACGGAAGCCCAAGGAGGTGTCGGAGTCATTCCATGACCCGGGGCAATTGTGCTTACACCAAATGATGCAGCCGTCGGCTGCGAAGCAGATTGTGCCAGTCACGAAAACGGTGTGCAACCACCCGTTATACATGGCGTTCTGCAAGTCCGCATTCGACGGCTGCTGAACCTACAATATCATTGATGTTGGCATTCTATCATAGCAAGTAACATTTTGCAAACTACAACTCACCCTTAAGTTCTTCCCATCAATGAAGCCGAATGTGTGGTTGAGAAGCGGCTCGCGGGCTTCCACAAGCTTTGCGAGTTCGGCTTGGCGAGCAGGCGAGGGCCAAGAGATTCTGGCAGGAGCGTAGCCTTTTAGCGACAGCGACAGCGCTTCCTCGGCGCGGCGTAGCGTCCTCGATATGGTGCTCGGCGGAGCCCCAAACATCATACACAGGGAGCTCTGCTCCATCGACCCGACGTAGAAGCACAGCACCAGGCCCAGGATCTGGTGGTAGTGTCGGAGCTTCGGGGCCTGCCCGCGTGCCGTGCTGCGTGGGATGTAGTAAAAGCGGCAGAAGCGCCGCAGTAGTTGGAAAGCCGACCTGAAAGCATGCATGAATTAGATATTGCGCAGCAACTTCAGATGGTAAGTAGAGTCGCACCTGGTCAAGCTCGTCGCGTTTAGGAAGTTGATGTCGCTTCCGCGCGTGTACAACATCATCCACGCGGAGTCGCAGGGCGTGTCCAGGCACTGGGTGGTCAGGTAGTGCCTGGTCCGCATGGCGATCCTCCACGCCTCTTCCACGAGCTTGTCGTACACCTCCCTGCGCACCTCGTGCAGCGTCTCCTCCTGCTCGACGAAGGCGCTAGCCAGCACCAGCATCGCATCGACGTCCTCTGCGGCCATCGCTCCGGCGCTTGTATCCGACGCGCGCCAAATTTGACACTGGTGAAATTTAGAAGGGATGCAGCGTCGGCGGTGTCCGGAACGAAATGACGGGTACATTCTTAAAGCCCAGCAAGCGGCTATCAAGCCGCCTGATTCAGGGCGATATCAAGCGAACACAAGTGACGCATGTACGACAATTGCGGTGGAGATTTTGAGCGCTATATCAACATATATCTTTTTAAACCCTGTCATATCTGCTGCAGGTATGACAGCCCGTTAATGTATATCTGGTAGGCGTCCAATGGGTCTTGATATCGGCGACGGCTTGCCAATTATCTTCCGTGATAGCCAGCCGAACCAATTCCAGCTGATCGTCGACCCAAGCTGCGATCCCGTCCAATGCTTGTTGGGAAGACACTAGTTCGCTCACTCTCAGCTCGCTAAGGAAATCGGAAGCTGCTTTGAGTGTCTCGTGAACCACGGGCTTGTAGAGGAGCTGAGTTATCGCACATAGGACGTCAACAGACCCGACCAGTGTAGTAAAATCGGCAGGAGATTGCGCAGGAGGCAGGCTGTTCTTCTTCGAAAAGTTGCTCATGTCGTACGTTCGAACACGTTTCTTCTTCTCCTGCTCCGTCACGCGACCAAAGAGCAGAATCGAAAGTCCTCTCGTACCGAAATCCCAACCAAATAGCGGACGCAGGACAGCAGGATGAGGGAAAAATCCAAACTTTCGCCAGTGAATTTGAACAAACTCCACGAATCGCTGCGCAGTCATTGACGCGTACTTACCGTTGACTAGCCCCAGGTGAATAGCCGTCTGCATACCAGTTGCATGAAATTGATTCTTATCAGCACTGCCATCTTCGCGTCGCGCTACCAGAGACCTCAGCGCTTCCATTGGGGAAGTGTTGCGTTGCAGAGCAATCAGCTGATCAACATCCCGAGTAACATGCGAACTGTCACCTACTCCATGTGATGCTGCCTCCAACTGAATGGAACTTGGTGGAACTGCGCGCTCTTGCACATTTAGACGCCGGCGCTTCGCTTCGCGTTGCTGATTAGAGCTCCGACCACTCAGAGCGATAGGAGGCTCGGTATTATCATCATCGTCGGAGTCGCTCAAGCCATCGCTCAACACGACGTCGGTGTTGGGCTGACCTCTTAGATCCCGCTGCGCGTTAGGTTTGTCAAAGATGGTTTCTCCAAACACCGCCCCCGACGGGTGTGGCCGCCCACCGTCCTTATAGTAAACGTAGTCGAGGATGTGCTGGATTGAGACCTCTGCAATGGCGAAATCGCCGATATCGAGCAGAGGGAGGATCTTGGTCTCGTCAAGTTCATCGCTCCTAATTCCATCCAGAAGCTGCGTGGCATCTCTGACCGCTGGTTGGTCGATCTCGTTGAACTTGTTGTATACTTTGTCATGTATCTGCTTTATTTCCCCGGCCATAACGAAGCTCGTGCTCTGCCTGGCACACGGTTGGAGAGCATATATCTCAACTGCAACATCCTGAGTGGGGCTGGACACGAATTTCACCGAGGTCTCGGTCCCGCTGAAGTTCACATCAAGCAGACCATGCTGCGACTCCGACTCCCAGCTATATCTGATCACTAACCCGTAGTCCCAGACCCGGGCTGTCCCCGGGCGTACTCGTGACGTGCATATCACGCCCCCCACAAAGGTGCCAACTCCATTCAGAGCTTCTTCAGCTGACACAGCTCTTGGGGTCAGTTCTTCCTGGAGCAGCTCGACTGCCTGAGCAGGCTCCTCCGCCCAGCGCCCGCTCTGCACCAGCTTGACCTTCACCGTTGCACCGCGTGTGAGAGCGCCTTCCGCCTTGCCATACGCGAAACCCACGAGGTTGAACGCGCCTGGGCGTAGATAAAAATAGCTTGGTGTCATCGGATCGGGAACGGAGGTCCGAGAAGTTGTGCGCTTGGAGGTGTTCTGCTGCGCTGAGGAAGTTCGCGTGGTACAGTCGATCTAGTAGTGGCTCCATCTGCTCTGCTCTATAATCTAGTGATCAAATTTCCAATGGCAGTGTAGTTATACCATCGTTTAGAACCTTACGCTTATGATACCAGTACGACCGCGCAGTCTTCTGCTGAGTGTAGGTGATGATTCCTTGAGTCTCCTTACAAATACGGAAACCCTTGTTGGTTCCAGAAAGTGTTATCTGATCCTTGACCACAGACTCGAACCCCTCTTGGTTGAGAACATCCTTCTTGCGGCCATGACCCTGCTGAACACCCTTAGCAGATACCTTGACCTTGTATTGCTCGTCAGGCATGTAGCAGATGTAGTTCTTATACGACAGCGAAACCATAGCATCACCAGACCACTCATCCTTGACCAGGCCAGGAGTACGACGATCAAACTTGGCTACCTCATCGTCGAAATCACGGGGGAACCAATCGTACTTGTGCTCCTTGAAGTGCGCTTCTAGCTCAGGCTTGATGCATTGTTCGAATGACTTCTCACAGCTGAAAGCAATGTACGCTGAGTCAGTATCCATTTCCTGATACTGGTAGTCAGATCGATCAAAGTAGTAGTCGATGCAATCATAGTAGAACTGGAGCATGCGTAGCTTAGCGAGTTGGTAGATAGCAATCGAGAGGTGGATCGGATTGATGAGCTTAATTTTGCGCTTCTTGAGCGAAACCTCGTACGATCCAGCCAGCTCGACCACATTGTGGAAGTTTTGCTTCTCGATGATAGTGCGAACAGTCTTGTCGTTGCTCTCATACGTAACCTCCTTGTGCTTGCTCTTATCCATGCCGGATCGACCAAATGCAGCGTTGCCAATAAGCTTACTCAAATCGACAATCATTGTCTTGATCTTATGAACATCACCTTCCCGACGATCATTGGATACATCATCCATGAACGGCTTGAATGCGCGGTGAGAACTAGCTTTGATGAATGAGTATGTCTTTGTGATCTCCATGCCATGAGCTAAGTACCATTTGAGCAGCGGGGTGTAGATGAGGATCTTCTCGCCGAAGTAGCTGCCGATCAGCTTGCGCGCAGGCTTTGCGCGTGTCGACGCACGAGACTTGTAGTCAAACATGTGCTTACCAATAATGTTCTCATCGTTGCAGTTGATCTCGACGTTCTTGAAGATGGGAGTCATTTCCGAGAAATAGTCCTTGAGGTGCTCTGGGGTACGGATGTCGCATTCAAGAAAGCCAAAGATCTTATCATCGTTCGCATCAATCGTGGTCAGCCGTCCGCATGGCATCTCATTGCCGAGTGCCCACAGATACAGAGTATTAGCACCGTAGCCAATAACCTTCTTACAGAGCTGGCCGCCGCGGATCTTCGTCTCATTGCGTTTCCCGTATCTGTTAAAGATGATCGATGGACCACCAGCAACGTTCGCCTTCATCTTGTGGTAGATCTCTGCCTCCTCCTCCTTGTCGATTGACCAGACCAGCTTGTCAGCGTTGAACTCGAGCAGCTTCTTGCGTCTGAAGGCTTTCAGAGGCATTTCCTTACGAGCGACGTTGCAAGCTATGCAGCTGATGAGAATGTTGCCATCCTCATGACCGAGCTTGTTGTTGATTCGATCGGCTGATGCCGTCTCAGCTGTAAGCTGACAGTAGCAGAGACCGCAAAGATACTTTTGCTTCTCAAGCAGCTCATCCAGGTGTTGCATGGTCATACCAAACTCGCGGTCAGCCTTCTTATCTTGTTCGATGTACCCTAGGTAGCGCTGCTCTGGCAAGTCGAATGCCTTAGCTGGGACTCTAGGTCGTTTATCAGGATTGGTGAAGCATGTCTGATACATAACCTTCTCCCCCAGCCCCGGAAGTGAATCACCGTCCGTAAAGATGTCGAGCTTGAAACGCTTGAACAGCTCACGCTGGGCTTGGATAGCCTGAACGAAGGGTTTGACATCAAGATTGTTGTACCAGATCAGCAGGTCCTTGATTGACTTCATCTCATAGTGCTCCCACACGAACTTGACTCGCTCATAGTCGTTGGCGCTGATGCTTGTTCCTCGGAGACTGCTGTCGAACGCTGACTTTGCTGGGATAGTAGTCTCGCTGAGCACATCGAATGACTTGATGTACTCATACGGAAATAGTCCCTTGCCAAGACCACAGATGCAACGAATCTTGTCATCGCATTCGCATCCACCTAGGTAAGTAGTGAGATACTTTTCATAGCTCGTTCCAGCTGGAAGGTAGTTGGAGATGTCAAGAAGCTTGTTATCACGTACATGTAGCTTGGGTTCTTGATAACAGAAGTAATGTTTTTACTCCTAGCACGCTGATCAAATCGTTCTTGATCAGGTGGCATCGTATGACCCTGAGTTGAAGCCAACAATAGGGACTTGGTCAATGATACGCTTAACCTTGCCATAGGCTTTGTTCGCCTCCACAGCAATTTGGTTGTGAAAATCGAATACCGATTCAAACTCACCTTCCTTGATCCACTCCGCGATATCACTAAGGAAATATTAAGTCCCAAGAGGGCTACGTGGAATTTCCATCCCGGTGAGAGGATAGATTTGAAGGAGCTTCTCCAACAACGATTGGTACTTATCGACGTTGTATCTTTGAATCTTCTCCGTTATCGTAGCGATATACTCAAACATCTCTCTGAGGAGCTCGATAGGCGATTCGTTAACGAAGCAGCGAACCTCGTTAGTGAAGCTATCACAGACACTGACCGATACCGGAACGTGCTTGTTCGTGTAGATGGTGCTTTCTCCGTGCTGAGTTGCCGTTGGCATCAGGATCGCCTCAAAGTCATATACAATACAGTGATCGCTGTAGTGATCGACACCCTTAATACGATACTTATCGAGCTGCTGCTTAAGCAGATTCTCCTGAGGCTGATAGATCGTCGGGGATGAAGGGAAAGCCTCGATAACCTCGAACTCACACTTGCTCTTCTTGTGGTTCCAGAGCTTGTTATAAGTGTCAAATATGGCATCGCATACGTTGCATGGATACTTTCAAAGAACGGTATGGATGTTTTTGATGTACATGGCATGCCCCTTGTAGTCGAGAATGTTGATAACATTCTCGTACGCCTTCTCCGACTCGCGTAGCTTGCTGATCTCAAGAGTGTTCTGATCCATTTCAAACACGTTGATTGCTAGCTGGAAGCAGTCTTCGAGCTGGTCGAACTCCATGGTATCAATTGGCTGCATCTCCTTGAAGTACTTGGCTGAGTACTTGATACCCTTGAACGTACAGTACTCTTTGACACGATCCTTAACCGATGCCATCATTCGATCAGGACGAGCACTCTCCTCCAAGTGGTAAGCAATGCAGAAGAATACACACTTGTTGTTAGTCCTAGGAAAATTGATGATGAACTTGTTCTTCTTGATGCTCTTTGGGATCTCGATGTTATCGCTGAGAATGTGATCACACTTGTAGATCATGATCGTAGCCATGGTGATCTCCTTGAGCTGATAGCTCGAAGAGGGGTAGCTGATACGCTCCGTGAAATCCTTAGAAAGAATCTCACCCATGATCTTCTTCTCAATATCGGCCTTGGGTGGATTGGGATAGGATTGTTGAACACTGAAGTGTTCATCGAAGGCTGATAGTTCCTCTCGAGTCCTGTGATGCGATCAATCAGCTTGTAGCCAAGCTGGACATCGGCTTTGAAAGCCTTGTCCTGCTTAGAGAGGACCGAACGAATGTTGGACATGATATCCTTGTCAGAGTAGTTCTCGTACAGGTGCTCGTCGTACACCTTCGTCTTGCGAAAGTTGTAGCTCAACGGTGGCTTGTAGTTGGGAGTGAAGTGTCGCTGGATACGGGACTTAGGGATCTTGTACTGCTTTGACAAGAGAGAAAAGATAAAATATTCGATTCTCTTCTTGGTATATTATTTGGGCTTCGCTTAAAATGGATTCATCTTTGTAAGTCGTGAACAAAAAAATTTATGGTGCTTAGTCGAGCGCGATCTTGCCCGCGCGCCAAGCATAGTACAGTCTCTGACGAGCAAGAATCTTCTCAATCCAATATTTTTTAAATAACTTTTCCTAATTTATCTTAAGACAAAGTTATATAATATAAGGATAACAATGGCATACTCTCCTGAAAAATACCAAGCTAACAAGGCAGCGATCGCAGCCGCAAAGAAGCGGTACTGCGAGAAGACTAGTGAAAAGATCGATACTCGTGAACTTTATGAATTGTCTGACCGACACCACATTCGATCACATGGGGTAAAATATTCAAGCTGTTGATTGCACTTGATAAGCTCCCCATCACACTTGTAATGACCGAATTGTGTGCGTACGATCGGATACTCCTTCCGCTTCTGAAACCACGAAAGTTACATCAATCGAACGCAATATGCTTGATCCTTGAGCATCTCCTCGATCGAGGAGTACTTCGATTTGAACGATAGCTGAACCATGGTGTTGAATATGCTGTAATTATTCTTAGTATATTCATGTGTCAGGATTGAAACCTTTTCCTTCTAGATTAAAAAAATGAGTCGATTGACTCATCATAATTTGTTTTATTTAACTGGAACCAAAGCCGTTTGTTCGGTCAAATATCGCTCGTTCCTTAGCGTCTTCATCAAGTGGTTTTGTTGACCAATCATGGAGTCGTTCAGGTTTCGGCATCATGCTTTATGCTTTGGAAATGAACAGTGATGAGCATAGTTGTATCGCTTAACCGTTGTACCACAAGGACATTGAACGGTCTCATACAACTCTAGTTTCAGTATCTTCTCCATCTCCTTCTTGGCCGTTTTCGAGCACTGGGTATGAGGCTTGAACTTTGATAACGACGGATGTTTGAAGCAGCGATCTTTAGTAGGAGCCCCGGAACATACATTACCATTTTGATGATGATGATGATCACAGTTGTCGATTTAACTTTAGTTAATAGCGTCCTAAAAAATCCTAAGCCACTTCACAATCGGAGGTTTGTTGCGTGGTTTCTCTGCTTTTGGTATGTGTTCTTCTCCTTGTTGCGGATCATTGTATTCGAAGCAATCAATCACTTGTCGTAGTCGTAAGCCGAGCATTCGGTTTTCGATACTCCTGGAATCTCGGTGGGCTACTGCCCGAAGTTGACGTAACGCGGTCTTCTAGATTTCTGTCTTTCCTTGTTGCACCGTGACCAGTTCCTGCCGATGAACTTTTCGGTTGCGTGTCATCCAGAGTGATGATGTTGCGATGCTGCAGAAGGCCCACCATAGGGAGCGCGCCGCTTGCGTATGCTCAGGTGTCAGCTCACCGTATAGGGCGATAAGACGTTGCTTTAACCGAGCTGTGAGGGCTGGTGGGGATCGCGAAGCAACAAAGTGCTGGTACTTCGCCAGCTCCACTTGTGTTATTGTTGATCCTGTCCAATGCTTCACGAAAATCATCCATACAGCCTCGGCGTACGGACAGGTCCATAGGAGGTGCTCCAATGTCTCTTTGTGGCCCTCGCAGCTTTGTGTCATCCGGCAGTGTGCACTTTGCTCACGCCCTGGAAAATACAAATTCAGTTGACTCACAGCAACCCTGTACGCTGTCAAGACTTGAAATTCTGTCAGAACATCCTGTCAAGCCCACAGCGCTGTTGGTGTCTGGTCTTGCGTCGCCTTCACCCTCTCGGACTGACTTCCTCCACTGTGTAGTTTGTCCACTAGGGGGCCTAGATGCTTTCCGAGCCCCAATCGGAACTGCCTAAATGGTTGTTTCTTGAGCGCTTGTAGTACTCTTTTGTTCCTTACCTTCTCGGGAACTAACCAGGGAAAGCCATGCAAAAGTGGCGTTGCCTCGATCACGATGCCTTTATTTGCAGCATACTCAGCCATATCCGCTCCGTCCCGATCTACTTCACGATTGCCATGCACGCTAGCATCGGACCAGTTAATCCCGTCGGGTTCCTGTAGTAACGTAATTGCTCCCTCCGCTGCCGCTCCCATGCGGGGGACACCCTTCACGGTTTCCGGTGCAATCCTCCTCCACTCATACGGTGCCGATAGATTTGGCTCGTGACGCAGCGTCACCAAAACGCTGCTGGCCCCGAAGGTGTCTCGCACAGACATCGGTGTAGCTACAAGAATCGCTAGGAACCACTTACGAAGCTTTGCGAGGGTGTGATGTTTGGCTTCACTCCGCGGTTGGGGAATAGTAACCATATAGAATCCCTATCCACCCGTCTGATGTTGAGCGCGTTCAAACTACATGGTTGGACGCCGCCTGCGTCCTTATAAAAGTCGTTATTCAGTCCATCTTCCCCTGTCGCTTTGTGCCGACTGAGAGATTCGATCGCTTCTGCAATTTCTGTCGTCGTTATTTCAGCCATGAGGAAGTCGTTGTCCTCCGGCCGCACTTTTCGACACTCTGGAATTTCTACGAAGTCGTGAAGAGCTGCCCGCAACTCGTCTTCGCCAGTAAAATCACTGTGCCGCTGCCCTTGAATGGCACTCCATTCAATAGCGAAGCGGTCCAAAATCGACGTGATTGCCGGAAACTCCGGTCCATTTGACGCTCGTATGTTCGTGACGGTTTGATCACGTTCCCAGTTTGACCACCTTTTGAACTTTAGTCGCATTGCTTCAGCTGTATCTTCCAACCTTTCTCCCATTCTATGCTGCGCTGCTGCTTTCAAATCGTTTGTAGCAGCCTGAATTAGTTGCTGACGAGTAATGAGGCTAGAGCGTGTCTGGCTATGCAGTCGCTTTGTGACTTGTTGCCTTCGTTGTTTATCTCGTTTCGCCACTGTTCTTATCGCTTCCAGTATTTGCCGGAGTATCCCATCCCAGTGTTGTACTCCACTAGTTTGACCAATCCCTCTTTCTGCCATCTCCGTTAGTAAATCAAGAAGCACTTTGTCGGGGTACGTCGATCGGATCGGGTACGCCGGTCGTCGCTGGTTCTTCTTGCGGTACTTCTGAGGATCACTTCGGTTTAATGTTACTGCTTGATGATCGGAATCTACTGGCGGTAATTGCACATCCACCCACTGAACTCGCTGCTGCCATTTAGCTGAGACGTAGAACCTGCCGATTCTGCTGGCGGAATTTTGTTTCCAGTACGTGAAGTGCGCTGTCGGAGGAAGCGCATCCTCATCTTCAGCGTGCCCCATTAATTCTCGTGCATCAATTCAGTTTCGGTCGCCCATCCAATCTTCTAAAATTCTGCTTTCCATTCTAGCTGCATGACGGGCACCTCTTCTATCTAGTAGAGGATCTTGTACACAGTTAAACTCACCTCCACAATCGCGTTAGTCGTGAGATCCGCAGTGCTGCTTTGTAGACCAGCGAATAATTTTTCGCGATCTCTGCGTTTGTTTGTCGCGTAGATATTCATCATCACGCCAAGGACTTCATGATACACCGAGAGCACTCGGGGAGTTCACTTCGTCATTTCCCATGGCTTTGTAGCTTGCAATACTTCTGGGTATAGCAAGATCCCAACACCTCCTTTCAGACTCTCACCGATGCTCCAGTACGTCGGTCGCGTTGATTGTTTAGAGAGACCCCATAACCTGCGCCATTGGCTCTCTAGTTCCTCCACTCGACGTAGCCATCTGCATTCGCGAACGCTGCTCGCATATATTCATCGTGCTCAATCTGCTGCGTATGCAACCTGAACATTTAATGTACGGTTCGAGATTGCTGGATCGGAATATCACTCTTGGCCTTGAGCTCAATAGCATAGCATAGTAAATGCCTTCCGAGTTTACCTTTATTTTGTGGTGAGCAGAGATCGAGCTCTGTGCCATATCGCTCGCCTATCGATTTTGCGCGCCCCCAGTCATCTGAACTGTCTGCCACGAGCTGGCGTTGCTTATTGGTTGATACTCGCTGCAGTCGATCTAAACACGTTGAAACCCAGTGCTTCACCGACCCTTTTTCCAAAGACTGCTGTAGTTCATGGAGTTTTTGCTAAAGGCAGTCAATGCGCCATCCCGCTGTCCACTGTGTTATCTGCTGGGCAGAAGCTCGTTCCAGTACTCGAGCTGGAAACGTGAATTCTCGTACCATTTGAACGAACAGCAACGGTTCTTTTTCAGCAGCCGCAGTCCATTGACGATCAGTATCATTCGTTCTTGGGAAACGCACTTTTGTTCGTCTCGCATTCTGCTGCCTTTTTGTCCCACAAGATTTCCCATTTGCCCGCGCTGGAAGCCCCTTCGGCTTCACCCCCGCTCTCGCTTTCAGACGCTAATTCTGCCTCTGTAAACTCATGCAACAAACGGCGTGGGATATCCATTTCCTCTTAAGCCTCGCTTCTCGTTTTCTTCAATGGAACGCTCGCATTGCGAGCATTGACAACTGCGCCGTTCACCTGTTTTTTCTTCATTGGCGTTGGTACATGACTGCGCTTGCCCTTTCCGGTTCGGACGTTGCCACGGTCCTTCGTAAGCTAAGCCGGAAGCAGCTTCTGAAGCTGGGTCTCTTATCACGGCGGATGGTGCAGTGGCCGGCTTCAGCGGCTGCATTCCCATCAAAGACTCATTACAGGTATTGCCTGCTCTTTTCCACTGTTGGCACTTCGCCTCCGACACAGTATGGCGCTGCAGGAACCCCATGAGCTCAGCTCCGTCGAACCCATCCAATAAACCCAACCTCTCTTCTTCGTGATCCGTCATGGTTGGTATAGCGAGTTTGAAGAAGTCGATCAAACGCTTCTTTGCCGCATCATCGCTGCTGAGGATTATCTTAATTTCTCCAGCTACTCCGGCAAAACGCGTGTTTCACCTGGTTCCAACATTGTTTGATCGTCCTCAGTTGATGCTTCTCCTCCAAACGGGGTTTCTCCCTCTGGGGTCTCTACCATATCCTCATCACTTTCGGAGTAAAGGCTCGTCAAGTCAATTTGTTGGCGATCTTGCTCAAAGTGACTGTATGCAATGTTGTGCTCATCTAGGAACCGAACGATCAACGGTGCTTCAATCGGATTGGTCTCTGACTATGTCAGCGCCCGTCCTAACAATTGAATCCAAGTTGGCAAATCGAGAGGTTTTTCCTTCTCGCTCTGGTATGCAGCGCCATTCTTAGTCTTCACGCAACAACTGTGGCGCGTGCATTTCCAGTTGTGGTTGTTATCTTGACCAAGCACGAAAATGTCTTTTTTCAACAAGATAGCCATCATTAACAACGTGTCGTTGTTGCCCCACAGGTTTCTTGGGACAAATGTTACGCCATCCGTTGGACTTGTGGCGTACTCCTCTAACCACTTCGTGAAGAGTTTTGCCGAATTACGGGATGTAACTTTCTTCCCTGCATTCGTCGTAGCCGGTTGCTGCTGTTTCTCATCGACGTGTGACTTCCAGAGAAGGATACGGGCTCTCGTCTCGTGAGGGAATTCTTTACCAAAATTGAGAGAGGCTATTTGCTGCACCCCCAGCTTTATATTATAGTCTTTGCCAGCTCGTTCACACATTCGGGAGCTTGGTTGTATTCGACTCCAAGTAAGGCCTGCGCAACGGCGAGGACTTGGCAATTACCCGTCGGTGGTGTTTGCATTGCACGTAAGCGAGAGCTTGCTCCACAACAGCAAATGTTGTGTCCTTGTCTACCCTTAGCCCAGCGTATGAATATTTAGCGGTTCTCCCCGGCCACATGCACCCTCTTGAACGATTGCGGCAATCGTATCTCTCGTCGCCGCAATGTTGTCTAGGAGGTGAGTTGTTCGTGATGTCCCCTCGTGTTGCGTTGGCTGCCTCGTGAGCAAGACGGTCTTACTTTCATCGTCCTCATTCTCATCATCTTCATCACTGACTAGTAAGTCTATGACCTCTTCGTTTGATGGCCAGTACTTACGTCCTGACTGCGGTCGAGGCTGCGTCGTGATACTACTTGCTACAGCTGCTGCGCTGTTGGCCACGGTCTTCCAGGAGTCTTCACGGACCCGTTCACTGAGTTTTTCAATTGGACTCTGCTGCCCGTTCTTGGTCGCCGCTGTACTCTTTGACTTCTCCACCGATTCTTGCTTACTGCTCGAATTGGGTTTTGCTTTCGCGCCTGGAACAGTCGATACCGGCTCCTTCCTACGTGTTATGGCAGATTTCAGTTCCGAAAGGTTCTTCAAAGCTGGGTTTGGATTCCCCATTGCCGCCATCTCACTTTCCTTGATTATCACTACGGCTCCCTGCCTCAGTGTCTCTGACGTCTGCTTACAACGCCTAGCTAGGTGACCAGGATCTCCGCAAGCTATACATTGTTTTTCGTGTTTGTTCCGCGGGTGTTCAAGAACAATGACTTCTCCAAGCCAAATCATTATGACCTTGCCGCGCAGATACTCTGGGCAGTGTCCGATTTGAAAACGCAACTCCCACGTGTTAGATGTCCGTGAGTACCTAGAGTAGGTGTCCACATCTACCATTTCAAACGTAAACGGATACATACATTACCATTTTTCATGATATAGTTGCACATGTTTACTACTTAGTTCCCTATGATTGTATCATTATCATCCATTGCTTAAGATAGATAGAAAACTTTTCCTTTCAAATATTTGCTCTTTCTCATAAGAGCTTTCTAGAAGATTTTGCGTTGCCCTGATATTGTTCGAAATTTTAAACTTTGGTCTAAAATTCAATCCTAACAATATCACGCTACTGACAGGTGTTCTATTTCTTCCACAGCGATTGGGCGGTTTGAAGTGTGTAATGCTAGAGACAGGTCCTCTGCGTGTTCTATGTGCGCTGTGTTAACCTAGGGCTAGCTTAAGCTGGGATAGCAAATTTTACGAGAGCAGCTAGGGCTTTAACCACAGCAGCAATATTTTTTACTCTCTGGTGGGGCTTCGGGTGGTGTAAATTGATAATGTCAGCTTACACCACAAAATACACACATAAATGATTTTAGAACCAGGTCTCCTCCTATTCAGTATTCCACCAGCTATATATTTCGTGCACCCATCGTCCTTGACCTTGCCAGTCAGGTGGCCGTGGTGGTTGTGGGGGCCGCATTGCGGCTGCCACTTCCGGCGAGCATATTGCATCTGTGCGTCCAAGGACACGTGTATAACTGTATATTGCCCGCTGTTGTATGGTAGATAATTTAAAGCTAGCTCTGACGCGGGAGCACTATAGCGTGAATATAATCTGTTCATTTGTTTTAAGGCTACTGGGCATGGATCAAAGGTAAGCATTTGCATTTCTACACCTGCAAAGCAAAGAGCGTTCTCATTATTTTATATAAGCATGCCGGCTCACATCCAAAATCTACAATTTTGAGGCGAATTACCGGGCAGATGCTGCGGCAGGCGCGGGAGATGCCCATGGTTAGTTTAAGAAATAGAGTTTATACTAAAACAAATATATTACAGCCTTCGCGGAGCCCTAACACAAGGATTTCGAATGGCATCCACCGGTAATGTAGTCTGGCCGAAAAAGTTTGAAATTGAAGGTTTCCTAAAAGATAGTCGGCTCTGAAATGAGGTCTCGTAGAACATTGGTCGTACTGGTATTTGTCAATGTACTCTCTGAGATAGCATAAGTTTCATGCAGAACCTTAAATGCTTCATATACCCGGATGGCAAGAAGATAAGCTGGTCAAAAAGCCTTTTCGATAGAATGTGCGATCCCACTTGACACGTTGCCTTCGAGTCGCGATAAGAATCGCAACATCTTTTACAGCACGAATACGCAGTAATGCACTGGCACGGCCATGAATGCCTATTAGCGATATCAGTGTAGATGCCCTCACAGCTTGCGACGTTGACAACGTTTTCAGCCAAAACTTAAAGGTTAGAATTCAGCGTCGTATTCAACTTGAAAGTGGCGAATTATGCCGGAAAACGCCCGATCATGTTAGTTTAGGGATCTAGGTGGCTGTACTGAGCAATCGCTGTAGCTCGTGTGCAAGACGGGTAACACAGGCGGGTGTGGGTAAGCAGTTAGAATGCGAAATAGCTGCCAACGAAACATGATCTGAAGAAGACAGAAAGCTAGTGACCTGAGATCGGACTCAGTTACCGACTCCGTTACTGGGTCACCAATAGAAAGAAAGCCAGTGACAAAGGACCACGATACCGACTTCAGTTTACCGGCTTCAGTTACCGAGGTTCGAATTAACTCGATTTGCGCTGCCTAGCAGCATGACCTATCGGCCACTGATATCCCAGTAAAATGGTGGGATAACCGGTTCTGTATAACTACTTAGGAGTGCCTAAAAAGAAAAAGTCTAAGACCCATGCGGACGAAAAACAAGTCGGATTTGGTTTGCAGCTTCGGAATCGGCGCGAGAGCTGGCAGGCCAATCTACTCTGATTGACCTACTTCAAACTCAGGACGAAGAAAAACCCGGCCTCTCTGAGTTGCAACGGCGACTTGCTGGTATTTGCGGAAACCCAAGTTCAAAAGGCAGAAGAACCCCATTCTCAACCTTGACGAATTTTACTTACTCCCGGAAAAGTTACTACGAGCGTGCTTGGATGTCCTCCCTATATCGAATACCGCCGCGGGCCCAATTGTCCTTGATGAGGGCGGCATCAACGAATGTCACTAATGAGCCTCAGCGTACTACAACTGATGTAGTAGACATTAAAAATGTTGGTGTGTTCTCTCGTCAACAAATTGAGATATTTCGAAAGATTGATAATATCAAGAAAGCTGCCGAGCAAGGAATGGCGCTGTACCTTAGGTTACGAGATAAAGTCTTACCGTCCCTTCCGGCGACCTACCACGAGACAGTTAACGAAGTTGCGGATCGAGTGATCAACACGTATCCGTACAGCAAGATCGACGGATTAGCTGAGGCCCCTGGGTACCAATCCGCTATGCTGTACCGTGCAGTACCACCGCAATACCTGAACGACGCGTATATCCACGCTATCTGTGATCGGCTTTGTCATGATATCCCGTCTGCACGTTTTGCTGGATTTCAATCCGCAACGACAAAAGGCAAGCGCAAAATGAAATATCAGGTGATGTCGAGTGATATTCTCAAGCTTGTTGGAAGTCAAGCAGCTGAGTTGGAGGTAAAAACCATCTTCGTCCCAATTAACTTCAGCAACGCTCACTGGTGCAGTATCGTTGTCGACACGCACTCCAAAACGATACATTGCTATGATCCTCTCAACCAGAAGGAGTTCACATCGGCAGTTGAAGTTCTCGCGATGAGCTTAAAAACCAAGGTTTTGCCCGCATTTCGCATCGAAGTCGACAATGATCCACTTCAGTTCGAGTTAATTAGTTGCGGGGTCTACGTTTGTTGGATGTTCATCAACTGAAGTCTCTCGAGAGCGTCTGAAGCCACGGACATGGCAGTGCTGACGAAACGACGCTTTGAACTGTTCTACTACGTGCTCACAGGACGGTTGATAAAAGACGAGCCTGTAAGCACGGTTGAGTAGGTGGGAAAACTAACAGTGAAGGAAGTGACCCACGACTGCCCTCACGACTTGATAATGCACTTTGCATGCTTTATTGCCTTTGTAAGCCAATTATTTAGCTCCGACTTCATCTTTGGAGAAAGCAATGCACGTTAAATCGCTGTATCTCTGTACAAGTCGCTTCTGTAAGACCCGTGGCGAGCATTAGGAGCTCTGGAATTGTTGACACGTCTGTCAATGATAACATCTCATTGACACCGGCTTCGTAAGTGCAACTACATTCACGACTGCCTTCATGTCAATATTCTATAGTTATGCTGAAACGACCTGCATCATGGTTCGCGTGAATCTTCCCAATCTCTCATCGTCTTCGAAGTATCTTCCCCATGTGATTCTACTACTAGCAGATGTTTTAAAATCCTGGACGAATCCTGGACGGGAAACATACGGATCCTGGTTGAAGCAGGATTATAATCCTGGACTCCAACATGTGGCGAAGTGCCGAATAAGAATGGATCTCCGAGAAAGGCGGCAGAGCCGATCGACTGGAAGTATGGGGGATCAGCGATCGAGAGACAGGCAGCGAGGATCTATGGATCAGAGGGAGTTCTTCGGGAGATCTCAAGTGGCGCGATGACGCCGGCGCGTAAGGCAAGGACATGTGGCAAGCCGGACTATGGATGATCGTGCTCGAGCCGCGGCGTAATTCGGGGGTGACCCAAGCCCGGATCGACGACAGATCTCGCAGTTCTAGGATGGCCGAGGGCAGAAGATGATGGATCGGCGGCGTACGGCAACCGGCACAAGTCGTCGATCGGGAGTCGATCGCAGATCGCCGATCGGGAGTCGATCGTGGGTTGATCGTGGATCGGGGATCGACCACGATGGGATGCACATGGAGGACGAAGTCGGGACAAGAATCCAGTGGTTGTTTAGTTGAAGGATGGTAGATGAGATGGTAGCGGTAGAGAGACACCAGCTAAACATAAATCAGAAGAGTATTTGCACCGAAGAGCACAAGTCCCCCAAGTCGTCAAGTCCCGGGAACTGCATTGGCCTCGGCAAGCATCGACACTTTGGACAGTGAGCTAGTGGTACGGTTAAGACTGGATTAATACATTGGCCAGCTTGACCTACTCTAGCGATCTATTTCTTGTGTGCGAACCCCCGATCGACCGGATACTGCTTGGCCGGCGATCGTTTCTCCTCTCGATCAACCTCGATCCCGCTATAGGAAGCGGCAAGCAACCCAGGAAAGGAAGGAACACACCCGGAAAGGCAACTACAGACCTTGGATCGACTCCAGGCCGACCGATCGCAGCGAACAACCCTCGATCGGATCGTATACTCGGACGCAGAGCGAAGATTCCCGCGCTACTCCACAACCTATCCCCGCGTCACGCCAAGACACTCGATCTTCACCAAGTGCTGCATCTTCTGAGCCCCGAGAGAGCAGATCCAGCCCGCCGACGGGTACACAAGGTGAGAACAAGTTCAGCCGATCACGGATCGTTGGGGGACCCCCTCCGTTAGTCGGTGTCTGGGCGCTGGTGGGAAGCTCGATCAGGCCTTAACCAGATTTCGGCCGTTCCCGCTACACCACAATGGTGCGCGTGCCCGGATCTCTTGGGGACTCCGGATTTCACCGTGAGCTCGTAGAAGATGCGCAAGTGAAGAATGAACCAGGGGAAGAGGCGTCGTCGCATATCGGATCGACGAAGACGCTGCTGAACAAAACGAGATCCGCGGATCGACAGAGTGCTCGGAGGACTTCTGTCGACGGAATCGAGGGTGATCTGGAGACAGATCTAGAAGACAAACCTCAACATCCTCCCCAGGTCCCTTTGGGGACCCCGGTGGATCTTGGTGCGAACCGAGATTCACTAACAAAACAAACTAAGGCGGGATCGGACCGATACGTGTTCGGTGACTCGCCGATCAGGCTCGATCCGGGCTACCTGGACGCGATCGCGGACAAGACCCAGATCGTGAGGACGAAGCTGAGAGCGCCAGGCTTGGATGACGAAGATCCCAGACCGTCGGCGCTCGACTGGTCTGAGGCTGACCTGGATCGTCAGTATTACTTGAAGGAACTGCGAGACTTCTTGCGTCAAGATCCTCGTGCGGCCAGAGCAGATCGACAACCCGAAGGGCCCGATTTCGGCCCCCCGAGTGACGGATAACAAGCTGATAGCGGTGAAGAACCTGCTCGGGCTGTTGAAGGAAGCCGGCTTCGTGGCTGGCGCCTTTGAAGCGAACGATCTTTTCGATCAAGATCTCGATGTGATCCAGACAGCGATCCCGACATTGGTCGACAGGTTGAGACCTTTGGTCGACATGATCGCGGACAGTCCGAACCCGAAGATGCCAGATCCAGTGTCGCCGGCTCCAGTGTCATCTCCGCGAGTGGAGTCCACTGGGTACCGATCGTCGTCACCTTATGTCTCCGCAGCGGAACATGTATCGGATACGTCGTCTGAACCCCAACGGATGTCCCTCGGCCCTTCAGGATCTGCGATGTTGGACGCGCGATCACGGAGTCAACGTCAGGAACGCATGCGGTCAGGACATCAGAAGCAGAAACCCAAGTCGACCGATCGGACCACCAGTGCCACCGGATCAGATGAGTCGAATGGCAGACTGGAGTCTTACTTTCAGGCTGCGATGACTCGATTTCTGAAGGAACAACAGGCCATGGTGGTAACACCTACTCCAGTGGGCGACGACAACGTTGGATCGCGGGACGTGGAGATGGAATCAGCCGGATCACCGGATCAACATCTCTCCCAGTGATAATACGATCCGGACGATATTGATCTACCGAGTTCGGCCCCTGCTGTGGTGGCCACCGCTGCCTCGGGATCCACTGGGTCCTCCTTGATCCAGCGTGTGCGAATCTCCGCGATGTCCGATCTTAAGGAGTTCAGTGGCAAGGATCAGGACGAAGATCGCGCCCGATCGTGAATCAGCAAGGTGAAATCGGCGTTCCTGAGAGATCAGGCTACGGACGAAGAGAAGTGCTTGATCTTCGCTGATCTACTGACGGGTCCGGCGAAGAACTGGTACCGCCAGCTGGGCCGATCGACGCGGAACAAGTGGAGCGATCTACTCCGGAGTTTCCAGATCCAGTATTGTGGCCTGGGAGTATCGGTCGCTTGGCAGCATTATCATTCTCGCAAGAGATCGGATGAATCGCCGTTGGAGTACCTCTATCGACTGAATGTGGCAGCTCTACGTGCAAGATTGAAGATCAAGGACGAGGATTCCAAGGCCCGTCGAGAACATGTCGAACACGTTATCGAGACACTGGGCGATCCGGAACTGGCCGATCAGCTCACCCTACTCCGGCTTGCGGACGCGGAAGATCTGGAGGAAGTCCTGCGCGCTCGAGAGCGCGCGAAGAGTAGACAGAAGCGATCTGCCTTTGGATCGAAGTATCGTCAGAAAGTTCCGACCTCAGCACCAGCTGCTGCAACCAAGCGGGCAGTGCGTGCAGTGCAGATCGCGAGCCAGGAGTCTGGATCGGACACAGGATCGGAAGGGTCGGACTCGGAGGGTGATCTACGCCGCGTTTACCTAGCGTCGGCCGATGACAAGTCTCGCAACGCAGGGGGCGACTCGACGAAGCCGGATCGAGGCAACCAAGCGCAGATCAACCATGACTCACCTCGATCGGATCCACGATCGCGATCTTCACCTGACGGATCGGAGCGATCAAACCACTACTCATACTGTGAATCGCGGAAACACACCGATCTCGATTGTTGGAGACGTTCGTCTTCTCCCCACCAGCTTTTGACGTGCGAGAAGTGTGGCACGAGAGGTCATCCGGCGGATCGTTGCCTGTTTGTATGCCGTGGATGTGGTGAACTACACGAGATGGGCAAATGCCCGATGGAGGAATTCTACAACCAGATCCGTCAATGGTTCAACCCGGTGAAGCACGCTGGCATGTTACCCGCGATCGCCGAGAAGATGTTAAACTAGGACGCTCGCCGGGTTGGAATCTGGTACGAGCCGAACGTTCTAGGTACTGCATCTATGCATTCGTGAACAAGAACACGGTAGATCGAGTAAGTGGACGGACTGATCTACGCGGTAATACATGTGATCTGTATGCGAAATTTGACGCCAAGGTCTTAAGTCTACATCGATCGGACGACTTCAGCCGGTCTGACGCCGAAGTGCCCTTGGATCTCCAGTCTGGAGAAACGCGGGGGTATTGGAAGCAACGCAGACCGGAAGAATGGTTCAAGCAGGCTGATCGAGAAGTGACAACCGAGATCCCAGAGCATGGTCGCGATCGAAGTCTGCCTCGCGTCAGTGAACACCGCAGATCTGGTGAGTGGTGCCCGATTTCCTCCCTGGGGAGTCCAGAGGGTACTGGAAACATCATTCGCCAGGTAAGTGGTTCCGTCAGGCCAAGATCACTGGCAAGATCAACAATGAGAAGTCGATTTTACTCTTAGACACCGGCGCCGAGGTGTCCATAGTGGACACCGTCTTTGCTCGTAAGGTGGGGTGCTATGTCGACACGAGTCAGAGCCAGGAATATGTGGGGATTGGCGAAAGCGTGTACATGACGGAAGGAAGGACCAGGATCAAGATTACGCTGGCGGGATCGCTGGTGTATTTTTTCGATATCTGGGTTGGCGATCAATGGGTATGGACTTTATGGTTCCAGCGGGGATCCGCCTCGATCTTGCGGACGGCTCTATCTGTCTCCCCGACGAAGTCAAGATCCAGCTTAGCGGACGGCGTCAGCTGTACAACGACAATGTAGTATAGCAGTACACACAAAATCGTCGGTTGTGGTAACTTGGCTACAAACACAACAATAGCCGAGCTGGTCGGCTTTGTTGGCCTGCGCCGGGTTGCCCCCGAGCGGTTCGGCCCAACCGGGACAGCGGGTGTCTCGCCTTTCGTCGAGACCTGCCAACCAAGATCACCCCTCCGGAGAGCCGCCGATTTCGACGGCCTCCGTTCACTTAACCCTGTGCCCTCCACCAAAGGATGGACGACGGCGCACGGAGCGCTTTTACAGGTCGCCGATAGCAAAGGCTTCTCGACTCAGCAATCAGTGCCCGGGACGTACGGGAACACCGGCTCGCAGCGGTGGCGAGACTTTTCCTTCGCGCTTGGCGAGACACGCGCCCAACCCGGGCCGACCTTAATCTCTTGGCGCTGCCAGCCGAGTACCCTACAAGCTATGCCTCTCGGGTACCGGCAGCAGACATAATCCGGCCCCGTGCAGGGACTTACCGGAACGTGTACACGTGTTATGGACCTAGAAAATTCTGCTCTGTTGTTTGTTATCTCTGTCGGGCGCCCTGAAGGGGCACCTCCAATATTCCTAAGCTCCTATACAAATGCCAAATGAAAGTGGGCGGTTTTGGATCTCGGCCGACTCTTCGCTGAGCTCGGCAACGCCTGAGCTCGGCTGGTCCGGATGAGCTATCCGGACAATTCTTCGAACTCGGCTGAGCCGGATAAGGTGTCCGGATAAGCTGGTGAACTCGGCTGAGCTCGGCTGAGCTCGGCTACCGGTACAGTGTACCACTCCAGCCGAGTTGGTCGCGCGAAATCTGGTGTTTCCTACACCACAACTGCCCCGGGCATGTTCCGAGCCGAGTTGGTTAGGGACCTGACCATCACTCCTTGAGTCGAGTCCAATCTCGGCCAAAACTCCAACGGCAGCGAACAAGTCTCCGCGCCATGTCGTCGTCCGGCGCTCCTGCCGCTCCTCCGGTACGTTCCTCGCCTCCGACGGCTCCATCCATTCTGCTGCTGACCTTTCTTCTACTGATCTTCACAGACTTCAGTTGCGTCGTCTTTGCAGTCTTCACATCTTCCCGCGCGAGATGAGGGGAAGTTCGCTGAGTTGGTCGACTCAGCGTCGCGGGCTCGCGGGGTCAGCAATGGGCAGGAGCATCCTGTCATCGATCTGACAACTTCCCGTGGGTTCGACCGGGAGTCCGAGCCGGCATCTCGCACTTCTCCTCGCCGCTTGCCGAGTCCGCGTGACGACACCACTTCGGACGCCGCCGACCTTGGTCGGTCGGACTCGGCTGGGCCGGTGAGTCTCGACTCACTCGCTGCGCTGATCCATGCGCAGTCCGAGCAACGCCGCATCGAGAACGCGGACTTGGCTCGGCTGTTGTCATTCGTGATCACTCGTCCCGCGCCGGCGGCTGATAGAGAGGTCCGCCGAGCTGCCCTCGAGGCGACGTCCGTCAGCGAACTCTTGAGCCTCCTTCGCGGTCAGCACCAATCTTCAAGTCAAGCTAGTGACGTCGCTGCACTGAGGGTCGAGCTGGAGTCTACTCGGACTATTAACGCTGACTTGACTCGGCGGCTGGATTCACAGGCGGCTGTGAAGGCCGACCTCGAGGAACGGTTGAAGACTGTCGAGGAGGAGCGTGACCGATGGAAAGCCGAGTCGAAGAAGTCGTCCCCTCTTCTGACCAGCTTCCGGAAGGCGATGGCCGAGTCTGAAGCTTCCTTGAAGTCGGCCCGCAAGTCTCAGGATGATAAAGTGAAGTCGGCTCTCGCTCACGCTAAGGATCTCGGCAGGCAGCTCAGAGAACGCGACTCGGAGATTGAGCGTTTGACTCAGCTTCTTTCGGCTCGTGACGCCGAGTACGCTGTGCTCCAGGGGATCTCGACCAAGCACTTCGAGCAACTGCAGGAGTCGGCTCGGCTACTCATTTCTGGAGACGCCTAGCATCTCCGTGATGCCAAGGCTACCATCAAACACCAGCGTGAGGTCATCCTCCGACAGAAGCGTGTCATTTCTCGCATGGGTCTTTTACCCATGCATGATCCTCACATGGCTGCTGCAGCTGCAGCCGGGTTGGACGTGCCTGGGTTGAGCCCTGCTGACTTGCTGTTCAATGCTCGGTTATGCCAGATCTTGGCTCAACGTTTCCCGGAGGTGATGGACATCCCGGCTGGAGAGAGTCGTCGAGTCGAGTTGACCATCCACCCGCGAGCGGACGGCGCTGCTAGCGCCCGTGAGCTCGGCTGGTTCTTTCCTTGGACAATCAACCCGGCTGACTGGGTCTGAGGCTCCGGCCCCTCCAAGCGAGTCTCCCGCATCATCTGCCGCCAATCCTGTGTCGGCCGGTGCGGTTTCTACGCCCGTGTCCACTTCTGCTTCGCGCCGTCGCCGCAGCAAGTCGGTCGACCAGGTTCACCGAGCTTGGCTGGATACTCTGACACCCGCCAAAAAATCACTTCGCTACTCAAACCCGAAGTCAGCGACGGCGGCTGGTTCTCTGCGCAAGCCCAAGAAACCACTCGAGCAGCCGTACGCGTGTCCACTTCCTGGTGAGGTCGGCCATGAGGACGCGTTGGTCCAGCTTGAAAAGGCTGCCCAAGATAATGACGCCGCATGCGACCTATCGCTCCGATCGAGCTTGAACTTAGCCGGGTTGACTGTCGACGATGTGAATGTGGAGGCCGGCGACGAGGTTCACTCGCTGGAAGAGGACCTCTCGTTCGAGTTCACCGAAGTGCCTGGTTCCGCCGAGCTTCCGAGGGGGCCCGCCGGCCCGACCGTGAGTGTGCCGCCCGTGCAACTCGTGCCTTACTCTTCCTCCCTAGTGCAGACGCCTTCAAGCGGAGTGGCTGTTGTATCGTTGCCTGAATCTGCTGACCTTGCTGCAACTCCGTCCGCTTTATCGCTTCCTGCCTCGGTTCCGTTCCCGACTCGTGTCCGGTGGGTTCCTCCCTCGACCAGCGTGCCGAGCGCGGCTGTGGTGACATCGACTGTCGGCGCCGGAGGACAACCGGGTTCCTCTGCTCCCGATCCGGCGCTTGCTACAACGCATGCTGTGATTGCGCCGAGCTGGACGGCTGGAGTCTCGGCTGCGGGTACAATTAACAGCTCCGCTGCGATTCCGCCTCGGGTTTCGCAGTCTTCTCCGGGTTCGGCCGCTCACCGGCTCTTGGCATGTACTCGTTCCCGGTTTGCCTATCAAGCCCAGAGTCGTCGTGGCCCGTCAGGGGTGGCGTCGACTGTAGTCACCCCAATGCCGAGCACTCCGTCGGTGGCCTCGACCCGGCCAGCGGTTCCTCCTAGCTCAGCTGGGATGACTTCTCCATCGGGTCGCCCTTTACGCTCCACTGCGGCTACTGCCCGAGTGTTGAACGCTCACTGCTTGGATCTGTTAGAGACTCCTGACTATCTCGTCCTCCGGTCCGCTCGGCGTAGCTCTTTCTCTGGTTCGTCGGGCTCGGCTCTTGGATTGAATGCTCCTGGAACCTCAGCACATCCGTTGTCTGTGTCCGAGAGCTCTGAATCTGAGGCTGACGACCCTGGATCTGCTGACGAGCTCAGTTCGGCCGACTCTAACGCATCTCACCGGGCTTCGTTAGCTTCTGCGCTCCCACCTCCGCACGGGAAAATCCAGAGCTACATGGCTGCTCGTCAATCGCCTCTCGTTCCGTCCAGCGAGTCAGGTGACTCAGACTCACAGCCGAGTTCTAAGAAGCAGAGCGGTAAGGGCAAGCGCAAGCGGAGGCGCAAGCACAAGCTCAAGCACAAGCACGAGCACAAGCACAAACACAAGTTGAAGTCGAAGTCGAAGTCGGCAGGGTCAAAGAAGTCGATAAGGTCTGCGTCTCCGGACTCGGCTAAGGACCCCCGCCCATCCAAGCGTCAGCGAGGTTCGACTGGGGACTCGGCCGTCGGTCCCGCTGAGGTTTCTGCCGCTTCCAGCTCGACTAACAACTCGGCTGGGAGCTCTGGCATCCCATCGAGCTCGGCTGTTTCGCAGTCGCCTATTTCTGCTGGTCCAGCTTCAACCCTGTCGGTGCCTATCGTGACCGCTCATGACGCTGGCGCCCACGTTCTCCCTCAGTTGCCTGCAGCTTTACGCTATTCGCTCGCTCAGCTACGCACTCGAGCTCGCCAGGCGGTCGGCCGAGATGCCCGGATCACTCCCCAGCTAGCTCAGCTGCGTGACATCCGCTTCGTTCATTACGGGTCTCGGCGGTGCTGGGAGGCTATCCTCAGCCATCAAACGGCCAAGGTCACTGTGGGTGACGCGTCGGGGAAGGGTAGTGTGCCGGTTATGCTCTGTTCCCTCGCTGGGATTAAAGCGTTCGCGGACGTCTACCATCCGGATCACCCGGCTCAGCGGCTCCTTCGTCTGCTTCCCAAGACTCCTATCTTCTTCTCCCCTCGAGTCCTCGACGATGCCAAGCGCCGGTTGACGAACTCGGTGAAGTCGGTGACCTTGATGGAGCGTCTCGCAGAAGTGTTCGTGAAGATCCGCGGAGAGGCTCCGAACTCGGTTTGTGACAAAGAGGGTCCTACCAAGTTCTTCGTAGCACTGTTCGAGCGGTGTCACTGGATGGTCGAGTCGAGTGTGCTGATGGAGCTACATCCGGCTTTTCACACGGGGCTCCCGTATCACGTGATAGCCGAGATGTATGACACGTGGGTGTTGTACAAGTTGGCTCGCAAGCGTCGAGGCGATGCCCTCCGAAGTCTCATGACTATCCTGCCGGACGACCTGTTCACTGCAGTGATGAAGCTTCTCGGCGGGCTTGCTGCCCCGGAAATCGACGCTGAGCTCTTCTTCGAGCCGTCGGTCCCGTTGTATCCGCTGGTCAATCTTGCTTGGATTCCTGCGGGCAGAGACTGGTGTGCTGAAGCCGAGTCTATAGACGACTCCGAGCCTTGGCGAGCTTGGTGGTTGACCGACCCAGCGACGCACCCGTACAACACCTGCTTCCGGACGCGTAACTTAGAATTCATGGTTTTCGCTCCCGCTGGTGTGGATCCGCGCCTAGTCGAGGATGCTGTCGATGAAGATGTGGACCTCGACGAGCCTGCGCCTCCCCAGATTTCGTCAAGTGCTCCGACTCCGGTCAACCGTGCAGGAATCCACATCTTCCAAGGTTGTGAAGCTGGTGAGCTCGGCTGGGCCGCTGGCGATGCGGATCCGGCGTCTCCGTTGATCGGGTCGCCTAGCGTGTGCGGCCCTTCTCCCACGGCTTCCTGTTTGGTCCGGCGTCACCTGGGTCTCCAGCTGAGTCGAGCGCAGGATCGAGTATCCCTCTGGCTAACAACTCGGCTATTTCGGCTTCAAGCTCAGCGGACTCGGCTATGCAGACTGCGGGAGCAGCGGATAGCTCGGCCGGCTCAGCTACGAACACTGGAGGTTCGATTGGTCTCCTCGCAGCGGTTGCTGCTACCGTCGTGTCCTCTGTCGCGCATTCACAGGGTCCTTCGTTTCCGTAACGTGCGGCTCAGCCGCCGAGCTCTTCTTCCTTTCCCATCTTTCTTCGGTGTAATTCATGTAATGTATGCAATTTGACGCAGTAGCTTCCTTCGCCTCAACTCAGCTTGTTGTCTTCACTGAGTTGGCGGGTTCATCATTTTGGTGCAATAGCTTTAATCCTCGTCTGCAACTTGCACCATTTGCAGACGGTTTTCACGCTTCTTCTGCCGTAAGTAGTCGAACAATAATCCCCCACACGACAAATTCGACAGCGGCTCCCAGGTTGGCTCATCATAGCCGACCCACTTGACCTTGAACTTCCGCTGAGTTCTGGAGTTGCTCGTAGAGAGCGGCAACTCGTCGTCCAAGATGGCTTCGACTTCGTATTCATTCATTGCTTCGTCGGTCTCCCAACTATCTTCCTGAAGGAGTTCCTCGTCAAAGTCGAGGCGATCCGACTCGGCTAAGTCGGCTACTAGCCTAGTTGTCGGCCGCTCGCCGAGTCCCGTGACCGCTTTCAGACGTGACACATGTATCACAGGGTAGAAACGGTATCCGCTCTTGTCCGGGAGTTTGAGCTCGTAGGCAAACTCCTCCACCTTCTTCTTCACTCGGAATGGTCCATGCCATCGATGTGCTAACTTCTTGGTCAAGCCAGGTCTGACTCGTTCCATAAACAACCAAACTTGGTCACCTTCCTTGAATAGTGACTTCCTCGACTCGGCTAACTCGTCACCTTCCTCAGTCGACTCGGCTGCTCCCTCGGGTGAGTTCGCTGGGGTATCCGTCCCTTCCTCCCCGGCTGGGACAGCTCTCTGCTCGACTCGGCTGAGTCCGTCATTGTGTTCCTTCGCTCTCCGTTTCTTCTCCTTCAGCTGGAACTCGGCCGCAAGCTTCAAAGCCACCTCTCTCTGTCGGTTTGCTTCCCTGCGCCATTCGGCTGCCCCCGTTGAGTCAGCTGAGTTGCCCCTGCCGAGCCTGACTGACTCGGTCATCGCCTTGAGTGTAGACCGAGCGTCCCATCCGTGTACCAGGTAGAACGGGGTCTCCCGCCGAGTCGAGTCTCTCGAATTGTTGATGGCATGGACGAGCTTCTCGGCTACATCATCCCAGCCGGCTTGGAGAGGGTCTTCCACGTACACTCGCACAGTCTGGATCATGGTCTTCACTGAGTGTTCTTGCTGACCGTTGGCTTGTGGTCGGTAACTGAGCGTCGCTCTCGACTTGGACTGCATCATCTCCGAGAACTTCTGGAACACTTCACTCATGAACCGGGGATCTCTGTCGTGGCGTACCAGTGATGGAGCTCCAAACCTCCGGAACACGTTCTCTTCGAAGGCCTTCGCTACCTCAAGTGCCCCAGTCTCACTCATTGCCTTAGCAATCACGAACCCGGTGAAGTGGTCTTGAAACAACAGGAGTGCAGTGTTGCCCCGCCGAGTCTTCGGCAGTGGTATGACAAAGTCCATCGATACCACGTGGAACGGTCGCTCAGACACTACGTTGCCAGGTGAATAGCCCTTCAGGTGTGGTTTGCTCTTACTGGTACTGCAGTCTTCGCACGCTTGGACATGTTTGACCACGTCTGCGTACAACCCAATCCAGTAGTAGTCGGCTCTGACCCTGTGGTATGTCCGCACAATCCCTTGGTGGCCTCCCTCGATGGAGTTGTGGCAGTTCTGCAGGACCTCGTCTATCATGGTCGTCGGAACCACCAGTCGAAGGGATAAGCCTAGTTCGCCGAGTTCGCCAGGTGGTCTGGCCTTGCCTTGTCGGTACAATAGCCCGTCTTCGCTGAGCACAAACTCGTCGACAACTTTCCCAGCGTTGTGAGCTCGGCGATGTGTGAGCTGCGCATAATCCCCTCTCAGGTAGGTCTTCAAGTCGGCCCATCGTTGTTCCTCGTCTTGAGCTCTTGCTATTCGCAGGCGGCGCTCAGCTTGGACCACTACCGGATCGATGTCCATGGCTTTGGGCTTCCGGGCTTCTCCGAGCTCGGCTACCAGCTCAGCTGGGTTAGCTGGTGGTGCTGCGCTACCGAACTCGGCTTCTCCCGTCACCCGCTGTCTAGCAGGCGGAGGTCGGCTATCTCGTTCAAAGTCATTACGTTCGGCTTCCTCATCTGTAGCTGGGTCCGGGACTGGGTGTTCTGCCGCTTCGTCTTCGAAACGGACTCGGCGGACTTGACTCCTTGTCACGGCGGCCATCTCAACACCCTCGGCCGGGGCTGCAGCCGAGTCCGTGTCCACGTACAGGACCTCAGAGATCCTGTTTAGGGTCTTCAACTCGGCTTTCCGTCCGGCGCTTAGCACGACCTTTCCTGCTTTGGTTTCCAGTGCTTCGGTCGCTAAAGAGTCAGCAGCCGAGTTGTAGAGACGCACTACGTGGAGGTAGCGAACTGAATTCAGCTTGCTGACCAATTTCTTGTGGCGTGCTAACTCGACTTGCAATGCCTCCTTCTTACACGCGATCACCCCCATGGATTGCGGGATCGCAAGCCGGGAGTCGCCCACGATGATCAAATCCGTCACCCCGCGCTCAATGGCCGAGGTCACCCCATTGTTCATGCCGGTGTACTCGGCTATATTCACCGTGGTCGATGGGAGGTGCGCGCTCGCAGCGATCTCAATGTTCCAGTCTGGCAAACGCCACAGGATCCAAGAACAACTCCTGAACCCGCCGTGTTTAGCAGTCTTCGCCGATCCGTCAAACGACAGAACGTGTCCCTTGAAGTCTCGGGGCACATGCGCATACAGCTATTCTGGGTCCATGCGGACCACAGCCGAGTTCTTGGACGGTGGAGTGACATGCGTTAGTAGCTCGTCCAATCCCACTGCCGGCGTGATGGACGCTTGGAGCAACTGGGCGAAATCCGTGTCCCGTTCGCGGGCCCGCTTGACCTTTAGGTGGAACGGTGATAGCAGTACCGCAAAGCTGACTGCTCTGCCGTAGAGAGACTTCGACCGGAACACCCATTCGAGAGTCGAGTAGCGGGTGTAAACATGGATGGTCTTCCCGGCGAGCAACGTGTGGCACACCTTGATGAGCTGTAGCAAGGCGAGAACTTCTTTCTCGGCGGAATGGTAGCCGAGTTCATTATCCTTGAGGACTCGGCCGCAGAACCGCACTGGATGGAGCTTCCCGTCGTGGAGCTGCATCAGCGTGCTACTCAGAGCCCACTCATTGGCGAATAGCATAACGTGGACGTCCTCAGCCGAGTTGAAGTGGCGGAGTATGGGTGCGTCGACCACCTGCTGTTTTAACTCGGCGAACGCCGCTTTTGCGGCCGTCAGATCACCGCCGGGTCCGAAATCTTCGTCCTTCAGCTGATAGAGGACCGCCCCATATACAGCCTGGTTCTGGACGAACCGGCCGTAGTAGTTCAGCGCTCCTAAGAATGCTTGCATCCCCTTCTTCGTCGTCGGCGGGCCATTGGCCAAGTCAGCAGTAGGCTCCGCGCTCAATGCTAATTCCTCAGGCGCTAGGGTAGCGGTAGCCGAGTTCGCTGGCTCTGTCAGAGTCGAGGGTGGACTATCGACTGCTTCTGCCTCGGCTCGCTCCTCCGACTCGGCTAACTTCTCCCATTGCTGGGCGCAAGTCAGTGCCGAATCCCGCTGCTTGGTAGACGGTCACGTAGTCACCCCTTTCGGTTCAGGGTAGTTTCTACGGTCCACAGCTGACGGCTGTCGAGCCAGCCACTCGGCGTACAGCTGTTGTTCCTTTTGCAGCAGATCCTTATCCATAGCCGCTTCGTAGACCATGACTTGCCAATCTTTGTACTTCGCCGAGTGCAGCCTGACGTAACCATTGGGCGGTAACACTCCATGCGGCGCCCAGGCAACCACTGGGAAATGTGCTGGGTACCACGTCCAAGTCGGCTTAAGGTTGGTCAGGCGAACTCGAGCCACTCGGTTACGCCGGTCGAATACCACGGTCATTACCCATTCCTTAGTCCGGCGTACCCAGAAGTCATGTGTTTCATCACTCGGTTGATTCCTCATCAGCCTGAACTCGGCGGGAACTCGGCTCTCGAGATTCACCGGTTCGGTCGGGCCGTCAGTGATGTAGAGGCCGCCCTTCCGTTCATCCGCTGAGTTCTGGGACCTCACGAGAGGTAGGACAACTTCATCTGACAACTTCACCACCGAAATGTACAGATCCAGGCGGATCCCAGCCGGATCATAAAGTCCGTACCGAGAATCAACTCGACTCCCGCGTGGTGATCGAGGATCCATACTTCAAATTCATACGTGACCTCCCAGCCGAGTGTCACCTTCATCATCGCTCGTGACATCGTCGCCACTTTGCCTTTCCCAATACCTTGAACGCCAATCTGTTGGTCGTGGCGTGTGAACCGCTTCAACCGCAGCCTCTTCGCGAACCCTTCGCTTATTGCCGACACATTCGCACCGGTGTCGAGCAATATCTTTGTACGCTGGTCGTTCACTGCTCCCATAAGGAGAGCTCTCATCCGAACTCGGCGGTCAAACTTTTGTGAGGACCACCAGCCGAGTCGCTCCCCAGGGAGCAGCTTCATAACTCTGGTGGCTGTAGTCACATCCGTCGATCGCTGAGTCGCAACTGCACTGCACAATCTTGCTCGGCTTTCTTCTCCACTCTCGCCGAGCTCACCATTAAGTCCATCAATTTCACAATCCAATACGTCGTCTTCTCCTCGGTCCTCGGGCCTTCCTGCCTCACCCACAAAGGCAAACACAAAGTTCGCCTCTACTGTTGGCTCAGCTGACTGTGGCAGCCCGGTATCATCCAACCCAGTCAGTGTTGGCGGGCCACCGAGTTTAAATCACTCGGCGTGTAGAGGTCCTGGAGGTCTTCAGGTAACTTGGACTTGTCGACATTGGACTTGACAAATGCGGCGAGCTTCTCATAGCGCTGGAACAGCTCGCATTGACCGGCATCGTGCAATTGCTTGCAGAACTTGCAGTGACGGCGGCAGTAGTGAACGTAGTGATTCGCACCACCGCAGGCAGCACAAGGTCCATACGAAGGGCGTTCACGGGAGTCACTTCGCCGCCCAGTCTGGTCACGCCGATCGTATCCTCGACTGGCGCGGTCAGCCGAGCTCGGCTGACCCCTTCGGTGATCACTTCTTGGTGTCCCAGCTGAGTTCCCTCGGTCTCCCGATCTACGGTCGCGGTCGCTGGTGAACCCGGTGTCGATGTAATCGTCTTCCGAGTCTACAGCCGAGTCGGAGTAGCTCGGCTGGCTGCCGTCGCTCTGATCGCTGTCCGAGTCGTAGAGGTTGGATCGCCGATTGGATTGGCGTCTCTCAGCCAGCTCATACGGGTCGTCCTCCAGCAGCGCTGTCGCTAGTCGGCGGTCTCGACCATCGTCGCGTCGGCTTCGCCGGTCATCCCGGCGGTCATCTCTGCGTCGTTCCCGGCAGTCGTCGCGGCAGTCATCTCGGCGCGGCTCACTCCGCCGAGCTTCCGAGTGCCTTGGCGAATCGGTGCGCTTGGCATCTCGGCTGCGGCTTCCGATGAGACGGTCGCGCTGTTTCTTCCGGCGCTCCCCCAGGATCTTCTAGTTGATCATCTTCTCGACCTTCTTGATGTCGGTGAGCTGTTGCGGATAGAGCAGATCCATGATGTCATCATCTCCGCAGTGCAACAGGAAGTTCCACATGGTCAGCAGCATCCGCTCCACCGACCTCGTACTGGATTTTCGCCGACTTCGCATATCCGTTGAGACGAACGAGGAAGTCACACACCAGCTCGTTGTCTTTGCGCTGAGCCGAGTAATAGCGAGCTCGTGCCGACTGGTCAACCTGCGAACAGTAGTAGTCGGCGAATGCCTCACTCAGCAGACTCCACTTCCGTTGCGTTTTCTTCGGGAGCTGGCGATACCAGCTCTTCGCGCCTCGCTCCAGCTTCAGCGAGAATGGCTCGTACCAGAGGTCTTGTGCCAGCCGAGTTCCTTTCATCTCGTAGATGAACCGCTTAAGCCACTGGAGAGAGTCATCTGGTCGGTAACGTTTGCCTTCGATTCGAACATAGGGATCTTGTCGAGGGACGCATGGGTGCGAACCTCCAAGTATTGCGTCCGATCACTTTCAGCGTCATCGAAACTAAGGTGCTTGATGACGTCCTTCACCGACTCTTCAGTCGAGTTCAGGTACTCGCGCCCATCGTCGCTGTCGCTGAGCTCGGCTGCGTCTGCAGCGTCAAACAACTCAGCGTAGCGTCCACTTGGCTGCTTGCCACGCGTTGGCGTCTTCATATGCGAATCTTCGAAATACGGCGTACCCTCAGTAGAGCGGAACACCTCGGCTCTCTTGCGTTCGGGAGTCTTCGGCAGGGGAATCCTGCTGGGGTCTTCGACGGTCTTCGGAGTATCAGCCACTCGTTTCGCAATAGTCTGCCGAGTTTCGACGGCCCCCCGCTCGAGACCAAACGAGACTCTCAACCGACGCTTCCACTTGAGGATTTCGCGTGAAGCTCGGCTGGGGTCCCAATCGCCGAGTAGCAGGCTGTTGGGTCGGCTCGTGCACCGGAACCCCATCGCCTTGAGTAGCAACACCGTGTCTTCGACCAGTTGGTTGATGTCGGTGCTGTTCACCGGCTGTGTCAGCTCGGGCCCCAGCACCGGCCAGCTCGCCTGAGCCATCGCCACTGGGGCAAACATCATCATCCACTCGCTCTGAGCTCGCATCTCCTCTCCGAGCCTGCCCAGAACCTTGTTCGCACTTGGTGTATCCGCATTCCTCGTCGCTCGCGGGATCAAGGGCGGACGTTCCCCTTGAGCGGCGGCTTGATCTTCGTCGTCCGTATCATTGCCGAGCTCGGTCGCCAGGTTGCGCACAACTGGACGTGGGGTACCCATTCGTCCGACTTGCAGCGACAACTCGTCGACTTCGCCAAGTAGCTCGGCTTTCTCCTCATACTCATCCTCAACATCTTCCTCACATTCTTGGTCTTGGGCATCCTCCTCATCAAATTGGACGGTGCGCGCCTCGTCCGCCATCGCGTCCGTGATCATCGCATTCGCCGAGTCCGCCGAGTTGGTCAGTCCAGCCGAGTTACTTCCAACCGTCGCTGGACTCGGCGTAACAATTCCCATGACCATCTTCACACTCTCTTCTCTTCTCTTCTTCTCAAACCTTGGTTAGCTGGTACCTACGAAACACAAGCACATCCCTGTTCCCGGGTCGCGGCACCAGTTGTGGTATAGCAGTACACACAAAACCGTCAGTTGTGGTAACTTGGCTACAAACACAACAATAGCCGAGCTGGTCGGCTTTGTTGGCCTGCGCCGGGTTGCCCCCGAGCGGTTCGGCCCAACCGGGACAGCGGGTGTCTCGCCTTTCGTCGAGACCTGCCAACCAAGATCACCCCTCCGGAGAGCCGCCGATTTCGACGGCCTCCGTTCACTTAACCCTGTGCCCTCCACCAAAGGATGGACGACGGCGCACGGAGCGCTTTTACAGGTCGCCGATAGCAAAGGCTTCTCGACTCAGCAATCAGTGCCCGGGACGTACGGGAACACCGGCTCGCAGCGGTGGCGAGACTTTTCCTTCGCGCTTGGCGAGACACGCGCCCAACCCGGGCCGACCTTAATCTCTTGGCGCTGCCAGCCGAGTACCCTACAAGCTATGCCTCTCGGGTACCGGCAGCAGACATAATCCGGCCCCGTGCAGGGACTTACCGGAACGTGTACACGTGTTATGGACCTAGAAAATTCTGCTCTGTTGTTTGTTATCTCTGTCGGGCGCCCTGAAGGGGCACCTCCAATATTCCTAAGCTCCTATACAAATGCCAAATGAAAGTGGGCGGTTTTGGATCTCGGCCGACTCTTCGCTGAGCTCGGCGACGCCTGAGCTCGGCTGGTCCGGATGAGCTATCCGGACAATTCTTCGAACTCGGCTGAGCCGGATACGGCGTGTCCGGATAAGCTGGTGAACTCGGCTGAGCTCGGCTGAGCTCGGCTACCGGTACAGTGTACCACTCCAGCCGAGTTGGTCGCGCGAAATCTGGTGTTTCCTACACCACAACAATGTCAGACACATGTGTATAGATCAGGGAATGCAGATCGCGATCGGGGATTCGATCGAGCTTCTGCTACGAATGAAGGTGACGGATCGAGAAAAGCTATGGGTCACCCGTGGAGATCGTTGGGTGCCGACCGTGGTCCGAGGACCCGGCAGGATCAGATATCTCCAGGTTACCAACATCAGCGACAAAGACCTCGTCTTGCATCGGAATGAACGGATCGGGATGTGGCTGGCTGGAGATCGGATACCCCGGATCCCAGGATATGTGTCGATCGGATCTCATCGATACATGGAATGGCAGAATCTAGCCTTTCAAGCCACGATAGATGACCGGCCGACGGGCTAGGGGGCACCAACGGAAACTCCAGTACCTGCCGTCGAGCGACCGATTTATCCAACGCCCCGAGCCATTCTCCAGAGACGCAAGGTATCCCCGATCGTCGATCAATCAACGGGTCCACCCGATCCACCAAGCGAACCGGAGGCAATGAGCCCTGATCCGGGGGTGGCCGTCGTTGATACTCTTAGATCAGGGGGCAGACCGTTGCAGGACGATGATCGCGTGACAGAGGAGTCGGGGTCGTCAGCTTCAACTGTCCTCGTCGGAGATCCACCAGACCCACGGTCGGATCCTGTTGAGTCGGTGTGTGAACCTTCCGGATCGGAGGAGGAATGCTCTCCAAAGCGGAAACAGGTGGGCCTGGACTCCCAGCCTTCGCCGATCACGGATCAAGCGTATGCACCGATAGATGACGCGAAGCCGCAAGATGATCGTGCTGGCGATCCAGAGGGGAAGCCAGATCATGTGGATTCCGGTGGCAAAGCAGCTGAGAAGGGCGAAATCGTGTCCCCTCACTTGCCATCGGCCGATCAGGTCGACGGTTGTGCCGTCGAACCAGATCTTGGGGGGGGGAGTACCGATCGGACACACCCTTCTGCGGTCTTAGCTGTGGAAGAGTCGAGATCAAGTGACGATACAGCAGTCGACGGTGTTCCTGCATCTGAACGACTGCCGCAAGTGGCTGAAGACTCGTCGATCGTTGGAGGTGATCAGCTGGAAAAGGAGGCCAAACCCACTTCAAATCGGGACGACCTCATTGCATCCGAACCGGATCGAGATGTTGGCGCTGATGATCAGGCCCATTACAACGAGGGCGGGAATCTGTCAGCAGAAGATGTCGAAGGTGAATTAGCTGTGCTTCCTGAAATTGTGATCTCGACGACGGATGAGGTGAAGATCGATGATATCAAGGTGGGAGATCTGGAGTTCAATACCCCGGAGGAGAACGATCGGCTGCGAAAGAAGATCTGGCACAGGAATCACCTGCTGATCGGCAAGGGCAATGCACTTCCCCCAGCAGCCCGGGGCGTCACCTGCGACATCGACGTGGGCGACGCGACCGATCGCTCAACGTGTCCGGAAAGTGGCCCCTCAGTTCGTGGAGAAGGTGTCCGAGCTGATCAAGGGATTGTTGTCAGCCAAGATGATTCGGAAATCTCGATCACCGTGGGCCTCGCCGATCGTCGTGATCATCAAGAAGAACGGCGTGGATATCCGACTCTGCATCGATTATCGGCTCGTCAACAGTCTAACCAGGCTGATGGTATATCCGATGCCCTTGATCAACGATCTGCTGGAAGATCTGGACAAGGTACTCTGGTATTGCTCTTTGGACATGGCTAGTGGATTCTGGGTGGTGACAATGACCGATCGAGCTCGAGCGATCTCGGCCTTTATCACCCACATGGGTCTGTTCGAGTGGAACCGGATGCCGTTCGGCTTGAAGAACGCTCCTCAGATCTACCAGCGACTTCTGGACGACGCGTTGTATGGGTTCACCAGGATCCCGCGATCGCCAGACTGTGAAGTCACTACGGACTTGATCGAGTCAGGAGAACCAGAAGATCCGGGGCATCCATCAGTGCTAGGTCGCAGATCGTACATCGATGACATTCTCGTGACGGCCGGATCATGGGATGAGCTGTGCAATCGTGTGGATCACCTGCTGGACGCTTGTGATAAGTGGAACCTCTCGATTAATGTGGAGAAGAGCTCTTGGGGGATGCGTAAGGTGGACTATCTGGGACATCGTGTGTCGAGCGACGGGCTAGAGGCCAATCCGAAAGATCTCACTGCTCTGACTGATCTGCCGTTCCCCGGATCGCTCCGATCGATGCAGTCGTTCTTGGGCAGCCTCAATTATTACAGCCGTTTCTTGGAAGATTACGCGATCTACGCGGCGATCCTGTACGAACTGCGCGAGGTGGATTTCGCCGAGCTGAAGAAACGCCCCGATCTGCACCAGATCCTAGATCGTCAAATGCCGAACTTAGTGACTACAGACCCAGTGGACCCCAATCGGGCTTCATCAGCTACTGAAGTCGCCGATGAACGCTGGGTCCGTGCTCATCGTGCCTTTTCGACCCTAAAGATGAAGATCGCGACGACACCGATCCTGGGGCACTTCGATCGCGATCGGACTCCGGTCGTGATTGTGTATGCGAGTGACTGGGCGATCTCGACTGCATTGATGCAGGAACACGACCAGATCTATCATCCCGTTACCTTCGCCAGTCGAACGCTGAAGTCGAATGAATTAAACTACAATGTGGTGGAGAAAGAAGTACTGGCGCTGTTACGGATCCTGGACCTGAACTATAACATGCTGGTCGGACGATCGATCCGGGTCTTGACCCGACACTCGACGTTGGCGTGGCTGTTCTGATCGCCCGGCCTTCAAGGCCGATTGGGTCAGTGGGCTGCACTCCTATCGCCCTGGACACTGGAGATCACGAAGTGCACCAAGGGAGAGGACGAGATATTGGGGGCGATCGCCGCTAGTATTACGCCTCGATCGGATATGGACGACGCGTTGATCGCGATCGCGCCGAAGAAAGAACCCCGGCGAAAGATTCAAGCCCCGATCCCGACTGTGCGCGTGGATGAAGAGCTGCTGGTGATAAGTTTCGATGGATCCGCCCGCGTCAAGCGAGGCGAGGGCGCGTACAGCGCGATCTTGTGGAAGTTACCCGAATGGAGTGTAGTGAAGGCACGATCGGGGTATGCTGAAGGGTTGACTGTTAACGAGGCGGAGTATCATGGTCTGTTGTTGGGTTTCGACCTCCTTGACGGCGTAGATCGAGGCAGGTTAGTGGTCTGCGGTGATTCCAACCTGGTGATCCGGCAAGTACGGGGCGAGATCGACTGCAAAGCACCTAAGCTGATATTGTTAAAGCAGAAGGTGCTAGACCAACTACGGAACTGGCCAGATCACGAGCTGTTACATGTGAAACGAGACTGGAACGGAAGTGCAGACAGTCTGGCCAGTGCAGCACTCCAACGTGAAGGGGGCGTCGTCGTTGAGGATGAGGTCGATCATGGGGATCTAGTGACACTGAACCGACTTGATGAGATCCTGGTTGTTCGACCAGATGAGTCGATCGCCCGATTATCGCCAATGACCACCCGATCGAGCGCCAGATCACGGCCGAACCCCACCGTCATGCAAGAGGAGTTCGTGCGAGGGTTGCGGATCGATCGAATTCGTCGAGCTCAAGATGAAGAAACGTGGATCGCGGGTATGAAGAAGTACCTGATGGGAGATGTGGCTGATCTGACGCAGTATGAGGCTCGATCCTATGGCAACATCGCAGCGGATTACGAGATCGACAGTGATAATCTGCTGTTCTATTGCCCACCCTCCAAGCGATCGGAGGCAGATCGAGATGGACTGATGAGACTGGTCGCACCGGAGACGCTGCATCAAGATATCTTGCATCACTATCACTCCACTCTGGAAGGGGGACACCAGGGGATCGGGCGTACATACCAGCGGATCCGCGATCACTTTCACTGGAGAGGTCTCTTCAGAAGTGTGCAGAAGTACGTCGGCGAATGTGTCGACTGCGAGACCGGCAAAGGACGACCCACGATCAGGGGCGAGTCGCCGGGAAACATCCAGGCGACATACCCGTTCCAGATCATAGCAATGGATCACATACCTTCGCTACCCAAGTCGTACAAGGGTAATACGGAACTGTTGATCTGGGTCGATCTGTTCACGAGATACGTGAT